TGTCAGCCGGTTTCTTTTCGTCGTTAATATCCAAATAGAAACACCAACATGCTAACCTTATAGAACATAATACCTCCATTTACGACCGTAGTGCCTGCCTCAGTCTCAGTGCCCTTAGTGAGCCCTCGTGTCTCGTGTCGGAGAGAGGCGTTCCTCGACATTCACGCTCCGCAGTCGTGGCTCAGCTGGTGAATGCCAGATGCCAGCCTCCAGACACACTGTAATGTCTTATTGTCTGGACACGACACACGACTGTTTCTGCATCGATATTCTAAACCATCGACTAAATGTCATGCCATTGCACATTTGAAAAACAAATCTTAGAGTTTGAGTAAATACATCTTCGCATTGTCCAAACTAGAGTATTGCTTGTTTAGGCTGGGTAGCTGCTTGGTTATTGTTCTTTCCCAGTTGGTGGTTAAAAGCTGTACCAGCTGTTCTTTATCGTTTGATTTTTAACTAATGGCGCTGACTAAAGAAACAGCTAAAAATAGTTTGCAACAAGGTTAGACAGATAATCTAATTCAATTCTATAGTCACATGCATCATAGCACAATCCTCCTAGTCCTCTAATACAAAGCCATGGAGTTGGTGTGGGGCAAGTCCCCCCTGGTCTATTGCCAGGCCAGTAACAGTAATTTTAAACGTATGAACATTACGCACTCAGCAGAAGATCCATTTAGTGCACCAGCCGTTTCGGCAGGCCGGGGCTGCAGTGTTGCCACTTTTGTCTCGCCACGGCCTGCCCTTTCATATTCTGCTTGAAATACACCCTCAAGTGCGCGCCTCTTTCGTAAAAGTAATACTCATGATAATAACAGTGGTTGGCCGCAATTTTGACCCATAAGGCAGGTGTTCATATTCGGATAACACTATGGTAGTTGCCCAGTATTTGGTGTCTTACAAAAATCAGTTCATTGTTCAATCTCAGGGATCTCCTAGTTATCAAAAGTTGGCAAAATTATATATTCATGCCCTTTTCGCTCTAATATGATACGACCCAAAGGTTGACATCAAGCGCGACGTTTTTCAAGAAAAAAGTCTGTATTACATATCGCGTGCACGATCTTTCGTCCTCTAAATCCTATACTTAACTAAACTGTGTGCCTCAGAGCTATCGGTCTATCGTAAATTAATTGGTAACGGTATGAGTAAACCATCGATCTCAATAGAGATCGATGGAGTAAACAAGAAAGTTCGATATTCATCTGTAAGACAATGATATAAAATAATGTTTACTTGGAAAAATCAACATCTACTGTTCAACAACCACTTCCCTCTTCAATTGCGAAACTGTCCAATAAGTGTATTATGTCTATAAAACGTAACAGTTACTCGACCCGCCAACGGCGCTGTATCAAATAGACCATTGTAAATGTCACAGTTGCAGGAAAACAGGTTATTAGGGCCTCATTTATTCCTGTTGACAATTTAGAGATTCGTTAACCGTGCCAAGTGGACCGGGTGAGGTTAGGTTAGGCAATATCCTCGGTGGTATGCGGGAACAGCTCAGCAACAGGCAAGATTGTAGCAGAGAAAACTGCTTAATTCAATATAGAGTCATTGAGTTAAAAAATTGGTAGCTTGAAGAAAGTGGATGGTGTGTGTTTATCAATCTTATCAACGTCAACATTTCCAAATTGGGATTGTTATAACATGTTTGTATTTATATACATACATCCTTATGGGAAGAAATTGTTTTTCCACTTAAAATCAACATACAACACACTTATATTTCCTGTAAATGATGACCTTAATATAAGAAGCTGTGACGCAAACGAAAATACTGTACTATGTCGATTGAAAGAAGCCCACCTTCTATTATTATTACGTATGGCTTTTATGTCAAACTTCTTATCCTAGGCGCTATGTTCAGGCCGTAACCGTGTTACACACAATACTTAAGGATTAACCAAGGGGGTCACGGCATTATCAAATAACTAAAGACATTGATAGTTGGTGGGATTTGAACCCGGGAGATCTGGTGATATAGCATCCGTTATACAATTTTGTGAGCTGAGAAGGAATTTGCAATTTTGAAGGCCTATTTTACTAATAAATCTTAAAAGTTGTACGTCCTAATTCTCATTTCTATTTCAACCCCATTCGAAGCCTTGCAAATTTATTTACACATGAATAAGATGTTCCTTTAAACAAAATCGACAATGAGACAAATACACAAAACCAACCATCGCTGATGAGTGCTTAAGCTTAAGTTTGACTAAATATTTTCGCTTTCTCTAATTAGACCTCCCGGTAGTCTGACCTTGGGTGCCGCCAGACGAGAAGTGAGGCTGTTTTTGAGAAATGGGTTGAAATACAACTCTGTCGTCAAGGTCGCGGCCTTGGGTACCGTTACGTTACCAGACTTACATCAGCGCGTTGTACGCTGACCGTCGTCATAATACAATGTTGCACCGGTACTGCCAATCTTGTATTTGTGAAACCTTTTTTTCTTTTCTTACTCTACTGAAACACTGAGTATCAATCGTTATAATTAACCTACAGAACTAAAGTTATTGTATACTAGCTGTTACCCACGGGCTTCACACCGTTTGACTTCATAAGTATTAATAAAATTATTGATTGGTTAAGTTAAGCTGAAATAAACAAAATATCATATACTCTAATACGAGCAATGTTTGCTTATATGCTTGCTACAGAGATTGTAGATTTCCCATCCTTATGGAACATCTGAAGCCAATTTTATTGTTAGTTCTGTCCGGTTTTCTGTTGATGTCGTGTCGTGCTTTGTTTACAATTTGTTTCTTGTTATTTCAGTAATTTAAAACCTCGTTTAACCAAATAATACTATTTAATCATAAATGATAACTCGTTCACTATATTACGGTACTATATTACTGTATTACTATCGTTGGCTATATAGCCAAACAGTGAGACACATATAATGAGAAACTATAACCCTAAAATAATAGAAACAAATTGTAAAAAAACACATCTACAGAAAACCAGACAAAACTAACAATAAAAGTGGCTTCAGCTGTTCCATAAGGATGGTAATGGATCTGCAATCCTAAAATGCTATGTGAAGGTAAGGAAACAGGTCCACAGGAAGTGGTGAAGGAAGTAGTCAATGCAAGCTATCCTGAGTGCAGGAACTGTTTATGACGATTAGATTAAAAGTATCTGCAATTCTAAAATGCTATGGGAAGGTAAGGAAACAGGTCCGTGACGTAGGAAGTGGTAAAGGAAATACTGTAGTAAAGGTGAGCGGTCCGGAGTGTGGGAACTTGTTATGACGATTAGATTAAGGTATCTGCAATCCTAAAATGCTATGGGATGGGAGGGAAACAGGTCCGCGACGTAGGAAGTGGTGAAGGAAGTAGTCAAGGCGAGCAGTCCGGAGTGTGGGAACTGTTTGAGGATTAGATTAAGGTATCTGCAATCTTAAAATGCAATGGGAAGGGAGGGAAACAAGTCCGCGACGTAGGAAGAGGTGAAGGAAGTAGTAAAGGCGAGCACTGTGGAGTCTGGGAACTGGAAACCAATTGTAACAGTTAGATTTATGTATCTGAAATTGAAATACTGAAATGCTATGAGAAGGGATTGAAACATGTCCATGACGTAGGAAATGGTGAAGAAAGTATGAAAGGCTGGCATCAAAGAGTGGGGGATTGATTTTCCCCGAGCAAAGCTTGGTCCCCAGGTACTAATACCTAACAACAGGTAATACAAACAAATAAGTTCAGCTGAGGTATTTTTAACCTTAGTTATAATATGGAAAGTTCCCTTTAGAAAGGAATTACGACCTTAAAGGGAAATTTATGAAGGTTTTAAAAAATTTCAATGGATAGTTTTGCGCAAGGTTTCTCGTCATGACAAACATTTTAAGTATATGGTTTATGGAGGTGTGACTTGTAGTTTTCTCAAAAGTTCATGGGTACTTTTGGCTTTATATATAGATGAGAAATGATTTATTTTTAACACCACCCTGCAGCAAAAACAGCCGTTTTTCTGATACAGCAATTTTACTCCCTAGGGATTAAACATCGTTTTTATTCCCTCAGGAGTAAACAGCCTTTTTGGTCCCTTTAGAGTAAAGTCAGCTGTTGTAAAAACTCAATTTTGTAAAGTTAAGTGGCTTATTAAATTCATTACGGTTAATGTCAACTGGACATATCATCGGTATTATAACCATACAGTGTGGTAGAAAAGTCCCGGAACAGTTAAGTTACCAATATAGATAAAGTAATGATACTTGGTATATAAATAATAGCTATAACTTAAATGTTTGCTGTTTCAAGCTACTATCACCTTTTTATGCCTTAAGGGGGACGGCCCACGAGGAGTCAGACAAAATTCTTAAATAGCAGAATACGTCTAGTTTGGTATCTAATTAAATGTCTTAGTTAGTAGAATACATTGCCGCAAACCCAAACTCAAAAAGGACACTTGAGTCAAAAGTGGCAGCCGGTAAACTATTTTTATTATAATGTATATACTTAGGACTCTACAGAGAGCGGAAACTTATATATTTCAAGTATGTTTGCCACGAGTACTCGATAATGTGGCAACGTAGTTCCAAGAGAATGTATTATTTTGTATTTATTTGTTTTGAAGGAATAAACTCATTATTTCATTTGCCAAACTAGGTAGCTCAGTCAAAGTGTCTTAGGCTGAATGTCACATATTGCTGGTTTAAGTCCGGCTACATCACCACTGGCTTTTCCATGTGACTCATAGCTCTCACCACCTTAAGTTGAGACAGCCCATAATCTGCAGACCTGCAGGCTCATTACCGGCTGGACCCAAACGACCCCAGGTTATTTTGGGCTCCCTCAACTTTTGGTGGCGAGAGCTATACAGAAGGCCTACATTGTCTTTAAACCACCAGTCAGAGAAGCAAACCCATAATGATAGGAGGCTGAGAATTTGGAGCAAAAAGTTACAATAATTTTTCCTGATACATTATTTTACTTAAAGTTTTTCATCATATTTCCTTGTTTGAATCAATGTCACATAATTGTTTCCCGTTGTAGATGTGTGGTGGTGCTGCTAGGACTAGCTGCTCTATGTCTGGCCGCCGATGACTACGAGTATGACGATGCTCCTGTCGCTCCAGTCAAGCCATCGCCTCCCAGACCTTCTCCACTGTTTAGACAGGCCCGTGGTCCCGTCATAGGGCGACCGAGCCCTAAGACTTCTGTACGTAATTTGCTTATGGCTAGTATAGCATAAGATTATTTGGAAATATTTCAAGGTTCAATAATTCCTCACTTGACTTACAGTACTTCCTCATTTTTATTTGTGTATTTCTGTTTGTTGACTTCCTAGATTGATGGTTAAGTCAAACAGCTTCAAAGAATAATGATCATATTTGTTGAAGTAGTTCTCCATGGGAAAGTATTATTGGTTTTAGGAGCTATAAGATTGGAATTCTGAAATCATATTAAGGTATTTATGGAATTAAAAAAAAAAAAAAATAGCTTGTATGACAGTGAATTCGATTGTTTGTCTAAATAGAATACATGCTATACTACTTGAAGTTTCACGAAGTGCTCATGACATAACTAGCAGTCATTGGGAATGTTAATCCCACAAACTAAATGATTCTGACAGATAAAAACATTAATCATTGGATTACAACCATTACCAGCCTCATTAAATGTTGTTATAATTTCCCTTTACTTAAATATGAAATTATAATCGTTAACCCTTTTGTATTCATTCAACTTGTATTTAGCATTATACTTTCAATGATTTTATTTTCTATGGTATTCCCCAGTAGTTGTCAGTCAATGTTTAGGTTTTGATGTCTCCTCTATTGAACAAACAAGCACTCTCTCTACTACAATGTTGGCAGAGCTTAGTTTTAAAATCAGGTGTTGAATTCTAAGTTGAGATATGATCATCTTATTCACAGCATGTCTCTTTTAACCTGATCAGAATTAACAATGAAGTTGATCTGTCCACTGATTCCCTATGTGAAATTTTTTTATGTGAAATGTCAGCATGCTTTTAGAAAAACTTCATAAAACACTCAAGTATAACTGACACAGCTATGTTAAATAGCGTGTGTGTTATTTTAAATCAAATATTACCAACATGGTTGGTGCTGCTTCAGTCATAAGAAGAATTTTTTTAGACCAACCAGTTCGCTTTTGTCCCAATGCTTTTATTTACTTTGCTTTCTACAAACAATAAAACTTGTTAAGATTTTTTATATTAATACTTTCTTTAATACTTTTTTATTAAATGGCAACCATACAAAGTAGGATTAAATTTATAAGCATTTTAAAATGTCGATTCCTTTAAAAGTAATAGAAAATTTGGTCGAAAACTCCACAGTAAAATGGTAATAAATACAAAATATTGAAATTGACTATGATAGTCGAGGTCAACTAGTATAGATTATCAACTAAGTCCATTACTTCTGATTACAGGCACAAAAAACAACGACGACGACGACACCAGAACCTCCTGTAGAATATGAGGATGAAGAAGGAGAAGAAGGAGCAGCAGAACAAGAAGAAGAAGTTGTGGTGACCACAACCACAGAAGCGCCCAAGAAAGGAGGTCTGAAGACTGGAGTAGTTCGACCTTTCCGCAGTAACGCTGATCTCATAGAGAGGTTGAAGAGACGGAGAGAACAGCAGCAGAAGGGACCTGGATCTTCCGCTGTGACCACGACGACCACGCAAGCACCCTCAGAACCCAAGACCTTCGGCAAAGGTGGCCGCAAGACGACAGGAAGTAACAGGATAGCAGACCAGACCGGCAGCACATCGGAGAAGAAATCAACAGTGAACAACAGAAGGTTTACCACCCGAGGAAAGACGACTGAGGCTCCGGTAGAACCCGAGGTCGAAGAGCAGGAACAACCTAGGGCAAGAACCTTTGGACGAGGGCGTCGCTTCTGAGTCAAACAATCAAAGACAATAAACAAAACTGTGAATCAATAAGTGATGGAGGAAAATTGTATAGTTTTAATTTGTATATTTAATGTAAGACTTTGTATAATAACTTTGTTATTAGCGTAATAAATATTAAAGTTTTGTATAGTTTGGAGTTTTTTGTTTTAAGATAAGGTTTTTTTACAAACTGTGCAGGATCATGCATCACTTTGAATTTTTTTTTTCTGAATTTCTTTTTGTTGCTGATATATTTAGGAACCCCCTTAAAAATTTTAGTAAAAAAAAATCCTTGATAAAGCCCATAGGTCTTGTTTGTAAAATCAGTAACAAAAAAGAATAGTTTGATCAATTGTATGATTGACAATAAACAACAGGTTCAATTACTTGCCAATAAGTTGTAAAATTGAGACTTAAAAAATTTGCAACTATAATATGCATTTAAATAATATGAGGCAGGATGATATATGTTAATGTAATTAAAACTAAGGTCTTGCAAGAAAATATTTTCAAATTAATATAAATTTTTTTACTTGTACTGAAAATGATAACAAATAACTCATTGTTCTTAAATTATTGTGGACGGACCCATCAGTTTTGATGTTTATTTGTGTTTTGTTTGTGAAAGGCACTGGACGTGAAAACAAACAAACATTAAAACAAATAACTGTTTTACAAATAAAAATCCCTAAAAGTCTTTCCCTGATTTTATCAAGGGAACAGTCCAAACCCTGTCCTTACAGATAACCATTAATACAAAGCACATAATCTAATTGCAATTATTATTCAACAAGCGTCAACAGAAACACAAGAATAGTACTGTTGTATGGGAATAGAATAAACTCAAACATTTTAAACTCTAACTAGTTCCTACAAAACATTCCACAGAAAATCTCCACGGATGACAAAGTAACATTTTGAAAAAGCCTGTCATGAACGTAGTTGGCAGAACTGTGTTTAATTAGAAGGCTGTGGCTGTGGTGAAGACAAGTAGGAAACTGTCATTTAGGAGGCTGTGGTTCTCAGTTCCTGGAATCATCTTCCGGTCTCTCCTCCCAAATCACGACCTCTGAAGTAAACATTACTTTGCTAAATTAATTTGCCAGTTTTATGAATTACAGCTGAACTTCAACGACTACAACCTCTGAAAACAAAAACTCCCAGGAAACTAAAACAAAAAATCTTGAGTTAAAATCAAAGAACAGGTTTGTTTTAAAGTATCACACATAATATAACAGACATACAGAATAAAGCTAAAAAAAAAATTATAAGTAAAAAACCATGCAAATAAAATAATGAGGTTCTGTTCTTGTCATATTTTTTATAGGGGAAATATTTGTCATAGGGGGTTTTAAAGAAAAAAAATCCATCCAGGTTTGAATAATTTTGTAATGCATAGAACATAATTTTATAAAATTACTAATGTAGTGTTAAGAGTAATATAGAGATATTAAGGAAAGAGTTTATGAAAAGGAATGTGAAAAGGAATCTTTTTTGATCACAAAAAAGAGTATATTATATTTATTGCAACATTTTACAAAGATTAAATTAAGGTCTGTAAAAGCTAAACCTAAACTATTAATATAAATGCAGCATTCCTTGTGGTCGTGAATATAATGCTAGAGATGTTATCAGAAGAACCTAAATTTAAAGATGAAGCACATTAAACGTTCTGTACTGCCATTTCTTTCTTAAAACTATCTGCATTTATCAACCATTAATAACTGAAAGCAGGTATTTATTCACAACAATAGTAGGCGAGTCTTTGAATTTTCCTTTAGTTTTTCCTCTTAGTATCTTCTTCCATCTCATCAACTAAGTACTAGAACTGTACAGATAATTACTTTCTATTCAGGGGGTTAGTGCCCTCTTCTAGCCTTGAATTTGTGTGAGGCGTGAGTTGAAGGTATAGGAAGGGGGTGAGCCAGGACAGTACAAGAATCATCTGTACTAATGATCTTTTTAAGTGGGGGCAATGGACGAGAGTTAACAATTTGCTGCCTCTGTCTCAGAGTCTTTTACCCTACCGTCTGAACCGCAGACTCACCAAATACATTTTTTATAAGACGCATGTTATTCTTCACAACATATTGTATTGACTGAATAACAAAACTATACTCTACCAAAAACGTCTTAATTTTTTTTTAACCTGCACTTGTAGACCGTATTTTCTGTGAGGCTCCTATAGTTTAGGATGGATTTTGTTCTGAGTAAGTTTTATTCATTATCTCACAAAATAGTTCTCTACGAATAGCGTTAAGCCACACAGTAACAGCATAGGCTCCAGCATCCATACTTTTGATGTTGTCTGCTCCAACGTAGGAAGCTCTCCCAAACCTGGAAGTATTTCGTAAAATAAAACAAAACTGTATTGAAATCTTAAAGTACAATGCAAGAAACATAAAAAATGGTTCAATACAAAATTTGCAAAATGCATATTCTTTTTGGTTCAGTAACAAACTAATAAAAGTAGAGCATTTATGTACAAAAACAAAGGATATTGGTATGGCCCTAACTAAAGTAAATTACGTACACAAAAGTATATTTATCTAAATAAAATTCATTGTTTGTGTTGGTAAGTTTATTTATTTATTCATCCATTCCAATTTCAGTCTTTTACAGAAAATCCAACAGAGTATTTTAACTGTTCTAATATGTTGTAAAAACTATTGCTCCAGACATTTTACATAAATGATTAGGAAAACACAGATTTTTTAACGATTACGAATTTGGAATCCAATCCCGTCTTTTGGTGGGAAAGAACCTAGATCGTGATCAAATGATAAGATTATTGCCCAAACTGGGCAAGGTAGGGAAATACAATAGTGTCGTGTTAGCTGAAAATAACAAATGTTTCGATCACACAAACAAAAAACAAATAAACCAGAAAACAATCAGTTAACACTGTTCATTCACAACTAGCCCCAAAAAAAAACTATAAGGTTTATAGTTTGAGGTGTAACAACATTCTAACTCAATTTACCTCCTGAAGTAGTTATAATATTAGCCTCAATAAAAAATCCCATCCCTCTTTGCCCCCTTTCTTTAAGTCACATATTTATTTTGTACCTAAACAATTAGCTATTGGGTCTATATCCAATATATATATCAATAGGGGAAATTTTTAAATGTGGAAAAAATCCACTCCTAATTTTGAATCTGGAAAAGAAACAGGCATAAGATCCTCCAACAAGTGACGAAAAGCTTACAAGGGTTTGTAGTGTCGTGTTCGTTGACATCCCTCTTCTGCAGCTTGTACAGCTCGGTGCAGCGCCGTCGTCCACTCCGACGTTCCCTTGAATGCTTCACAGGCTGGGATAAGGGCGTCAAACTGTGACATTTACGATTTTAGTATTACTATCAAGGGTAATTCAAACAATCTTCAGTTGCTACTTAGGATCTTAATGTTACCCAATCCCTCACTAGGGTTGTTGTTTTATTCAAGTTTACTTTCTGAATTTCTCTTAACTTCTCAGTTACCGTTACAATTTAAGGGGATACGCCACTATCTGTAGGCCATATTTTAATTTTTTTTTTACATTTTCCAAAAGTTGCATTTTCAGATAGGTCATTTAAATGTGAACATTTAGCTAAAATTGTTTGCCAATCTGACAACTCCTTCTAGTATAAAAAAAAATAAAATATAAACCGCCGCAACCAGCAATTTAACAAAATTTTGAACTATTTTTTTTTTGTTCCTGATATGTACACTTTTAATTGTGTATCATAATTATGTATTATGAAGGTATAAAATAGGGTACATTTATTTAAAACAAAATAAGTACTTTGCTATTTTTATATATAATATAAAATGATAAATTAGTGTAGTTATGGGAATTTTTCTCCTGCCAACCACCTGTTACATCACCTGCGATTATCTCAATACCGTGTTTTTTAGGTTATTATTGTACAAAAGTTTGAATAACTCCGTTAGTACTATACTTATAGTATTCAAATTTTCACCAGACCTTCTTTATATAGTAATAAAGGATTGTGTGTATAGTAAGCCCTATAGCATTACATTTACTAAAAATATTTATGTTTACGCAAAAATTTTAAATATTTTTTTCAGCTTTTTTATATTTTGAATAAAAGGTGTCCTAAAAATTTTGTTTTTTTAGTTACCATAACGATTATACACAGAATTACTCATTATTTCATCCTGAATCAGGAAATAAATAGAATATGTCATTCCGATCAGTAGTTGAAAAGTTATTCTCAATAACGACTTCTTAAAAATTTTGGTAAAAATAACTAAAAACGCATATAAATTTAGTAAATAAGTTATAAATTCAATATTTTTGTACCTAAATCTTCTAACTAAGTCTAGTATAAACAAAATATACTAACTAGGTTGACAAAAATAAAATAATAAAAAAAAAGTTGGAGATAGTGGCGTATCCCCTTAATTGAAATAAATTCAAAGAAAATAACTTATGGAAGAGAGTTGTTCCTTGATAATCCAATTCTCTGTCGAACAATCATCTATGGGAGAATTTTAATAGTTGTGAAGCAGTCTACCTATCTATTGTTTTACTTGCTATGTTTAGGAATGAACAGCTCATCCAACAGTTTATCTCAACTAGCTTTGGAAAAACACATGTTTTATTTGCGTTGAAGTTACTTGTAAATCATTCTTAACTCTCAAAAAATTTGGGCAGTTCAGACATCCACCACATGCCTGTAAAATTGAAATTTAAGAAGCTAAACCAAAGTACTAAATCCGATATAAATAATTTTAAAACAGAATTTACTCAGACTATACAGTGTACCTACCAGATGTGGCATAAACATACAACGCATTAAATTACTATTTATTTTTTGCAATCTTTAAATGTTTGAGACATGAACTTACCATGGTTCTGCTGCCGAGGGTGGCTTTAGAGTAAGTCATGGCAGTACTGAGTGCAGCTCCCAACGCTGCCGTCCAGTCCGGGACCTGCTTAGAAGCTCCAACGAACATAAGGCTGTACAAAGCTCCAGAGGTCCCGCCCATGACGTCTTCCGCCATTTTGGACAACAGTGTGAAGCATTGCTGAGGATATCGGACTGGCAACTGGTCAAGGTTCTGCAGAATGGCTGAAGACAAGCAACCATTTGCAGAGGTGTAAATAATATGTGGAAAAAGTTTATAAAATGAAGTCTGTAATGGAAATCTGCAGCAACGTGACAAAAATGCACCTGAGAGAAAATTAAATAGGTTAATCTTGGTTAAGAGTTTTATATAAAATCCTAATCTTAGAATTGTTTGTTTAGATAATAAGTGACATTTTGAAAAATGCATATACATTAAGAGGGGGAAATATCTCCTTATCAGTAAGAAATAAATGAAAAAAACAATCATTGATAAGCAAAAATCATATTAAAAACTAGATATTGATCTGTCAATCGTTATCAATATGAACTTTGTGGTTCATTTTGGTATTTTCTAGCAGCAATACTCACCGTCAGCCATGCGCCGCAGTGTGCTTCCTGTGTCACCGTCTCCGCAACCTTTATCTAACTCGTTCAACTTTTGTTCGTTTGTGACCAGAGCTTTGGCTGAAACTTGCAAACACTTTCTCAGAACTTCAGCTCGTTGATCTGATATCTGCGGACCTTGAGTCTAACAGAATTAAGATTTTCTCAAATAAAATTTCAATGAGAGGCAATAGTAAATTATGTAAAAAACAACAAGTTAAAATACAATCCTCTGACCTTGGTTTCAACATCATCCACAGTGAACACATGGGTCTGCCGTAGTGGGGGTAAAGACAGGGAGGTGGCTGGCCAAGCAAATGCGTTGGTGTGAGTATCCAGAGTGTCCAGCCACAACTGTCTATGTCTTTCATCACTAGAAGGCAGCAACAGCAGAGATACCTATAACCATAGACACACATAGTTCTGCAGATAATTTTCATATAAAGCCTCTCAAATTATTTTCTTTTTAAAAAAGAAGAGGCACGTATCCAGCAAAGCAAGGGGTGAGCCGGTATAGTACTAGAGTTAAAATGTATCTGTAAAAAATGGCGGTGGGCACAGAGATCCAAATCCAAGGCATTCCTGTCATGGATCTGGGTCTGTAGCGCTACAGACTGAACCACCATCTCCCAAAAAGTAAAGGTGTACAATTTAGTATAATAGAACTCGTTAATACAACAAGATAACTGACCTGTATTCCAGCCATGTCCAGCGAAGACATCAGGATGCCAGCGTAATGTCTTTCAACCACAACATTTCTCATTCCTAGACATTTAAGCAAATGTTGTAAACATCTTTTACAAATATAAATAATAATATAAATAAAAACAAGCTATAATTAATAGAGGTTTCTTTTACTTCTCATCATAAAGCACTCAACTATAAAATATGAAGTTAACTTTCATGAACGCATAAAATGAAATTATGGAATGTGTCAACTGTGTGTTTCATTTGACAAGGAGGGGTTTCCTAGCTGCCGAATTCGGCTACTGAACACAGCTGTGTTTTTACAGTGCTAACTTGTCACTTGAGGGTCAATGAGGCACTATTCCAAATCATGACTAATACAGAATGTTGTGATTATTCAAACCAACAAGTGGTGAAAGTACACAACTGCTTTTAAATTATATTTATTTGTAAACATTATAGTTCCAAAAGTCTGACATTGGACCTCTTAAAACCCTCTGGAGCGGAGCCCTTTTGACGGATCTGCACCAAACTTCACACAAACCATCCTTGAATAATGCTTAATAATGTCTGAAAGTTTCATTACAATCTGTCGAGCGGTTTCAGAGTCCATAAGGTACATACATACATACATACGAGTACATAGTACCTCTTTTATAGATATAGATTCCACACAGCTGTTTTGCACATTAAAATTATGAGATGAGATGGGGTCATATAAGTAATTAATTTCAAAACAATAACAGATTAATCGAATAAGTTTAAAATTTCTAAATGTTTGAAAAAAACATTACCCAACTCTTTGTGGACCAGTCCTGAGATTAGGAACAGTTCCAATTGAGATGTTCCTCCCAGGTTGTTGACGATGACACACACTTTATCTCCAGCCTTGATGCTGAGTGTCCCACACAGTTTGTCTACCAATATTTTGGCTATCACGTCCCCAGCTGCTATCTGTAGTTATTAGTTAATTAACATTATCATAGAAAGCTGGGTTTTCCTATAGGCGTAGAAGCAAAGCGCGGAGAGCACAGCTCTCCTCTTCTCTTCGGTAATTAAATGATACTGTTTTTCTAGAAGCGGAGCAGACCGTCACTGGACAAGCGGAAAATCACTTCTTTGCACTCGGCTCTTTGCGTTTCGCACCTAGGAAAATTCAGCTTAACATGAAATTAATTTTATTTCAGAGAGTGAACACATTGTCAGCACTATAAACTGGAATATTTTAAAATATTGATTAAATTTCCTTTTTCTGGATGATTATTACCTGGATAAGTTGTACCATTGACTATTGGATACAGAAGTTGTTTTAATAGTCAAAGGTTGTACACTGGAAAAAATTATCACTATTGTATTTTTTTTATTTCTAATCCTCTCGACTCTTAGACTTCCTTTGTTAGCTTAGTGAAGCATATCCCTTTCCCAACAAAATCCTTAATTGTAATCCTGGATAAGTAAATTAGGACCCTGAGGTTGGAGGCCTATGTCCCAATCCAGCTATTGTTCACAGGTTCGGCCGACACTTCCTCATTATTCCTGCTCTACGGAACTTACACCAAAGAGGCTTACATTCCTGGGACTCGTAATTTAATATTACAAAGAATTACTGAACAACGATTAAGTCCTGATTTAAGTCCTTTTTAAGTCCTAATATTAAATATTTTTTAAGTGTCTATTCTCTGTTTTTAATTCCACACAAATCACTCAAAACATTGATATATTTTATTCCCATGCGGGTTGTGAATAAAATAGTCATCTTTCTTTACAATAGTTCACAAACACTATTAGTATGGATTGTGTCAATTAGAATTACCATGAGGGACAAGAGAAAGGCTTCCACCACACCTAGCCTAGAGTCACGCCACTAGACGCTAGTGGTAACATAGTGAGTGGTTAAGCTTTGTGATTAATTTTTAAGATAACTATTCAAAATAACAAAAGTAATTTTGGTGGAGGAACGTTTATTGTAGGCATGTTCATCTCGCTTGCCTCTCTAATTGACATAATATATACCTTTATATATTTTTTAAATTAAAGGCATGTACAAAACTTCATCTGGGAGGACTTATTTGTCTTTTAAAATTTAATTTCATCCCTTTCATCAATTTTCAATATAATCACATACCTTACATTTAGACGCTCCAGCCTCTCCATGTATTCCTATTCCAAGTTCCATATAACCTTCTTCAATCCGAAACATTGGTCCAGAGCCAGGCATGTTGCAAGGTTTTATCGTTACTCCAAATGTTGCGTTGTGTCTCTTAATTAGAGAACACTCATCGTAAATCTCGTCCAAGCTTCTACCCAGAGCTGCCATTCCACCAGCTATCTGTAAAAAATTATTGGCAATCCTCAAAAAATAAAGAACAGACACAAATGTTCAATGAAGACTTCTGAATTTTAAAACAAGAGAAATGAATTTATCATTAAAAATCAAAATGTCCGCCTTAAAAATAAGGTTGCCAATGACACAGAAAAATATACATTTAAAATATTGAAAGATTTTAATTCAACATAATTGTAATTATAAATGATGCATTAACGTTAATCTGTGTTTGAGTGTCCAAACGAATTTCACCATTAACCATCTTTTGTACGTTACAGTCTAATTTTCAAGTATTGCTTAGGTGTAACAAAATCTTTACTTACTGTTATCCCTGGTTTTTTATTTATCATCCATTACCTTATTTGAGAGAGTGTTTACTGTTTAGTCTATTATGTGTAGAAATATTTGGAATATAGTTGTCAGATTCACTGCTATACAACACAACATAATGTTCAGATTGAATACTTGGGTATTATAACTCCGTTGGGCTTATAATAACATTTTTTAACATAACAGATTCACTACTGTTACACTCCTCTGTTTGAGGAATCTCCAGGCTCCTGATAGTGAATGTGACACATTAACATTAACATTTATAATAACATTTTTTTAACCTTCCACACTAACTAACATTGCAGCAAATCACATGCAAATGTAATTTATAAATCAATAACTTTCAGATATATAAAAATATAATCATAATTTGTTTTATTTACAACCGGACAACAGGGTTTTTAGGTAGCTTCCCTATGTAAATGTGTAAGGAAGTAACAAAGTGAGTTTTTGTTAAAGGTAAATCAAAGTAACAAAATACAGTATTTTAATTTCTCCACAGTATAACGATTGTATATTTTAGTTAAAATTTGTGTGTACAACTAATTACTAAGTAATAGCTCACTTTGAACATGAAGAGGCATCCACAAAGTCCTCTCTTGCCGGCTCCTTGTGGAGAGTCAATGGCACAGTCCTCCTCTACTGATATGCTCCTAACCTTCAACAAACAGATTGCACGTAGCGTAGTAGAGTTTCAAAGCTTGCAACTACCTACATGGATTATTCCACCTACAAGAATTAATTTATACTACTCGTGCTTTTCCTTATTTTATGAACTAAAAGAATCCACCCAACTTATCAACTTCCACCCAAGCCATTCACTGTTCAGTTTACATGGGCCTCTCCCGGAAATTTCTGTCTCAAACCGGTGAACTTATGAGTTGCTCCCAGGCTTGTGTCTGATATGTCAGCCCTCGGACCTTAAAGGATTAATAGGAAATAGGAAATCAAGTTCTTCTTTCTTGGGTTTAATCACTAACTGTCAAAAAAGTACTTGAAACCACTTGACTTTGGATGGTGAAGATAAAATGTTGGTTAATTTTGGGTTTATTGCTTTACTTTTTGGTTACAGTAAAAATCCTTAGTTTACAATGAGATATTTGTTTACCAATCTAGTTTTGAAGTGAGTAAATAACAAGAAATAAATAGTCAACACCAAAATACACATTTTATGTAATAGACTGAATAAGTGCTTAAATGCTGTCTTTTGCTCATCAATACAAATTTGACAAAACTATAACAGATGATGCCTTATAATCCAGGTTAAAACGTTTCTAAGGATCAAAGCTTCAACCTTTTGGTTTCTAAGGTAGCCAGCTACCCAATCAGCTATCCAGGAATACAGTGTAATATTGTACACAATTTAATATGAAACTTCCATTGTTATCTAAATTAATTATTGTATGATTTTTAAACTGTTTTATAAACACATTATCAGCTTCAAAATTCTTCAACAAATTCCTTACCTTAATTCCTTTTAGTTTTGCTCTCTCCATGGCCAAACCAAAATTCAAAACGTCCCCAGTATAGTTCATGATAAACACCAAAACCCCTCCTGAAAGAAGAAAATTCTTTTTAAGAAAAGAAAAAGTAAAAAAAATTGTTTTTGAGTTATTCTATTAAAATTGGAAAAAAATAAATAAATAATGGGTACCGGTATTATCAATTTGACACATAATTTCTCCCGTGAGCTGGTAAACAGCCCCTGGTGTGGTAAGCGATGGTTTTAACCATAATATTTTATCGGGAAAGTTGCAATAGCTTTTAACCATAATTTTACAGCAATGGGGATTGTACACTTTTGTTTTAGAGTTAAAAGGACTCTATCATACTACATTAGAACCAAAATCAGTTAAGCCGTTTATTTGAAATACATTTCATTTATTTTATTTTATGGGTTTTTATGGAAAAATCACCATACAAAAAATAAAACCACCTGGAGATACCACGGATTAGTAGTACTTAGGCCTACATAACAAGTTTCATCAAACTCAAGAGTAAAAATGTGGTCTGAAGCTCTGTACACATCCACACACATACAAACATCACTTCAAAAAACCACTTTTTGGTTTAAGGACCCAAAGCAGATATATCCACTCAAACCCTAAAATTTTGATAAAAGCAATACTTCTTCCTTATACTATGTTAGGGGAGAAAGTAATATTGTGAATGTACGACCAATGGGGGGCTCTTAACAAATATAATTTGTTTGTATTCACAAGCTAACCTGGGCACATCTCCGCTACGTTACAGATAGTCGTGAGGATTGTGGTGGGGGGAGGAGAGGTAAATACCTTCCCTGCCACGGCAGCGGTCAGCATCCCTTCCCCTACAAAACCTGTGCAACATTTACATGTAACGATTGTTTGTGTTTGTATAAAAACAATAAACAAAGCTTATGAAAATGCTTAAATTTAACACTACGACAATGGAGAGCTCTTGAGTTTTCAACACAATGATACAGTGTTTTACAACGCTGGTTCTATAAATTATTGACAAAATATTATTTAAGGCATGTTATTTTCATCCCTAGGATGATAGATTAATTAACTCCTTTTCCAATTATACTGAACTTTATTGGCTTAGATATAGGCACTATCTATTTATGCCCCTGGCTAAAGGTGCAACACTTGTGTTTATCATTACGATAATTAATTCTCTCATTTATATTTATCAGTACAAATACATACAGAGCTTGATTTCTAGAATTTGAGGTGCCGGAACTAAAACAGAGATATAATCTTCTTCCACAACTTTACATTCATCTAATTCCAAACAACGTCACACAGAAAGCTTGCAGAAAAAATACCAGAATATACTTTTGATGGAATTTTGTCCACATGGTTTTTAGAATTTAAATTATGATAGGTCAAAATGCCAAAAAATTCAGTACATTGAACACTTCACTGGGTTAAAGACTATTAAAATGTAAAACAGAAAATGTAATTTTTGCTTTAAAAAGCGGAGTATTCTGTAGAATTGCAAATCAACATAATATTTATAAATACATTTAGATGTATTGGTAGCCTAATGAGTAATGTTCCCAATTTCACTGGGAAATCAATCCGCAGAATCAATTATTCCCAGCATACCAACTAAACAACTTGAAGGATAGAGCCATTCCCTTAAAGCTATTGTGATTCTTAATCGTAAAATTCTTACACTGGTGTGGACACTAAAAGGAAGAATAGTTTTACTTTGTAGTGACAAAACTAATGTTTGCTAACTTACCAGCCGCAAAAGGCTCATGGCCAGATCCTCCTCCAGAAATTAGTCCCACCCTGCTCTGACTTTGACCACCCTGTGAATCAACCCCCCCACCGTTTAGTTAACAGCTGTTACCTAAACTGTTATATTTATATTATTAGTGTGTCCTAGAAATTACTTATGTCATATTTAATTATTTGAATGATAATAAACTGAAAAATTATGGTTTACTAACTTTTTGCTTCATTATCACACTGAGTTCAAATGTATTAAGAATCATTGTTAACTTAAAAAATGTATCTGATAGTTGGTAGTTTGCAAGAAAGAAAAAAATAATTTGAAGTGCACCACACACCTGAGCTGACACTATTTATGTTTTGTGGGCCTCTAGCTCAACAAGCACTAGAGGATGACTCTAAATAACCATGGTAATAGAATCAGATAATCAGATAATCAGGTAATAGAACCATGGTATAATGGTTACACATAGGTCTTATGCATTATACTCCAATCACACAACTCCGAGCTAGCAGATAAAAGAACATTTATCATTGTTGACTGACATTCTGAAGACGTTTTCTAATTGAAAAAAAAAACATCCACCATTAAAAAGTAAAGAATAAAGAAACAGTGCCCTTCCAAAACAGTTTTTTAAACGTGTGGCACATACACAAACCTAGTTACATCTATTCTACACTGTACCTGAGCATAAAGTATTATCCGAGACTTGTCGTCAACTGTGAGAGATGGAAATGTGGCCGCAACTCCCCTCAGCATGTCTTCGGCACATGACTCCGGTGTGATTACAAAATGGTTGTATCGAGGCATACTGTTTCAGTGTCAACAATTGAAATTACACATCAGCAATAAGTCTAGTCAAATATTTTTTGACATTGCCTAACTAAAACTTTATTAAAATTAGAATTGCTGTTTGAATATCAAAGTAAAGAAAAAATAATTTTAGAAGTGAGAAAAATTCTGAATTCTTTTATTTCTATCTCAGCCAGTCTTTAAGATAATTATTTAACATACAATCTGAGACAATATTCTCAGGGTGAATGCAACAATGCAAACAGCTGATTTCACAACAATGCTCTGGTTAAACTATTTAGAAGACTGCTTTAGGTCCCCAGTACGATACGAGCGACAAGCGGCGCCGCTCTGACATCGGATCGGATCTTGAGTGTAAATTTGTTGAGGGTGGCTACAATACGTCGCTCAGCACCGCTCATGGTTCCAAGTCCAAACCGATTTTTGCAAAAATGCCGCTCGCTGTTAAGGTGAGTCATACCTCAGTTCAGCCGAAAATGTCGGAGGAAAAGCAGCAAACGTGCAAGCCTCCAGCCAAACTCAAGAAAAGGTGAAGTTGTGTGATTCTTAGTGTTGATAAGTGAGGTGCAGTTCAGGGAATGCTTGTGAATGAATAGCACGGAGGTTTTAGAACACTTTAGTCTGTGGGACGAAGTGGGAGCTAAGTTTTGTTTTCAAGAGAATTGTCATACAACAGCTGAAATTCGTCTTGTGAATCAGCATGTTTGCCATCTTCGAGTGCTGACTTCTGACTCCTACAACGGGGGAAATTCTATTAGCGTTATAAATGTGCCGCTTCTATTGTAGCCACCACCGCTGATTACGTGCCGCTAGCCGCTCACCGCTCGTATCGTATCCGAGGCCTTACATCCAACCTCCTTTAATTGAAAATGGATTACAGAGAACTAATTGTATGTATGATGGGTCTTACAGATAAAAAGTAAATTCTTAACATATACTACAAACCTTTCTTCATCATCCTCCATCATGTTGCACTAACGATTTATGTAGGTATTAAAAATGGTCAGTATTTATTAACACTAGTGATTTAGTTTGTCTTAAGGTAAGCTTAACTCATCCTATGGGGAAACACTATCACACTCAATACTGTATTACTAAATAATAAGTAAAAATATTAGCAGACAAAATCAGTGTTTAACCTAAATTTTACAATAAAAAAGCAAAGATAAATCCTGCTTATCTATCCAAACTATAATTGCAAGTTTAACAAATTTAAAGGTTAATCAAATTCTAATCCAGCAAATTAACAGTCAATGGTCAATTGGGCCTATGTCAAGTTTTATGTTGTATATATCACAAACTCTTGTGCAAATCAATAAAACTGCTTAAAACAAAATAAAAATAGGAAATTTCCTTAGGATGCTATGACATGTTAACTGTCCACTGACCACAAACTCACTAATCAGTTCAAGGCCAATGGGAGGGGACAGCAATCAGCTGTTTATGATGACAAAAACAGCTGATAAGAGAAACTTAACAGCTAACTACAGTCATTGTCAATTTGACAAGTTAATAACTGTGGTTAGATATTTCTTTCCATGGGTAAAACTTACAAAAAACATAGACATCTAGTGATGTGTAAAGTTATCGATTTATCGTAAAAAAATTTACATTTCTTTAACAATGGATAAGTAAACTATCTTTATTATAGATTTGGTCAGATAATTGTACCAAAAAGGGAGAACACTTTAATTTCACTAACAAAATGTTTGTTGACAAAATTCTGTGTCTGAACAGACATAACTGCCATTCACATAACTTTTCATTCAAGCAAACACCGAAAAGGGCAAATTCAGAGATATTATTAATATCCAATATTAAATATTTGGTTGTTATGTAGTGTCCTAGCTAAAGCCATCTTTGAAATTACAATTTTTTTTTCAAATTAGAGGGCAATAACTATTTTTAACTTGGGAGATTGATTTTTTCACAAGGGTTTTAGGTCTATTTTATATTAAATCAATACTAGCAAACCCATTGTGGCTTTGCTCACGAAAATTTCAATTAAAAAGTTAACCTTCCATCGGGCGCATCACGGAAGTTACCTCCAGGTCACTACTTTTTTCGTTATAAAAACCATAGTATGTGTCTGGCAGGGCTGTGGCCTGATTTACCTCACGAACCACTTTTGCGGAATCGGTTTTGTATACTCTTACCCCTTTCCCAGTTGTCAGTCGACCTTGGGGAGTGGTTTGCGTCACTACTGGAAGTAGCTTCCGTGAGCGCCCTGTGATGCAACGGGTTTCCCGGAGCCTAGTTCCGTGTGCGCCCTTGTGTTTGACCTTATTTAGCGATATTATAAAATGGATGAAGAAGAACAAATAGTGAGACTGTTGGCTAGTGTTGAAAGGGAGGACGAGGAACAACATTTAGTAGAAAGAACTAATGGTGCGTGAGTTCGGAAACCTTTTTTATCCAAGAAAAGGAGCTTTGACAAAATGTGTAATCATTCTAACAAATCATTTTTTGCATTAAACAATAGGTGTTTTATGTCATACACTGATGAAACTTTTGTCTAAGAGCTTTGATTGAATGAATTGTCCTTGAACAAAGTTTTTATTTTTATTAGACCAAGTACGTGTTTTTATGTCATACAATATTAAAATTTGTTTTATAATATACGATAGTACTGTATAAGTACAAAAAGTAAATCTTTTTTATCCACAACACTTGCGTATTAAATTTTTTATTATAACATTTTCTATTTAATATACAACTTAAATAATAGTGTAAAACTCATAAAAAATATAGTTATTAAGTGATAGGAGAAGCCAGGAGCCACCCCTTCAAATAAAAGGTTAAACTCATTAGCCAACAATTTTTCCTTTGACATTGACATTAAATAATATACTGTTATTAAATTATAGAGAACACACATAATTAAACATCCCCAAGAAAATAAAAAGAGTAGTTACAAAAACACATCTTGATTTATTTCATTCATTTAACTATTAAAAATGTGCCATATTGTAAATAATTTCTCCTAATAAAATATAACCCGCTGTTCACTTAATTAATAGTGCAGATTCAAAAGTATTCATGTGTTCAAATATAAACAAATCCTATCTCCATAGGCATAACATGGGAACTTTAAAATCCACTGGGACAGAGCCCTGATGGAATTGCATGAAAACGGTTCTTATTGCACACCTAGAGGTTGATTGGAACCTCCATTCTTGAGTTCTTACGGCTAGTAGTTTTTGAGAGACAATGATCAGTGAGTCAGTAAATGGTATTTGACTTTTATAAGGTATAGATAGTAAGTCTACTTACAGTATCTTAGATCTATGATAACATTGTTTAATCTATGTCATCCATCTGTTTATACCTGGATAAAATCCGTCAGAGGTTCTGGTAATAATTTAAAATCGTGATCCCTGTACTGAAACCCTAAACTAAAATTATGGCTTCGACATTCTCTAGTTTTCAAAATTAATTATCTTTCTTTCAACACAAAAATCATTAAAATCCGTCAAGTGGTTGATTCAGAATTGTGAAATAAAAAAACCCTGTCACGTTTTAATATATATGATGACTGATCTGGTAGATAAATAGTCCTGACAATTATAAGTTACAATGTAAAATATTCTTTTTTCCATATTTTGGTTACTTCACCAAGATATACATTGACAGGAGTTACAAAAGATTTCAGGCCACATAAGTTTTCAAACCCACATCACTGTCACTGTTATACACATCAACAGTGCCAAAAGCTTGCAATTCCATTCCTGTACACAGAATCTAAATAAGGCAGAGCAAATATTGCAACTGAATACAAATGTAAAGTGATGTAAGTTATACTTAACCCTTCCAGGGCTAAATTAAATGAAGGGCTGGAGCTTAATTATTTTTTGACAAAAATCTAAATTAAAAACTAAAGTGGTTGTGTTTTGTATTTATTTCACTTGAAATAATTCATGGATCATAAAAAGATTTTCCTTAGTGCTGAACTAATTTTTGTACAAAAGTTATGAAGAAAATAAAATTTGGTTTGACGGATATATCCGTCTTTGGCCCACAAAAAACATAAAGTGGACGGATATATCCGTCTGCCGCCCTCAGTGATAATCAAAAATATGAACACTGCCAATAATCTTGAGTAATCTTGTGGGCGGCAGACAGATATATCCGTCAACCTTAGGCTATTTCTTCCCTTGTTTTATTTTTTATCCATAAAAATGTATCTATCATTCTGAAGTAAATCTAAACCACTCAGTTCCGCTCCTATGCCCTCAATCCCATTCCCCGCCAAGACTGCCACTACGTAAAGACTGTTCTTCAGGTTTATCATATCCATCACATTCCATACTATTATTTTCACTGCCAAGTATAAAACCCCCCTCAGACATACTTTTATTAAGCATCTCAATAACATCTTCAAATTTCACATAGTTTGCATTAGTAACTTTAGCTCAATAACATAAAAATAAAGTACAAAACACAAAATGTAAACACCACTCACTAACAACCATGTGTGAAGTGACAGCAATATTTACTTACGCGCACTCTGTGGTAAAAAATAGCCGAAACAGCTGCGGCAATTATTATTGCCAACCACAAAAACAAAATAACCCATTTATAATGCAGTGTAATGTTTATTACCGTATTATAAACATTGTATACAGGGTGTTTCAGTAAAGCGTAGCGGGCTATAGAGATTCAGATTCTACATGCAAAAATAAGTCGAAAATGAAGAATACCTTTTTTTTTATTTCGGCTTAGTTTGGCCGTAATCCGCCATTTTGTATTTTTTTTTAATAATTAATTACTCAAAAATCCTTGGAGATATTTTTATGAAACTTGGTATAAACTTTAAGTCTACAGGTATAAACATTCTCTGAAAATATCTTTGATCAGGCTCATTAAATTTCTAAATGGCGGCCATTTAAATTTTTTTAAGTAAAACTCAATGAAAAGCGGCCATTACAAAAAAAATTTTAAATGGTCGCCATTTTGAAACTAGATGAGCCTGATCGAAGACATTTTTGGAGAATGTTTATACCTGTAGACTTAAAGTTTATACCAAGTTTCAGAAAAATATCTCCAAGGGTTTTTGAGTAATTAATTATTTTCAAAAAAATACAAAATGGCGGATTACGGCCAAAGCCGAAATCGAAAAAAAGTTATTCTTCATTTTCGACTTATTTTTGCATGTAGAATCTGAATCTGCATAGCCCGCTACGCTTTACTGAAACACCCTGTATATCAATTTGTTTTTTGGACGGATATATCCGTCTTTATCCCAGAAAAGAAATTTCTCGGGACGGATATATCCGTGTTCTGCCCGGAAAGTAAACAAAGATTGACGGATATATCCGTCCATAGCCCTGGAAGGGTTAATAATTATTAATCCAGACTTTTTTGGTAGATATTTGTTTTAATACACGGTTGTAAATATCATCACTAAATGAAGGACATATTATTCATAAATTTCAAACAATGCTCCACATATGAGTAGGTTATGTAGCTAAAACTTACTTAAAATCCCCACTAACATAAAAGCATCTGACACAGTGAAAACTTCAGCATCAACTAGTAAAATAACCTAACTCAATCACATCGGCTAATAAAACAGACGTTTCAGATATTGTGCCAATTTATCAAACTAGTCAAGAGTATAATTTCAAACGTCTTCCCAAAATAAATTTGACATGTCTGAGATATTAAACATGCAGTTTTGAAACAAACATTTAAATCATAGTTGGACACAGATAAGTGAGAAGTTATGGATCATTCCACTATCAAATGGGGTGTTAAGTTAAGATAACTGTCTGACTAGTAACTAGAATCGATAGGAAAATAATGTAATATTTATATATACCGGTAGTCAATATTTTTTGTTTACAGTTGTAATCTGACCTCAAAGACTTCACGATGAAGAACATCTATGGATTTTATATTGATAGGCAAAAAAAATCTCTATACCATTCTATATTGTTGGATGTGGAAGATGTCAATACCATTGTACATTGTTGGATGAAAAATACATTTATACCAATTTCTATTGTTTGATTGACAACTTAACAAATTTGTATATTGTTGGGTGGAATATTCATTGTATTACCTTTGTACAAAAATATGAATAAAGAATATGAATATGAATATCGCAAAACAAGCAAACTGCAACAGTTTTCTTTTCCTCCATTTAACATGGGAATTTTAAATGTACAGTCTTTTTAACATTTTCTCCTTGACCTTTAATTGTACAACATAATTTTGCTTATATAATTTTTTATGCTCTTTTTTACCTCAACAGGTGGTTCCAATTAGCCAGAAGTTACAGGGGCTCTGGTGTACGTATAATTATGAAATATAATTTTCATTTAAATTTCTTCAACAGGATTAATTTGATCTTTGGCCTATTCACTATCAACAGTAAACGTTGAGATAGAGAGTGTGAGAAATCTGAGTCTGAAATGTGCTGAAACTTGGAAGACAAACTATAACGCTGGGTCTCAGGGTTTACTATTACTGTAGTTATGTGTCAAAACCGAATCCCAAATTCACCAAATATTAGGATAGGTTTCGGTTTTGAGATTTGATCGCCCACTTTCAAGATTCAAAAGTTTCTAAACTAAAGAGTTTTGGTATCATTATTATTATTATTTTTTACCATTTACACACAACCTGGCAGCTATGGGCAAATAGATGCTCTAACACTGATGAAACAAGTAGCCTAAATTGTATTCTGAATAACAACCGGTGTATCATATTATTAAATACCAGCAAACCTGCCGACTAAGCGAATTTCCATTTGCCTGAATTGATTTTCAATTTAATGTATTTAATTAACATTAGGTTTTATGAGTACCTAGGCTTAGTAGAGTTATCAAAATTTACAAAAACACTTTGATATACTAAATTATTTGTTTTTTTACTCTTTAAAAAGGTCTGGAGAGAAATTGGGAAATTTTGTGTTTAGAGGGGCAAAAATTAGAAAAACCAATTTTTACCTCATAAAACCCCCCCGTAAAACCCCGTTCCCATGGTCCGATCGTGCTGGTTCGCGAACTCATTTAAGTTTATCCTGCCTTACACCTTCAAACCAAATTTCATCAAAATCGGACAAAAATTACTCCAAGTTATGGTGAACCTAGGTCTTACAATGCCACCTACGGTACCGGTAATAGCTACTTCCCTTTTGGGGAAATTCGCTAAAAAGACATTTTACATCACTAAGTATGACACAGTGCGATTTCATCGAAATGGCATATTTTATTTGATGAAAAACTGTCATTTCATTTTATAAATTCTAAACACATTTTTGGGGGTGGAATAAGAACTGCAAATTAGGTTTCAAACATGATTTTAATAAAATGATTTAATAGCTTTACAATTCATCAGGTAAGTTATTTTAAACCTTCATTAAACCCTGAAATACAGTTATGATGAAACAATATAGAGTGTATCTTTGAAAATTACATCTCTTGATTTTACCCAGTGGCAAATAGATTGCACTACCTAATTATTGCACTACACACAGGAATTCCTTTTTTACAAAACAATCATAACTTTCTTATACATTAGTATTCTGTCTTAAATCTTTATCTTCTTGCTTGGAAAGAATTTGAAACTATCTGTAGACCTATACTGGTCTTTTTCACTCGATCTTGAACGAACAGTCATGGCAGATTGAAATAAAGCATAACCTCAAAACTCGAACTTGTTGTTTAACAATATTATTTTCCAAAACAGATTAGGCAACCAAAGAAACTATGGTTACACACAATAAACTATTGCGGATAGAAGGGAAATAATTATTGACCTGACAAGTGCTGCGATCTCTTGGAATAAAGTCGAACTAGTAGCAAAGTCCCAGAAAGAAACAGTTACGTCTACGAATGCCAAAGCGTATTAGCAGTATGACGGAAATGTTTGTGCAAGTATGCCAGTGGGTTAAAAGCAAGATACTTGTAAAGCAGTATCAAAACAGTTCATTTGCAACAACGTGTACAATATTATGCGTAAGATATGGTTTATGATTAATTAATTATTTGAATCAGGTCACACACTTAATAACCAATTAGTTGGCAGTAAAAATAGTTATAACTAGACAAATCACTCTAAATTAAGCATTAAAAGCGGAAATACAAAAATATATAACAATCTCTGAAAACAATGATCAGTAAACTTAATATAATCTTACTTTAGGTAGAGATGATATAGTTAAAAATTTATACTAAAAAAATCTGTTATATTAAAATTTATTTTAAAAGAGACAGCCACATTAAACACATAATTAATATATAAGATTATTTATTTGGTAAATAAAATAATCACAAAACACGAGTATTGTCTTCTAGCTATTAAAGACTTAAGGAGAATTGCATCAAAATTAAATAGGAATTTCAACACACAACGTAATTCTAACTAAAATTCTGATTAAATAAAAACATTTCACATTTTGATTTTGCATTTTTTCAATCATCAACGTTGTGTGCACTATCAACCACATGTTTAACGTAATATTTATAATTTATAATGGATACAAAATAATTTAAAATATATACATGTCTCTACTTGTACACTGTTTTAGTAAGTAGTTAAAGAAAAAACATTTACTTTAAACATTTTATTTTAACTTCATTGTGTCAAAAGTACTAATTTTTTTATTAAAACCAAATGGACTAATCTAAATTTTCAACTATAACAGTAAATGATAAATGTAGTTGAATATCCACAATAATAAATTCATGTCTTATTTGAAACGTTGCTATTTACTACAGCTATTTCTTAACACGTTGAGTGCTGACTACATCAATTGATGTAGTCGCGCCACGAGCTCTCCTAACGGCCTACATCAATAGATGTAGTTGCGCCTTCCTCACTATATTAGTTCAGTATGAGCTTAGCCATTGCCGGGGAACGTTATAATCGTTGCTAGCCTGTAGCTTAGAATGTGAGCTTCATTTTGGTATAGGCTGGTACTAAAATTTCCCGTAGAATCCCGTCTGACAATGCTTTAGTCCCGGTTTTGGGGATTTTCTCTCTTCAAGCCACAAAGACACTGACTAATGATCCAGGCAGTGCTGCTACCTTTGGGTGTTTCAGCGAACTACGTCCACTATCGGGGTTACGCAGTACAATCTGCTCTTTTGTTATTCGTCAGATTGAAAGATTTGCATGCCAATTGCGTTTGCTGTTTTGGTGCCGCGCCGGAGCTTCGTCCGGGCATCACCGCCATTGGGGAGCGCCTGTTTGAATGTATGCCGCACTCAACGTGTTAAAAAGGTATATGAAGCTTGGCTTTAATATTAATCTGTTATAAACTTGATATACCATGTATGAAATTAATATGACATTTAAAATAAATGATTACTTAAATGACTAAGATTAAAATTCACAACCAAAAATACAACGTACCTTAAAATTATCTAGTTTGGGTTGGTAAAAATAGATTATGCTATTCTGGTCCTTTTTGGGTTTCTCGCAAACTCCACCAAAGAATCTGACAACTGCAACACCATAACGTGATTATCTTCAAATACAAATGTAGGCAAAAATCTGGCTCAAAAACAATAGGCTAATTGGTGGGAAAAAGAGAAAAATTGGAAAACCCAATGAAAAAATAAATAAATAAACAAACATCTACAGTAAGGGGAAGAGGAGAAGAATTATTTAGGGGAAGGATTGTAGAAGCTTATCAGCACACTTGGGAGAAATTAAAACGGCTAAATTGATTATTTTTATTTCCTAGTAGTTAGAAACAGTCACAAAAGAAAACACATGCAAAACAAGCTGGCGACAAACTAAATAAACTAAAAGCTAAACTCTTGTTAAAAAGACACTCCTTAGAACATCTGGCCTCTATTGTGGAAATAATAAGTAAAAAACGTAATTAAAAATACTGAACAATGCCACACTGCTTATCAAAATTATCACAAATAGGATTGCTATATTATGAAAGTTTTTCCCTCTGACAAGCTTACAACAGCCTTCTGGGAACAACTTGTGGATAAACCGAACTGAAAGATCAATCAAAGATGTAGCAAAGTTTTGTGTGTGTATGTTTTAACACCATTGGTACTTTCAAAATTATTGTAAAGGAACAATCCAAACTTTGCTGGTTGCTATCTAATCTTGTCCAACAGAAAACCAAATAATTTCCAGTAAATACCCCGCTGCAGCAAACCTGCAGACTAAGCGAATTTCCAATAACCTGTTTGGATTTCAACGAAAATATTCTTAAATTTGTCAGATTTATTTCCTATTTAAATAACATTAATTTCTACAGGGAAGGTAATGGAATGTTTTGTTGCTTATTATGAAATAAACAAAATCGCCAAATTGCATTAAAATATATCAATAAACAAGCGAACAACAACAGTTTATTTATTCTCCATAAGAATAAACATGGTAATTTTTTTATTAACACATTTTTTAAATTGTCTACATAATTGTTAGGCATACAATAACAACGCTTTAATAAACAAAATTTTGTAATCCCTACAAAATGGTGTAGGAAGAACTTTTTTTACGTTTATGTTTATTTGGTTTTAGCCACAAAACCCCCCATGAGCCCTCGTTCCCATAGTCCAATCATGCTGTTTCGCGAACTTGTTAAATAAACATAAGTTTACACATTTGTACCAAATTTGATCAAAATATTATCATTTTTGCTTGAGTTTTCGCGCTAATGGACAATATATATATTTTGGCATGTCAAAATAGATATGTACAACTTATCAAGCAATGCAAAAAATGAACCATAACCATATGAACAGAGGGTGTTTTTTGGCCACTGGGAACCTCAAAACGAAAAAGTAAACCGGTCTAAGGTCCAGGTCTTACCACGAAAACTGCGGTAATAGCTTATTCCCTATATGGGAAATTCGCTAAAAACAGAGTAGTAATCCTACAGAAAATAATAATCATTAAAACGATACAAATAAATAAAGATAACCCAAATATCACCTACCAATTCAAAGCGTGTAGCTGAGAGGGGTGACGTTACGTACGATGGCACTCAACATCCCTGGGTTGACCTCGCTGTAGCTGGAAATAAAACCAATAAAAACTATAATAATAAGTAACTGTAATAATGCTTAACACGAAATCAGAAACAATAACAGTAGATACTCTCTTATTCGGGGATTAATTATTAAAAGTTAAAAAATCCTAAGCATCTGAAGTTAATGCAACAATGAATGAATATGTTTAAAGACCATGGACTTAACAAACTAAAGTATAGGGTGTCCGAAAAAGAGCTGAAACATTTTAAAGGCAAATACTGATACCAAAAAAGAGACTATGTTAAATGTTTTATATATGTATTTAAAGCTTAAATTCTCAAGTTTTATTAGAAACTTAGTATAACTCGATATGAGTACCATTAGTGGCCCGGCATAAATCTAAGTGAAATTTGAAAATCGTTTCTGAGATACTTACCGAATACCCCGGTACTGTAGTTTCCGCTGCACCATGGGTTTGATGCGAGAAACTCCACCAACACTCCTGAGGCCTCGACCAGTGATCAGGAACACCGTCTGGTGACGCTTGTTACGCTCGGTTACATAAGTAACCACCTGCAACAATATTTATTCTGATCCACCTTGTGACAAAAATAACATCTTGAATCAAGTTTTCTTCAATTATTTCGCCTTCAACATGGTTGTAACAAGAATGGTTGCTCATCGTGGTTTTTTTCGGATTCTTACAATTTCTTCTTTTGGGATGCATACAGCTGACTTCGATGCAATCAACTAATTATTAAGTCAGGTTGAAATTATTGCTTTGTCTTTCTCTTCAATTGGTGAGCCCTTTATCAGTTTTGAAATAGTAACCTGACAAGCATTGGAGGAGCAATGAAGATATACTACATGATCTTCTATATAACATGGTATATGTATAGCCACAGATAAGTAAGATACAGAGGATACAAGCTTATGGGACAGTCGTGCAGTTTAGCTCTGGTATGGTGGGGCAGAAATGTACTTGTACCAAACAAGGAAGAGCCTGAACGGCGAGGGCCACATTATGTACAGCAGATTTTGCGCACAGGGTCTTCCTACAGTGTGAGCTCTGTAGTATGTGAAGGTGAAGGGGGAAAGTAGAGCGGAAGAGGATGAGGAATAGAATTTGTTTCAGGTACTGGTGCTAGACACCACTTAAGTGTACTATTGAATGTTTCCTCTGTATCTTACTTATCTGTGGTATACCATAAGACCAAACAAAGTGATTGGAATGAAAAAGGATTTCTTGTAGCAAAATTATGCCTACAAGTCCATTGATTTATACAACAGGTTTAAAACATATTCATGAGTTAGCTTACCATTAGCAGAACGTGAATTTAAAATGTTAATTATCAATATATTAATACCCAATTTACTCAAACTAAATTAGTGTTTTCCTTAATTAAATGATTATAAATAAAAACCCAGACAACAAAATTTCTCGTTAAAATCCTGGATAAATTAATTATGAAATACTCAGAATTCATGAGAAGAATGATACTAAAAACAGTTAGATAGTCTCTGTAGTAGAATCTTAGACGATTAAGAAATATATTATTGGTTAAAGAAATACTACTTACTCTATTTTATCACTACGGCACCACAGGCTTGCCTATGTGTGACTTAAACCATAATGGTACTAGCTGAATTTAGACCCCCGCGATGATTAGTCTAGCTAAAAAATAGAGCAACATGATTAAAAGGTTTACAAAGACATAATCTTATCTCACCTCGTCCAAGAACATGTCCAGCACAACTTCTGCCTCTTTGATGTGTAGGAAGTGCAGGTCTAGTGTGTTGGCTCCACTCTTGTGAGAGGAGAAGAGACAGGCTGCAGCCTTGCTGTTGCTCTGGTCCATACGTTCTTTGTGTATCTGAGCCTACAACAACATTGAAAATCTAACATATCTATTTTTAAACTTTTTAGAGTAAAAACTCAATTAATCATTTTAAAATTCACTTAGTCTTAAAGTTTGCTGCAATCAAAGTAGTCTTCAAGTTTTCTGCAATCGAGGTGTTTTTATTACAGTTGATTGCAAAACAGGTGATCTTCAAACTTGTCCATCTATATAGAAATCATCGTATTTCACATTGTAATTATGACAAATTGTTTTACCAGCTGAGAGTAGTACGTTGCCACAGTTTTGTTGCCAGAGCGGAAGGCCTCGTGAGCCTTGTTGAGACAATCTATACGCAGACCGTAGTAGCTAGCAGCCTGCGCACGGTGAGCCGCAGCCTCTGTAGCCAGGTTGGCAGCGCTGTCTGAAGCAGCCCCAGCCTCGTCCGAGACTATGATTGATGTCACTCTTTCCTTGTCTTCCTGTTGTTGCTGTAAATCACACGACAATCAGATACTTCACTTTTGGAGGATTCATTTGCGTCGGTACTAAAACTGCCTTAAGCATCGTGTTTTTCCTAGGGTCTATCTGGTTTCACCCACTTCAATTAAACCAATTTTTGTGGTTAAACTGTCTAAGTTAGGGTTCAACACAAAACTGACCAAAATGAAATTTAAAGTACACAAGGGTGCTTAGCTTGTAGGGCATATAAGCTATGTATAATTGAGTGTAATACATATAGATACAATATGACTATTTTATCTATAAGGGTTGCTTTCTATATTGTAATTTAATTTTCAGATATCAACACTACAATTCTTACGTGTCACACTGAACATACTTTAGTCAAAACTACAACTAAAGTTAACTTCTTTTGGAGAACCTAATTCATATTTTTCAATAAGCTAAATTTTCATAACCCGGTCATGGCTTAGAACTGGGGTGGTTTCAATAAAATAAAAGGCAGCATGAGCACATAGTTTTTACAAAATTCCACAGATATTCTGCCACAAAATTATTATGAATCAATCTTATTATAAATCATGTTTATAAATATCATATTATATCATGTTATAAATCATGGTTGTCATTGGTCGTTATTTGTCCATCTTTATTCTAATTTACACGTGAGAACAACTGCCTCAATTTCTAATAACAATTTACACTATCAAGTAGGGGTCTGCGGTACAGAAAATTTAAGGTCGGTACGGTTCGGTACGGTACAATATTTTGTACCTCGGTTCTCGGTACAAAATCGGTACGGTACGCGGCTACCCGTATTTTTGCGGGTTTCTTCTCAGAACTGTATCTAAACCATTATTTTTAACTTTAATACATAGACATTACTATGAAAATGGATAGTATCCTACATTCATGGTTTTCTAACAACAATTACTGTACCACATATTATTAAAACAAAACCTTTTACTACTACGAGGATTGTGTCAAGAAAAATCACAGTTGAGATAAAGGCTTTACCTATTTTACTCTGAGATACTTTGAATAGCCATGATAAAGTAGTTTAAAAATAGGATAAGAGTTTTTATGAATAAACATGTTTGAAACATTTATTGACAAGATAATTTCACAAAACTGGTAAATTATTTCCAAACAACACAATGTCTAGTTGTTTTTTTTTGTTTTTTTTTTAACATATAAAAGCATTCAGTAGAAGACAGTGTAGTTTTGCCAGCTGTTCACAGCAGATGACAATGAAAAACTGGAGGTTATGATGAAGTAATGGCAAAGACCATTTTTTTTTTATCAGCTTCAAAACTAGTTAAGTTATAAGATGGATACAATTCTTGTAAAGTTTTTTTCTGAAACTAAAATTTGGATTATCACAGAGTAAGATTTGATGTTGGGCAATTAGACTTTATAACTGTGTAAAAGGTGTGTATCCCTAAATTTATAAATTGCATTCTACACTTATTCACTGCCAAACATAATTCAGTAGAACCTTGATGAACCGAGAATTACACTAGCCTACATAACTTCATTACCCCAAGTAAAATACCAAAATAATTTTTATAATTGTATTTGAATCGTATAATCTTAGTTTGTTAAACATGGATTGTATGTTCAACAATAATTGCAGTCCATTATTGTTAAGCAGTATGGTCCCAAATTATTGTTTTTGATTTTGAAACATCACAGTTCATTTGACAAAATTATAATTGAAGCAGCCCAATGTCAAGTCACGCGCGCTTGTGCAATAGTTTGTTTACAAGCTTTCTCCAGACCACGTGGGAGGGGAGGGGAGGGTCTGATAAGCCGTCTATTGTTCACCCCCAAGAAGGTCCGACCCTCTAGTGCCGCTCGGCTGCACTCAGTGGGGAACCCAATACCACAAATCAATCTTTTAAATGAATACAAATATTTGGTAATAATTGTTGAAATTTCAATAAATTTGGTGTAAAATTTGACAAAAATCTGCCATTTGGACCGATTATTAATACAATACTAAATACTAATAAAGTAGTACCGTACATTCATTGGTAATTAAATAATAGGTAAAAATTAACCGATTTTCGTCAAGTTTTACCCCCTGCTGTGCGCTATGTCACAAAAGCTGATAACGACATGGGTGATTAGTAACCATGGCAACTTGTTGAATGCGTGATGAAGGGAAACCCAAGAAATAGAAGAACAAAGATAAAGATTGACGTTGTTATCTTTATACCCTTTTTACAATTTCCGTTATTGTTATCTTTATGCAAGATTTTATGATTTTGTTTTATAGGTTTATAAAATAATTCTTTTTAACTACGGGAATATCAATTTATAATTTATCAACGTGCTTCTCTTCTGAAACAGCAATACCGGATGCATAATAAAGGTCAATGGCCTAAAATATCACAATTGTGCAATATTGTATTTTGATGTTAAAATTAAAATCACGACAAAAGTTTGTATATATCCATGGTCGTCAAGAGAAAGATAAAATATCCATAACAAATATTTAATTTATAAAATAAGATTGTAGATTAGTTACAAGTTTAATATGTAGCCATAAACAGTTTTATGGCAGTAGGCAATGGCCAGCGGCAAATTCAATATTCAAGAAAATACTGATTAAGTTAGAGATAACATTTAACAGTCATCATAAAACTATTATTTTTATGATAAAACAGAATTGGGGAAAGTCGTAAAGAAATAAAAGTGATAAAACTCAACAGTTCTTGGAAGTACTTCAATACAACAATTATTGTCGTGATAAAATGTTAATGGATTTGGGACTGCTAATGGGTTTTTTATTGCATCATCACGCTAGTAATAAATTATGAAGATCGTAAACAAACAACTGATAAGACTTTTATGTGCTTGGAACCAACTGCCGTTGACTACGATAGTAAACTGAAAGTAATTTATTATTATAATAGGCTGTACCGAACCGAATTTGTACCGTGTAAAATGCTGTACCGAACCGATGACGGTAATTAAGCTTGTACCGTACCGTACCGACTTTTTCGGTGCACCGCAGACCCCTACATCAAGTAATTTTACTACTTTGAATTCAATTTTAAAATACATAAAAAATTCAAACTCAGATATATTTGTCTGCAAATCAAGAAGGTCTTCCTAGTATTATTTTGTGCTCAGTTTTTAAATAGTTTAAATATGTGACTGAAACAATTCCTCAATTACATTTCAAATTTATTTGCTGAAGCAAGATTTCTAAAAGTCACTACACATCACCTTGGGCTGTTCCTGAGAGGTTGTGGCTGGTTCCACCCCCAGTGTAAGAGTAAGGGAGGTTATTGTTTCAGACAGAGAGTAGTTATGGGCCTTCAAAACGTCCTTCAACATTCTGGGGTCCACCTGCGGGAACTTCTCTAGCAGGATGTTCTTGGACAACTTGGCTGCCAGTGTGTCTTCATTGGTCGTATGGTTCAACTCCTCCTGACACACAAGGTTCTATTGTTGTTAATTCAGTAATAGTTAACTCGATTGATGCAGTAAAACAGAGGCTTTTAATATTGTGTTCTTTCTTAAATGAGTAAATTATGGACACTATAACATCTTTCGTGTCCTCATCAACTAATAGAGCATGAAGAAATCGAGAATAATTGTATTGTTGCACACTATATGAGTACTACATAAACCAAACTTTTTGTGTAATATTGCTCTTTTGAGCATTTCAGAATTAGAAGAGAAAAAGATATCTATCTGAAACATGTTTGGACAAGAAACCCTTTTGGAATACAACCTTCTGGGTGCCCAGAAAAGAGATTGAAAGAACAAGGTACAGTACACTGCCGACTAACGTGAAATATACAAATTAAAGTTTATTGTGTAAGTGTTTAATGCTTATTGGCCAGGATAAACTCATTCACATTCAGATAAGCCTGCTCCAATTTGTGTGGTATTTATGGTGGATTCACCTGGTCAGCCCTCTGCATGGCCAGTGCTATCTCCATGTCCATCACCTCCCTCAGTTGGGGTTTGGAGGATTGGTCCTGGGATTGAAGGAACCTGGCCACTTCCTCATCTGGAAATATAACGTTGCATGACTCACTAGAAGAGATTTACAATCTTCAATGCACGAATTACTTGTAAACATTAACAAATTTGAACAAATAAACTGTAACGATTTACAAGCTTAACTGATGAATAACTTGAAAATATATACAAGCTCCAATGCATGAATTACATGAAAATATTTGTGTACCTAAGTATAGTTGTATTAGATTTCTTCTAGTACACATTCCTGTATTAATCCTCTTAAGAGACAAGCAGGGGTTTTAGTTGGTAGTCCAAAGGACATTGTTCAACTTAGCATAAATGCATTTCAATCTACAAATTTGATTTTGACACGTAAAATGAAAAACTCATAAAGACCATATATAAGGAATTTTAAATTAGCACCTCAATTTCAATAGAAGTAAGTAGTGTGACAGCATGCAATGATGTTTGGTGTACAATGATGTGATAGAAATAAAGCAAAGACAAGATTCTCTTATGTATCATTCTAAGTGGAAATGTTAAAACTTAACACTATAAATCACTTGTATGTTTTGCTACAAAGTGGTTGGTATGATTTCCAATCATTATTATGCAACCAAATGATGGAGACACTACCTAGGTAAATTTTAAACCAAATAAAAGTGAAGCATGAGTATAGAATGCAGATAAATGCCTTGTGTAGCTTTGTTACTGACTAAGACCAGCTGCTCCATTGGTCAGCACTGTTTATTAAAAGCCCAATGATTAAGGACAGCTGGGTCCAGTTTCAACAATCAAAAAGCTACTAATCCTTAAAAACTTCTGGCGTGTTCAGGTTTCAATAGTTATTTGTGTAACTAGTGTGCTAAGTGGCAATTTGATGCACACAAGATAGCACGAGCTGCAGGCGAGTGTGGAAAGTTTCTCGAATGCAGCAAAGGCAATTTGCACTCGTGTTACACATTATATTTTTCCTACAGCTATTATAAAGCATAGAAATAATTAGTCTTTCGAACACTAAACAACACATTTTAGGTTAAGTTAAATACCAAGCGTTGGACAAAACAGTTAACACTGCAACAACTGATCATTGGTTGGAATACTGGAGTGCGGCCAAAGTAAGTAAATGCAGCAATTAGCAATTTTCTGCACTATAATCAGTGCAAGGAAGCCCACTTTGTCAGGTGACTGCAGGAGGATTTTTGTAGTTTCCAGTATACAGATGTACACACAATCATATCAAGCATGAGTATTATAAAAAAACTACTAAACTAATTTTTAATCATAGTTAAGTCTTTGGATGTCACATGTAGAAATTATGTTGCATTTATATTTTCAAAAAATACCTTTGGCAATCATATCTTCAATTAGAGACTGCTGCTGGTCCATATCGGATTGTAGTGAGTCCATTATGTAGCCAAACAGCTCACGAGCGAGCTTGACTGGTAGCTTGACAATAGGAGTCATATCTAGAAAAGGAAAAAAAATATTATATTATTTTTCTCAATGCCAATTCAATCCTACCCTTACCAATTGATTTTTTTTTTATTTCATAAGCCCGACAATAATAAAAACTACATCTAAAGACATCAAAAGAGTACAATTAATTTTACAATGGGATAAGATGTTCAGGAATACTTGCATTATTGTCATGCCAAGATGGTGATGTTTCGCTACAATGAATAATTAATTTTATACTGCTAATGAGTGATGATTTGTTTTAAACTGGCCAAAAAAAGATAAAATAATTTTGAAGTTAAATGCACAATGTTGGAAATAGTTCTAATTTCACACATTCTTTCACAACAATCAATTAGTAAAACATAACATATTTAGAGTTTTCATAAACAAACACCATCTTACCTGCGATTTTGGGTAATGACGATGAACCGAATTTCTGTTGCAACTGGAGAATCAAGTCATTGTTCATGACCAAGTCCATGGTGTCGTCTTCAGTTTCAACTTCACAACCACTGCTGCTGCTCTCTTCTTCAACCTCATCAACCTCGTCTTCAGTTTTGCATCCGTTTTGTGAGCCATCAGCTGTTTCTGGTCTGTCGACGATCATTTCGTCATGTGCTGGACTCTTTTCTATCAACTGAACATACTCTGGGTGTTTGCGTTTCACAACTTTTAAAACCTTGTCAGAATAATGTGACCGATCAAATACCACTGAGCTTTCAAGTTGCTTCTTCAATTCTGTAAGTTCACTGAATGGGATTTTGGGTTCTTGTTTAGGACTTTTGATTTGGTAATTTTCACAAGGTGTTTCAACACATTCTACTTCATCATTTGAACTGTCTGAATCGTCAGATTCAATACTCATAGGTGCAATATTGTGTTCTGAATCCAACAAGACGTCTACAGCCCAGTCCATATCTCCTTGACATTTTTTTACCACATCTAAAATGTATTTCTGTGGTATTTTCGGGAACAAATGTTCAATCTGAGTTGTATCATAACTGCAAAGAGGTGCCAGTGACTCTTCAATTGTCATCGTGCTTTTGTCAAGAAACAGTGTTTCTGCCATGCTCTGTTTCACGTTAGGAACATTCTCACAAAAGAAATTGTTAATATTACCTATCAAAATCTTTACACCACCCACATTATCTTCGTTAACAAGGTTGAAATCGAGGTAGTTGGTGTTTGTTGATGAATCTACTACTTCCTTGTAGATCTTGCAACGTTGGGGACTGAATCTCTGAGGAAGAGGCGAACCTTCATTGTTTAGATTACTACAATCATCAACTGGCTTTTCGGAGACCCAAGTATCTGCTGGGTTGGAAACAGTATTCCAATTTCCAAAGTATTTTGAGAAATCGTTTTCAACAAACTGATGGTCAGCTGCGTTAATCAAGAGTTTAGGTCTTCTAAGATTACGAGCTGGTTTTGGCTGTGCCTTTTCATTGACATTAATCTCATTTGAACCTGCATTCTCCTTTGGTTCCCAATCAACTAACGGATCACACGAAGCAGATATGAAGGGATTTTCAATGGTTGCAGGGATCACATTAGATTCAGAAATATTTTGTGATTTAGTGTCCCCGAGACTACTTAAGGTGGTACTGTCATAATTGCAAGAATTAACAGTTGTTGTTGATGAAGTGCATATCATGTCTTTCATGACCTCAAGCAGATTAGGATTATCATTAACTCTTGTGTTTTCTGTCTTTTCACTTTCCATTTCCTTCAAGTATATTTTGGCTGGTTCTGAATCTAAGTTCTCGTTGTTGTCTGGAATGTCTGAATGAATGTTGAGGCCTAATTGTTTAGCAAGCTCCGACTGAAAAATGTTGCTGTCTCCAGGAGTATCATTCAAGCAGTTAGAAAATGTTGGATCTTTTTGGTTAGAGCTAAAAGCAATATCACAAGAGTAATTTTCAATTGTTGTGCCATCACTTTCATAAACCTCTTCTGAATTTATGTTTACATTATGACCTTGATACTCTATTGCCGAATTTATCTCACTGGTAACATTACTGGATCCTAAATTATGTTTTATAGTGACTGGTAAACCAATAGGGATTGAATTGGTTCTTTGGTATGTAAATGTTTCATCATAATTTACCACAACATAATCCCACATAAACCCTTCCTCCTCTGCCTGATCCACCATGTCAGAGTTGGTGATGCTACTGGACAAGTTGAAAGTTTTCTCATCATCCAGCCCAACTGCCTTGTCTATGATTGACTCTATCAAGCCTTGTGCAACATTTATGTTTTCCTGGGAGCTTGAATTACTTTTTTCTACAAAGTCATAGGCTGCACAAGACTCTGTGTGTTGGCTGTGTGGCATAAACGTTTCTTTCTCATTCCCCTTGGGATGTTCATCATATTTTTCAGTTTCACTCACTACTTGACCTTGGGATTGTTTAAGAGGAGAAGAGGTTGGTCTATTCAAAGCCTCTAGTAGTTTTTTGGTTTCAGCCATGAGATCAAAGTTGTCTTTTCCTTGGTGAAAAATGTTGCTTGGAAAAGTGCCATTGGTCTGTTGTGGAGGTTTGACTGAATCATGTGAAGTATTTGAAAACCCACTAAGTGATTTCAAAAAACCGTTTGAATTTGTGACTAGATCATTAAACAGAGTGTTGGTATCAGATTCGTCAAGGGACAAACCTTTGCTAGAATCACCATTCTTAGTACTAGAAGAAACTTGAGCGACCTTTTTAGTCGCTACTCCATTTGAAAAGATTGTACTTCCCTCTTTAACAGCCTCAGTAGTGTTTACTGGAGGGGGAAAAGAAAAATTTGGAAAGCTACTTTGCTGAACAGCAAAATCATTTCCAAATTGTGAAAACCCGGGTGAATTTAGATGAATTGATTGAAACATTGTGTTAATATTTTCAAAATTTTGAGGCTGTGGACTAAAATCAATTTTCTTTTTCTTTGGTTTATTATTCCTCTGATTGCTTAATTTGTCTCTCCACTTACAATTACGGGTCGGCTGGGGTGGCATTTTTAACAAAGGGTATTTCAATTCAAACTGCCTGATAAGTGAATCGGGTGTGATATTCTTTTCGTATCTTTCCAACATTTGTCTGATCTTTGCTTTTGACACGGAGTGAATGTTCCTCTTTTCCAACTCACTTGCAGATCCCTTGCGGAACCACCAAGTGTCAGGTTCCAGTATTTCAAGGTCATAACCGGCCGACACAGCCATATCAGCGTAGGCCCTCATCTCCCATGCCTGAGTATTGGTATTGTCTACTATCACAGGACTAACCTCTTCTCGGATCGCTGCGGCCACATTTCGTTGGTTTGTCGAGTGCGCCTGACTCAACAGTTCGGGGACAAACATGTAAACTCTATTTCGTACGAAGAAGTCATCTGTGCTGAAAATGTGTCTTTTATGAGTCGGTGGCTCTATTCCACTCTCCAGGAGAAGCCTTTTAGCCAATGAAGATTTACCAGATCCTGGGGGTCCTCTAAGTATTATCATCACTTTCACGCCATCTTTTACAAGCATTACAGCTCTATCAAAAGGAGACCTTGTAGTTTTGATAAAATTATACTGCTCGATAAACGGTTGAAGTTGCAGCTGGTTTAGCTTTTTTGTTTCGGATGTTTTATTGTGAAAAGGCTTTTCAGGAGTTTGTTTTCTAGGTTTGGACTGTGGACTGTCTTGTGGATATGCGGACATTTTGCCCAAATTGTACGGTTGAAAAGATTTAAGTTTATCGAATGGCACATTCTTCTCTTGAAGAGCCACACTTGTATTCCTTTTAGTTTTCGTTTGGTTGGAGGCGTTGAGCGTTTTGTTAACATTTTGAGTTGAACTCGGTTGAGAAGTATTGGTCATCATCATTATGTCTTCAAGAGCTGCATCCACTGAAAAAAATTTACTATTAAATAAATTTTGTAAATGACTAAAAATAATAAAATTAAGAGATAAATTTTGGCTTTAGCCAAATTGCAAAAAAATATATGTTTATATCTGTATACCGTAGTCAGATATATCACTATGTTTAAAGTCACTTTAAAGCTTATGATCTAGCAGAGAGACAAATGTTAACTAAGAAGATAATATCATTTAGGGGCTTCTCCCAAGCATTCTATTTATTTCTAGAGTTCACTTTCAAAGATACAAACTAGGCCTATTTTTCCTTATAGCAGTTTGAAATATGAATTGTAATTTAATAACAGCTGATCCTTCGGTTGAATAGTTAACCAAAGTCAAATTGTTAACAAGAAAAGAAGGAGGTTAAGCAACTGGATTTTAAATAACCTAAGCTGATTTCAGTGATAATTGTAGCCTGATTGCGGTAGTTAAATAACTCTTTATAGTTTAGCTGATACATATACAATGAACATTTTTAATCCATATCATTATATGAAAATCGAATGGTGTCTGTCTGTATGACTGCATCTTTGAAAGTGAACTCAAGAGTGAAAGTGAAGAAATAAATAGAACGCAAGAGCTATTAATTTGTTGTATGTATTAACGTTATTGTGAGAGATGATGATAGCTCGACTGCTGGAGATTTCCACTATTTGAAGACAATGACAATTTCTCAGCGACTGTGAGGGATGTATTTTGACGCAAATTCTGGGAAGATGTCTACACTATTGGGGGATGTCCAAAAATGTTAAGGGGATTGAGGAAAATGACCACGATCACAGAAAACTATGATAATATTATCCTGACTGATCAAGATATTCAGGGTTTTGCCACAACAGTGGCAGATGATGTTTGTTTCCATTACCGCAGAATATATTAAAGATTTTACCACTATCGTGGAAGAAGATTATGTTTCCAGGACTTCAGGATATGGTCACAATATTACCGAAATTACGGTCATGAGAACATTGTGTGATGCAAATTAATACCAATTTATTATCAGGTATAAGTAGGTACTAATTTAGATGCCCAAATATTTTAAGTAGTGGATGTTTGTAAAATAATCAGGTAAGATTAGTTCAATTAGAGTAAGATTTACAAGGTTTACACTACCTGTTGTGTCAATTTATCCTTGTATTTAAAAAAAACTTCAGCTGTTTCAAGCTGCTATACGAGCACATCTTCAGGTTAGAACGTTAAAACAGTTTTCTCATCCGTGAATGAGGTCGTCAGCATTTCTAGATTGCACATTTAGGACACATGACACAAACACATACAAAACGACATTTAAGTATTTACAATTAAAAACTTGGCAATGTAGTCCAAAAATGTGCGTAACCGGTTGATGATGGGTCATGACTGACCCGTGTTGGGAGTGGCGACCCCCTCACCTTCACTCTCCATGTCTTGACTTTGGTTAAGAATGTGGATAGCCGTATTATCAATGATATATGAATTTAAGGACAACTGTTCATTTAATAAATGATCAGGGGGTTGATTTGATGCTCTGTAAATCTCAAATTCCTCTATAGTATCCATTTACCTCCCTTTATTGCACAGATGCATGATTTTTAAGTTATTGTGTAGGTTGGTGTGATTATGGTTTGAATTAATGAGGTGTTTAACAAAAGAAGATTTGGAATTTTTCCTTGACAGATGTTCTTTAAACCTTGTAGTGAAAGAAAGGTCAGTTTGTCCGATGTGAAAACTCGGGAAATCTTCGCATTTCAATTTCATTGCAGTTTACTTTGTCAAGCGTCCTCTTTGTTCTTTCCAAAGGAGAAAAGAGAGTTTGTTGGGTGTTTTATAAGCGACTTGTACTTGATGTTTTGCCATTTCTTTCCTCAAGGTGTTGTTAAGTACAACTCTTTATTCTGTGCAGACATATTTCTTGGGGTCTTTTTCTTGGCTTTCTTTTATTTTATTTTTCTGTTTGTTTATAAGTTTGTGTTTGTCTGCAAGTTGGCCACATTCTCAAAACAAACCAAAGTCAAGACATGGAGAGCGAAGGGTCAGTCATGACTCATCATCAACCAGTTACGCACCTAGTGTTCAGACTACTTGGCCAAGTTTTTATTGTAAATTACTTTAATCTTGTTTTGAATGAGTTTCATGTTATGTGTCCTAAATGTGTAATGTACAAATGCTGACAGCCTCATTCATGGATGAGAAAACTGTATTAACGTTCTAACCTGAAGATGCCCTCGTATAGCTTCACGAAACATCTCTCCCATGGGAAAAAGTACACATGCCCCAAACAGGTTTTAACACAGGAGGGTAAGTGAACGCGCCCCCCCCCCCTAAATTCCCATAATTGACTTTTTAGGGCTATAACAATGTTATTTATGAATTTCCCTTAAACAGAATAAGTAAGATTACCAAATTTTATATATCTAGTTATACTTGCGCTTTATTTTTAGTAATTTTTTTTTTGAGGGACACCTGTATTTTGAATAGAAACGCAAGATGTTTTTAAACACGTCTAAGCTAATAGAAATAGTAACAAGAGGATTTTATACTGATTAGGCCTATAATTTAAAGTTTTAGACGCCATTTTTATTCAAAAGACAATTCAAAACACTATTTCCAACCTGGATCCTCACTCCTTGGAACAAAAAATAAAAGTTTATGTAAACCAATTTCAATCCATGGGGAAGGACCCACTCATATAATTTACCCCACTTAATGTGTTAAAGTCATTTAGGTTAGCCTTATAATAATTCTTTTTCAGAATTAAAAATGGAGTTAAGTTGAAAACGTAGCATTTTAGAGCCGCGTAGCACAAAGTACTTGAACAGAATTACCAACATTACCAAACCTAGCCTATCAGTTATAACAGTGGAGTAATTAGCTGGGTTGTTTGCAAACCCTAACTTGAAGTGGAAGATATTCTTTTAAGTTAAAGATTAAATTTATTCTTACCATCCCAGTTGCGATTTTGTAGCACCATCTGAATGATTTCCGGTTCTACAATGTCGACAAACATGTCCACCAACATTAAATAAGTGCTTTCCCTCTCTTGGGGTGAAAGAGTGGGCCGAACAGGAGCCACTGGCGGCCAGTCAGCCATCTTCTTTTTGTTTCTCCCCTCAGCAGTCCTGCAAATACACATCTTTGGGTTTGCACGTCCAATAATAACAGTCAATTAAGTTACCCTGACCCAAAAATTGTTACTTATGTTTTTAATTAGGCTATTGAGAGTGTTCATTGTAAGTTAAACCTTGCTAAAAGACAATTGAAAAGTTCAGAAAAAATAAAATTGGGCTCTTGGTAATTATTCCGTATAGGTGCCTCCAAACGAATTTTTAATTTTGATATCTTACTTTATAGTTTTTTACCTCCTGAATCCAAATATACCATTATTTTTCACAGCTGATGAATATTTCTCAAGATATCGCCGTAATAATATACAACATTACAATAAACAAGGTAGGATGGATGACATTTACAAGTGGAATGAACTATGGGTTAAGTAAACCAACAGCTGATGGTTTTCAATCATAGTCAAGCAAATGGAATTGACAACTTTTAATTGCTAACTCTGATTCTGCAATATGAAAATCACATGATTAAGTTACACTTTTCACTTCCTAAGACCAATAAGTTAATAATGTATTATTGTTACCAGTATTTTATCCTTATTAATGATTTATTGATTTATATTTTGCCATTTAGAAATTACATAATAAAATGGTGCTATTCTAACATAACCTAACCTAACCAAACCTCTAGAATGTGTAAGCAATCTCCTTTTGATGTCAGAAAAGGCATGTCAGGGTGATAGGTCGTGCTGTATGTGATTTGGTGACTGCATTAAGTCCTTTGAAGGTAGGTTAGATTAGGTAAGTTAAAGTTTAGGTTATAATGTATCAAGTTGTTAGTTTATGTCGCCTGCAGACTGTTTTTTGTAAAATTAAAATCCAGAAAAAACACTTCAAATTACATTTCAAAAATGCAAGCATTTTAAAAAAAGTAATTTGAAGTGTTTTTCTCAGGATTTTAATTTTACAAAAAACAGTCTGCAGGCAACATTAAACTAACAACTCGATACATTATAACCTAAACTTTACCTTCCTAATCTAACCTAACTTCAAAACACTTAATGCAGTCACCAAATCACATACAGCACGACCTACCACCCTGACATGCCTAAATAAGAACTACATGTAATTAGTCCATCTATATCTCCATAATGTGACGAAATTCCTAATATAGAGAACATTAAGTTATTTGACTACAGAATCACTTGAAAAGGTAACCATTCTATCTTGTTTATTGTAATGTTAAGTATGTTTTTCCGGCGATATCTTGAGAAATATTCATCAGCGGTGAAAAATAATGGTATATTTGGATTCAGGAGGTAAAAAACTATAAAGTAAGATATCAAAATTAAAAATTCGTTTGGAGGCACCTATACGGAATAAATACCGGGCTCTTTTTCTCTAGGCCTATACAGTAGGCTAAATATACCCTGATTGAACCCGTACCCATAGATTTATTTTAATCTATAACAAAGTTACATCCTGATCATTTGATTAAGGACCTCCATTGAAGAGAATCATCATTATTGTAGTCTACCAAGTTTACAGCTGGTTGCAATTAGGCCTATTTAAAAATAAATTATCAATCTCCCTTACATTTACATATGACTGATACATTACTTTACTTAAGTTGTATGGTTGTTGATTAATTTAGCTTTTGAAATCATAAGTTCTTGAAAAAAATAACAGTACTTTGTGAGCCATCATAGGATAGCTAATAATTATTTTAGAAACGTATTGTAAGGAGGGTTAAATTCCAAGGCTGAAAGATAGTGCAATTTAAATTAAACCAGAACATTTTGAGGTTACCTAAAAGGTACTACAGTAGTAAATGATAAGCTAAAATATCAATCGAAGAATAGGTTCACCTCACCACAATAGCTCAGCAAAAATATAGCTTTTAGCATACCTTAAATCTTGACGACAAGAACAAGTCGTGGTTGTTGAATGTTTAGGTAATCTTTAATAACATCAACGTGACATGACCTAGAAATGGGAAAGGCCAGCCAACTGACAAGACAGTCACCTGTTATGTTATGAGTAAGAGTATAAGTTGTTTGTTGTTTCTAATTTCGCAGCTTGTGTAGATGCATTCCTTCTACAAACAGCAATAAAGCAATTACGTGGTTAACTGTGCTCATTGATTATAAAAACACTATAGTGACTATAGAAGCATTCTTTGAATTTGGTTAAAATGTAGACCCACAGCCACCTAGACCAATGGTGGAAGGAAAAACGTGAGCACGAAATAGTGAGCGCGTAACATGCAGGCAACGTCGTATGCGCGCGAAGTACGTTGGCAGCACTGGCTGTAAATCAGCTGGTCAGCGCTGTTGAACTGTTGTATTCACTTCACATTAAATAAATTTAAATGTTATATTAAAAGTTTACTTCTGTGTAAAAATAGGTTATGTTTCTTCACCAATTTATTTGTTTTATGGTAACATGTCGGAAAAGTACTTATAATGTCCAACTCGAGTTCAAAGTACAATTGCCTCACTCGAGAAACCATTCTTCACTCGCCTACGGCTCGTGAGTAAGGATTTCTCTCGAGTGAGTCAATTGCTCACTTTTCTCACTAGTTGCACAGATAATATTGTTGATGTTGCCTGAGTTCTCAAAGGTAAAAACTCAGGTACCAACTGCAAAGGCAAAGCTTAATAATAATTCAAGTTCTTCAAACTGGTATGAAAAATAATATTTAAAATCCAGTAACGACGAGGAATAATATAGGTTTTACAGAAATCATGTTCTATAAAACATTTTGGGAAATAACGAGATGTTGCTTCGTCCTACATACGGGAATTGAGTAGTTAATTTTAAAACTGAATAAAATTGAGAACAGCTAGTATAGAACACTAACACACATAAGGACAAACTATTCTGGCAGTTTTAATAACAATTATAATAATAAAACATTTTCAATAACACATTTTAATACCAAGTTTGTCAAGTTACAATAACTTTGAACCATAATTTGTATAGCAATAGAGACTAGAGAGTGTACAATTTGTTTAGAGTTAATAGGACTGTAACACACTAAAATCTTTACCAAAACCGAGATTTTCCGTCATTTTCTTTTTTTTTATAGATCAATACAGTAATAAATAAAAATACCCCCGTCGCAGCAAACCTGCATACTAAGCGAATTTCCATTTACCCGGCTTGATTTCTACTAAAATATTCCCTATAAATTTTCATATTTATTTCCTATTTAAATAACATTAATAGTAGTTAGGTTAGTAGGTAGGTTGGTAGGTAGGTGTGGTTAGGTTAGGGTGAGTAGTTAGGTTTGCTGCTACGGGGAAGATGTTGAGGTGTGTTTTTTTTTTATTGAAATATTGATAGCTTAGTATGAAATAAACCAAATTGTCAAATTTGATTAAAAGATATCCATAAACAAGCAAACTAGAACAGTTTATTTATTCTCCATAAGAATAACATGGGAATTTTAAATTTACAATTTTTTTAATTTTCTCCGTAGTCAATGAACATTCAAAAACACTTCAATATACTAAATTATTTGTTTTTTTAAGCTCTTTAAAATGGTCTAGAGAGAAATTTAGAAATTTAAAGTTTTTAGGGTCAAAAATGAAAAAAACCCATTTTTACCCCATAAAACCCCCCATAAACCCCTGATCCCATGGTCCGATTATGCTGGTTCGCGAACTCGTTCGAATAAATGTAGGTTTACACGTTTGTACCAAATTTCATCAAAATCGGATCAATTTTCCTCGAGTTATCGCGCTAACGGACACATATATAAATATATATATATATATATATATATATATATGAATTTGAACGGATGGTGTTTTTGGCCTCTGGGGACCTCAAAACGAAAAAGTAAATCGGTCCCGGGTCTAGGTCTTACCATGAGACCTACGGTAATAGCTTATTCCCTATATGGGAAATTCGCTAAAAAATAAAAAATAAACACCTGAAAATACCATAAATGTCCCTGTTTTGAAGATGGACGGGAAGAATGTGTGTAGGGTCAGTCCAAGGCCCCACTAGAAAAACAGGCCATGCTGCAGGATCCATGACGTCTATGACGTCCATGACGTCACTAGTGGATAGATTTCATTGATAAATTCATTGCCATCGCCATTCCTATATGTTTTAGGTAAGGCCCGTATTACACTATCATAGTTCTATGACATACATCTATTATCATATGTCTTTGATGAAAATTATTACAGTGTAATGTACCAACTATTATAATGGTTTTGAACTATGATAATATGTTCTCCTTGAGAGAACATATTATCATATATTTGATAATATAATATGTCATAGAACTATGATAGTGTAATACCGGCCTAATAGCTATTTACATTACAAGTGTAGTAAGAGCGTTTTGCGTTTTTACATCACGCAGGTGAATGTTGTGCAACGAGCGGGAAGCGAGTTGCATAATTTTCCTAAGTGATGTAAACAAGCCCTTGCGTACGTAACGTGTAACGTACGAGATTTTACCTGACCCAACAATATACAGGAGGTTTTGAACAATATTTTTCATTATCTATTTCACTCATCTTCTAGTAACGTTCATTTACCAACAAAAGCTAAGTTAGGAAAATTCTTCAAAGCATAACAATAAAATTCAAGCACACAGCTGATTTCTAGCGTTGAACCACGTTGAACGTCGTTGTCGTTGGCTCCGTAGAGTTATATTTTTTAAGTCAACCACTCAATGTTATTTAAATGAGTTTCATTACCTCATAACGAGTGAGTTTTTTCAACTTAACATCACTCGTGAAGTAAAGAAGTTGTATACGTCACGTTTGGGATAGGGAAGTTTAACATGGCAGGTTAGGTAAATAAACAAGCTCTGGCTGTTTGTACAATTTTAATGGTAAGAGTTTAGTACAACTGTGACGTAATGTTGCGCTGCCTGTGCTGCAGCATGGCCTGTTTTTCTAGTGGGGCCTTAGTCAGTCCCGTCGCATGTGTGAATTGGAAAAACAAGAATAAAAGGACATGTTATGTTTATAGTGAAACTTAAAAAATAATAGCAACGAACTATAGGTCCGTCCTACGTATTGGAATCGAGTAGTCCATTAAAATGGTATATAGTGTGTAGTGTGTCTATTACCAAAGATTACATATGCTACGCAAAATCATTTTGCGTAGCATATGTAATCTTTGCTATTACTAATTCAAACATAGTTTAAGCAGTTCAAAATTTATAGTAAAGAAAAAGCTTCCAGGATGAATTAAAACATGTGATCATTGTTTTTTCCAACCTTTCCTCAAAAAGTTGAGTAGTAAAATAATTTTCATAAGCTTTCTTTTGAAGATTTGTGAGCTTAGATTCGTAGTAGCATTGAGTATAAGTTAGGTTTACCTAAGTTACCTAAGTTAGGTTTATACTCAATGGTAGTAGCAACTGGCGTACAGTAATACTACTAATTTAAGTAATAAAGTTCTGAAGCTCAATAAATGAGTGCATTTATGAAATTTGAGGGAATAAAGCAATACAGAGTATTATGAGGATTATTAAAAGCATTATTAAAGGATTTTGAGTCAACAACAACCATAAATAGCCTATTTTTTATACATATCTCATCAGCGGTCATCGATAGCTTCAGCAGTTTCTCGTTAGGCTGTCTAGTGCCTACCGTTGTTCTTTTGCTTTTTCAAAATTTGGCTTGGGGTTATGTTTGGGGGAACTGGTGAAAAATACGATGGGCGGTTATTTCTGATTCGTAATTCGTATTTCAATTTAATATTTTGTGACAGTAGTGTTATCTATACATGTTGTTGACTATTGTTTTCGGCTGACTGCAATTAACTTGACAGTAAGTTATCCATTCGGATTTTAACAAATTACAGGAATATTGTGTAGGTAATGATAATTAGTAATAATAATAAAGCCTCAAGAGCTCCATCGCTTTCAACTCCTAAGTTTAGTAACTCCCTTACTCTTGTTCGCTTGGTTCAAAAATAGGCTATGTATATTAGCATTTCTTTCAACCGTTGTGCAATGAAAATTTATAATTTTCATTATATATATAGATAGTATATCCAAGTAATAATAGCAATACAATAGGCCTATAAGTTCTTAAATAAGTTAAGCTAACAACAACATCAAAGCAAATCATGCACAAAACTAACAAAAAACATGCAGTAACTTGACCTTTAAGGAAGAACTTTCAGTTAACTCTGCTAAATGTTTTGTTTAGCAAATTTTTTAGGTTGTGTAATCTTCTGTTTCTGATAAAGTGCTGTATATTTAGGCCTAATTGGAGTTAAATCGTTGTTTTAGCCTTTTAGCGCATTTCCCATATAGGGAATAAGCTATTACCGTAATGGGTACTCATGGTAAGACCTGGATCCGGAACCAATTTACTTTTTCGTTTTGAGGTCCCTAGAGGCCAAAAACACCATCCTTTCAAATTCATATTAACGGCTGCACTTTACTTTAGGTCCTACACAAACAACCGAATGAAAATATCGATTATTCGATTGTTTCATTCGATATATTCATTCGAATGAGTGTAGGACCTAAAGTAAAGTGCAGCCATATTAACTTATAAGTTATATAGGCTATACATATATTTATTTATATAACTTATGTATAGGCCTATTTATATATATATATATATATAAATATGTCCGTTACCATGCTAACTCGAGCAAAAATGATCCAATTTTGATGAAATTTGGTATGAACATATAGGGCCTAAACCTACATTTATTGTCCTGGAACGAGTTCGCGAACCAGCATGATCGGACTTTGGAAACAGGGGCTTACGGGGTAAAAATGGGTTTTTCTCATTTTTCACCCTGAAAACATGAAATTTTGCAATTTCTGACTACCTACTATGTTTATATTGAAGCATTGTTGTATGCCTAACGGTTACACGAAAAATCCCAAAAAAGTGTAAATTTAAAATTAGGCCTAGGCCTACTGTTATTCTTAGGCCTATGGAATAAATAAACTGTTGTAGGACATATTTTTATGAAATTTTTTAATTACTTTCATACTAAGCAAAAAAAAACCCCTACTTATTTTCCCTATTCATAAACCCCCCTAATTTTCTTCCCTGTAGCAGCAAACCTAACTTAAGTGCTCATTAAAATTAATGATATTTAAATAGGAAATAAATCCGACAATTTTAAGGGAATAATTTAGTGGAATTCCAGTCAGGTAGATGAAAATTTGCCTAGTCTGCAGGTTTGCTGAGGCGGGGGTATTTTAAGTTAAGCTCTCTCTCAAAGTACTTAATGCTTTTTACCATGCGTTTGGTATTCTGGGTTATAGTATTAATGTTTACTGTGGTTTAGTTTAGAATAGTTTTAATTTATAATCAGCTGGTAGTTAATGTATTTATAGTAAAATGTAGGACGTAAGTAGGCCTAAACTAAAGTGCAACCTAAGTTATATGTGTGAGATTGACCTGGCATGCTAAGTTAGTCGCGCCATTGAACAGTGTTGAGCTATAATCAGTTGCCTAGCTAGGCCTTGCCCTACCACACGTCATGTTAATTTAATCCAGGTTGTCTTTTAGAAATTCCCCAAAATATCATGTCTTAAGTTTCGGGTGGCGTCGTCCTGTAATCCAGCTACTAGGATTTCACGAATTGTGGATATTTATAGGCATGCACTGTGGATGCAATACTCCCTGGTGTGGATTAACGTCCTCACGAGTGAGTACTACGACTATCCACAGTACTATCCTGGTAATTAGACCAATTCGTATAGCCTACCAAGGCGAAAAATGTGGTTCGGATTCCACTATAAACTGTAGGTCCCTTAGTTGCCATTAGCTGTATGTGCTATTAATTAACAGCTGTGTCTAAGGAATGTCGGCCTCAGTCACTAACAAGACTACAAGATCGCGCCACTCATCCCCATTCATACTTGGCTTAAAATACCTACTATGTATGGTCGCCATTTCATAAAAAAGTATTAAAGTAAAGTATTAAAGTATTATTCATGTTTAGGCCTACTAACCCTTTGAGTGCCTCGAGCGGGTGAAACAATTTTATCTGAGGTTTGCCTGACCTACATGTGGTATTGCTTACAACTCGGAATGCCAGCAATCTCTCCACATAAATGTAGGTGTTTAGGAAAATCGTCATAAAATACTAATTCATTAACATTTTTGGCCTAGAAATTTGTTTTGTTTTGTAGATCATGATTAGACTGTACATTGTAAAATAGGCTACTAATTTTAGTTGGGGATTCATTCAAATTAAAATAAAAAATATATTCATGGACAAGACAGAAAAATGGTGCAATTTATTCTCATTTTTAAAGTTTGAGTTAAAATAACATAATTTAAAATTATTCATTTACATTCAATTTTACATTTTTCATTTTAAATAGCATTGAAAACTAAGAGAAATCATGTAGGCCTATGACAAATGTATTTATTTTATGTCTTCTGTATCCAATAGTCAATGATTTCATGTTGTTATTATTAGCCTATGTTAATAATTCAAATTACTATTAAAATACTATTAGAAGCCATAACTTATGCGCACAAAATATACAATTTGCAGCCAGCTTTATTGAAATGCGATACTACCATATATGAAGTGATTTTCTAAACGGCTCGCTCCGAGACGCTGGCATTTCTCGTGCAATCTCGACCGTCTCGCTACAAGACGTTCGGTACTCAAACTACGACAATGGTGCGTCTCGGAGCGAGACACGAGACGCGACGGCACTCAAAGGGCTAAGTTATGTAGGTAACTTACCAGTGTCTTATTTTGCTTTATGGCATTACTCAGAAGGTTAGGTTAACTTTAATTCACTGTAACCTAAGCTTTTATGACATAGGTAAGTTAAATGTTTTTAGATATTTAAAACAATCACCAACGTCTTGAAACTAAGGTCTAGGCCTAACTTAAGCTACTTAAAGTAAAAACAAAATGTACTTAGGGTGTCTAAATGTACTGTGTAAGTTGATTCTCCTGCCAAAAAAGGCCACAGCTTTTATTTTAAGTAAATATCATATAAGTTATTAAGTTACTGGGGTATTAGACTAAAGCTCTTTGCCTATTGTGTAAAAAGAAAGGCATAAGTTAGGCCTACTCCAGTTCATAGATCTAAAAGTACATTTGTTTACAGGTGATTCTAAAAGATTGCTGAATGATGACTACTAGGCATACTACAGACAGGTCTTTGGTATCTCGTTTAGACGAGATTCGGAGACTTTCAGCTGCCTTAAACCAGTCTCCACTGGAAGGTGAGCTTAATACCGACAAATGCTTTAAAGTCAAATTAACTTACGTAAAAAGGTTTATCTTTAATTGTTCGAAAAGTAACCTAATAGAATGATATATGAAAAAGAACATACCAAATTTAGTTTTGAAACTAGCCTAACTTTTAAGGTTTATCTTTCAAAACCAAGCCAGATCATTAGTAGAGTTTAGATTACCTAATGTGGATTAACCTATTGCAAATTAATGCCTTTAACATTTATTTTATTGTACAGTGGAGTCCCGATAATCCGAACTTCGGTAATCCGAAAGTCCGCTTAATCCGAAACCAAAAAATATATTTGTTTAATTTTTGTATTCAACTTTTAACAGTTTGCTGTACCTCTTCCAAATTATTCTGTAGCGGCCGGGCGAGATAGACTTGTTTTATAGAGTATTTTAGTAAATATTTTGCCATTTTTTTATTAACATTTTTCATTTTTGTCCTGGGTTCCAATCCCGCCAAATCACAAATGGATTTTATTTAAGTGATAATGCTGCAGCCCCCAGGTCTAGACTAAAGTAATGTGAAAAACAATCCCAGGCTCGTGCCTATAGCGTCTTAAAAAATAAAAATATTTTTATAAATAAAAAAAAATGTTTAATCCGAAATATTCGGTAATCCGAAATGGGTCCGGTCCCAACCATTTCGCACTAACGGGACTATACTGTATATAACTTAGCCTATATCCATTAGGCCTTGGACTTTAATTTTCTTAGGTAACTTAAGCTAGCTGAACTAACTTATCCTCTTCTAAAAAAAAACCCTTTACGGTTGAATTTTGGTTTTATAGATCTGATCACTTTGTCAAGTTTTGGTTGAAGGAAATGCACATTATAGGCCTACTTCATCCAACCACAAAAAAATGAAACTTACCTATAAAAAACTGAAGGACATCAAATGACATCCTAGTTGTGTCACAGAGATGTAAAACGCTTCAAATGAGTGTTTGTTTAGCTTATCAGTCTTCTGTGGTGATTCAAGTTGAGGATTGCATAAATTTGGACTATGAGTGTTCCCCTATAATCTAGCTGCTGGGGCTGATGATTGGACAACATTTACAGCATTAACTGAATAGGCATACACATCAATTATGTCTTATCTCCTAAGTTTGTGTTAGAAAGGATCAGAGTGGATGTGTTATGTTATATGTGTCTAGTCTAGGTCTATTCTTACTTAGTTGAATGGAAGCCAACAAGTTGAATAGTTTCTAATTAAATTACGTCAGATTTTCACAATAATTACTTTTACAATTTATACTTTTTATTATTAAAATTATTGGGCTCAAAAATAAAACTATGAAAATTAAACTTATCATAAACTAAAGAATTTATTTAATCATTACCTCAAAACTACCATTATTGGTAGTAGCTGTAGGTTAGGTTAATAGCTGTACAATGCTCAAGATCGTCGAATCTCTAAAACATACAATTATGTCCTGGGGTGATAAGTACCTAGGTAGGCCTAAATATTTTACTTTTTTTAAGTTATCTATACTTGTTAAAGATAAAACAACACACAAAGGTAGCGATAGACTGTAAGTTTTGCAGCAGAAGCTTTTCCAGGAAAATATAATTTTGTTCCCAGAGGAGATTTTTTAAGATTTAACTTTTGTCATATCCATGAATCTGTCTTAACAACATATGGTTTAGTTAGTACCTATGTATAATTTCAAATAATGATCAAGACAGATGTTTATTGTTTCAATGTTTATATTTCTTCTAGTTCATTACAAATTATTATACAAGGCAGTTCACTTCTTAGTTATTCAGCGAGCGCTCGCCCCTAGTCGAAAACTTGACCAAAAGTATGTATTGTGCAAACTTCTCTATTTTCATCCCACGCTGTAAATAAAACATGCGATTGGAATTTATAACTTATGTTTGGATTTTCTGTTTATATTTTGTTGTTATTTTTTCACCAGCATGGCAACCCATAAAACCCGTGTTAATTTTTTAAAATTTAAAATTCCTTATTTGTGCTTATTTTTGAGCCTATTTTAATTTATAAAGGGATTCTGCACATCTACAGGAATATATCTTTCATTTGGTACCAACCGCAAGTAATTCGGTCCCAGTAGTATGGTCAGGCAAGCTGTCATAGTTTTGCAAATGATTTTTAATGTGTAGAAGATAAAAATAGTTATCTTTTCAATTCGTGATTTAAACATTAAAAATACCAGACTACCAGTTCAAGTTACAACAATTTTCAATGCTGAAAAAGAATAATCTAATGTTGTAGGCCCGGCCTGCAATGTTTTTTTGTAACAAATACTGAATCATGTTAGCCTACAAGAAGTAAAACTCAAGTTTTTAAACTTAAATATCTTCTTTTCTAGAGTTCTTGCGCTTTGTCACCTCTCAAGAAGAGTGCCGTTTGAAGTGGTTTGAATGTATGCAAGAAAATAGAGCCCTAAAGAAATCACTAAATGAAGCAAAGAAGGAAATTAATAACCTTGACTCGAGGTTAACCACTGCTCGGAAGCTGTTGGACCAAGAAAAGAACATGAGGCACAAGGCAGAAGAAGAAAGAATGAAAACAGTAAGTGTAACTACAGTTCTGGTAGTAGTTAACTATATATTGGTCTTGAGCTTATCAGATTCTTTTTCTGTTGGTGTCTATGTCAGTGTAATTTTTAATGTTACAACAAAGGAACAAAGTGGTCTACACTCCACAAATTGTTATTGCCAAGTTGGGGATTGAACATATTACTATTGTTCCAAAGCCACTAGGCAAGCCACACCTATTTTTTTGTAGAATATTTAAATTTAAGGGTAGAGTTTATGTTACCGTATGTTAGGAAAATTTGCAAATAAGTTACAGTACTTAACTAGCCTACATAGAATTCTCTGCATAAAATGTTTTTAAACCATATATTGAGTCCCAGTAGGTAATTTTAAAACAGAATCAAAGTGTTTTATTAATGATTGGTTTATTCTTGAATTAATTGCATGTTTGACTGTGATGTTTGATAAATAGATCAAAGAACCAATTTATCATATTCTTTAACAAATTATGGTTTCTTTATTACAGGAGCGCCAACTGCAGACAGTGAGGACTTTTCTGTCTGACACTCGCAATCATCTGCACGATGAGACGAGAGAGAAGCTCAAGTTCCTAGACACCACCAGCAGGAGCCGCACAAGCTACGATTGTATGGATCGGCTGAGCGCTATTCATGAACTTGACTCGACAGGTATCTGCGGGAATTTAGGTTAAATAAAAATGTTCTGAATTGTATCCTTATGTGCTACAAACTGTTGCAAATTTTACTACTGTAGGTATGTAGAAAAATTGTGAGAAGCTGAAGAAAAATAAATTTGTTACTACTGTAAAACAAAGTAGGTCCTTTGTAAGTAGTTTTTGGCTTCTGAATGTTCTGAAATGAAAATGTTTAGAGGTCCCAGAGCAGACCTACTGTACCTACTGTTTTACGGTAAAGATTCCACTGTAATTGTCTATAGGAAAATTTGCTTAAAAATTTGAAACCTAATAACCTCATAATTTTTATAAAAATAAATCTTTGGACATTTTATATACAGGGTGTTTCAGTAAAGCGTAGCGGGCTATAGAGATTCAGATTCTACATGCAAAAATAAGTCGAAAATGTTGAATAACTTTTTTCCGATTTCCGCTTAGTTCAGCCGTAATCCGCCATTTTGTATTTTTTTGAAAATAATTAATTACTCAAAAACCCTTGGAGATATTTTTATGTAGCCTAACTTGGTATAAACTTTAAGTCTACAGGTATAAACATTCTCCGAAAATATCTTTGATCAGGCTCATTAAATTTCAAAATGGCGTCCATTTACATTTTTTTTAAGTAAAACTCAATGAAAACCGGCCATTAAAACAAAATTTTAAATGGCCGCTATTTTGAAACTAGATGAGCCTGATCAAAGATATTTTCGGAGAATGTTTATACCTGTACACATAAAGTTTATAACTAGTTTCATAAAAATATCTCCAAGGGTTTTTGAGTTATTAATTATTTTCAAAAAATACAAAATGGCGGATTACGGCCAAACTAAGCCGAAATCGAAAAAATGTTATTCCACATTTTCGACTTATTTTTGCATGTAGAATCTGAATCTGCATAGCCCGCTACGCTTTACTGAAACACCCTGTATAAATCCAAAGATTGAAATTAAATTCTCTAAAATAAAATATTACAATAAAATATTTCATACCTATCTTTAAAAAAAATTCAATAATGATGTTAGTAGTAGGCCTATCCCTAACTATTTCACCAGCAAACCAAACTTACCTTACCTTACCTCCTTTTCCATTGAAACCTCAAAAGGGTTTTGGCCTCGCCAACGATTCTTCTCCACTCTTCTCTATTCTCTGCTGCCTCAGGAGTAGTGCCCAACAGAGCCACATCCTTCAGGACCTGACTCCTCCATCGCAGTCTCGGCCTGCAGAGTGGTCTTCTGCCAGCAAACCTAAGCACTTGCTAAAATCTAATGTTATTCAAATGAACAATAAATACCTCTGGTTATGGAAGTATTTGAGTAAAAATTCAATCTGACCCACTGAAATTCTCCTAGTCTGCAGGTTTGCTGCGGCGGGGGTATTTTTAAATTGACAAGTCTTCCAGGGTATTATAAAAATAATATAATGAATTTGAGCGAGGCATTGAAATTTAAAAACAGTTCTGGGGGATGAAGTTTTACTCTGCGGTTGATTGCAGGGTCAATACTTTCCGACCTGAGCTTCTCTCGCTCAGAAGATGATTTGGACGTGGAGTCTGTGTTGCGCAAGAGAAGGAGTTACAAGAAGAGCCGCGTGTCAGGCTACGAGGAGGTGCCTTCTGCCAAGAGAAGGCGGTCCCACGTACTTGAGGTAAGTTAAAGAGAGTCTTATAAGAGAGACGTTATACTACTCGGTTATAAGTTGTTGATGTTTGTAAATATTGACCAAGCTTTTACTGAGTATTTTAACTTAGCAATTTGTCCAAGGTGCTAGATAATGCATAAAAAAATTAGATTAGTTAATATAACTAAACAATAATATCTACAACTGTACACCAAATCTATTTCTTAAAATAATCTACAGTGTTTTTGTTGAACACTAAGCATATATCACACATGAGATCCATGTGGTTTTTTGCCTCATTACATTCTTTTGGCCAAGCCGGGCCAGCCACCTGTGCCACAACAGACAGTCCCTGTTGCCTAGCTGCTTTTCCAATTAATTTGAATTTTTATGATGGTTTTGGTTTAATGGGTTGCGCAGTGAAAAGTGGTTTCACCGTATATAAGTAAAAGAATATAAGTAAGAGACATGTAACCGATTGAAAACTATTCTTGAAAAGGGTCTAGAGTTTAGTTAGCTTATCTTAATGTCCAAGATAGACCACATTGATTAATCTGACCATTGTCAGAGATGAAAAAAATTATAAAGCTAAGCCAGTATGTTACCTGTGTGAGACCGACACCAGGAATTGAGTCGGTTGATTCAGGATTGTAATGCAGTAGAACCCCCTTTTAACCGAAACCTGGGTTCCCCACCATCAGTCAATGTCACAATTGTGCTGTTAACGCATTGCAGTAGTATTACATAGGCTATTTTTAGCATATGACAGGTTAAACCAAAAATTGACTATATGAAACGGCTTTACCCTCTTTATTTCGGTTAATTGGGCTTTCTACTGTAGTTGCAAGCATTAGAATTTATTCACGTACAAATTTATAAATCATAGGCAAATAATAATTTATTTTAGTTAGTAAGACAACTTGGGATTGATAAAAATGAAGAAAAGTAATGTGTCCTAAATCCGATCCCTGAAGAACCCTGACAAACCAAAATAACCATAGGAAATCATGTCACAGATTTACAGATAATGTTATAGATTATGTTACAAACTGTGGGCACAAACAATGTTACATCCATTATTTGTTTGATTTCTGTATAGATGAATGGGCGAGACGGAGCAGAACGCATGGTGGCCACTACGACAGTGACGATGGAACATAACGGCTCACTACAGGCCAAGTCTCACATTGAGACAATCCCTGCACCACTGCTCAACCTCCCGACGGCTCCTTCACCCTCCCGCACTGGTCAGTAGTTGTAAACACTTAGACATCCACCTGATCATTTCCCTACATGCATCTCTATAGTGTTAACAACGATGTTCAATATTATAAATAAATGTAATGAAGAGAATGGCAGGATAAACTGCCAACAAAGTTGATAGGTGATCAACAAAAAGAGATAGATTGGGTCTAATTCTATTGTATCCATTGTCGTTTCGATTTCAAGATTCAATTTTCAAATGCATATCGCTTTTAAAAACTAAAGAGGGAAATCACTGAATGTGTATATTTATGTTGTCTGTCAACCACTTTGTTTGCTTTGTAGGATCCATGGAGTCAGTGGAGTCCGGCCTGTCTGTAGACAACAACACAGGATACACACAAGCCACTCCTCACCAGGTGGGAGTATTGCTGAGTGGCTCCAACAAGCTGACCACTCGTCGCCACAACCTGGTCAGCAAGACCATCATACGGCCAGAGGACTGTGACGTCTGTCAGAAAAGGTAATTAGTAGAGTTGTGTCAATACCATAACTGATTGATTGGATATCAAAAAGATAATGTTATCAGGCTGACATTTTCAATTAGCCCAAAAACCAGTTTCCGCCGTGGAGACATCATCATGGTCTTTTAGAATCACTGTGAAATCCTGAATATTTTCTCCAGTCACCAATACATCATGACTGACTACCGCGGTCAAGCTAAAATCCTTATTATCGCTCATTAGTAACAGAAACATCATCATCCCCTACCACACACTACCCTTGCGCATTTGGTCAGCTCGGTTTTTTGTATTAACGTCAGCAATCAATCTAACACGCTAAAGCTGCCCATATAACATGTGCCTTACACCTACAATATGGAGGTGTAAATTAACTTTCAACCTCTTATATCCATCTGTACAGGGTGTCCACCGACCGGGAAAACCGGGAATTATGCGTGAATTTTGTATTTTACCGGGAATTTTCCGTGGCCACGGGAGACGAGGATCTCTGAAAAATATCATAACTTTGTCACGACCACGAAAGACAGTGGTGATGATTCTGTTACTGAGTGAGATGTTCAGGATTTTTCAGTTATGGCAGAAAACGATGATGGTGTCTCTATGACAGTGTTAGATGGTGATGATATAACCTAGAGTTTGACTGGACCAAAAATTTCAAAATTGCACACTTCTAGAAAGTTTTTTTTTATATTTTGTAATATCTTCATTTACCTTTAACGTGGTATGTGTTTAGAAGGGTTTAAAATTTAAATTCGCTACATGAAATTTTAGTAATTTCTGCATTGATCATTTCTGTAGGTCACTTGAGAAACAACCTATAACTCCAAAATTACATACTATATGAAAGTACATAAAGACAGGGGTTGGTGTAGTAATCATTGCAGAAAATTTGGTAAAATTTAAATTATCAGTATTAAGAATCAAATTTTCAGGTGTCTAAAAAAATTTTAGTATCGACATATGACTATTTTTAAGAATTTATTGATAAATTGCAGGTTTAAGGATTAGTTTTTAATTTTCGGATTATTTAATCAGTAATATATAAAAATTGAATACTTGTGTCAGGCAATATTACAGTAATCATAAATATTATTTCTTGAAATAAGAATGCTCTTTCAGATAACTAAAATAGCGAGCTGTGTTAGAGCTAAAACAGCATTGCGAGAGTTTGCGCAAATCACGTTGGAAATTTTAGTATGAAAAGTATGAACTGAACTACCTGGATTTTTTTTACTCATGAATTACTCATGATTTTTTTCTGGTTGGCCTGGTGGACACCCTGGTGTACTTTACTTACCCCTTAAACCGGGTCTGGTATTGACACCTTTTCAAAAAAAAATTGTTTGGCTGGAACAAAAAATGGATAAAAAATCTGACAACAGAACACAATCCATAATTGTTAGTGTAGCTTTTCTTTCACATTGCTATCAGTTATTATGCCAGGACTAATATTCACATAGTGGTGGGAAGTGGCTTGAATAAGTAGGCCTAGTGGATGTAGCAATGAATAAAGTACTGGTGTTCGATTTAAACTATCTCGTTTAGCTGCAATGGGAATTTATGGTACACGCTTTAATGGGATACAGGTGTCCCTATCTCCGCAATGTTAATTTACTTGACTTTAAGATCTTTTTCTCTGAAACTAAGATTGGTATCTCTACAAATGTTTTTTTTTACTTGTCAAGTTTGTTCCTGGAGAACATTTTTTTATCTACAGAAAACCCTCGTTCGGGTATGATTAGTGACTAATTCTGTGTATGCCCAATGTAATATGGCAGCTGAGTTTGGAATTAAATTTGTATCATTTTAAAGTTTACCTCATCTTTGATCTAGTAACGTTGGTAATTGTAGGCTATGGTATTATATGTTTTAATTGGCTATGTTATAGGCTACTCAAGTTTAAAACGCTCTAGAGTAATAAGTTATTATTCTGTGGGTTTCTGTAGTAGTTGAATATGACACTATTATGTTTGTTTAACTTGGTACTGCCAATGTGTCATACAAGATCTGTAGCAATGTAACAGGATCAAATTGTGACATCTCTATATTTACTTCACCACAGGATCAATTTTTGACTTCTATTATGTTTTATGTTACCGCAGAATCAAGTTTGGCAACACTGTGATGAAGTGCCAAAACTGCAGATCCTCGTGTCACACTATCTGCAAGGATTTGTTGCCGCTACCCTGCATTGAACCGGGATCAACACCAATTTCACACAAGAACATGGTATAAACACTACTCTACACAAACTTGATGAATGGTTAAATCATGGTTACCTACTTAATTAGAAAATTAGAATTTTTCAATAGGTCTCTATAAAATAGCTCATACTGGTAATCTCAGTTTCTAACTTTATGTTGGACAATGGCTGGCTAAAAATTTGATAGCTCTACGCTCAGACTAGTGAAATATTAAACAAGGCATTTTTGACGCCTGCACAATGTTTGTAGTTTTATGAAAATAACCTCAAGAACTAAGTTTTTATACGTTTTAGCCATGCTTATCAATTGTCATTTTGTATGTGTAACATAAGGCTGTTGATATTTTCAACTCATTTGAGTTAATAGGCTGGAAGTTTTTTGAAACTATAACCGTTGTGCTTTGAACCAAATTTTGAATAGGTACTTTTTATTGTTTTAGTAATTAGTAATACTTGTTCAGGCTTCTTTGTGTTTGTTGGAATAAGTTTTTTGGTAAAATTATTGACTTTTGTCAAGTTTTAATTGTTGGGTTTCCATCCTATTAAATTTTGGATGGACCCCAAAGTTAAGATCAAGGTTTGTTCATGTTATGGAGTTATCTCTGAAGTTGACATTGATGACAGGGGGTGGTAGCTGATTACGCACCTTCTACACCGCCCATGGTGCCTGCACTGGTCGTACACTGCATCAAGGAGATAGAGACTCGAGGTCTCAACGAGCATGGCATATACAGAGTCCCAGGGTCCGACAGGGAGGTCAGGGCACTCAAGGTAATCACTTCTTTATGTATGTTTTCAAATTATTTTAGTCATATTTTCAATCCCAATTTTTTTCTATTTTCTTATCCATTCTGTAAGGTATTTAATACCTGTAATGAATACAAATGAAACAACTTGCAATTTTTTTTTTTTATACCTTAAGACCTACTAAAGTTGTTGGTAATTTATTAATGCCTTTTATTCTTGTGTAAATTTATTCAAACTTTATAGATGACATAGCCTATGTCATTGATATAGATTAGGCAAAAGGACAAGGCCTACTACTTTTTCTGCCTTAACTTAAGTATGAGATCGCTCCTGTATGAATTACCTTTCCCTTTTACCTTATGGAACTTATGGCTATTTTTTAAAGGAAAGCTAATTGGTAGTTTAAATTTTGTTATTGGATACAGTTCAGCTTGCTTATCTTCTGAGAAAATTAGAATCCAGGAGCCAATATGTTTTTTAAAGATCATAATAATAATACTGATATTTCCTTAAAATAGTTGTTACATTTTTTTTCTCTTGATAGTAGCATGTTTAACATGTCACTATGTCTTCCAGGAGAAGTTCATGAAGGGACGTGGTGTGCCGCGGCTCACGGAGCTGGACATCCATGTTATCTGCGGCTGTCTCAAGGACTTCCTGCGCAATCTGAAGGAGCCGCTGGTGACCCACGCACTGTGGTGGCAGTTCACTCGTGCGTCAGAGCTGCGAGACGTAGAGGAACGCAAGGCAGAGCTGTACCAAGCTGTATCACAGCTGCCACAAGCCAACCGCGACACTCTTGCCTACCTGATTTTGCACCTGCTGAGGTAGCCGTCCACACATTGTTATGTACTTATATTGTCAATACTTTGGTTCATCATAAAGTTTACTAAAATAATGTAAAGACTTATATATCGGTGGGGGGAAAGTTTTGTTTGACACATTCAAAGGATTAAATTTTAATATAATGTAGTTAGGGGTCCCCAAGCCAGACTCTTTACCTTGGGTCGAGTTTGACCTAGTCAAAAATGTTGGGCTTCAAGTCTTGGACAAACATCTGGTTGTTTTGGAAATTGTAATTCTTCAGTCGAGTTGTACAATATTTTACATGATCCCTCCCTTATCTGCGTGGAATTCCCGGTCGAGGCGAATTTGTGAACATCTCTGGACACAGCGAAATCATAAATATTCTGGTGAAATCTAAAATGTCCGTAAAATTTACGGCAACAACATTGTTTCTGACAATCACGGTAAAACCGTGAACATCACCTGCAATTGGGGCGTGATAGTGAATTTTTAATCGCACATCTTCGCAGATGCTTTCTGCAATGACAAAAATAGATAACTCCGCTCGAACTAACCTGAATTATTTCAGGCCTAATCTGACCTCTCATAGCCAAAATTCTCGGATTTCTAACTGTTGTGCCACTGAATAATATACTAAATTACTATCATATATGCAATTAACAAAGACTTTCCTCAAAATCAACTTTAACTTGAAGATTTACACAAAATAATAGCTCTCTAATAATAATCAATCATAGACAAGATGGTAAATAGAATATTTGAAAGTCCAAACAGGTTTTTAATACTCAAAGGATTATTTGTTTCAGAGTGGCAGAGGCCAAAGAGGCAAACAAGATGACAGTGAGTAACCTAGCTACAATTTTAGGACCCACCGTGGTTGGCTACCCTTCTGAGTACAATGCTAGCGAGACGTACAGTCAGACTGCTAAAGCCAAACTGGTGAGTAGATTTTGTTTGGATTTGTACTTGTTTCTTTTTCAATTTGTGTCTGAATTGTAGGTTGGATAGTCCCCAGAATGTTGTGCGTCGGATAGTCCTGAATAGAGAAGATAATACATAGTTTGTTTGTTTCTGAAATATTTTACTTCAAAGACGAGGAAAATCAGGAAAGTAAAAAATAGGTGTTATCAAATTGTTTTATTGTAACCTCTGACTCATATTCGTCTTGCTCCTTCAGTTAACACAGTTAGCCTAAGTGATCAGGTATCAGACACTGTAAGCATGAATATCCACCACTCCTCTCAATACAGACTTCTTTAATAAATGTTTATTGAATCCAAGCAAAGCTCAGTCTCCCTGTACTTCCTGATAAAACACTGTAAGAGCGGTTTGAAGAACCTGGGCTGTATCATTGACTTTTAGATACTAAATATCTCATCTTTAGCCAAATTTGATATAAAATTAGTGATGGTCGGATCCGGATATCAGACTACCGGATCCGAGCTAGAACTGGCACCCGATCGGATCCAAAAAATTCCGGATCTTGGGCTGGATCCGGTTTTGATGGATCTGATTTTTTTACTAACACAAAGCTGTCTGTATCCATGTACAAGACCATTTTGTCCCGATTTCTTTACTAACACAAAGCTGTCTGTATCCATATACAAGACAGATTTTTCCCGATTTTTTGACTAAAACAAAGCTGTCTGTTTCCATGTACAAGACCGATTTTGTCCCGAGTTTTTTAACTAACACAAAGCTGTCTGTATCCATGTAAAAGACCGATTTTGTCCCAATCTTTTTACTAACACAAAGCTGTCTGTATTCACAGTATACAAGACTATCAGTGACTGTGTACAAGAAGACTCCTCTAAAATAAGGCAACTTTAAATCAGCAGCAAGTTTTTTATTTTATTATATCCAAACTACTTAATGGTTTTTCTGGAAGTCTTTCAATTATTTCCTATGAGTACATTTTTTTACTTTCACTACCAGATCCCGTATAAGGTCTCAAATAAAGCCACTATCCACTTTTATTTTTCCTCTTGCAGGCACATTTAGGATTTTTTTCTTTTTCCCAACAGTTTTTTTCTTTCTTATTTTTTTTTTTTAATTTTTGAAGTCTTCCCTTTTCCCCGACCAAGTTTTGGGCAGCTCTCTCACCAAACAGGGCTGTGCGAATCCAGAAATTTTGGTTCGAATCCGAATCCGAATCATAGCTGAACAGATTTTATCGAATCCGGATCGAATCCGAATATTTTAATTAATCCCGAGTCGAATCTGGGTCGAATCCGAATCTCAAATTTACAGCCATTATCGAACCTGGATCGAATCCGAATCTGAAATTTAAAGCTGTTATCGAATCCGAATATTTAAACCTGTTCAGAGTCGAATCCAAATCCGAGGAAAGTCAGCAGTACCAATTTTCACATTTTTAGACCACATTTTCTGGGGCTGAAATAACTTAGGGAATTGCTTAAAAAAATTCTTGAAATGGGTCAAATAAAAAAGTTATGAAATTTAGGCCTACCTATTTGAAGTTTTGAAACTAAAAAATTGGGCATAAGTTAGGCATACCACCTAGGCCTAAGTTTCTCGCTAAAAGTGATGGACTACCAATTTGTGTAGTCTAAAACATAGGCCCAGCCTATTATACACCTCGGTGTTAATCCTCCACACAAGCCTATGTCTGCATTACTATTACAAGTAACAACTAACACCTTAACAGGTTAAGTTTACTGATAGCCAAGATAGGGTTCAAATGCGACCTACACTAATGTGCCTAAAGCCTAACACCAAGTTGGTCAGGTTCCTAACATGAACCAGTCAACAGCAAATCGGAGTGCACAAGTAGTTTTTTAGTGTCTAAAAAATTATATTGAAAATTAAATTATATTCAATTAGAATCTAGTAAATTTGAATATCGAATCCCAACTCGGATCTATTTCCAAGAAATTCGAATATCGAATCCGAACCCGGATCTCTTACCAGTAAATTCGAATATCGATTCCGAATCCGAATCCAGTTAGAAACAGTAGATTCGTTCTCGAATCCGAATCGAATCTCTAAAAAGATTCGGATTCGATTCGTTTTTCGAACTATTCGCACAGCCCTGTCACCAATACTAGAGTCTGAAGCTTTTACCCTTTCCCAAGCTAATAATCTGTCAGTCACTGGTCTAATTTTACTATCCTTCGATCTTGAGTATGCTATATCGTGGTTTTTGCGTGCAGCAGCCAATTTATTTATGCCTGGATCACCCCTTGATTATCTCTTAGTTAAATTTGTTCCAGGTCCACAGTACTGATAGCAGGGTATGTGAAATTCTACAGGTAAAATACCCTGTGTCTGTGTACAAGAAGATTATCTGTGTACATACAGGGTGAATAAAAAGTGTAGACTCCCCCATCTAAATTTTTTTTAAGTTAGAACACAGTATAGTCTTCTTGTACACAGACACTTGGGTATTTTACCTGTAGAACTTCGCATACCTGTCTATCAGTACTGTGGACCTGGAACGAATTTAAGCACCCTCACAAGGTTTGCTACTGTCTAAAATTTGACTTAGGCCCTTAGCTTTTATTTCTGTCAAAGTCGATTTTACAAAAAAAGATGCTATATTTTACGACAAGCTTTACTTTCTCTAACTGACTGCTACTCAGCTTGGCTTTTTTAAAAAGTTGGCGTACTGAACAAAAAGCACTAGGCCTATGTTACTTCGTCCTATTCGGTCTGTGGCTCAATCCAATTGAGTAAAATACTGGTTAAAGCGTTACCTAACATAGGAATAACATTTCTAATTAGATCTAAAATCGACGTTTGTATGCTAAACCTTAAGTTATTTACTATCTAAAGACAAGCTTAGATGTCTCATCAGAGACATGATAAACTATTATCAATTAACATATTCATGTTCTGATACAGGTTTTGGAACAGCTGTTGTCTGTCCCTGCAGAGTATTGGTATCGTGTGTTGCCCACTGCCAGCTCTAGTATCTACAGCACACCTCTGGCAGAGCCTCCGCGCAACTTCCGCACACCTTCTACCAGGTATGTAGTACAGCTGGGTAGCTGAGTGGTTATGGTTATGGTGCTAATCTAACAATCTAGAGTATATATATAGACAATATAGAGTATATATATAGACAATATAGAGTATATATAAATAGTCAGTAGCTTTTCAGCAGCAGTGTCATTCATAGAATCTATAATTGAATCGGTTGATAAAGGGGAGTTCACAATTGGAATTTTCATGGACCTAACTAAGGCATTTGATAGTGTCAACCACACCCAACTGATAGATAAATTACTCATTTTAGGGGTTACAAAAAAATCAATAAAATGGTTTCAGTCATACCTAAATAATCGTTGTCAGTTTGTAGAAATCACACATAATCATGATAACAGAATTACAACATTTTCTTCTGAAACTGAAAGGGTTAAATGTGGTGTACCCCAGGGGTCAATCCTTGGCCCCCTGTTGTTTTTATGTTATATAAATGATGCTGGTGGTGCACTCTCATGTTTACCTCAGAACAATCTTTGTTTTTATGCAGACGATACAAATCTCAAAGTATCGGCTGAGTCAGTGCAACAAGTTGAAATTTTGAGTTTTGTTGAATTGGCAAACATTGGAAACTTTCTAGAGCAAAATTAATTGAAGCTTAATCCTAAAAAAACTAATTTTTTAACTTTTAAAACAAATCAAAATAAAAAGCTAATTAAACCAAATATCATGTATAATGCAGAAGAAATTGAACATAAACACAGTACACAGTTTCTAGGTCTAACAGTGGACCAAAATTTAAACTGGGATGAACATGTTGATAAACTCCTTTCAAAATTATGTTCAGGACTATATTCACTCTCTAGAATGTCTTATTTTTGTAACCATAAAACATTAAAAAACATATATTATGCTAATGTCCATTCGCATTTATCCTATGGTTTGTGCCTTTATGGTTCAACTACAATAGCAAATTTGGATAGGATACTTAAACTTCAAAAAATAGCAATAAGAATAATTTTGAAATTAGAACACAATGAAACAGCCAAAAACAAATTCAAAGAACTGAAAATTTTAACGGTATATGGCCAATATATTTACGACACAATTATTCTAGTAAAAAACTGCTTGAGCACCTCTGAGACAAATTATCACCCATACAACTCTCGGCATAAAAAATTCCTCATTTCAAGTAAACATAAATTAAAATTCTATGAAAAAAACCATCCTATATATAGGGTTAAAATTTTTTAAGCATCTTCCTAATGAAATCAGAAATGAACAAAGCAGGAAGAATTTCATGAGAAAACTAAAACTATATTTAGTAGAGAAAGCATTCTATTCCCTGGAAGAGTATTTTTCCACCTCCCCTCTTAGCGTTAGTACATAATTGATTCGGTTTTGATTATTTTCATTTCCTGGTTCTTGGTTTTTGATTTAGATAATGATCCAAGATATGCAAATCTGTAAATTATTAATTTAAGATAGATTTAGTTGACACCATTCAATGTACAACACTGTACTTTATGAATAAAGCATATTTGATTTGATTTGATTTTTGGTAGATCAAATTGGACTCAGTCGCCCTTGATAATTGGGCTTTGATAAATGGTTTTGACTGGAGAAACAACTGATCTTAGTCAATAAAAAAGCTACACCCTCTCTAAAGACATCATTCTCCATACTAATTCATTAACATTTGGATTAAAATACACCCAGTAGCATCGCAATCTTAATTTGAATAAATAATATGGATCAGTATATCAAATCTAGTATCCATTGTGTGATAGTGAGTTATTTTTAAGAGATGGATTTCATCATAATTTTCTTCTTGTCATAATACAGATACATGTTACAACCTGTTAACAGTTTGCTGTGGGTGGGTCAGTACTGACCCACGGCAATCGCATCGCTCACGCGGCCGGGTCAGTACTAGCCCACACTGCAGTGCATCAATCTGTTGCTCAGTGAGAGCTTAGCGTCGGTCGAAGGTGGACCTATACCACATTAGCATGTAGTGTGTGACTTGCTTTATTCACCGTTGAGTTGGTTCCCGCGTCTCGCTCCCGTCGAGGCGGCTGGGTCGGTACTGACCCACGTTACTGTGAACGCCCCTCGCTGTGCTACTTTTGTGTGCTATATGACGTCATGTTCAATTTAAATTAACTTTTAAATTATTTTATTTCAATAATATTAACATTTCAAATCTTTTACATCTTTCATCTTTGTTAAATAATTCAATTTTTTTACTCCGGTTCTTAATGGGTCAGCACTGACCCATGTATATGATGTCACATTATGAAGTCATAATCAATTCCAATCAATTGATATACTATTTTATGTTGATTATTTTATGATAATGACTACATATATTTTTAGTGACATATATAATGTATTCAGTGACATTTCAATTTTTTCTGACTCTGGCTCCTGGTGGGTCAGTACTGACCCATTAGTATGACGTTACTTGTTGACGTCATATTCACTTCCGATCGTATTATGTAATATTGTATTTCAGTAAGGTCACAAAAAGGATTGTTATACAACAATAAAGCTTTTTAGCAATACGATTCGATTTTATAATTTCCTTTAGCAGTGAACGTGCTAATATGCCCATTTTATTATTCTGTTACAGGAGTTTCAAGAAGTTGTTTGATACACCGGCTCATTGAGAACATTATGAACAATATTTTTTTGTACTTAAAGAATTATGATTTATTATTTTGTATACTCTACTTAGATATGATGATACTGTATTTTTATAAAGTTAAATAGTTATTAGCTGTTATTGGTGTATAATAATGACTCTAAAGAGTGTAAATTTCGATTTGTTAAATTTGAAAGCCCATATCGAACCATATTTAGTATTACCTTCAAGTTGTAGTATTGATTTAATATTTACTTTTCTGAACTAACGTTACATTATTGTTGCAATTTATTGTTGAAGAGGGATTTACTTTGTTGGACACAATTGGTTGGATTATGAAAGCGCACTAAACTGGGTTATTTATTACTACCAAACAAAATAACATGATTAGGCCCAATTCACACCGAACGGACGTCGGGCGGAGACGTGGCGAGGACATATGTCCGTTCCTCGCCTCCCCATGTAAACAAATTGGTCAATGCACACACAAGTGACGTGGCGCGGGCGGCCGCCCTCCCGCCACCGCCACGTCGCTTCGGCGTCCCTCGTGGCGTATCGGAAGTGGCATGTCCGTAGCGCGCCCGTTGTTCGGACTGCAAATGTTGAACTATACTTACCAAACTTCTTGTGTATAGTGTGCTTGTACTTACCAACCTTGTTGTGTAGAGTTGTTTTTGTGTGTAGATTGTGAGTTGTTTCTTCACTATGCGAGACGACATTGAATTTAATATCAAATTTTGTGAGGAAGTAGAACAATTCCCTTGTTTGTACTAATTAAGTTGACAGAAATTAACTAACACCATTGACATTAATAGAAATAAGCAAAAACCACAGCTTCTAGTCTACATACAGGTTGTCTCGCCACTGTACCGTCCCTTCACCGTCCCTTCGGTGTGCATTGAACACGCCACGTCTGTGCCTCGTCCGTGCCACGTCTCCGCCCGACGTCCGTTCGGTGTGAATTGGGCCTTAGATTAACTCCATACGGAGGAATTAACACCTAAAATCTATTGTGTTATCTATCAGTTTCATCTAATGCAAATGTGCTAAATATCTTGCCTCTTTACATGCACATTTCTGAAGCACCTGTCCATCTTTACTTATATCTTTAATATTAACATTTTATTGTAATTTTGAATACATAAAAATAAAATACTTATTGTGATAGGCAGTATTATTATTTCGATCAACCTTGTTTAGTAACACATTATAAAATTTGACTCCTATTACATGACAACAAGTATGTCATACAAAAATGTACTAACTTTATCATCATACAAAGAACTGCCACCTAGGTTAATAAAATCATCATATGTTATCAAATATTTAATTCCTTTTATCACTGGTTTGAGTAACAAATTGTTTCACCCAGAATCTTGTCAGATTAAGGTAGAAGTAGGGACCCTCTGGTTGGTAGTCTAGGTATGAGTTGTGTGGTAGAGCAGGCTCTATCTGGGAGCCATCAAGCCAGTTGTTGTATGATGTGACAGACACACCGTACGAGAGAGATGCTAGAGCAGCTCGCCAGGCTACCTAGAGTAACAGATATGGTTAGGTAGAAGGAGGACCATCTGGTTGGTAGTCTAGGTATGAGTTGTGTGATAGAGCAGGCTCTATCTGGGAGCCATCATGCCAGTTGTATGATGTGACAGACACACCGTACGAGAGAGATGCTAGAGCAGCTCGCCAGGCTACCTAGAGTAACAGATATGGTTAGGTAGAAGGAGGACCATCTGGTTGGTAGTCTAGGTATGAGTTGTGTGGTAGAGCAGGCTCTATCTGGGAGCCATCATGCCAGTTGTATGATGTGACAGACACACCGTACGAGAGAGATGCTAGAGCAGCTTGCCAGGCTACCTAGAGTAACAGATATGGTTAGGTAGAAGGAGGTCCCTCTGGTTGGTAGTCTAGGTATGAGCTGTGTGGTAGAGCAGGCTCTATCTGGGAGCCATCAAGCCAGTTGTTGTATGATGTGACAGACACACCGTACGAGAGAGAGATGCTAGAGCAGCTCGCCAGGCTACCTAGAGTAACAGATATGGTTAGGTAGAAGGAGGTCCCTCTGGTTGGTAGTCTAGGTATGAGTTGTGTGGTAGAGCAGGCTCTATCTGGGAGCCATCATGCCAGTTGTATGATGTGACAGACACACCGTACGAGAGAGATGCTAGAGCAGCTCGCCAGGCTACCTAGAGTAACAGATGTGGTTAGGTAGAAGGAGGTCCCTCTGGTTGGTAGTCTAGGTATGAGTTGTGTGGTAGAGCAGGCTCTATCTGGGAGCCATCATGCCAGTTGTTGTATGATGTGACAGACACACCGTACGAGAGAGATGCTAGAGCAGCTCGCCAGGCCACCTAGAGTAACAGATATGGTTAGGTAGAAGGAGGTCCCTCTGGTTTGTAGTCTAGGTATGAGTTGTGTGGTAGAGCAGGCTCAATCTGGGAGCCATCATGCTAGTTGTATGATGTGACAGACCATAGACAAAAAGAATTAAATATAGACTGTCAGCCGTGCTGCGGTTACCATGGTTACCATAAGTTCGGGCGCACACCGCTGTAGTTTACGTAGCGCGTACGCTGTAACTACCGTGGCGATCCCAGCGGTGTGCGCCAGAACCTATGGTAACCGCAGCACAGCTGACGGTCTATATTTAATTCTTTTTGTCTATGGACAGACACACCGTACGAGAAAGATGCTAGAGCAGCTCGCCAGGCTAACTGGAGGCAGGCCGCCTGCAGTTGACGGCGAGAGAATATAATCACTGTCGCTGAAACCACAAATTATGCTCACGGGTGTTGCCGCAATCGTGGGAGATGATAACTGGTGTCGCCTTACCTACCAGTAATACTGTTTTACACTTAAGTTGTATAATATATTATTCCTTGGAAAAGTTTTGTTTCAAAGTTAGAGTGCCTTTAGCAGTTATTGAACAAATAAATAATATAATTTTTAACTTACTATTTCTTAGGTAAATTTTGTAATATACATTAGTTAGATGCAAAATGTGATAAAAATGATTACTTCTTTTTAAAATCTTAAGTCTTTGGCGCGGGTGACGGATATATCCGCTTATTGTTTTTGATGTTCCGGATGAGAAGCGGGTACATCCGCCTTCTCTTCAGACAGACTGGCATGTGCTTAAGCAGTAACCAGATGTTTCGCGGTACCAAGGCGCCACTTTCCTGCTCTCTCCCTGGCTGCGCACCTCCCACCACTCCTACGCTCCCCCCTCGACGTTTCGCGCTCAACACTACGTTGTCTTTATTTATTGCCTATCGTTGTCGAGGTCATATCTTCAAAGATGGGTGGCGGATATATCCGCTGTATTTCTACTCATCCGCAGACGGGTAGCGGATATATCCACATAGTTAAAACGAGTAAAAAATTATTTTGACAGTATGAAGTGTTCCATTGTGTTTATTTTATTTATACTTGTATAACAAAACACAAATAAGGAAAATTAATTTTTTCCCGTCCTACGTCACGATTTCGCCCGTCCTGGAAGGGTTTAAAGTTTTTACTTAATATAAAACGGCGTCAGAAAGCTTAAAGTAGGGTTCCAATAGTAGTTTTTAAAATTCAGGATTTGTCTTGAATTCTCGTGGAACACTCATTGAAATTTTCAAACCTGATTTTACAGACACCATGTTGTAATAATTCCAAGTCTGAAAAAAAAAGGTAAAATCATCAGTAATTTTACAGTTTCTCGTAATGGGTATAGGCACAGAAAACATACTACTGTAACCCAGAATGCCAACCGCATGGTAAAAAGTGTTAAGCACTTTGAGAGAGCTGTGCCTGTAAATTCATAGGCAGCGCCACCAGCGTTGCCATGCACTCAGCATAGCAACGCTGGTGGCGCTGCCAATAAAATGACAGGCAAAGCACTCTCAAAGTACTTAACGCTTTTTACCATGCGGTTGGCATTCTGGGTTATAGTAGTATGTTTCCTGTGGTATAGGTGAGTTTTTTATTTTAGATTGTTGAATGGCAGACCTGATAGTAATGGCCGCGGGTCCTGTGCCGGGTCAATGCAGAGTTCCAAGGTCTAGCATTGGTGTCTACATAGCCTGGTGCGACAGACGGGAAGAATAACAAGTTGTGTTTCTCAGCAAACTGAGCCAGTGTGTTCCAATTCTTCCATGTTGAACCATAGGTGTACGCATTGCTTGCATAGTATGTGTAAAAACCTGTAACATTGAACAAAAAGAAATCATTAACTTTAAATCATTCATTAAATAATTTCTTTATGGTAGAACAAATTAGCAGTACAACGGCTGATATTATAGAAAATAATATCATCACATATTTATATAAAATAAAATATTTACTTTGCTTAATTCCAACAGCTAGCTGTTTGTTATCAACTTTAGGAAATATAAGGAATTGTGAACAAATAGGATCATTTAGATTTTCTTTCAATCTCACGAGCTAAAAAATTATTCTAACAAAAAAAGCTAAAAAAAGTGCTAACAAAGTTACTTTGGAAGCCAGGGGGTAGAGTCCTTCGAAGTTTTAAGCTTTAGAATAGAATAGACACTTTCCCAAGGATATGTTGAATAAGTGATTGTATGGATAATTTGTAATGCATAAAGAAGATTCAGTCAGAATAAATAAGTTTAAAATAAGTAGATTCCTAGCTCAGTTATAATTAATTGTTGGTGGTCTTACCATCAAAATTTGACCTGTGTATTTCCAATTTGTTGTTTGCATCTCGTAAATGACCGATGAAGATGGCATCGTAACTTGAACCTCGAACAGTTAGCTCACCATCAGAAGCCAGTCGCTCTTTCCATTCCTCGACCGGAAACCGGTACGAGTAAAAAATGTAGAAAACCTGTGGAGGAAATCAGCAATCAGCTAACACATTGACAATTGATTGTAATAGTGGCATTGATGAAAATAAATAAATATGTGAACTGTCGAGTACAAACCAAAGTAGAAGCATGAAATGTCATGAATTCATTCTAAGATAATCACTAACAACTGGGTATATCATAAACATGTTGAGCGATTTTCACAAAGGTACATAGTAAAATATTTCACTCTTACTAACTCAACTCGGAAGCCTAACACTCATGGCTTTACATGTACCATAGAATTTCTAGGTTTTCTATGAAAGTCCTTTATAAGCTTTCTGCAGGGTATTGACTAAAACCATTGACTATGCTGCTAAAACTTAATCTAAAATGTGCTAACAAATTAACTAAAATTAAGATTATAGTTTTTAAAAACATTTAACAAATTTATAACTTTCTTAACTTACCGGTAAATGTTTTCCATTCTTCAACAATTTGTAAAAGTTTTTGTGATTGGAATATTTTTGTATAATCAGTTGAGTTGTTTTAAAAACATCGCTAACATTATGGCCAACATACACTTCAATGTGGAGAGCAATTTTCAACCCATACTTTTCCGCTACGTCGAGTAGAAGGGCCAACACATCAACGTTAGATTTCTCTTGTTGAAGAGGAAGCCATGATACAACAACTACGCCTGTAACAAATTAAACTCATTAGACATATATTGTGTTTTATAAATACTCGTTAATAACAATTTATAGTGTTTTTTATTACCATTATGTTAAGTATGATTACTCCTTTTGTTTCTAATCAGCATTTGTCATGATAATGTCACTTGTTTTATTTGTTGTTTAAATTGGTTAGAAAGCATCATTGATTCATCTTAAAACTCAAATGCAACTTTTCATCACTTTACAAAAATAGGGTAGGTAGTGTAATCATTAATTTATAATTTTGGTTGATATAAATTAGGTTATCAACAGCACAGTATGTATAGTTTAAGGTGAAGATTATCGAGTAATGGTTAAAATGAAATCTTCTTAGTTATAAAAATACTTTACCTATTCCTATATCCCGAATTTCCTTAAAATGGGTATTGATTATATTTGGATCCTTTGAACTGTAACAGCCTAACAGAGGGTAGAAGTTTGATGCGATATTTATCGGTGGGTTATGCGAGGGTGATTCTCTTGAATTCAACTTTGAATCTTTTTTAATTTTATTAAAAACAAAATCATGATTCCATCCACTCCATTCGTTGTCCATCTCGATGTTTCTAAAACCCACTTGGTAAAAAATATGAATTCTTGTAGTCGGTTCAGGAAGCGGCTCTACATCATCTAAAAACTTCATAATTTCCCAACGTTCAGAATGTTTGGCTATTCTTTCTAGTTTATTTTTTATCCAGTTCATCCTAAATTCTGCTTCACTCGGAATTTTTAGACCTGAAGAACTGTTGGTCCCATTTCTACCATCAAGCGCAGGTTTATTCAGAATGGCAATGGAAGGTATGGGTGTTGTCGTTTTATGAGTGAAGTTATCGTAAACAAATAGTTGGATCGAGATAAGAACTATGAATATTAATACAAAGAACTGTTTATATTTCATATATCTATATCTCCTTGGTATAATTTTTACTATGATGGAAATTATGTGATCATAAATAAAATTTTGAGACAATCTGTAAAGTATCCAAAATTTATAATTGAAATTCCTTATTATAACATCCATAATTTGAATTGATCATTGGCTCAAAAATTGAATAATGTGACAATTTTTATATTCAATTTGATGAATAAGTACATAAACAATTATTTCCGTCATAAAATGTATGGTTATTATGTAGATCTGTAGTATCTAGTTGTACTATGGCATTACATAGGCTACATGCATATATATGGAGTTCGTCAACATGCATTTTTACAGAAAGTTCTCAGGTAATGGAATATTTGTGGTCTCTCTTCTAGTATACAATTTGCAAACCAGGAGAAGTAGGTCTATGTCCCTGTTTTGAAGTACCATAATCAATGCTAGAAATTCAATTTACATAGCATCAGAGTTATTACTAATCCCTGATGATAACCAATCATTAGACACAATCATCGTTTACTCCTTCCACCTACATACCGAGAAGGATGCAGTACTACAGTACAGACCAGACCACACCATAGGTACCACTTCACTCAATTCGGAATATTCGGATTTTAGTTCGTAAAAACTCGGAAGTGATCGGTCGTCCTGGATTATCGATTTCCATGAACTCGAAGTCACACATGTCCCACTCCTCATGAAGCCTTCAAAGAAGGCCAGCTATGACTATACCATAGACTAAAACCTAAAACCATCATGTTTAGTCCATGACTACTATCATAGATAAAACATACTTCCTTGTGTTGGTTGGTCTATGCTACTATCATTGACTTTATATCTACACGTGTAGATATAAAGTCAATGATATTAGATAATGCTATAACTGTAGACAAACCAACTCGTTTTATCTATGCTATAACTTAATAACAAAAAAAATGTTTGGGGTCGTCAAAAACAAAGGATTAAAATAACCGGTTTAGATTGAACTAAGTAGGCTAAGTTATAATTATTAAAATATTGAACAATTTTTAAATTTTGATTCTTAATGGAAACTTTCCCATAAATCCTGTAAAATAACGGAAGATCGGATTTTCTCAAAAATGGCACAAACGACTTTCTTAGAAATTTGGTATGTTATAGACCTTTAAATTATTAACAAAATAGTACAAATTCCATTTCCGTAAAAATTACGGCTCAAAAGTTATTGTAGCTTATGTTATTTTCCCCTAAAACCCATAAAAAAATCTGATGTTTTAGAAAAGCTGGTTTTGATCCAAATTATGTTATGGTCCTGATAATTCTGAAGAAAATAGTACAACACCCTGTTGCTGTGTTTCAATTTCGGTTCAAAAGTATTTTTTTTAACTTTTGTGATTTTTAACTATAACATATCATATTACTCTCACTGATTATGATAAAGGTTGTTGACAAGTTTATGGGAGAAAGAGTATGTGTCAGAATGATGATGTAGTTTATTTTGCAAACACTTTTAACTTGTATGACAAACAACAACTGTACTGACACTGGTGTGTGGCTAGTGGCGAATGGCGATTAGCACTAGCAGAAGTGCAAATACCCCGCTAGTTGCGTGCTATTTCGCTAGCACGTGACCACCCCCTCCACTTATTAGCGCTAGTATTATCAAAAGCCCCACCCGTGTACACGAGGCTAGTATTAGAAGCTAGTTGATTAGCGCTAGTAAATTCGCTCCGTGTTTAAACGGTCTATTAACGTAAAAAAATACTAGCGCGCTAGCATTTTACTCACTGCTAGTCGTTTTGAACATGTTTGATAATACTAGCGCTAATAAGTGGACCGGGTGGTCACGTGACCACTAGCGCGGTACTAGCGGGGTATTTGCACCTCTGCTAGTGCTAATCGCCACCATAGATAAAACCATTGACTATACACCTCTACCAAGAGTAGAGGTGTATAGTCAATGATAAAACGTTGGTTAGTCTATGTCGCCACTCGCCACACGCCAGTGATCGAGTGATCAGTTTGTTGTGTGTGTTGTTGTGGTTGTGTGTTGTGGCTTAGAGTAATAAAACAAAAATGTTTTATTTTTATTTTCTATTATTTTTATTTTTTTTGTTTTATTACTCTGGGGTTTTATCTATGGTATAACCATAGATAAAATACACTCCTTGTGTTGTTTAGTCTATGCTATAAAACCAAGGAATGTACAACCCTTATAAGGCCGGGCCACACTTGTAATTTTCAACCAGTGAGACTGTTTTTTCCGTTTTCACGTGCGACACACGTGAAACATTTTGCCCGTGGCCACACTCGTCTTACGAGATAGGTTTTTCGGGCAAACCAGCGAGACTGAACTGCATGCCACACTGGCTCTGGCAATAAAAATCGTCCGTGTCCGTGATACGTACTCCTCCCCCCCCCTTCCACGCTCTCTGTACAGGTTAAAACTAGAAACGTCAGTGGAAAAAGTTCAGCGAGATAAGATGAGTGTGTTCACTCCCATAAGCCGCAATGTCCCGCGACTAGTTTTACGTGCAACGCCCGTGGAATGTTAGTAGAGAATACACGTGCAATTCCGTTTGTCAGTCTCGCTGGTAAAACCAGTGAGACTGACAAACGCGTTCACGGACGTTTTTAATCTAGTGTGGCCTGCCCCATATACCGTAATGTATCTCTCAAACCCACGGGTAACGCCTGTGGAAAAAATTCAGCGAGATAAGATGAGTGTGGCCCCGGCCTAAGAAGTGAAATGCTTATGGGAAATAGTAATCACATACAGCAAATACATGAACGCGGATGTGACGTGCAGGCGTGTGGCCCGAAACAAAATAACAAATTAGGTTATGCAAATAACGGGTATGGCCAGCCGCTTTTATAAATATTAGAAATCGCATGTTAGTGTCTGTTGCCAGTGTGGCTGCATTAATGTTTATTTGCCTATGCAAATAACATTTTCCGTTAGATTAAAGAGACATTAAATTCGAATGCAAGAAGATATGCAGTTAAATGAATCATAGTGCGTGCCAGCTGCAACAAAAAAAGAGTAAACCAAAATGTACAAATCCAACAAAATGCAGAAAAGAGAGAAGAAGAAGAAGCACTAAAGCAAGCAGTAGCAGTAGCAGAGATGTTATGTCAATTTCTCAATTTCATGTTTGTTGCTGCATTATTTTAATCATATAAAGTTATTGGTATTTATGATTTGTCTTGCATCTATTCAATTGTGTGTTCAAAGGAACCTTTTATGTTGATTTCAAGGTAGGCTATGTGTAACCTTTGACTTAAAGACATATTATTCACTCCAACCTGGGCTTAGGGCAATTTGTTTGTCAAACTAAATTTAAGCTTCTTCAAAACAAACTTAGGCCAAGGCCTATTTAGAGATAATATAAACATGTAAAGATATAATTTTCTGGAATAATGTGTCTCAATTTTACTCTTTTCAAATGCGTAGGCCTATAAATTGTATAATAGTCCTATTTTGTAGAATGAACACTTATTTTAGCGAATTTCCCATATAGGGAATAAGCTATTACCGTAGTACTCATGGTAAGACCTGGACCCGAGACCGATTTAATTTTTCATTTTGAGGTCCCTCGAGGCCAAAAACACCATCCGTTCAAATTCATATATATATATATATATATTTATATTATTAAGCAAATCAAAATACCACAGTACCCTAGAAACATTTTATTTTATATTACTTACATGTTTCGGACATTAATGCCATGATCACAGTATAGTATATAACCTATTAGTTTCTTTTATTTACAAACATTATTAGATATTTCTTATTAAAGAACAGGTGATAACAGGTGATCATGGCATTAATGTCCGAAACATGTAAGTAATATAAAATAAAATGTTTCTAGGGTACTGTGGTATTTTGATTTGCTTAATAACATCATAGATAAAACATACTCCCTTAGTAGATTTCTCATCCTTATGGAACAGCTGAAGACAATGTTATTGTTAGTTCTGTACGGTTTTCTGCAGATGTCGTGTTTTGTTTACAATTTGTTTCCCGTTATTACAGCCATTTAAAACCTCGTTTAACCAAATAATACGATCTAATCATAAACAATAACTTGTCCCCTAGTTATATAACCAAACAGTAAAGCACAAATCAAGAAATTAACCCTAAAATAATAGAAACAAAGTTTCGTCGACACTAGCGCCCATGTGTCACGTACACGAACTAGACACGAAAAACGTGCTTCAAAATTTACAATGGGATGAGAAGTCTACTTGTGTTGGTTAGTCTATGATAACATTTAAAGTAGCCCTCATTGATGTATACAATATCAAAAAAAATATATTTATATATATATTTATATATATAGGCTATATATATATATGTGTCCGTTAGCGCGATAACTCGAGCAAAAATGATCCGATTTTGATGAAATTTGGTACAAACGTGTAAACCTACGTTTATTCGAACGAGTTCGCGATCCAGCATAATCGGACCATGGGAACGGGGGTTTATGGGGGGTTTTATGGGGTAAAAATGGGTTTTTCCCATTTTTGAACCTAAAAACAAAAAGTTTTGCGATTTCTTTCTAAACCGTTTTGTAGAGCTTAAAAAAAGAAATAATTTAGTATATTGAAGCGCTGTTGTATGCCTAACGGTCGCGGAGAAAATTCAAAAATAGTGTAATTAAAAATTCCCATGTTATTCTTATGGAGAAAATGAAAATTGTTGTAGTTTACTTGTTTATGGGTATATATTGATAAAATTCGGCAAATTTATTTATTTCATCCTATACTATTGACGTATGGTCAAAAAACACTTTTTACCTTCCCCGTAGCAGCAAACCTAAGCACTCGTTAAATCTAATGTTATTTAAATAGGGAATAATATGTCTTATTTATGGAAATATTTTAGTAAAAATGTAATCAGACGAGTTGAAATTCGCTTAGTCTGCAGGTTTGCTGCGGCGGGGGTATTTTATGTTTGCTTTAGTGTAGCATGTTTTACTATTGTACTTATGACTGTCTTGTGCATTTCAAGCGTCCATGACAAGATCGATTGCATGTAATTTTGCCTAAAGATCAATAAATGTCTTATGTCTTAAATAAACTTGTAGCCTTGCCTAGGCTATGTAAATTTAACTGAGGCCCACCCATCCTAGGCATATTTTTGGGATTAAGTTAGCACAGTAAAGACGCATTTGCAGTCATGGTTCTCAAACTGTTCAATAGGTTGCCGGTTGCAGTAAACTATTTGAACCACAAACGGTTTCAACATGCAAGGTTGAAGTTTTGGTTGAAAGTTAGCCAAACATAACACCCTTAATAAAGGCGTGTTTTAAGGACGACCTCGACCTTTACAATCCACCGCCATTAAGGTTTTCAAAGTTTTTAAGTCTAAAGATTCAAGTCTAAAGATCTTAAAAAATCCAAAAGCTAATGGAAGCCTTCTAAGTAAGTTATGTTGTAAATAGTCTATTGGTTTTTTAAGTTATAGGCCTAACTTATTTTTATTGTAAATATTTGTGACAGCCTATCCAGTTTAGGCCCATTCTTCACGAGCGTGAAAACCACGATGAGATTCCCGTGTAAAGGCACCAAATTTTTGTGCAAACTACATGTGGCGGGATTTCTGTTGCGTGAAACCCATGGGGCCATTCTACACGAGGCGGCTCAGTAGCGGGATGGACTTTGTGGAGCTCGGTTATATACAAGATGTATGGAGTAAAGGAGGTGGGCCAGACAGAGCGGACTGCGCGCGATGACGTCACTGCAGTCCCGGCAGCGGCTGCCTCGCCGCTAGATACATGCTAGACGCACAAACCTTACTTTTTCAGACACGATTTACGCTGGTTTGGAGGAGGTATTTACCGTTATGACACAAATATCTTTGTGTACTAAATAATGATTTTTATGATTTTGAACTAAACATGAATTGTGAACAGTTTGACAATAGTAAATAACCAATTAGGCCTGAATGTTGCATAGAAAGTGATGAAATGCGGGCGTCTACCGATTCAGTTGGAATAATATTACACTTAGAATTATTTTAGATTAAGATATAACACTCCCCTTTTTCAGGTCAGTTAATAAAAAATATCTTTTAGCACTAGGTAAAAAAGTTGCCTGTTTAAAAGTTACTTCAACTGCTTTTTGGTGTTAGTTATAAATGAAACGCCATCCTTTTTCATGTTTTATTTCTTTTTTTTCCTTTTTAATGATAAACTTATTTGGGTTTGTTGATAAAAAAAAACAAAAAAAAAACAACAACAACCAATTATTTAATAGTTTACATGAGAATCATAAATGTTGCTTACAAATCAAAGTCAACTACGATACTGTATTACTATTTTACAGGAATTAAATAGACCACAAAAATCTGTTTGGATAAATGGCATTGACCAAAGAATACGCTCAGAGAATACTAATGATTTTCCCCGAGGAAAGCTTGTTTCACAGGTACTTTTAAAGAAAAATATTAATTCCGTATGTATAAACATATGTTTCATTTTAGACTTTATTATTTTCGTGTTAAGAGGATTTTCTCTTTTATGTAAGTGCACGTTGTTCGGTGTTTTTATACGAGTTTACTTTCTGAGATAAAAAATGCTAGCTATATATATAATGACAGTTACCTATTTTAAAACTAAAACTCAATCCGACATAAGAGTCATATTTTATTCGCAAACAAAATATGCTTTGTCTTTATTGAAATGTGCAAAAGAAACGATTTTTTGATTTCAATCATTTTTATATTTGTTTATTTTGAAGATGTTTAAAGGAATTAATTTCATGATTATTGAGTTTGGGGAATGTTAAACATTCGTGAGCCCTGAATGAAACTTGTGTCTACTGAACACAGTATTATCGCAGTGATGCGGAGGAATGTTCTACAAAACGAAAATTGAGAAAACTTTACCGGGGAAACAAAAAAATTGTGCAAGCTGTGTTGTAATAATAAAACACCACAATGTAGGCTAAATGAAAATTGAGAGTTTGGAAAAGGAATTTTTAAAATCGAAAATTAAATAGGTATTTTACCTAGGCCTATTTAAAATGCTTTGATATGAATAAATGACCCTGTTAAGAAAGTAAAGACATTAAGCCATTACGCCATAAAGTTCATCGTTTACCTCTAGACCGTCTTGAGCTATTTGCTCAAAGAAGAATAGTAGAGTCTAATGATATTGAAGTTTTTTTAATCAGGCAAAAACAAATGAACAGCAACAAAAAATCAAAAACAATCAACTAAGAAACGTCATCGTCAGTACTAAGTTTAAGAGTAAGTAAAAGATTTCAAGAACTCTACAACTCAATGTGTTTATATCTGATTGCATGTCCAATGGTGAGAGATACACTTTGTAAATAAAGTGTTTTTTATTTCAAATGTGTTTTCTTTCCATTCATAAAAATATAAATCTCCATTCCTAATTAGACTAATCTAATGATGATTGTACATTACCAAAAGCTACTTTTATTTTGTATATCTGTATAGTGAAAAATGTTTGTTTGATTTAAATAATAATTTTAAAAATGTTCAGGGTATCTAATTTAGTTACTAATATATTCATGAACAACTGTAGTTAAGTAGGCTATCCTAAAAATATATAGATCATAAAATTAGATGCTATTTACCGGATCAGAGTAGATCCTTAGTGATATAACAACAATTGCTGAAATGGACATCAATTTAATCAACAATTACTCTAATATTTGAGTAGTAATATAATAAGGAATAACATATTAATATATTTAAAACCAAGCAAAACCAATTTTAACAATTGCGTAGTACAAACTGGCGTAAACAGCGCAAAACAACATCTAAAAGTGTTGTGTACGGGCTGTGAGTAGCGGCTCGAGGACTGCAGTGACGTCACTGCCTCAGTCCGATGGGCGAGGGGGGGAGAGGGGCGCGCTCTGTCTGGCCCACCTCTTTTACTCCATGCATCTTGGGTTATATAGTTGTGATTATCCAACTCCAGCTATTCTAATTTAAAAATGTACAAAATCACATAACCTCTTTCATCTTTCTCACTTGGAAAAAGGTTGTGGTGTTTCCCAGTCTTTGTACATCGCTTTGCCAACTTTGTTCTAATTTTTGGCCTTTATTTCACAGTTAGAATAAGCCTACTCCTTGCTCTTCACATTATAGAGTGCAGGCCGAGCCTCTAGGCCTATCTTGCTGATTTATCCGTGTCGAACATCACACCAGGGAGATCTGTTTGGAACTCAAAAGCAACTGGAACTGGACATAGATTTTGAGGTTTGGGCTGCCGCGCGAGGTGATACCGTTATGTGTTGAATGGCTGATAGGATTCCTGACGCGGGATTGACGCCGACATCGATGTCAACTCCGCGCTCCCACCTTCTGATGCGTCCATCCACGATGTGAATCCCGCTCTTGTGGATACGCCAATTTAACGCAATGATCCCTGTCGAGCGTGTGTCCCTGACGGGGGAATCCCGTCGCAGGTTTCACTCTTGTGTAGAATGGGCCTTATGCTGGTATCAAGCCAAGGAGGAGGTAATAAGATTAAAGTAAGGAACAGAGTGCATAATTTACATACCGGTACCTAACTTATAATTTATACTGTAGTTATAACCTAATTGACATGCCATCTGTTACATGAGATAAGTTCAAATTTGTAATGTTTTTTTGTGGCAAATAAAGAGTTTGAGAGGGAACATTCAATGGTACGCTCAAGTGGTGTCTAGCACTAGTGCTGGTGCCTAGGACAAAGTCCCGCACTGCCCCCCTTGCTCACTTGTACTACTTATGTAACCTACTACACATGTACTACTTCTGGTGGAGGAAGTCCTTGAGCCATGTGAAATAGGAATTTCCGGTATTTATTCCGTACAGGTGCCTCCAAACGAATTTTTAATTTTGATCTTACTTTAAATTTTTTACCTTCTGAATCCAAATATACCATTAATTTTTACCGCTGATGAATATTTCTCATGATATCGCCATAATAATATACAACATTACAATGAACAAGGTAGAATGGATGACATTACAAGTGGAATGAACTGTAGGTTAACTAAGCATTAAGCCTATTGTTTTCAACCAACCACATGACAAGAACTGGAAGTAACAACTTTTGAACTGCATTAACTCACTCTGATTCTGTCGCCGGCAATATGCCTATACTAGTGACGTCATTTTACTTCACTACAAATAAAATACAAAACAAAAATACTCGTTCATACTCATACGTGTTGCGTAGTGCTATTCTGCTACGCCGTCGCCATCACAAGTTCAGGTTAAGTGAAGAGAGTAACATGGTTGATGAGGAGATTAAGAATAGGCTAACATCGTTGACTAAAGATAATAACATCGTTGTAGAAACAAATCAAGTGATTCTATAGTCAATAATGTTTTTTACAATAGGAATTTCGTCACATTATGGAGATATAGATGGAATAATGGACTAATTACTCGTAGTTCTTATTTAGGCATGTCAGGGTGGTAGGTCGTGCTTTATGCGAATTGGTGACTGCATTAAGTGTTTTGAAGTTAGGTTAGATTAGGAAGGTAAAGTTTAGGTTATAATGTATCGAGTTGTTAGTTTATGTCGCCTGCAGACTGTTTTTGTAAAATTAAAATCCTGATAAAAACACTTCAAATTACTATTTCAAAAATGTTTGCAAACATTTTGATTGAAAACAATCAGCTGTTGGCTTAGCCTGCTTAACCCATAGCTCATTCTACAAATGTCATCCATCCTACCTTGTTAATTGTACCGGTAATTTTGTATATTATTACGGCGATATCATGAGAAATATTCATCAGCGGTGAAAACTAATGGAAATTTGGATTCAGGAGGCAAAAAACCATAAGATATCAAAATTAAAAATTTGTTTGGAGGCACCTGTAGCCTATGGAATAATTACCGAATTTCCGCACAGTGCTTGTCGTTCGGGCTCTTCCATTGTACCTTAACTTGCTTCTCTGTGGTCTAAGTAACTTACTTCTCTAGGCCTAGGTTGCCTCATGATATAGTAACTTATAACATTGAGCAAATAATGCTTTTTGCAGATACAATTGAGTCTGGTAAATCTGATATAGGCTACTAAGTTTAAAAGTTTTACATTAACTGTTGATAAAAAAAATCCCATTCCTATGTAGGCAATTTTAAGTTACCTGTTTTCACAAAATGTCTTAGGCCTAAAATTGTTTAGGCTAAGCTACCAATCCCCCAGTGCTAGCTTTTTGTGCTTGTATTTAAGATAAAGCCAATTACTTTAAATGAAGTGCTTCAAACTAGCTTAAGTTAATATAATTAATGTTGACTTTTACAGAGTGTATTTTAAAAAAAGATGGCGGATGAAAAATCTGGAACTGTAACTGATGAAAAGACAGTCAATAGTATTCTGGTCCCGACAGAACAACAGGTTTTGAAGACTTCTGATGAAATTCTTAGCGAGTTGTTTGGAGCCTTTGACGCAACACCTCCGCCTCTAGATGACCTTCAAACTCTAGAAACCAACAGCACAATTTCTGACAAAAGTCACAAAAAACATAAAAAACACAGTAAAAAGAAGCACAAAAAAGAAAAGAAGAAGAAAAAACGATCATCAAGTTCTGACTCGAAGGGTAGCAAGGAATCAAAGAAAAAAAGCAGTAAAAAGCATAAAAAACACTCCAAATGCCACAACTCTGAATCTGATGTCAATTCAAAAAAGAAAAAAAGGAAGCTAGGTAAGTTTAGTGCTAGTGACTCGGACAGTGACGTTGAAGAACCGTCGAATAAAAAACTGAAGTCTGCCAGCAAAGACAAGTTGACTATTGAAGAAAAGCTGTTAAATATCAAAGTTAAAGATGAAAATGATACAAAGAAAACCAAGTTGAATGGGACAACTACTGTTCCAACTGTTCCTGAAGTAATACGCGAAAATATACTAAAAGAAGCTGTTAGCAAAATTGTTGATAAAGTAATAAAGAGCACTGATTTGGCTTCAGAAATCCGAAAGAGCATCAACGGATCAAAGATTACTCCAATTAACTCTGATAGTGATGTGGTGGAGAATGAAATTTATTCTCTAGGCCTACCAAAACAAATTAAGCAAGAGCCTAAAGAAGAGCAATCATCTAAAACTACCGCCGAAAAATTAAGTGAGGTAGTTCAACAAATTGAAAAGCCTTTGGAAAAAGATAAAGTGACTGTCGAAGCACAAGAACCAAGTACGTTGGAGAAGCCTAATAAACCACTACCTGTTGCTGATGTTTTTGCAGAAGATCTTATTGACTGCGGAATCAAAAAAGATGATTTAAAACCCAATACAGGTAAAGTTACAGTACATTTAACGTTTAAAATAGGCTACAGTAACTTAGGCTGTGTATCTTAAAAAAATATATGAAGTTGAGTTGTAGCCTATGGACAATTTCCTAGTCCCCTTGTAAGGAAGTTGAAAATTTTGGATTATTTATATAGCTTTTCAGCACTTTCGTTACTTAAAAGAAATGATTTAATTTTTAATAAGTACCGGTAGGTATTCAAATGGAACCCATATGTTACATAGGTATATGTCCACTGACATTTTCAAACAAGATTTTTTAGTTTAAAATGGCCCTAAAGTAGTACCGTCGATATGCAATTAAATCAAAATGAAAAAAAAGTAGTTTTTAAGCTTTATTTATTACATGTTCACTAGGTTATTTTATCAATAAATCATGGTTTTCTTTGTTAATAGATAAACAAAAACACACTGGCAGCAAAATAAAAATTCCAAACCTGAAGTTTAGTCAAGTTTATGAAGCGACAGTAAAACAAATTGAAGAGGAGGCAAAACTAAAAGCTGAAAAATACGAGGAGGGTGAATTATCTGAAAGCAGCGAAGAAGAAAGAAGTCCGACTCCTTCCGATCTGTCTAGCTCAGGTTATAGAACGTTTGATTTATTAGTGGGTAATTAAAAAAAGCTACCTAATTAGATTATCCACATGTCACACCATCATAATTATTAAAAACTAACACAATCCATTCAGGGCAGCTCAGACCAAGCCAATCTCATTTTGAGATTGGCTTGGTCAAATTTTGCCCAACCACAACCCGTCATTTTTTTTTTCTTTGTCAAGATTATACCAGTGGGCATGACATTTTGTTTCAAGGAAAGACAATATGAAAGGAACAAAAATGCCTTAAAAGGAAAGTAGCCCAAACCTTTAGAATGTTGGTGTTTATGCTAGGTTTGAATTTGTCATTCCTGTACCAAGGCCTTAGACTTTTTTGTAGAATAACTTTTAAAGTGAGTCTCTATGTATTTATAACTACTCTTCTAGGTTACATAATTTACCTATCATTATAAATTATGTAGAATTTATCAAAAAATTATCGTATAGCTTTGAACTGAATGCCTAAATGATGTAGGCATTGGCACTTCATGCAATAGCTTTTTAAAAGGTAGGTATTATTTAAAAAAAAATTACATGAGGGCGATGTTGTAATGGTGAACATATGTTATAGGGTCGATAGAAGAAATAAAGAAATCAGAAGATGTGAAAAAGAAGAAGCGCTCCCATCATCGCCGTCATCACAAACATCATCAAAGCAGTCATCGGTAAGTGGATTGGTTGTTGTGAAGATAATGGAGTACTATAATTTTCCAAATTACAATTCTGTTCCTTTTGTCATAGTGGTGTTGACACATCACCTATTGTTACCTATTAGCAAAATCATTAGTGCTGCACAAGTTATCTAAAATTATAGGCGTAGTAATAAGCCTAAGAGTTTAAATCAATGATATAGGCCTACTCTACATTTTATCAGTTGGAATCAAATACTTTGTGGAGCCAGTTTTAATAGACATACAGGGAAACTTCTCATAGCAATTTTACTCAGACTGGTTGGAAGGCAATAAGCGGTATCAGCAATCTAACACATACTTTCTCCCATTAGCGTCAACAACCCTTATCTTGGGCAAGCGGTGGGAGTAACTATGATATGTTATGGGGAAAATAAAAAAATTACAATAATTTATAAACCGTAAATTTTACAGAATTGGTATTTATGCTATTTTGTTTGGGTAAAAGGACCATAACATACTAAATTCTAATTAAAATAGCTACTTTCCATACATCAAACTGTTTACAATCTATTTGATGTTAAATTTACAAATCTGCTTTGAGCTAGTCACATACTAGCTTACATAAAGCTAGCCAACAACTTTGTATTGAAATATTAATGGTTATTTAATAATTGTTTATAGATCAAGAAGTGTGGAGAAACATAGATCTCACTCACACAGTGAACAGTCTCATTCCTCGCATCACCACAGGGATGAGAAGAAAGATAAATTGAGGGATAGAGAAAAGAGAAGAAGTAGGGATAGAGATGTGAGCAAAGGAAGAGATAAAATTAGATGTAGAGAAAAGAATAGTCGAGACAGGACCAAGGAAAGGAGCAGAAGTAGAGACCGTATCAAGGACAAAGCTCGAAGTCGCAGTAGGAGTAGGGGAAGACACAGAAGCCGGAGTAGAAGTAAGGATCGAACTAAAATTGAGGCTAAGACAAGAAGCCGAAGCAGAGATAAGAAGACAAAAGAGAGAGAAAGGAGTAAAGAAAGAGATAGGAGTAGAGACAGAGAAGGACGGAGGCATGTGAAAACTCGAGCACACTCCCGTGAAAGAGAAAAAAGGTAAGTCTGGATGTTCCTCCTCAGACAATCCGGTAGGGTAGGGTGTGGTAAAACTTGCTAATGTTTCACAGGTTAACAGAACCCTGCCATCATCAGGCTACAAAAGTGGACACACTACCGACTACCCTGATGTCAAGGATTGTCTGATGAGGTACGTCTTTAAGCCGTTATTACTTCATTTTAAACGCAATCCTGGGACTGTAAAAATGAGCTACAGGTACAGTACTCAAGTTCAGTTGACAAGTAATGAGATAAAACATAGTAATGTACTTACGTCTCCCATTAATTACAATGTTTGCTGTAAGGCTTAAGTGAACACTGCACCACAACTGTAAAGACGTGAAATTATTTTACAATACTAATCATAATCCAGGGTAGTAAAGGTATCAACCAAAGACTCATTCATCTTAATGTCAGATTACCAATTGAGTTAGACTATCCAACTGTAGCCTACATGGAAAGATTTATTAAATTTTAACAAATTTCCCTATAGGGAAGTAGCTATTACCGTATGTGGCACGGTAAGACCTAGGCCCGGGACCGATACACTTTTTTATTTTGATGTCCCTAGAGGCCAAAAAAAACTATTAGTTCAAATTTGTATTAAATCCACTTAGTCTGCAGGTTTGCTGTGGTGAGGTTATTGATTATAGCACATCTTTTTCTTTAGGAGTCCTGAAGAGAAGATTGACAAACAGAAGTTGCTGGAGATAGCTCGCAAGAATGCTTTACATATGTTAAAAAATCCAGGCGGAACAGTGGACCAGACTAAGCTAGCCATCACGTCGGGCGGCAAGACTGTCAATGAGCTTACAGGTGAGTGGGAACATTGGTAACACTGTTAAATTATTTTCTTATGAAATTAAGTATCAACCAGATTTGTTTTAGAAGGCTAATTAAAAAAAAAATTAGATAAGTTTGGAATGAGCTAGTCTGTGTGCGAGTGATGAGGCGACAATCAGAATATGTATAGTTACATAATTAGGGCAAAAATTGAGTAGGCCTACTCTATGAGAACTGTAGAACCATTTCTATTATGTGGATTTATTCCACCTATAAACAGGATTAGTTTGCATATAATGTATATTTGTCTGATCTAACATACCGCACCTGTGTTTTGTAATACATTTTGTTTGGGGAAACCTAGACTAGGATTGTGATTTTTAAATACCTACATTAATATAATAGGCCTAGCAGATATCTTACCATAAACAAAGTCCAGGTAGGTGAAAATTGTTATCCCTTACTACCATACAGCTTGATTGTTTTGGTTTTGTTGGGCTGAGTCTAGTATAGTAGATGTAATTGTACTGTTAGGTTAGTTTGATTTTGTCATAAGTTAGGTTTTGTCAAACTACCCATGGTATAATTTGTCTCTCAGTAGCAGCAGTTTCTGTGTTTGTCTTTCAATATATCCCTTTTTGAGCAGATTTCTGCAAGCTGTTGTCCAAGAAGGATGCAGACGGACATGAATCAATCAGCTCTAACACATCAGGAGACGAGAGTGAGTCTGAGAAGCCGTTCCATCATCCTTTCCAGATCAAGGATCGGCCGTCCAGCATCGTACTTAACATTCGGGTCAGTGATAACAGTGACATTGTTTTATGAATACAGTAGACTCCCTCTTATCCAGACACCTTTTAAACAGACATCGGTTTAACCGGACTACACTCGACAGGATTGACATCTCTTTAGCCGGACAATTTTTATCAGCACATCAGTTTAACGGGACTAGGTCAGCAGGAGTCGGCGGTACTGAAACGGCCTATCTCTTGGGAAAAATTTGAGACCAGTGATCACATTTATAAATACAATGCTCTCCTAAATTTAAGTCAAATAAGCATTTAAACAACCGTTTAAATATAATTGCCGTTTTTACGAGATTTTGGGGACGTCGGTTTAACCGGAAAACCCGTTTTTTCCGGACTGGCCTCGGTCCCGAGGAGTCCGGATAAGAGGGAGTCTACTGTAGTTACATTTAAGTAAACATAATTATGCATGTAGGCCAACAATAACAAGTAAAAAACTATATTTTCAAAAGCATAGTCTAACAAACACAAATAGACTTTTCTAGTCTAATTGTACATTTTGAAGCTGGTTTTTTGTGTATAGTTTATGTCCGGTGTTTCTATTATTTAAGGGTTACTATTGCCAACTACAATGGAAAACGTAGAGCTGAAGAAGCTAAAGAAATGTAGTTATAAAGCCCCCCATACACGGGCGAGCATGCTCGTGACGGTGTTGGCGACGAACATGCTCGCCCGTGTGTGAGATCCGTCGCGGCGAGCATGTTGGGCTCGGCGTTCGGCTCGTCGGACTTGGCAAGCCCGAACACGAACATGCTCGCCCGTCTGTGGGGACGACCATATGTTCGATAGCATGTTCGTTGCAGCAACTTGGGTAGAGATAGGCTAAATGATTCCATCGATGTAGCCGCTACTATGATTCCAGTTACACTCGTGGACTCATTACAAGTAACCGTTCCGATTCCTAACGATTACTTCGTTACCACCATTACAAAGTAGCCGCAATAGACAGATTGCACTTGTAATCATCATGATGTTGATACTCTGATGTATTCCAGTTACAGTAATAGATTTAGAATCAATGTTTACAGAAGCTAAATAAATATTTATTTGTGTTTGTAACGCAATAAATACAAATTTAAATGAGTTTCCAAAATAGAGGGTTCATCAATTACAATTTGTATATTACAGTATTACAGAAATGTGTACAATCAATTCTGTAGTAATTTGTCACAATTAAATAATTCTAAGAAAGGCTGGAATAAGCAGAACTACGAGAAATGTTATTGCACAAAGATGGAATTTTAACCAACGTTATTTTCAAACCATAGCGGATGAATTTAATCCGATAACCTAAGGCCTGGCACACACGGTCGATTTTTAGATAGGCCGATTACAAAATCGGCCAAAAATAAATCGCCCCTGATTTATGTCTAAGAAATAATGTGTATGTTGCAAAAAAACTAAATGCTGTAATTGCAGCAAAAAAGCAGGAGTAGGCTAAATACACACAACTGGACTGTCACAGAGCAGAAGAGAAGCAAGAATAGGCCTAGGAACCGCTACCGAGCGACGAGCATGTTCGCGAGCATGCTCGTCTGTCTCTTGGAAACGCCAAGCATGTTCGCGAGCATGCTCGTCCGTCTGTTGACAACGCCGAGCATGTTCGCGAGCATGTTCGCCAACATGCTTGCGAACATACTCGCCCGTGTATGGGTGGCTTAAGATCAGCTGATTTTTATTCAGTCTTTTTGTATGCCTAGGCCTACACTATTTCAGAATATTCCAGGGTTTTTATGACGTTCAAAGTAAAATATGAATATTTGTGATGCTCTATTAGTTAGTAGGTCTTTAATAATTATTGTCATGAAGAAATTCTATGTGACAAGTAAACATTTCATTTTGTAGAACTCTGTTGCTCTTCCTGTCAAATCTCTACAAGAGAAGGCTGCAGAACAATCCAGACAACTCCGACTGCAGTTCCCTGTGTCCAGTGGTCAACAACACCGCAAGACTGGTGAGTCGGAATGACAAAGTGATATTTTTTGCATTTTTTAAGAACTTTGATCTCAATAATATTGACTTGACAAACTCAGCTATTCGATCTTCTTGTATATGACATGACTTTGGCCATAAAACTCTCATACAAAATTATTCAAGTACAAAACGTTTGATAATTCTTATCTGCACAGCATCAGTGACAGGCTTATCAAGATGTTACCGTGCTCTAACGTTTTGCTATTATGTCTTTTGGTTAATCTCACTGATTTATGTTCTTTTGATAAAATCTTCATCCCTTCATGATTTACCATATGATAGATGTTTCTTGCTTTAACAGTTTAGAGGCTCCTAAACTAATTAATTTTGAATTACTGTATTTTTAAACCCCAGAGTAACAGTGGCCGGGTTGTTGGTTTGTTTCAGAGAGTGAATGGATCCCAGTGTCACCCAAGAAAGCCGACCCCCCCTCCTCCACTCAGGTGGCGCTAGTCAAACCCAACACCAAGCGGGTGTTTAAAGACCCTCCCCCAAAACCGGTGTGTACCACATAATTATAATTATCATCAATGTGTAGGACGCCTATTCTTAGTTATATATCCTTATTTGAAATAGAAATGCTGTTTTGAGATTATTAGATGGCTTATGTGTATATGTATCCACCCTCATAGCTTTCAGCTTTTCATTTATGCCATCAATATTTCTTTTTCTAAATTGAGTTATATGCTCAAAAAATTTCATTTCTTTATTTAAGGCTGTAATTCGTATCTCTAAGACAGCTACGCACACCTAGTGCATATTTCAAGCTGAATATGAATGAAGGGTGGGTGTAAAATAGAGTGAGATAATTTTTCTATGTTACTGACTAAGATCAGCTGTTTTTTATGCAGGATCATTTATTATCAGCCCAATGATCAGGAACAGCTGGGTCCAGTTTCGAACCTTGTCCGCTTGTCTGTGTTTCTGTGTGTCAGGGTAAAAAAATAGAGAACCGTTGCGCGAATAGTGTTAAACCACTGAGAAGATACCATTAAAATTCTAGACGATTCCGCTCAGTGTAATTATAAAACGTTACAAATACTTTTTAAATTTGTCTCATAAAAATAACACTAGAAGCTACCTTCTTCTTATTTGTTTACATTTTGCAAGCAACAATTTTGTTGTCTAGCCTACTTTAGACAAAAATGACTTCAGTTATTTAATGGACGAGCAGTTATTATTTTTGTTAACTGAGATTTGGTGGATTTGGCTATACAAATAACATTGTGTTCACCAGTGACAACGGTAAGTGCGGGTGGACTCGCCCAATGTTGCGCTCTTGTTCACGCATCCCGTTACACGCAGAATAAACGTACTACAGTACTAGTATATACAAGTGAGATTATTTGTTGCATATTGCAACAAACAATTAGAAAGTACAAGTATAATAAGTTTCTTGTTTCATCAACATATTTTTTTACTTATTTTCAGGATATGGATATAGGTTCGATTGTGTCCCAGCGACTAGAAGCAATGAGACGACTCCAAGAGAACCCGTCTGATTCTAGTGCTCTCTCCCAGATGCAATCTGCACAACAGCATGTAAGTTTTGTACATCGGCAAATACATAAAACAATTTTAATGTTGGACTAGGTGATCAGGATGATTATAATGCTGTAGTTAACGACCTACCACCTTATTGATCACATGATTTACAGTAGCAACAATGGTGAGTATAACCTTGTGTGTTTGAAAGATTAACTAGAGGACCCATGCTGCTCCGCAGCGTTGAAATAAATATCATATCCGAAAAATAATAAAATTTATGATTTTTGATTGATAATACTTCAACTTAACTGATTCAAACGATCAATAGCTCAAATTAAAGCTTATAATTTAATTTTAATCCATAATAGTTACGGGCTCGTCACTGGATCCCAAGAGCAGAATTAATCAGACATACATTTTTAAGCGTAGGGGACTCCCAATTTGTACATTTCTTACTTTTTCACAGGTTGGTACATGATTTATCCTCTGACATTTTCTTACTACTTTATAACCTGGTTTGACAGATGCAGTCATGGGCAGAGTCCAAGCAGTTGCCTCCGGGTCAGTTCACAGGCTCCACAGGGGTCAAGGTGCTGAGTCAGGCGGAGCTCTCGTCCGGCTACCAGGCCTGGGCTCGGAGAGTAAGTCTTACGTCACCTTACATAGCGTATACACCAATCTGTTGTAAACTTGTCACGAGTCATACGTTTTGTAAATGTTTGTGTTAGAATGAACGTTCACGTAGAATTTATTCAATTATAATTTTGGAAATCTCGAGAAGTGGTTATAACGCCTCAGGTTTGAGGTGTTGACATCATTATCAAGTCACTTGTCATTCTGAAAAAAGTTTGTTGGATCCTAAAAATGTTTACTTTAAAATAATTTATTCTAACTTTTACAATGTGTTTAAAATATGTTGGAATTTTTACAAAAATTGTTTTTTAAACTAATTAAGTGTGATGTTCCCAAATCACATTACTTTAATTTAATTATTGACTACTGTTTAAAATATAATTACCTAAATAATTACCTCAATTAGAGTTTTTTTCTAAATTGGCAATTATTACTGTTTCAAATTTTGTAGCGAGACTTTTTTTCAATAACAATGATAAGGTGTGTTTCTGAGTGGCTGAGTTGATTTCAGACAGTTTAGTTTACAGTGAGACTCAAATTACTTAAAACTGGCCAATCTTGTAATATTTGATCATGTGTTGTATTTTGTATTGATCTCAAATTGCATTTAGTTTTGTTGTATTTTGATTGTCTATAGTTTGTTTCTTGTTTACCATTCAGTTCATGTCTTGTAAAAGACGGCCAATCTGATGGCTGAAAAGTCAATTTCTATATAAGTATTATCATAACATTCTCTGTAGAAACCAAACCAAAACAAGAATTTCAACATATGTTGATACTATTCATACCATACTTACAATATATAAGACCGCTACGTATGAAACTGCTTTGGAAACAAATTTTACTAATCTTTCAGTTGTAGTTTTACTTTTCGTGCCTGAGAAAGAAAGTTTAAAATCCAAAAGTACGTTTTATAAACCCAATTCTGCAGTCATTGGCTCGTGGACAACAGACTTTCACACTTCGTTTTGATACTTTTTGGTCTCTTTTTAACTCTTAATTGAAACACTAGCCCTCATTATTGTCCAGGAATTGACAATATAAACAACCAACAATGCTAATAAACAAGTTTAATCAGCTGGCAATGTGAACTAAAAAAAAATATTTTGGGGGGAAATTAAAAGTTAGAGCTGACTTCAGCTACATTGTGCAACCGGAAACTAATAAGGGGTTTATGTACTTCAATGTCTACCTCAACAATAAGGTAACTTATTGGTTGCCATCGGTCAACATATTTGTGTTATAGTCTCAGCACTGGGAATAATCTTCCTATTAAGCCAAGGTATGCTGTCAAATAACTAATAATAACAAAAGTTTATAAAGTAAATAACAAAAAACAAATGTACAAACGATACTAACAGAGACATATACAGTTCACAAGCTGGTGTGCTAACACCATCATAACCTAAGAATAAATCTTGACAACTGCAATTTCAGTAACATGTCCAAAACAAATTCTCATAGACTGAAAGGTGAACTTGACACAAAATATAGATCGATCTGCTAGGCTGCAGAGTTGGTCAGTTTTGAGCAGTTGTCGCACATTGTCTGGTCTCAACTCAGTCGGCACCGAGTTAAATTGTTTGTATCACAACAGCAGGTACCACAGGAAGAGCACGTGGACGACACATGATGAGCACCGTGTGGCGCCAGCTGGGTGGCCTCGAGCCACACGGCGCTGTGACCCGGGGCCACTCGGTGACTAAGGTTTACAAAACATCTCACTTGAGAGTCTTAGGGAAAATGGCTTGTGTCACTCGCATTTTGTTTATACCTTTTATGATCTGAACATCAGAGTAAGAAAATTTAATTGGATTATGTTATAGTTGAGTCAGTGAAGATTTTGTACTTTAGTTGATTTACGTAAGCTTAACAATTTGTGTTGTGTATCTTAGATTAATATTGGCCACTCATTTGTTAAGTTTATTAAGTTCATTTCAGAGTTATTCATTTACTTAACGTGTAAATAAGAAAGTAATATACATTAGCTATAAACACATCATATTTGTTTTACAGTTACACTATATTTATAAATTTACAAAATTAGTAATTAATTTTACTGATAATGTTAAGTGTAACAATGGTGATATAGTTATCTTTAAATGTACATAAAAAAAATATTTTTTTAAATAGTTACAAATTTTGCTCAAAGTAATTAGTTTCTGGTTTCCTCATATTTGTTGAAGTTGACATAAAGCCTTTTCCTAAAGACTCTTCATTTACAATGCTGGGTAACAAATTTTCAGGTGGACATGCTTTTTAGACCAAGGTCCAAAAAGCATGCGATTATAATTTTTAAATAGTAGTCCTCAAATTACCTTAATTGTGGCCTGTGATGACAGACGTTCAAATATTTGTAAGACAATAAACCTGCCACAAAATTTGAAAATTTGAAATACTGTATATACACACATATTTCATGAGAAAAAATCATTTTACAATTCCTTTCATGCTATACCTTGTTATAAATTGAGTGTGGCACTTTGCAATACAATGTATGCACGTTGTATCATGGTGCAATACAATGTATACACTGTTGTATCAATGGTGTAAGACAATGTATACATACAACATTGTATCAATAGTGCAATACAAAGTATACACCACTGTATCAATGGTGTAATCCTATGTGTGAACTGTTATGTCCATGGTAAATCTTTTTTTAATCCCCTCTTTGTTTTGTACGTTAGTGTTGAAATTACAAATTTTAGTATTTTATGTCAAATTGGTTGTTATAATCAACTTTAAAAGTACAGTACCCCTAGTTATTTGTTTTTTACTATTTTTTTTATACATATAAGCCTAACCAAGCAATAAATAGAACATTTTATATTATTTTGTTGCTTTGTGGTTTTAGAAAATATATTTCAATTCAAAATCTCACAACCTTCCTTTTCCTTAAACCCTTAATTATTCCTTTATTGAACTACTCAATAAGCAACCACAACGTGTTGTACGAAAGACACACTATTAAACAATTTTTTGTGGGACACTTTCATAACAAATATCCAAAATTAAAATTTTAACAAACAATAATTTTCAACAGTTGTTACAAATTCACATTTACAAGATAATTTGAGGTCTACTGTTACATTGAAACCGAAATATATTGAAGAAATTGCAAAATGATTTCTAAAAAAAGCTGTTTTTACTTGAAATCAGTAATCTTGTTCAATAGGATTGCTCGTTTTAGTAGACAACCAATAGTTCTGAAGTTCTGTCTGATTCATCTACAACCAGTGCTGTTGATTAGGTTTTAAATATACATAATTTTGTAAGAGATTGTGTACATTAAGGGATTTTAATGTAAATTTTGCTATTGTCGCTTAACATAACAGTTAACTACTAACAAAACAGTTTTAATCACTGGACATTCAAACTCTTCTCTAGCCGCTGTTACATACTTCTGATAAAGGCCAGATATCGCTCAAGCCTTTAAACCTGCAATTTTCCCTGGAAGTTAAAATAGAACTAGGCCTAATGAATAATTCTCACAGAAAGCATAGACTGTCACTAATCCGTACATTCAGGACTCCGGCAGTGCGGGATTTCTGAGCGCCATCTAAAAATTGTTGTGATTGTGAGAATGATGAAATCACCACTAAAAAGTACAAAGAATCAATACTACAAGTATTTGGCCATTTTCCCGTGTTCTAATGTAATTTGTTATCAGGGACAAGTACACTTTCTCTCAGCCAACGCACACAAACTGAGCTGAAGTTGCGGAGCGTTACAGCTGTTGTAATGTTTTCATAATGTGGGATGGCTTATCATTGGGAATAAACCTTAAGCTGATACTCAATTATCGGATGCATAGTTGTGAGTGTGATCAGAACTAATTGGGACGGAACCTTTTCAGATTACCAAATTGTTTGAATTAGCTGGAAAGAAGTGAATTTTTATGACTATTAAGGGCAAAATATTGCTCACTCTGATGCTCTTCCGCAATCATTGCAACACTGTGATTTCCCGCAGTCACGATAACCCGTGAATAGTTCCCACAATCTTGACTACACCGTCAGTATTTCCCGTGATCATCTCACGTTCGCATTCTTCGTAATGAACAACAAACTGAAAATCAATGGGATCATTACTGAATAGATACTTGACCATAGGCAATTGGCAGAACTTTCCCAAACGTTGGGTTGTATTAGCCAGTCATTCTGATCAGCTTGGTTTTGATTTTAGGGCTCTGGTGTAGGTATTTGATGATTTAATAGGTCACTCCCTGAATACGTACAACAGCACTGTTTGTAGCCTAGATCCAATTAGGGACCACACCTGAGAATTTGTTACAGGCTAGTAGACTTCAGAGAATCCTTCCCACCGTCAGCTGACTCAGTATCTACAACCATGTATCGTGAGTAGTGAAAAGATGTTTTTCATTAGGAAATTTACATTTTCTCTTTCCAGCTGTAGTATAGTTAATAGTAGTATTTTCTAAGAATCCAGAATATCTGTAGGGTATATTTTTCCTTTTTACTAAATTAGGTTCCCCTTTGTATACGTTACATATTGATGCATGTTTAAGTAATAAAAGTACTTACCGGCTGCTATGAATGGGAAAATAAATCATTGCCAATCTTATTCTCTCAAACCAAACTTATATTTAAACCCCTATTTAAAGTTTCTAGAAAACCCTTGTATATCAATGTGGCTATTTATCAACAAAATACTGTTCGCTTGCAAAACATGTTCTTAAATAGGACATTACATTTCTATTTGTAATGAATTGTCAAAGTCATCAAAATTCAACTGTAAAATTCTATACTTTTAAAGTTTTAAAAAATAATTTAGGTAACTCTGGTATAGGCCTACATGCATCATGTTTGCATGTAAACAGTTTCCACTTATAACTCTAATTCATTCAAAGAGTAATTGAAAAATTACTCATCATATACAGGATTACTGTGGAATGTTTTTTTTTTTGCATTTGGTCTGTTCAAACAATTAAAATAACTTCTTGAAAAATAGTGTTATATAAGTTAAAGTGTTAGCAAAAATTAATGCATCTCATCTTTAATGTTTCAACTCAATAATTTATATCTTAATTATATGATTTCATGGAGGGATAAATAAAATAGGTAAAGGTTACATGTAACTGCATTAATACTAAATTGTTCCACGTTGAGCTGAAGTATAGAGACTTACCACTAATTCTATCACATTTTTTAAGAGCAATGACACATTTTTCACATAAACAATAATTTTTTACCTGAGGGAATCAGTGAATGATAAGTCCTATTTGTATAAAATGAAACCACAGTGAAAGTGGGCTGGTTTGGCTGGTAAAATTATAGTAGGACTGAGATTATTAAAGATACTATTCAATAATTTGATATTGAAAATTAAAATTTCTCTATCATTCATGAATTTTGCAAACTAAGCCTATATGTAAAAACTTAATTGATAAAGTAGAATTATTTTCATTAAAATAAAAAAAAAATAGTTTGTATGCTCCATTTTATTTCAATAAGTCATTTTTATAAGGTACCAAGGTACGTCAAATGTATTTCCCTTTCAAAGCTATACCCGACATAGCTAGCATTGATGAAACATATTACCTTACAGATTTATCATCCTTATCGATCAGCTGTCAAGACATATGTTTTTGTCCATTCTAAATTGAAATTTTCTGTTGTTTACAATTAATTTCTTGTTCCAGTGTTAAAACTATTTAAACTAAATAAACTAATCCCTAATGCATATCTTATTATAACCAAAGTATACATTTTAAAATCTCCACACAAGAGAAATATGGAGTCCTAGTCATCAACCCGCTCAAACCTAACTAACATGAAATGCTCGTCATAACTTCAGATTTTACATAGGAGAAGTCTAGCATTCAAATCAAAGTGAATGGTTCTGGGTATCATTGCTATGTAAAGATTCACTGGTAAAGTCAGAAGTGTTGTATGGTGTTGATTGTGTGCAGGACCAACTACAGGTGGCAGCACCAGTCAACAATGGTGTAGGAATGACTCTGCTGCAGAAGATGGGCTGGCGGCCGGGCGAGGGGCTCGGCAAGAACAAGGAGGGCACATTGCAACCCCTGCTGCTGGAGGTCAAAATGGACAAGAAAGGTAAAATACTAAAGGAATCAGTACAGTACTCTATTCGTTAAGATTAACCACCCTGCACAGGAAAAATAGAGGTTGAATTATCAGCCCTAAATTTTTGAATTGGCTTATTTAGCTGACCATTCGTGGGAATCAGAGACTTCTATTCCCAATACTTCTTGGAGTAAAAAAATATAATCGGGTCCGTGCTGGTCTAGTTACAGAACATAATGTAAATCTTTATGTTCTTGCACAGTTTGCATAGATTGTAGGACAGTGATAGGGTAGGGGATGGGGCACTAGTGGTTGTGGACTAAATTTAGAAACATTGTACCACCAAGATGTTTCACCACATTCGTTGAATGTTGATCTAGTTGTATAATACCATGTTTGTTTTTGTAGGTTTGGTCGCTCAAGAAGAATTACCTGTTAGACAGCCTCATCAGGTCATGAGAGGCAAACCTCGCAGCTTGGAAGGTATTCTAAGGACTGTCAAATTTCTTAGTTAAACAAGGGTCTAGCAATACACTTTACCAATGGTAGGCCTATTGATAAACATACATATATACCACTGGATTCATTTAGGGAAAATGCTGTTATACGTTTGTTCCCTTCAAATAAAGCCATCAAAAGTCGTATAACATTTTTCATCTTAGGTTTATGTTATTGCTAAGTACAAGAAAATCACACAACTTATCCTATATATTAATAGGCAAGCATGTTTCTTGAAAACGTTTTTTCTCATCTTGTGTGTATCGCAGGGGTAATCTACGCATACTGTTTGAAGGATAATAGCCTGTAGATATGCAGAATCCCTTAATAAATTAAAACAGGTTTAAAAATATGCACAAAAAAAGAATTTAAAGTTAAAAAAAAGGTACATGGGCCTTATGAGGTGACAAAATTAACAACGAAATAAAAACAGAAAATCAAAACAAGATTCACGATTCAAGATCTTTATTTGTCATTAAGCAATACAAGTATTACAATAGACATCTATTAGACAACAGTAAATATATAGATTAGGCAAAGTCATTATTTGTAATTCTTTGAATATTGGTTTACAAGACTGTCTTTGTGGTATATTCTTGATTGCTCTCAGTGCCTTTTTTTGCCATCCAAGAGCAGTCTGTGCATTGCAAGAGTTGCCCCATAAGGTTATACCATATCGTAGATGGGAATGAAAAAAAGCATAGTATGCAGTAATCAGCATATCTGCAGTAACACAGTGTCTTAGTTTTCTGAGAAGACAAACCACCCTGGCCAGTTTCTTACACAATTGCTCTAAGTGACTATCCCAACTTAATCTGCTGTCTAAATATATGCCTAACAATTTCACAGATTTAATATCCTTATAAATAGAGTAGTTAAGAGTAAAAATGATATTTTCAGTTTTCTGGTTATTTACAATTAAATGATTGGATTGGAACCATTCTTGTGCAACTTGTAAAGTCTGACTCTCAATTTTTTTAAGTTCCTTTAAATCTTTATGGCTGTTTAGGAGTGTTGTATCATCTGCATAAAGAACAGAGGTACAAGGAATATTGAAAGAGAAATCATTAACTGCAATGATAAATAGTAGTGGCCCAAGCACTGACCCCTGGGGTACACCATTTTCAATTTTCTTAAAGCTAGATTTGTCTTTGCCCTGAATTACCATTTGCTCTCTGTCACTTAAATAAGAAGCTAACAAATTCAACTCTTGGTCCCTTATACCATAGCTGTACAGTTTCTTAATAAGAAGCTCATGTTGCATACAGTCAAAAGCTTTTGTTAAATCAATTAGTAATGCAGACAAAAGAAGTTTATTTTCAAAGTTCATTAAAAGTTTACTGACAATACTTTCTACTGCTTTGCATGTACTTCTACCTTGCATAAAACCAAACTGTTCATCACAAAATAGATCATTATTGATAAAATATGTATTGAGCTGTGCTTTAATGCATGTTTCAAAGATCTTACTTATTATGGGTACAAGAGAGATTGGCCGGTAACTGGATGGGTTTTGTTTCTCACCTTTTTTATAAATTGGCATTACCTTACAAAGTTTAAGTTTTTTAGGGTATATACCCTGATCCATCATTTTATTGAAGAGAAATGTTAATGGCTCCACTATTTCATTAATAATTTCTTTGATAACCCTATTAGAAAAACCATAATAATCTTCACTTCGTGAGGAACTTAAGCTAGTTACACACCTTATTACATCAACAGTATTGATTTTTCGCCACTTGAAAAACTCATTGCCTAAGTTTCTATTTGAGACAAAATTATTAACTAAATCTACTGCACGACTACTAGACATATCACTAACATTGCATTTATTTAATTCATTGACTACATTAACAAAATAAGCATTTTAAGTATTTGAGTCTAAAACTACATCTTGGTTATTTTTTCTGCAATTTGATTCAGCTTTTATCAAACTCCATGCTGCCTTACATTTGTTTGAAGAATTTTCAATATACCTATCATTTGCAATTTTCTTAAAATAACTAATCCTTTTTTTATACATTTTCTTTAATTTCAAGTAACCTAGTTTATGGACTCCTTCGTTTGTTGTACCCATAGAACTTCTATACCTGTCATAAAAAGTTGTGACATATATCTTAAACCTCTGTAACTCTGGTGTATACCACTTCAACTTGGGCTTGCCATGATTGTTTATTTTAACTTCCTTAAACCTACAGCTTTCATTAAAAGAATTTGTCAATAATAAATTAAAATGGTTAAACGCTTCATCTACATTGTTAAACTGTGCTAATTGCATCCAATTAATTTGTGACAGTTCATTCCTTAAGTTAGAGAGTGCTCTAGGAGTTGTATCCCTTATTGTTTTAGTTGTGATATTATTGGACTTTGTCCTGTTGACATTCATTTCATTAAATTTTGCAAACACTCCTGCATGATCTGATAAGTGTGGTTCAATTACAGAACAATTTACTTTCTTTCTATCAATGTTGGTTATTATATTATCTAAACACTTATCACCCCTAGTTGGATTTTCATTTAACCAGTAAATGTTATGGGATCGTAATACATTTTGGAAGAAATCTCTTTCTTTTGATTTAATTAATATATTAATGTTAAAATCTGCAGTTATAATATGTCTTGAACCAACATATTTTGTATTTAAGTGTAATAAAAAAGTGTCTAGTATTTTAAGAAACTGGTTGATATTTGAATCTGGAGTTCTGTACAAGGTGGATATAATGACATTAATTCCTGGCAAATTAATTGCAGTTACCTCAAAAATATTGTCCTGGTAAAACTGTGTTACATCTAACGCTTGAGCCTCAATGCCTCTCTTATAATATATAGCACTTCCACCACCTCTTGTAAGAGAATTATTTCTACCACAAATACTACCTAAGTTATACCCGTAAGGAATGTAAAAAGCAAATTCTTCTTCGAACATCCAATGTTCATTAATAGTTAAAATATCACAGTTAAGATTTGTCAAAAAGGCATCAATTAAATTTAACTTATTTCTAATAGATTGAACATTACAATGATAAATACTAAGACATTCATTAGATAGACCTAGGGTACGTTGCCTTGCGTTGGTGGAGAGACGTTTCCCGATTGAGACTCAGTGCCTGGTGGGGGAGGTTGTTCATCGTGTGTAGGCCTACTCACTGGACGGTCGTACTCCTTAGCAGCAACCGCCTCAGCTATCCTATCCGCAAGCCATTTCTTTCCCTTGTTGTTGAGATGGAGACCTTGGCGTGTATGCAAATGTCTTTCCGCTTTGCTAGCTTCCACAAAAAATACATTGTTGTGTTTTTGACAAAGTTCTTTGAGTCGTAGGTTGGTTTTTCGTAATTCATTATTCACGCATGACCAATTTGGCAAGTCATATCTCATTGGCAAATCCACAATACACACAGTTTGTTGTTTCCACTTGTCCAAGAAAGTTGATATACCCTCAACACATTCATCTGCTTCATTTCTAGCCACATCGTTTGTACCACAAATGATCACTAGAGCATCTTCTTTTCTAAGATTTTCACCCTCAATATTATTTGTATTTAAAATTTGATTTGTTCGACCACCTGGTCTAATAAATCCTAGTGTTTCATACAGCTTTTGGGATTTTTTTAAGTGCCATGCTAAATCTCTCCCATGGCTGTCAGCGCAAACAAGTATTTTTTTAGTAGAGTGCTTTTTGAGATTTGTAGTATTTGCAGCATCTTTAATAGCCTCATCTTCCACGGCAAGACTTGCAAAGCGATTTTGGGTTTCGACATCTTCATGTACAATTGAGTTACTTGTAAAACTAATTGATGGTTGAGCTAGGACATTCGGTTTATTTATACTTCTAGGTGTAGATTGACTTACTGGAAAAATCTGTTTTGATTTAGAAACATTATTATTGTTTTTTAATGCTGGCCAAACTGGTTTCCTAATAACAGTATTCAATTCCTTGATTTTTTCCTCCAGTGTTATAATGGTCTCTTCTTTTTTAACACTAGATTTTCAAGCACTGCCTTTTGAGACTTTAGTTCCTGTATTTCCTTATTTGCCTGGTTTAGATCCTCATTCAACGTTTTAATAATTTCAATTTGAGTTTCCAATTCTTGACTTATATCTGCATTTAACTCGTCTGTTTCTTGATCAATTCCTAAAGTGACATCATGGGACTTGCATGGTTCACATACCCATTTTTTATGACCAGTAGATATTTTATTAAATTCATCTACTGTAAGTGTAGTACATTTAAAGTGGAACCATTTACAACAAATTCCTTTACATAACAAAGCTTTACACTTTCCAACATTCTTACGACAATTTCCACAGGGATATTGTTTTTTATTTACCATTTTTTTTATGAATAAATTTAATAAATTATACTGATAATCGGATAGATAAATTATTTTGGCTATGTGTTTTAAAAAGGATATATTACCACTATGATTCAAAAGAGAACCAGTGTCTTATCACTGATAAAGTTCTGGATCTTTGACCTAGGCTGAGCGCTAGAGGCTTATCAGTTTATGATACACCACCTAGGCAGTTGTGTGGTTATCTCTGATACCTATTGCAGTTTATTTCAGTTTACCTAATTGTGATGTTCATATTGTTGTTTATTACCAGAAAAACTTCTTTTAGTTAATTGTGTATAAAATGCAATGGTAAGTCCACTATGCTTCTAGTTGAATTCATATGTTATTTGCCTGTTCTGTATCATTGTTGTTTCATACAAGTCCTTTAATAGAATTGTGGTTTTTTAATTTCTTCACTCTAAATGCTTTTTGACGCTTTTAAAGCACAATATAGGTTAACTTTGACCAGTACCTTAAAACAGTTTTTTAACAGGTATTAAACACTATTTTTTTTTTTTATTTATCTGTATAAAAAACTTTTGAGCACTATTAAGAAGCACTTTTATTATTTATTTATAGTAAAATAAGTTTAAACCCACTTTAAAGTAACTTTGAAAATGGTATGCTGCTATGCCTGTCAATTCCAGTCTTTCATCCCAGTCTCTCTCTCATGAGGTGGCTCCAGCAACAAATGGAAGATATTCCAATCACATGTTTTATTTACAGCGTAGGATGAAAATAGAGAAGTTTGCACAATACATATTTTCGGTTAAGTTTATGACCTCGGAGCAACCTCTAGTCTAGTATACTTAAATGTATGTTTTTCCAAATGCAGGTAAACACCCTGTGTCACTGCTGAACGAGTATTGTTCTCGACGGAAGTATGGAGCTCCGATGTTTGAGTTGGTGGACGAGGCAGGGCCAGATCACAAGAAGAACTTTTTGTTTAAGGTAAAATGTGTTTATTTTAAATGTTTTTAGCGTATAAAAATGTTTATTTGTTTGATAAGCTCATTAAACTTCAAATAACATTTTTTAAGATTTTACTATATTCTGGTTTTTTAGTTAGTATTTCATTCGAATAGTGTTAGCAACTTGTATTTGTATCATACAACATTTTGCAACCGTAATAAATAAACTATAAAGTATAGATGTGTTATAGAAACATGGTGTTAACTAGGTGCGAGTGAATGGGGTGGAATACAAACCAGCCGTCGGCAGCCCCAAGAAGAAGCAAGCTCGAGCCGAGGCCGCGGAAGTGTGTTTGAAAGCTCTCGGGATCTTACCAAACAAATAGCATTTTAACCTTAACTCGGTGACTACTGTAAATATCTTTTGTACAGAATTAAATTTATTTTTGTACAGTTATCTTAGAAATTGTCTATTCCTTGACCATAAATTCTACCTAATATTGTAGGAAGTAGGAAACGTTGAAAGTAATGAATTGTAACAAAGGAAATATGGGATGATATTTTTATTTACAATTAATTTACATGTGGTTTCACCAGCCGCAGTAAGAGGGATCGACGACGTAAAATCCTGGAATAATAGAATTATTGACACTCAAAAAGATGTATTGCATAGCTAGCAGGGCCGCTTTAGTAAATGCGCCTGGGCCCACAAGAAGGTTTAGGTTTTCCCGGGTGCACATGGGAGGGGGAGAGGGTACAACTATCTCTTGGGCCCATGGCGTGTCGCATGCAAACTAAGGGCTTAATAACTAGGTTTGGAGCTAAACCATTGCTGTAATCAGTATTGCACTGGATAAATTCTCGGGTTTCTTTAGAGCAAGGTCAAATCAGTATTTTTTTTTACACTATGTACAAAACCAGACATTTCACCCACACTATGAGTCTCAGCTCATAGAATGGGTGTAACGTCTGGTTTTGTACATGGTGTAGAAATACTGATTTGATCTGGCTCAACAGAAAAAAAAAATAGTGACAACACCATAGCCGTTAAAGTCTAGGAAAGATGATTGCACTAGATAGGTACCTAATTGTAACTTATTAGGGAATAATAAATAATATGCTGTTTTCTTGTGTTTTTGGTGTTATTTTAAGGTTAAAATCTTACATGCCACACAAGTCCTTCAATTAAATGTCACATTTTACCAACAACTTTAAAGACAACTAACTATTATTTATGAAGGACTACGCCAAACATTTACCTAGAGGAACAAACTCAAAAGTAATCCATACACAATGATGTTGTTAAAGAGTATATTTTTATTTCTGTAGTAGTCAATGTGATATTCTGTGGTGTTTTTTTTTTATTTCAACAATGATAGTTATGTAAAGGATAAGTACTTTTTTATGCAGTTTCATTGTTTAGTGTACATTTTAAATTCTAATTAAAAAATTCTAGCAAAAAGCCTACATGTATTAATTGTCTTTTGGACTTGATTTCCTCAGCTAAGAGATATAAAAACTCTATAATATCTTCATATAAAATATCTTGCTACAGCCTCCTACACTGCTTAAAAAATGAAAAATCAGTTGAGCTTGGTAAAAAAAATAACTTATTCTTCAAAATAATTCTTTAGTATTTTTTTCAATGTTTATTACCTTTTTGCACACGGCTTAAAACATAGTGTAATTACTAATAAGTTTACCAACCTGTGCCTCTGCATTTGTTTGCGAGTCGCATGAAGCAGATGTTCTGGAACTGGTAGAAGCCGAAGTCATCGTCGTAGCAACAGACAGGAGAAGAGTAAGAGGGACAATATCCCCCGCAACCTTGGCAGATGTTTGGACCAATCACCACTTAAAACAGGCAGCCATTTGGTTATTGGTCATGATATGGAAATTAAATGATGATTCCATCATGATCGACGTCTGCATGTAATGCAGATAAGTGTAATATGGAGCAAGGTTTGAAAAATATGTTGATGGTGGTGTTGTTCATTAAGTAAATTTTAATATCTACTATTATCTTTGCATAGAAGATGAACAAATTAAATTATACATGGTTTGTGCTAAAAATAAGGCTACAAATTTAACATGGGGATGGGATCTCTAGTTGTATTGATTAATAGTCAAATCCTAAATTAGTCTGTGGTCACATTTATTCACCACATGTTTCCAAATGCACAGAGGAAATGCTAAGTTGTTTGTAGTTTCAAAATCTAGAGCTGTGGAAAAATGTTCAACATAGTTATAAATGTAATTAATTTTTATACTGGATACGCCTACTAATATTTATTACTTATGATTGATTATAAAAATATCATAAGTAAAATTCAATTATTTGAACAAGTTTTTTACAGTAATAAACCTGTGAACAAATCAGAATGATTATTTTATTTTTATAATTTTATGTAAAAAATATCTATTGCAATTATAATGATATCTTTTCATACCTAAGAACATGACCATCAACCCAAGATTTGCCATTGCTCACTGAGAAACTGAGTTGCAGTGATTTGCACAACCTAAATAGATACCAAACGTTTAACAAATATTAGCGTAGCCTTGCATTAATGGCATAAACAAAAGGCATACCAAGAATTTAGAGGTAAGTCTTATTTATTAAAACAAACAATCTACCTTATCATTTTATCTTTTAAGCTTTCACAAGACTAGCACGGTTTGTAGAGTTTAAATAAATTGTTCTTGGAAATAAATCAATGGACAACACGGCAGATAGAAAATAAAAACTTATATTTACAGAAATATACATGGAAATAAATAACTTATAAGAAGAATATCTATGAGCTCAGGTGTTTTCATGATCATCAACAAGATTGTATATAACAACTCCTCCTCCATCTGGCTCTTCCTCATCGTGAACCTAAATAAAACCAGTATTGAAATAAGCTTAGAAGATGGATAAGAACTAAAGCTAATAAAACATTTTCTATTCTAATACCTATTAGAAACTTTGCATTCGGTCAACTTATAACAATCTGTTCAAAAAATTTATGTGTTTGGGAGGAAGTTCCCCCATTACTTTTTTTTGTTCATGTTGCATCTGATGGATGTTTTGTTTGACAACCTCAGGGTAAATTATATATTATATACACAGGGAAGAAACTATTACTGTAGGTAAGATCTAGACCCGGGAAAGATCAACTTTTTCATTTTTATGTCCCCACAGGCTGAAAATACTATTGGTTTAATTCTTTTATGCATAACTCAAGTAGTTTTGATCCAATCTTGATAAAATTTGGCAATAATGTGTAGAGCGGGATATACTTGAATAAGATCACGAACCAGTATGGAGAAAAATAAAACTGTTGTAGTTTGCTTGTTTATCCGGAAGTATTTTGACAAAATTTATTTATTCCATCTCATACTATTAACATTTAAACAAAAACACTTTTCCCTTCTTCGTAGCAGCAAATCTAAGTACTGTACTAGTTGAATCCAATGTTATATAAATAGGGAATAAATTACTTGTTTATGGAAGTATTTTAGTTAAATTTGGAATTTAGTTAATTCCAATCAGACAAAATAGAAATTTAATTAATCTGCAGGTTTGCTGTGGCAGGGGTATTGGATATTATGGTTTTATTTTTAGGTAGGTGTAGTTCGAGACAATCAAATCGAGACAAAAAATTTGTTGGTCAGTGTGGTTTTAACTTTTGATGCTTATTGTTAATGGCACTTGGACTTTCACCAAAATCGTGGAATTTCAACACGGCATTCTTATTAAGTGATTATCTGGTATCTTGCATGATTGAGGCATCATGTGAATGTTAACATGTTCATTGCATTTACTTACATCAATAAAAAGTAAGGCAATGTACAGATGGGATTTGTAGCTAATAAATTGGGCATTAGTTAGATGTGGTCAAAACTCAATACAATAGGTTAGAACAAAGCTTCAAAGCAAGGAATCTCACTGTGTCATACAACAAGGCTTTGTGTTGAGTAGGACCATTAACTTATAAATTCTAAAGTAGACATAAAGAACTAAATGTAGTCAAATGTTAATTATAAAAGAACCTAGGTCAACTCACAAAGTGTTCTACTGTCTAAGGCTCCATTTTATTCCTTAGTTATCATGTCTGTGATAGTTAAAGTGACTGACGTAAATGATTCTGAAGTTCAGCACATACACCAGAAATCATTCATTTTTATCAGCATACACACTGACAGTGACTAATTCAACTACATTCATTTTCATAACTGGCTACAGCTTTGACATGGAATGGGAGGTCTTCTGGCAAGACTTATCATAAACTGATACAGGGGTAGGCCTATATGAATTTTGTACCATACAACCAAAGGAGATAAACTAGCTAGAGCAGCCTAAAAAATATTCAGAGCTGTAGTGAAATAGCAATCATAGAAAACATTAAGGTAAATTTCATGTTCTAGTTGTTTTTCTAGGCCACTTCATGCAAATCAAAATAAGAAGGTTACAATACCTGCAGACTGCCTATAGTGGTCCTTGAATATCCAACATGTGAACATCCATATGTGAGTCGAGACTTGACACTTAAAATGCATGCATTGCTTCACTTTTGTCTCTCGTTTTTAATTAGTAGGCCTACGGTAAATAGTTTTTTTTGTGATTAAATGTTTTGTAACTGTGTTTTAAAACTGAGACGTGACATCAAGTTGAAAAACTTCAAGTTTTGTATTTAGGATCTGATGATGGTATGACAATATACTGGGGCCCTATTTTTGAAATGGTTGACAGTTGAGTCAATCGTCAGCACTCAACTCAACCAACAACATGATTTGGTATTTTTGAAACCCAACAGTTGGGAAGCGAGTTGGGAATCACTAGTTGAGAGACTCGTGGTGGAAATGTAGAGCATACGACCGTCAAAAATTCAGATGACGTCATTTTGAACCAATCACAATGCAGAGTTCTTGCGGACTTCGATTTAACCTCTTCTTACTCTAAAATCTGGCAGCTAATCTCAATCCAATCTGCCATATTTCGAGACACTGAGGTAAACTGTCAACTCCGTTCTTGAGAGATTGAGGTTATAATGGGTTATGTCTTGCTTAATTTAATCTTAGTGATTGCAAAGTACCTTAACTTATATAGGCTAAACTTAAGTATTAAAAATAAATTTTACTATGGATGTTTGTTTTAGGGTGTAGCTAATTATAAGTTTAGGCATAGGCTGCACTTTACTTTAGGTCCTACACTCATCCTAAATACATTATTAATTGCTTTCTTCGTCTCTATTTCGGAACACATCACCTTATTTTAGTTTCCTTCATCGGTTTGTTTTATGTTATTTTTAATTGTTTTTTATTTAGGTTAAAGCGGCCATTTGCCATTGCACTGGAAGCATATCGTAACTTAAATTAATTTGATCCCTTTATTAGGTGAATGGTATTGAAACAAACTATGATATTGTTTCTCTCTACCACAATCTTTAATACCTTAAATCATAGGTCTAATAACAATAATTATCTTATAATAAGTTCAATTAGTATGCCTAGTCTATTTCAAACATTCCAACAAGATTAAAACCCTTGATTAAATAGTCTAGTATTGACACAGTAAATAAAATTAAAATGCGATTTCTACAGAAAACAATCGCATAATTGGGTGCTAATACATTGACAACAAATACATAACCTCTAAATCGCAATTAGTAAATTAAAGCAATAACAAAACAATATGGCGTCGTCTCAAAAAGAGTAATTTTTTGCCGAAAGAGAGGAAGAAGAAAGTGCAGTCAACCTCCACTCAACAGCTCGATAGGTGTTGAGTAGTTTTGGTTGTATAAGTCCACCGTCAACCGTTTCAAAAATACGAAACGATTGGAAATAGAATGACTCGACACTCAACTCAACAGTCAACCATTTCAAAAATAGGGCCCCTGAAACGCGTAATCCTGTTGGATATTCAAGGACCACTAAAGGCAGTCTGCAGGTATTGTAACCTTCTTATTTTGATCATTAAGGCAAACATTACAATTTTCACCTCACCTCATGTTCGCTACCCTCATCCTCAGAGCTGCTCCCAGAGGCGGGGTCGCGATAGTCGCCCAATTGCTGAGGTGGTCGGCCTATACTACGACTATAACTTGCAGCCGTGGCCGCCAACCGCTCTGCTGCATGTCTCATCTGCACCTCCTGCGATAGTGTGAATAAATAGGTTTATCGGAAGAAGGTAGTTTGGAGAGATAATTAATCTTAGCATTTAAAAACTGGTAGACATATTTGGACTTATAACTAAGGGGGCTGGATAATAAATTTCAAGTTGATGTTTGTAAAGAGGTTGTACCCAAAATACCAAGTTTTAGTGGCATCGGAGATACCTTAGCTATGAAAACGTGATTACCTTGAACTTGTGTTGTTGATCAAGCTGCAGCTTGATTGACTCTTGAAGGCTGACCATCTTGACATCTCCGTGCACGGGAGGGGGAGGAGTGGCCGCTGTCACCTCCCATTTGCCCCTCCCCTTCTTGGGTTCCCCCTCCTTGCGTTCCACAGATCCTTTTAGAGTTCTGTAAGGCATAAACTTGGTTTTCTGATCATTAGCGTTCACCGAGTCCATTTTTTCACAAATGTGTTTGGCATATTCATCAAGCACTTCGTCTTCTGTCTCTTCAGGTTGGTTTTCAACTTGATCCATAGGATGAACATTCTTCATGTCCTCCACATCGGAAGGTTTGATCAGAGGCTCTTCAGGTTTTAATATTCTAAACAAATAAACAAAATATATGATTAACGTAATCAATTTTGTTCATTTTATAAATGTGAAATATTTACAGTTGAACCTCTATAAGACGAATTTCAAGGGGTACGGGAAAAATTCGTACTATAGAGGTATTCTTAATAAAGAGGTTCGTTTTATCGAGGTTTAATGCTGCTGTTATTCTTCTTATAGAGGTTTCTCCTCGCTCCAAGGTTTCTCCAAACAATGACTGAGGAAGGAGGAGGGATGGGTGGGGGTTTAATGTTGAGACAAGCTTCTGTTTGTTTTGAAAACTACGTACTATGGAGGTTAAGATTATGATAAATTCGTCTTATAGAGGTCATGTTCGTCTTGTAGAGGTTTTGTGCTAAGAATATTCGTTGTATAGAGGTTAATCAGTCCTAGCCCATGTCACAAACAAATCGTCTTATGGAGGTTTTTAACTTAATTACTACGTTTTATAGAGGTGTTTTTAGCATTGACCTATATGAAAGTGTCAAGGGGATTAAAAAAATGTCGTTTTATCGAGGAATTCGTTTTATCGAGGTTCGTACAAACGAGGTTCAACTGTACCAAATTTGATTAATATTAAATACTTATCAGTTCTGAGTAAAAATATTATGAAGGTAATAAGTTTTCCCTCAAGATGCTAAGTGAATGAGACGAAAAATTTAAAATAATGTTTGTTGATACACTGCCACTGCCAGCTATTATTTCTAACAGGACCACTTCTGAGACCTACTAAAAGTATAATAATATAAATGTAACACAGTAACACACTTACTATGGATTATACGAGCAGTAGTACCTATTGCTTATTTTATAGGAAATATCTTGTGTATTTGCAAATATTGGGTGGCAGAATCTAAACTAATGACTTTATCCTAATGTAAACAGCTATAAGGTGAATTAAATGTAAACTCAGGAAAATGTAAACAAACAATTAAAAATAAAACAAATACAACAGCTTTTGCATCTTCAAAATGTTTATTGTGATTAGGTACAACCCTTTCATTGAAGTTCGTGCCCTTAGGAGAGTTTATCGAAAAACTGTTAATTTATGGGGAAGTTTTACATAAAGACCTTTCATTCAAGTATGAGGTAGTTTAGGTTGCGGTTTTCTTAAAAGTTGTGGTCCTTATTAGCTTTATAGATTAATACAGCAACAACTAACTCCTAAAATCAACAGTCAAATTTTAACCATTTATAGCAAGCCATTAATTAATTTTAGGCATAGGTAAACTCTAAAAACAAATACCGATTTTGTTAAAGAAAAATTACTTTATTTACATCTCTATTGTTAGCGTTTTGACCTACTATTCAATAAATTGTGTGGAGAGCTTTAAATATTTAGGAGTTACCGTTAATAGTTTGAATTATGAAGATTTAGAGATAAAAAATAAACTAGCAAAATGCCAATAAGAGTGTTGGGGCCTGTACAAAACTTTTATCATCCAAACTTTTATCAAGATGCTTAAAATTAAGATTAGGCCTATACAAGACCATTATACAGCCAGTGTTATTGTATGGAAGTGAAACATGGGTCCTCTCCAAAAGAAATTAAGATCTTTTTATGGTGTTTGAAAATAAGGTACTTTGAAAAATATTTGGCCCAGTTTATGAAGAAAGAGTTTGGCGCTTAAGAAAAAATAGAGAGCTGTATGCCCTATCAAGGCCCCACTAGAAAAACAGGCCATGCTGCAGCACGGGCAGCGCAACACTACATCACAGTGGTGGATAGTTGAACTAAAACTCTTACCATTAAAATCCTACAAACAGCCAGCTAGGTAATGTTTATTTACCTAAAACATATGGCGATGGCAATGAATTTATCAATGAAATCCATCCACTATAGTTCGGCCCCTTAGAAAGCGACGTCCTCCAGCATTAGATTAGCATTAGCACGCAGGTCGCTTTCTAAGCGGCTGAACTATAGTGTGACGTCATGGATCCTGCAGCATGGCCTGTTTTTTCTAGTGGGGCCTTGGTCCTATACAAAGAGCCTAATATAATAGCGCTTATAAAAGCCAAAAGAATTAGTTGGATAGGTTACTTAGGAGACAGGATGGCACAAGACTGAAGGAGGTTTGTGAGGTTGTACCTACAAGACGACGTCCGTTGGGTAGGCGCCTAAATTAAGATGGTATGACCAAGTCAAGAAGGATGTGATCCAATGTGGAGGAGAAATCTAAATGGCAGAGGATAGAGAAGAGTGGAGGAGGCTAATCTACGAGGCAAAAAGTCAACTGAGATTTGTGACACCCCATAAAGTAAGTAAGTAAGTAAAGTAATAATTTAATTACCTGTGTTTCTTCTTGTGAAAGCCTGCACCTGAGTGATTAGCAAGTATCTTGAAGGGATCTGTCTCGTCATCACTATCGTTGTTTTCCTCAGTTGTAGCAACATGGCCTGGCGCGCACCGACCTGTCCACTCCAACGCGTCCAAGTCTTCCTTGCCGTTCACCGACAGAGCCGACATCATCCGAGACAGATTCTCGCTCTCATTACGCTTCTTCAGCTCCGCCTCGATCGACTCCTTCAGTGCTGTTATTTTTTCACCCTTATCTGCGAGTTTGTTGATGAATGCTCTGAAAAATAGTTACGGTACGTAAAGTATTCTGTTAGTAAATATAGTTTTATTCACCTTTTTAATTTTGTTGCTAAAGTTTTACTATCGAACAAAAAAAAATGTATTTTGGCCATTGAGCTATTTTAATGTTTTAAGGAGGGAGGTTTGTAAACATATTTTAATCAGTGTTAGCATTTTAAAATAGCATGTTTTCAATTGTTGTGTTGTTGTACTGCTTAAAGTTGTATTAAAACCAATCTAAAGACATAGTTTAAAATTTATCTAACTAGCCTGTGTTTAAAATTTGGTACCGTAACATAAATGTCTTTAGGTGTCAGAAAGATAGGCCTACATAGTTTGAATACTGGTCTACTCTTAAGATATTTGAAAAGACAAGACATAGGTGCATTAATACAAAAGTTTTGACATTTGATGATTGGGAAGCTGGCGTCGTCCTGTAATCCAGCTACTAGGAGGTCTTGAATTGTGGATATTTATACAGATGCACTGTGGAGGCGATACTCCATGGTGTGGATTAACGTCTGCACTAGTGAGTACTATGACTATCCGTCAGTACTATCCTGATAATTAGACCAATTCGTTTATACCAAGGCAAGAATGTGGTGCGAATTCCACTATAAACTGTTGGTTCCTTAGTTGCCATTAGCAGTTTGAATTTAGGTTGCGGTTTTCTTAAAAGTTGTGGTCCTTATTACAATACAATGTCTATTAATTAACAGCTGTTTCTAATGAATATGTCGGCCTTAGTCACTAACAAGACTACAAGATCGCGCCACTCATCCACATCATCATTCACTCATATTTGGGTTAAAATATGCACATAATGGCGTTCACATCTATAATTGATAATTAACAAACAGGAAAAAGTAAAATAATGTAGCCTATTTTGCCAATAAGCAAATTTTCTTATAGGGAAGAATCTATTACCCTAGGTGGCACGGTAAGACCAGGACCAGGGACCAATTAACATTTTCATTTTGATGTCTCGAGAGGCCAAAAATACAATTTGTTAAGATTTTTGTATTTGTTGTAGTTTGCTTTTTCATGGATATATTTTAACCAAATTTGGATATTTTTGTTTATTTAATACTAGGCTAAGCTATCAACATTGCAATAAAAAAACACATCTCAATATCTTTCCTGTAGCAGCAAACCTAAGTACTCACTAAAATTAATGTTAATTAAACAGGAAATAAATCTGACAATTTTTAGGGAATATTTTAGTAGAAATCCAGCCAGGTAAATGGAAATTCGCTGAGCCTGCAGGTTTGCTACAGCGAGAGTATTAATAGGCCTACTTACGTAGCCTACAGTATAAATAAAGTTACTTACTTATTTGCCAGAAGTTTAAGCTGCCTGCCTAATAATTCATTCAACTGCACAATTGTTTGCTGCGCTAAATCGCCAATGTAGCCTTGTTTCTCTTTTTTTGGTTCGGATGGTATATTTCCAGGTACTTTACTGATTATTCTTTGTGTATACATTCTGAAAAAGGACGTTTAACTTTTAGATTGTATGCATTGGAACCTAATATAGCAAGTAGTCTAGTTATCATGTCACACAGATTTTTGTGTGAAAATTGGACACATAGTATGTTGTAATGAAGGCCAAGACTTCCATTCTGGCCTGTACAACTGCCTCCAAAATCTGTACAAAGTGTTTGATATAGGATTTTGGATCTAGGTCTAAATGTAAACAACAGTTTTCAATAACTTAACCTATACTAATTGTCCTATTCCAACCGAGACTCCTTGACTTTTTTCACTTCCAGTAACCTGGTTCGTTGGTTTCTGTGCTCAATCTACTGGCATATCGATCAGGCGAATTTAGTAGGCCTCAAACCCGCATTTGCAACTCGCTCCATAAATTGTTTGGCCTAAGTAAGTTAACTACAGTACGGTCCACGAGAGTCTGCAGTTGAGGGAGGAGCCTATTTACCACGTGTTTTCGAAGGAGCCAATGAGGACAGTGTGGTGTTGCCAAATCTAATAATACCAGCTGATTTGAAAATATTGTTTAGTAAACTTAGGCCTAACTTATATTTTAATTAGTGTTGAGAATTAGTGAACAGGCGATGTTGCAACTCGCTATACTTGTCCAGTTTTCCTATTGGCTGCCGCCAACTGCAGAATCTCACCGTGGTCCCTAGTAGGTATAGACTGACAACTGGTAGGTCAGTAACAATCCCTGAGATATAAGTTATTTAGGCATTCATTTTTGTGAAACGTCATATTTTTTTTTATGAGTTCAATTGTTAAGAGGTAAAGTTACAAAATCCTGGTTATAAGTATTGTTGACATTATAAGCGTCTAGGCTATGTAATTTTACATTGTATTCATTCATTGTAATTTTGCTGTATGAAATTGGGAGTATTTCAAAACTTGAGATTCACAGTCCTGAAAATATCTCGTTAATCAAGATTACCTACAAAAACGCCTTCAGATTCATTTTTATGTGTAATACGTTTATATTTAAGTAAAGATCAAGAATACACTTACTTGTTCAATTAATAATAAAAACAATAACACTAGAGTACCAACCCTAACCTCAACCCTCAACTCAACACAACAATAGACTGAACTCATATGAGTAATATGACTGACTATGAACATCATATGACGATGAACGATGAACAAAACAAAACTTTGACAGACAGACAGACTGGAAATTTTGCAGTGGAAAAGAAACTCACTTAGTACTGCAGCCAACTGCCAACTCAAACAAAGAAAACTATCGCCCCATAGGGTTCCATACTATACACTATACATGTACACCCCATTTCAACAAAACATATAAAAACAGTAGCTGTTGACATTTGTGAAGTTTAATTTATTTATGTTATTTACAAACGGCAATACACCAATTTACATAGATAATTGTTTGACAGCTAACAACAGAACAATGCTAGTGTTTTGTGTCTGAGTTTACAATAATAACTAGCTGTGTGCCCGTTCTACGCACGGGGATCGTATAGTAGTCAGTTGAAACCTTCTTATATTAAGATTAAGAACAGCAGTTAGTTTGCATATTTGCAGATATGCTGGCAAAACTATTATATATAAACCTTCGCAAATACAGTATCTGACAGTTCAATTCAAAATAAATGCATCGCAATTAAATGTCACCCGGATCGTTATGGTCCATATGTCCAATGATTAAAACTAAAAAATGTTTTATAGATCCATGAAGCGTAGCCCTAAAGTAGGCCTATAATTGAAAGTTACATTCCACATCGGTTAACTTAAACGTATTTAAAGTACTACTTCAACCTCACCATTTAACACTTTATTTCGGTTGACATTTTCAGTATCAAAGGTGCTCTTGTCCATTCCGTGAAACACTGAGAAATAAGGACATTAAAGCTGGGTTTTCCTAGACGCGGAGTCGGCCAGCGGAGAGCGGACAACGGAGAGCGGACTCAGCTTGTCTTAGGTAACTTAATGTTACTGTTTTCCTAGCAGCGGAGCGGAATGCCATGTTAATTTCAATTCCGCTCTCCGTTGTCCGCTCTCCGCTGGCCGACTCCGCGTCTAGGAAAACCCAGCTTAATGCGTTACCAACAGACATACACACAACAATCCAAAAAAGGCCACGAACTATTGATACATAAACAATATAAAGGCGTAAACAATTCATGATGGTTAGCCCAACAAATGTTTTACTCAAATAGGTTATCATTTTCTTAGCATACCGAGTAAGCTAAGATTTGGAATCCAGACAGAAAAAGCAAAACTTATACAGAGTTAAGACATCACTTAAATTGAATACGGACGGCTCTAATAAATAAGGTGCAACACCAACGATAACTAATTTGTAAACTACAGTGATGTGTTGGTACCTACGTAAAAATGATTCTAGCAGCTACCAACGGTTCTAAGGAAAAGAACCAGTACCCACGTAAGAACCTACCTAAGAACTATAGTACATCCGACCAATAAAATACATTAATATCTAGTCCCGAGGTTATAGATCTCTTGCTTTTGGATTTTCTCGTAAAAGGTTATAGCGTAAACTTAACGGTGTCAGTTTGAAAAAAAAAGCAACCTTACCCAAACAACTTTTTGTTATTTAATAGATTACGCATTCTCTAAACAATGATTAGGCATAGTATATCTATTAACATTAGAAGGAAATGTGACGAAAATCACACAATGTTGGGGTTTTGGTCATTTGTAATTATATTTCTTAAGTAGGTAGGCCATGTATTCTATGGAAAAGTACCGGTATCAAGGATCGTCGTCAAAAAGGTTGTTATGAATAAATATGTAGGCTTACGTACCCAAGATATGAGCTATGGGCCTATTGGCTGTATGGTCCAGCGATTGCATCACACGGTGAGTAGAAACAGAAAGTGACACATTGGAAAAGCGAGTTTAGCACTTCCTCTGTTAAACCTCTGTTACAATCACCCACTGCAGTTGTGATTTTTTACTTTACACTTTACACAACCGCCATTGAAGCGCCGTCAATGAGTGGAAACCTTTTTTGTAAGCTATTGCATGGCGACTATCATTTCAGTGTCCCAGCCCTATACAGCACTGATTCAAGGTCTTCTTTCTGGTTGTCAAAACTCAAGAAACATTTTATACTCAAAGAATTTCTGGTTCCGATTTGGACGATGTCTAGTTATTTAATTTCATTTACGGTTACACTATTAGACTATATTATTGCACTTGCGTTTAATTAAATCCGTTATGTAAGAAAAACGTTTTTAATCTCACTTGGTTGGGATTTGCTTTCAAAACGTGATTCGAAATGGTTGCGGTATTTGTAAACAACATTTGTAAACATATCATTGACAGCTAGAAAAAATAATCTTGATCCGAACAGCTGTTCGTTATTTCATAGACGATTGTGTGATAAAAATTGAACGAAAATTTGACAAAAATCGCACAAAACTGCATTTTTGAACGTCCGTAATTTTATTTACAAAGTAGTGAGTTTATATTTAAATCACTAAAGACACTCTCGCCAATCCAGTGAATACATTAAAATGACTTGGATTTTGATAGGTACTCTGGTTTTCACGGAGAAGATTGCGTAAAATGCCATCTTGAGTGTTACAGACAAAGGGAAAGACAGACAGACAGAAATAGAGATAAGACTCGTTTCTGCTTCTTTAATGTATAAAACGTAAAAATAACCTAAAAGTATATAATTCTGAGCAAAGTACAGACAAAACTCCAATTTTATTTATATAGATAAGGAAATGAATAACAATTAACAATAACATATAATCAATAATAACATGATAATTAATAATAAAATGAAATGATTAGCAATTATAAATTATCAAATTGTTAACAATAATGCACTGACTAACAATAATAAATAATAATTATAAATAATTATATTTCACATAACAACATTTCATTATATTTTAATGTTTGCAAAAACTATCTTCTATATTTTATACTTAAAGAGTTTAATGGAATTTGTTCGGTGATATAACGTCGACAATAAATAAATGTGTGATAATAAATGTGTGTGTATGTGTGAATAAATAAATAAATAAACGTGTAAGCTGGGTTTTCCTAGACGCGGAGTCGGCCAGCGGAGAACGGACAACGGAGAGCGGACTCAGCTTGTCTTAGGTAACTTAATGTTACTGTTTTCCTAGCAGCGGAGCGGAATGCCATGTTAATTTCAATTCCGCTCTCCGTTGTCCGCTCTCCGCTGGCCGACTCCGCGTCTAGGAAAACCCAGCTTAAAGGGATTTCTCTGAGTTAGCCTAAAATAAGTTTTTTTTTAAACTCATTAAAATCTGCCCTTATGTTACTTTATTCAGCGTTATTTTTTTTCTGTGTGTCAGACAAAGCTTCCAAACGGTTTGGATTAAAAATAAAATTTTTTTCCTAATGATTTTCTTAAATAGTTGTACTTTTGTAAATTGTTATTTAGTATAGACAGGAATTTTTCCTACTTTTCTAGGAAAATTGACAGTATTTATCATTTTTATAGACTGACTACGTTTAAAATATGGCATACTTTTATCTACGATTGTTGTGTATATCGCTATGAATAACAAATTCGATTTATCGCCTCTAAATAATGCATTTTTATCACGTGTTTTTAAATATTTGGGTTTTTAATTTGCATGTCATGAATCAATCTTTAATAATTTACTAATTATCATCAATAGCATTAGATCATTAACGTTTGTTTGCATGACAAGTGTTTGCTTGATGTTATAAGCAGAGTTTAGACACTTTTGTAACCAAATTATTGGTATTTTAACTTTTATGTTCTAGCAAAAGCGTAATGAACACCGTACAGTGCCTGGTATCAGTACCTGCTATCAGCTGACTGACTCCCCCTGGGGCGGAAGAAGTCGAAGTGTCAAAGTGAAAGCGAAAGGATCGTCTCGGCGTGAATTAATGGAAGTGAGGTTAGGGATATTATCCACGTTGTTGCTTACGCCACTCGTGTGTCGTCAGCTAGTGAAAGCAAATTGCCATATTACACGTCCCAGTTCTGCGAGATTAAACAAATCCATCTCCCAAAAACGATCATTTGCAGATTGGGGATCAAAAAAGAAGTACAGGAACGTGAAGATTAACCTAGACTGGCACACTATGGGCGATCCACAAATTGAAGCGGCTCTTGCTCCTTTGAGAGAAAAAGTTAAGGAACAGGTATGATAACATGGATGATTGCTGTCCTATAGAATTTTGTATTTACTTAAACTACTTGTAATAATTCTACATTTTATCCAAACATTAGGCATGTAGGGTAGGCATTTACATTAGGGCCTAGGCCTATGTAATTTTTTCATTACTTTACATAGAGGTCCAATTTTCTATCAGCTGTTTTAATTTAAACAAACTGTCAAAACAATAATTTATGCAAGTAATCTTACTGTCAATTATAAGTTAAACAAGTGGTTTTTACTATCAACTAAAATAAATTATGCCTAAGTTAACTTAATGTGTTGTGGATTGCCAAGAAAAAATTCCCATCATAATAAATTTAAATTCCACTGAAACTTTGGCTTCAGTTCCGTATAGAGCCAACGATAGGCCTATATTATCGGATGAATAACAATATAGTTTTAACAACATTTAAGTTTTAATTATATAAGGCCCTAAATACTTTCCTGTCAAGGGGAACATTCATTATGGTAGGCCTACTTATTTAGGACCCAGACCCAAGCTTAAACGTTCTTTTTTTAACAAAAAGTTGGCTACAGCTGGTCCATATAGATGGGATGTCTACTTTGGTATCTAATAGTCAATGCGCCTAAACTAAACTAACGTTATTCTGACACTTATTTATTTATTTGTAAACGGTTACACTATTTTTACAAGAACATACTTAATTATCTTACAGAAAAAAATCACAGGCCAGTACAAAAGTAGTGAAAAAAACTGGAAAACAAGACTTCAATAACAAGACATAAACAGATAAATAACAACTATAAATAACAAACGGCAAATATTTACTGTATTTACACTGGGATATGATGTAATTTTTATATGTCTACTTACAGTATTTTTAATGCTGACACACACTTTACGTTCAACACTATTACACACACCGACATATTACATTACGTCCAGGGTCTGCGCGGAGGGTCTGCGCCTGGCCATGATGGCATCTCGGCCTTTGTTCTTAAGGAAAACATCCACGCTCTATGTGCTCCTCTCCTGCACATTGTTAATCTTAGCCTGGCATCTGGTATATTCCCAAACATGCTAAAGTTAGCAAAAATTATTCCATTACATAAATCTAATGATTTCACAGACATGAATAATTATCGTCCGATATCTTTATTAAGTGTAATCGCTAAGATTTTAGAGACAATTGTTAAAGACCAACTTGTTTCTTACCTCCACCAGTGCAACATTTTACGGGAAAATCAATATGGGTTTAGGAGTGACAAAAATATATCTGACGCGAATCAGCGTTAAATTTCTAGTAGAATGAAAAAAAATTTCAAAAATCTCTTGCAAACCCTAAAATGCATATTTACCTTTTTGAGAATTGTATTTGTAAAATGATGTTGGGGTGTACACTTCCCCTTGATCTGGGGTAAGTGTACATCCCCCCCCTTCAAATTCTTTCCACTGCATATTACTTGATGTTGGTGAAAGTAGAGGGAAAAATAACTTAATTTTTATTTTTTATTTAGGCTATCAAAATCTCTCAAACGGTCCTGGAATTATAAACTTTTTTGGTGAACCTCCGCTAGGGGAAACAGAAACCCCAGCTTTATTAGAAATTCTAAAGCCAAATAAAAACCTTGCTTTAAATTACACGTTGAAAACTGATCTTGTTTAGGCAAAAATATTATATAGGCCTAGCCTATCCTATGGATTAAGAAATGAAACTGTTCTAAAATAACATATTGAACGTACCTAGCTAACGAAACTTGCTGTACCATTTCATTATTCCGTTTGATAACAGACTAGGCATGTGGGCATATTAAACAGAGTTTTAAAATGTTACAGCAAGTTTGGTTATTTAGGTTAGTTTAGAACAGTTTCATTTCAGTATAATTTTTAATTTTTTAATTTTTTTTTTACTGAACAATATTTATTAATCGTAGTTGTAAGCTAGTATGTTTCAATTCGTTAATATCGACATAAGTTATCGGATCGAAAAATAAAATATCGATATATTGAATAAAACATTGATAATAGTGAATGTTCCCTTTAACAGGACTAGGCTTATTATTTGTTGTTCCTTGTTGCATCAAACCTTACTGCTCATTGACTCCTGGGCAAAAGTGTAAAATTTGCTGTAAAGTTTAACAAGCCTCTTGCAGTTCAAAGTTCTGACTTTTCAGAACTCAGACAGTTCAAACTGAAATGAATCATCATTGCGTGATTGAAGTTAACCACCTTACTAAACTTTACAGGGGGATTTAGTACGATCCTTGAAAGCCAGTGGCGCCCCAGAACTAGATGTGAAAAAAGCTGTAGCCGAACTCAAAGTTCGAAAAAAGATTCTTGAAGATAAAGAACTTCAACTGGCTCCTGCGGCAGCTACATTTGACAGATCTAAGATGGAGGATCTTCTCAAGAGAAGATTTTTCTATGATCAATCATTTGCAATTTATGGAGGTAGGTTATTATTAGGCCTATTTATCTGTATAGACATTTCTGTGGTATTACAGTAAAACTCGTTTTAACCACACTCCGATGAACTGAAACCATATAAAAAATTCAAATCAATTCGAAAATCAGCTAGTCAAGAACTGTTCCTCTAACGGTTTTTAGTTGGTAAGTTAATTGTAGCGAAGATCAAGTTCAGATAACTAGGTCTTACTGTGCCATCTACGGTACCTAATAGCTACTATAATAATAGCTATTATAGTATTATAGTATTATACCCAGGGGGCTGGGTAAAGTATTTGGTAGGGTTTACCTGCTAACCATAAAAATTCCGCTGATAGGGTATAATAGGGCCTATAGTAATTTTTTATGTAGCAACATAGATTTTTCATAGACAACCGCAATTAAGTGTTACTGGTAAGCCAACATGAAGCATACGACATTTTCAAAAGTCAAATATGTTTTAGTTCAAGTCTTGCCTTAAATATTTACAAACACCTTTCTATTTTTCATATGGTAATGATCAACAAATCTTAATAAATGTGGCAAAAATTTTATTGCTACTGATTCTCTGTCGTTATTGCAGGTATCACTGGACAGTTTGATTTTGGACCAATGGGAACAGCCTTTAAAGTAAACATGCTCAATTTTTGGCGAAGGTTCTTCATAATTGAGGAGCAAATGCTGGAGGTAGACTGTTCCATTTTGACACCCGAACCTGTTCTCAAGTAAGTAGACCTCTTGTTGTAGTTAGCACAGATATAAAAAGTTGTTGTAGCAACTCTGTATTTTTATTCATCTAAAGAAACTATTACCTTTATATAATTGAGGTGGTGTCTGTCTGTCTGTCTGGGCAGCTGTCACAACTAAAATACTAAACCGATAACGCTAAAATTAAGCGCAAAGATGGTCCACATATCTAGGAATGTCATAGACCTATTTACTTCCCTGAGTTCCTCTCGGGCTACTACCCTTGGATGTCCAACGTTTTGAGGTGAGGTTTTCAAAAATAAATATTAATTGGTCTCCATGGGAGCAGAAAATATTTGTTAATTAAGTAAATACTATGAATAAGAATAAGAATCCTTTATTGTCATTAGACACAGTTGTGCAATAGACATTGTCAAAGAAAACTATAAACTAGAAAATGTAACAGAGAGTCATGAACATTATCACAGTAGACCTTATATAACATACATGTAAAACTTAGCCTATATCACATAAGAGATCACAGTTGTCAATTGAGATTAAATATCATAAAATAAAAATTGTTGAATAACAATGCATGTTACTTAAAATCTGTAAAATCAGTAGCACTCAAATGCAAAAACTCATTAACAGAATAAAGTGGGTGCTTTAGAAGACCATTTGTTACAACAGTTTTAAAATTAGCAAAGGATTCAATATTCTTGACATGATGAGGTAGAATATTGTACAGTTTAAGCCCTATAACTTTAGAGCTTTTGGCTGCTTTGGTCAATCTACAAAAGGGAATGTCAATTTCATGCTTGAGCCTTGTGTTGTGGCTATGTACATTTAGCCGTTTCAACAAGAATACAGATTGTTTTTTTACTTCTAATAGAACATACAAAACATATAAACTAAAGACAGTTAACACTTTTTCATGGATAAAAATAGGCCTACAGTGCTCTGAGTAGTCAGCTGAAGCTAGTATTCTGACAGCTTTTTTCTGAACCAGTAAGACATCATGTACTCCAGCTGCATTTCCCCATAAACATATGCCATACAGTAAATTACTTTGAAAGAAACTATTGTAAGCAAGCTTGAGATATGACTTCGGGACATTTTTATCTAAAGATCTTAGTAAATATACAACTCTTGAAAGTTTGTTACAAATATAATCTGTATGAAATTGCCATGTCAATTTTCTATCAAGAACTAAGCCTAATAGTTTAACATTACCTACTTAACCCTAATTGATCACAGGAGGGAGAATCACTAGCCTTGACATTTTTATTACTAAAAACTATGGTTTGAGTTTTGTCATTGTTAAGTATGAAACCATTGGTACTGAACCAGTTGGATACACTTTTAAGGGCACTTTCAGAATTCAAATTGACAGTTTTTATATCAGAACCAGCATTAAACAAAGTAGTGTCATCAGCAAAACATACAGTCTCAAATGGTACATTAACATCAATGTCATTAACCATGACAAGGAATAAAAGAGGTCCAAGAACCGAACCTTGCGGCACGCCAAAGGGTACAAGTCTCTTACATGAATACTGATTATTGACACAGACTATTTGTTCTCTATTATCTAGGAGCTAAGAAGTGACAGAGTTGTATCAGTCACCTTGTAGTACTTTAACTTAGCCAGCAATGTCTCATGACAAACACAATCAAAGGCTTTACTGAGGTCACATAAGGTGACACCAGTATCGGCTCTGCTTTCAAGGTTTGCTAGGATTGCATCTACAAGATAGGTCACAGCTTGAATTGTAGATTTCCCAGTTCTGAGACCATACTGTATAGTTGAAAACAAGGAATTATCTTCAAAATAATTGTACAGCTGGTCATGTAAAATTCGTTCAAAAACTTTGGCAAAGACTGGAATTAAAGCTATTGGCCTATAACTAGCTGGGAGATCTCTGCACCCTTTCTTAAAAACAGGAACAACCTTAGATAACTTAAGCTTTGCAGGAAATACACCTTCAATAAGACAACTATTTATACAATAGGTTAAAGGCTCTACAATCACAGGTAAAATAGACTTTAGCACATCACTAGACAGGCCATAAATATCACGACTTTTAGAACTTTTTAGAAGCCGCACATGCCGCGCTACCTCCTCACATGACACTAACTTCCATTCCAAACCGGGTGCTGCAATGCTCTTGGTTTTGAGAAGATCCACTGCAGCCGAAGGAACGCCACCAGATTTCTCCGCCACCTCCAACACCGAGTCAATGAAGAAGTCGTTGAAGTCGTTTGGTTCCACAGAAGTATTGGGTTGATGTTTGCTCGAAGATTCTTTCCGAATGGCCTGCCAAGCTGCTCTACACTTGTTGTCGGATTTTTCAATACAGTCGGCAACAAACTGTTTTTTGGCAGTCCTCAGTTCTTGTTTGTATGTCTTTCTATATTCAGTTAGAGCTTGAAGGGATGCTGAGGTTTTAAGAACATTGTGGCGATCAAGGAGAGCCATGAGGATACTTCTACTCTTCTTCAGGTCTTCATTGTACCAGGCTTTACCACCAGAGAACTGTCCACCGGAGTTGCAATTTGGGTCCCGCTTCTTCTGCAGCGGAAAGGACTCATGGAAACCAAGCAATATTTGGTCAAAAAATAAATTAAAAATTTCTTCAGAGTTTGTACCTAAGGCTAGTACAGACCAGTCAACACTGCTTAAAAACTGGAAGAAGGTATTTATTCGGGCTTCTGTTATGGGCCTATGGTATACAAGGGAGTTGGACTGTTCAAGATAAGTTTTCTCGGAATAGGCTAGGCGTATGTCTAAGTTAACTGCAGCATGGTCAGAAAGGCCATAATCCATAACTGTATTAATATAACTTGAATAATTGAGATCAGTCAAGATATTGTCGAGAACTGCATTACCTCTTGTAGGCGTAGAGTTGGTTGGATGTAAGTTGAACTGCCTCATAAGTCTTGCAAGTTCACGCTGGATTGGTTTGGTAAAATCAGCCACCAAATCTACATTGTAGTCCCCTCCGATGACAAGGGAAGACGATTTAAGACTTAGAAGACATAATAACCTTTCAAACTGATTGAGGAATATATTTACATCACCATTAGGTGATTTATACACACTGACTACAATGATATTGCATTCGAGTTTGATGGCAGCAACTTCCAAATGTTGAGTTCAGCAAAAACGAGCAACATCCATAACCTTATAGGGTCATTCCATATCAAATCAACTAGGCTCTCAACCTGACCATCTTGGATTTTGATGAAATTTTGCATACTTGTAATATTTTGAGTCCTGAATCCAAATATGCTTTTTAAAAAAATCTATCTTTTATAGTTTTTGTGATATAAATATTTGAAAACGGTAAAAATTGGCGTTTTTTACCGTGCGCGCAAATCTAAAATGTTGTCTAGGATGAGTTCTATTGGTCCTATCAAGTTGTACAATGGCTCATTTTAAAGAGGATTCAAATGCCTTTAATCTGATACCAAACTCAACCTACTTAAATAAAAAATAATTATTTTTTTTAATTTCAAAATATGTTTTTGAAAAAAAATTTAAGATAGTGTTTTTTGAAAAATTTGAAAATTACATATGTTAAAGAATGTAATCTAGTAAGTACATTATAAAAATTTCAAAATGGGATGATAATGGGATCACCAGTTATGATAAAAATACTTGACTATGGTTCACTGTTTCCAAGCATTTTGGCGCATACAGCGTGTAAGTACTAACCTACATGTATCATTAAATAAGAGTCTATTAATTATATGATTAAAATTAAAAATATCTGCCTATATTTGAATAATGTATGTCATATTTTGCTATAATATAAACTAAATCTAGCAAATAAACAACATTATTCAAGTTAACAGAGTTTCCGTCAACCTTTGAACATGGGGGCTACTTTGAACAAACTTTCCACTTTTCATATTTAATTTTTTTTCATATTAATTTTATCTTTAAATGATAATGTTTATTATAATTTTCTATTCCCAGATAAATACTCTACTTAAAAAAAATATTTAATAGTGCATACTATGGTTCTACAAAAAATTAAAAATACTTATTTTTCACTGAAATTTTTTAGTAAAAAAAAGTCGTCCAAACTTCCATGTCTACAGCAAACCCAGTAAGTTTATGATTTATGACTTACTGGGATTAAGAAAATACCTGCTTTGATTACTTTATAAGCAGGAATAACTTAAAAAAAAGAAGGAAAAAATTACCCGATTTGCTGACCCTTACTTATGACCATTAGTTCTGGAGCAAAATTTCCCGGACATGAAAAAAAAATACTTGGGTTTTAAGTGTTATTTTTTTAAATGATTTTTCTAATGAAAACAGATGTTTTGAGCTTTAGTTATTATTAGCAGCCATAATCCAATTCCTTTATTTGACTGCTATGATATTTAAAAAATACCCTTGCAAAGTTAAAAAATAACCGGACGGACATTTTGAAAATTCTCCGTAACTTTTATTAATTTTTGACATATCAAAATAGAAGTTATACAGAAATGTGGTATGTGGTTTGTGGTATTTAAATCCACAAATTAGTTTTCACTATAACAATTTTAATTGTTAAAGTGATAATACGTTATTTATACTTATGAGCAGACATTTCCCCAAAACTAAATAATTATCATGGAATATTATCTATGTAGGCTATCAATAATAAGGTTATTACAGGATTTAAATAGATTGATCACAGTATATTGTGTGACAAAATTATCAATGCTTGTTTGTCTCTCTCTCTTGTCACGAGAGGAAAGACAGACAAACATGGACCTATGGGTTTTGGCTCAGGTTCCTCAGTATTTTCCAGTTGTGTTGCAACGATTTACTGTAATTAATCTTTAAGTCTGCCTTTTCACTAGGCTGGAGACACTAGTCAGCCACTAGATCTGTGCAAAATCACATTGTGAAGCACTTTACGTTTACACTATCAGGTCGCAGCGACCCACCTCGGCAGTAGCGACCCGGTCTTGAGAAGTTGTAATTTGTTTGACAGGTACACAGGTCTAACTTATGTTTGTCAGTCTTTCCTCTTGTCTCAAGACCGGGTCGCTGCAACCTGATAGTGTAAACGTAAAGTGCTTCACAATGTGATTTTGCACAGATCTAGTGGCTGCCTAGAGTCTCCAGCCTAGTGAAAAGGGAGACTTAAAGATTGATTACAGTAAATCGTTGCAACACAACTAACTGGAAAAGACTGAGGAACCTGGACCAAAACCCATTGGTCCATGTTTGTCTGTCTTTCCTCTTGGGACAAGAGAGAGACATGTCAAAAAAGCATTGATAATTTTGTCACACAATATACTGTGATCAATCTATTTAAATCCTGTAGAAACCTTATTATTGATACATATACATAATATTCCATGATATTTATTTAGTTTTGAGGAATGTCTGCTCATAAGTATAAATAATGTATTATCACTTTAACAATTTAAATATTTATAGTGAAAACTAATTTGTGGATTTAAATAACTTTGTTAACTTGAATAATGTTGTTTACTTGCTAGATTTAGTTTATATATAGCAAAATATGACATACATAATTCAAATATAGGCAGATATTTTTAATTTTAATCATATAATTAATAGACTCTTATTTAATGATACATTTATGTTAGTTACACGCTGTATGCGCCAAAATGCTTGGAAACAGCGAACTATAGTCAAGTATTTTTATCATAACTACTGATCCCATTATCATCCCATTTTGAAATTTTTATAATGTACTTACTAGATTACATTCTTTAACATATGTAATTTTCAATTTTTTCAAAAAACACTATCTTAAATTTTTTTTCAAAAACATATTTTGAAATTTTCAAAAAAGATTATTTTTTATTAAAGTAGGTTGAGTTTGGTATCAGATTAAAGGCATTTGAATCCTCTTTAAAATGAGCCATTGTACAACTTGATAGGACCAATAGAACTCATCCTAGACAACATTTTAGATTTGTGCGCACGGTAAAAAACGCCAATTTTTACCGTTTTCAAATATTTATATCACAAAAACTATAAAAGATAGATTTTTTTAAAAAGCATATTTGGATTCAGGAATCAAAATACTACAAGTATGCAAAATTTCATCAAAATCCAAGATGGTCAGGTTGAAAATAATTTTTTATTTGTTGATTTCATATGGAATGACCCTATATTTTAGTCCATTTTTTACATAGATAGCTGATCCACCATGCACCATATCGTCCCGCGCATAGTATGTGGCCAAATGATAATCTTTTAGTCTATAAAAGCCTATCTCTTCAGTGTTAAGCCAATGTTCGGATGTTCGGATATGCATAGGATATCATTTTTAATATCACTTAAGACTACATCTAATTCCAGGGTTTTGTCCCTTATAGACTGAATATTCAAAAACATTAACGATAAAACAGTTTCAGAACTAATAATACTGGTACGGTTGACTAGGTTACTCACTTTGCTGGGCTCGGAAACCCTAAAAAAACAGACTCTTCAAGACTTTCACTTTTAGACTGTCCATAGTGTTTATTTTTACGATGCACAAAGTCAGCAATTAGTACTCCTTCAGGCCAAAATTCACTTGAAAGCACTTTCTGCTGATCTACACTGGATAGGCCTATTTTAAACGAGCGGTAAGATGTGTACCGGGTTTTCAGTTCGTCACATTCCACATTTGAAACACCATTCTCCTTAAGATAGTCTTTCATTGATTGGCAGGTTGTATCAGGTGATAATCTAGAGATGAAAATCCAAGATTTTTTTGTAACCACTTTAAGGCTAGAAGCAGCACTGGAGTCCTTGGTACCAATGATAACATTGTCTTGTCGTTTAGGCCTTGCACGATTGTCAAGAAGTAAAGGCTTAGGTTTACCAGCAGTCCTATTCCGCTTTACAACATCTGCATAACCCAATGCGGAGTGTTCAATGTTCTCGTTGTCTGGGGTAGGCCTAGGCCTATGAGTATTTGAGTTGGGTGCAGCATGAGTCATGGTACTATGAGAGTTTAAGTTACTGGTATTAGCCTTAACTTGACAAACATCATTAAGGGTTGAGTCATTAGGCTTAGATACAGTAGTAGAGTAAACATTGCCAGTTCCTAGACCTAAGCACTCAGTGAGGTTAGGTTGCAACTGTTCCATAATGCTACCAAACTTTTCTTGTTCCACGGTAACTGAATTTATTCGATCAGTCAATGTTTTATTTTCATTCTTCAATTCATTGACGATTCCCATTAATCTGTCCATATTTTTGTTTAGACTACACACGTCTTCCATTAAAGGCTGAGTTTTCAAGTTGATTCTAACCCTATCATCACAGGGTTTACAAAACCACCTTACAATTTGTTGAAGTTCCGAAATTTTTTCATAGTCTTCACAGGAAACATTCACACAGTTTATATGAAACAATTTACCACAAAATCCATCACATCGTAGACCAAAACAGTCATTTTTAACTTTAACATTGCATTGACCACAAAGTAACTTGTCTTTACTTGGGGCCATGTTGCAGACGACGACAAGTTCTAATGGGAGGGAAAACAATATTGTTTGGAGATTTTTTACAAAATTGGTTTTACAAAATTGTTTTACAAAATTAGGGTGTATCACGTTTAGTCATGACTTAGCATAACCTTAGGCCTACCTACCGCCATTCCTTTCACAGCTGTGTACCTGATACTTAAGGCAGTGGCTTACTCCTAATGTCAATGTTTATGTTTGCAGAGCTTCAGGCCATGTTGATCGATTTGCTGATTTGATGGTAAAAGACACAAAGACTGGTGAATGTTTTCGACTCGATCATCTGATTAAAGCTGCTTTGGAGAAAATCTCTCATGACAAGAAAACAACAAATGAATTGAGGGATGAAATTTCTGATATATTGATAAAGGTAGGCCTATCATCCTACACGTTTAAATTTTACTAAAACTACTTGTGTTTAAAAGAAAAATGTGTTGCTGTTTTTCAGATGACTGTGTTTACATTAGTATATGATCAGTCAATCACCTGTTCTGATCTGGCATCACCTGTTGTTATGAATCATAGGACTTACCAAAGTCTTTCATTTATCTTATTTCATTTATTTAAAGGTACGGTACTACATAAGTCTAATTTTGACACATAATTTTGGAAAATGTCACAAAGGGCTTAACTTTAAGCCCTTGTTTCCATAAAATGCAATTTAATTCATTTATTTAGATCTGGAAACCAGGAAAACTGGGAATTATACACATTACAGGTTGAAATTGTCACCTAGTGTGGCCACCTCTAGAGACCAGGTCGCGAGAAAAAAGTGGCCAAGTGTAGAAGTAGGTTTTAGTTACTCTTTTTAATGCTGTTAAAAAAAAATATGTCACACAATTTCCAAAAACGCCCATCATTAGGGACTTAGGAGCCCAGGATTAAGTGGGAGGGTTAATCGATCGGAACGCAGTTGTAGATTTCTTGAACAAAGTCATAAAGTTTTCTGTCATGAAAGACTGATAAGAATTCATGATAAGTGGATAGTTATCTTTCTCAGTCAAGCCTAGATGATTCAATGTAGGTACTAAATTTAGGTAAGTTTTAGCTATTGCACAATTGTTTGATCTCTTCAGGTTTTGAAGTTGTAGTCAATATTCAGTGTAAGATTTAAAAATAGGAATTCCCCACTGAACATGATTAAAAATAAAACTGGAGCTAATAAATAAAATTAACTATGATGTCAATTAGTAAAATATATTTATGTCAATTTTGTAATTCAGTTTTTTCTCTAGTTGGATGGCATGACCAAGGATGAGATGGCAGCAATTTTGAAGAAGTTCAATATTCTTTCTCCTCTCACCAACAATGAGCTGACTGAACCTATCGAGTTCAATTTAATGTTCCAAACTCAAATTGGACCGTCTGGGCTTATTAAAGGGTAGGTTATAATATTTACATTTAAGTTGTGTCTAGGGGTTACTCTACTGTGGTATTAATTACATTTAGGCGTTAGGCGCAAGACTAATACACTCTAATATTGTGGTTTAGGTCTACTAAGTTATATTAACAATTAATCACAAATTTAATCTTGTTAGCAAATGTTATCTGTGGCTAACAAGATGTTAACAAATTTTTCTGTAGATTTCTGAGGCCGGAGACAGCACAAGGTATATTTGTCAACTTTAAACGGCTGCTGGAGTTCAACCAAGGTCGACTGCCTTTCTCAGCTGCTCAGATCGGCAACGCTTTCCGGAACGAAATCTCACCGAGATCTGGCCTTATAAGAGTCAGGTAAGTTACAATTTATGAGAAATCGAACATTATGTTGTTAGATTATAGTTGTGCAGCTGAGAAGTTACAGTGCTATTTTGATTCAAGATTTTTATTGAGCTTAAGGTTTATATAATGCAATTGACAATGTCAGTAATGCGATAGTAAAAGCACAAGTTAAATATTGGTTTAATTTTAATTACACTGATCCAAATACATAAAAAGATTTGGCATTTAAAAGGTTGGACACCTCTTTTATCCTAAACTAAGTCAGCATATATTTTATGTTTGAAACAGAACTTGGTTGTCTGTGATCGTTGGACTCTTAAATGTTTTAATAAATAGCCATAGCCAAAGGAACAACTGGTTCAGGCTAAAATAGGGAAAAAATTGTTCAATGCTGTTTTACTGCAGTTTTAAATTATAAAAAACCATTTTATTGTTTGTTTTAGCAATTTCATTTAGTCAAAATCAGAACATACCTTAGTTCTAAAACATTTAAGTCTGTGGGTAAAAAATCTTGTATTCTGGAAATGAAGTTATTCTCAAACGTAAGCAAATTTGTATAATAATAATAATAATAATTACTCATTATCAATCGAGGAGACAAACATGGACAAATTTTTATGCGTAATACACAATTTGATTTATATTTTTTTCTATGCTGTTTCAGAGAGTTTACGATGGCTGAGATTGAGCATTTTTGTGACCCGAGAGACAAATCTCACCCAAAGTTCTCCAGTATCAAGGATACAGTGATGATGCTTTATTCTGCTTGCAATCAGATGGATGGGAAGTCTGCCGAGTCTATCACGATTGGTGAAGCTGTGGCTACGGTAAATAACCAACAATATCTCTAAATTAAAGATGTACAATACCGTTGTTATGCTTATTATCTAGGGATGGGCCCTGTTTGTATTTAGATTGGCTCAGCATTCTTTATATTAGGCCTACTCAATCTTTCTCAACAATTTTAGGACATATAAAAATAAGAAAATGAAATGCCTATTATAAATAAAGTGCATTATTAGGACAGTGATGGTTTTAGATGTAGGCCTAATGTTGCCCTTTTAGAAACAAAATGGTTTTGAACAATGAAAGATGTGTCGCAATATAAAGTATTAAATAATGGTAGGATTTAGTTATATTTTCTAAAAGAAATGTGTAGGAAAGGAAGCACTACAATATATTATTATTAAGAGGTACCATATTTAGCTCGTAGTTTAATCAAGTTATGAAGGACACGTAAATTTGCTTCAAAGGGACCACAATTTGTTGCTTTTAGGTATAAATTAGTTGGTCTGTTTAGCCATCATATTACATTGTTTTGTGTGTGTGTGTATGTACTGTACGTACATTACATATTTTTGGTTGAGTTTTTGACTTCAGACTTCTATATTTTATTTTCACCCCACCCTGTAAATAAAACAGGTGATTAAAATTTCTTCCATTTGTTTTGATTTTCTGTTTATACGAGACTTGTCCAGAAAGTAAGTATTGTTTTAGAAAAAAACATTCAGATGATTTTTTTAAACAAAATTTATTTCTACAAGAAAGAGGATATTTTTAACTATTTTTCTACATAATTTCCACCATTAGTTTAGTTTAGACATTTGTTGTAGCAAAAAACCAACTTTTCTATACCCTCTTCATAGAAAGATGCTGCCTGTTCGGTATGGTTTTGTAAATATGGTAATTAGTAATTTCATAAATAATCATTAATTTTATTAACATTTAATTTAATTAACGGTGTGCATAGGTTTCCAACATTTATTTGTATATTAGTTATTTATTTTAAGTCTTCCACTCTACTCACACACACACACACACACACCACGGCAACTCCCCTCCCTCATATATCTCTGTCTCTTTCCCTCTCATGGAAAACTCAAATTTCCCCACCACGATTTTATTCAGTTAGCGTCTAAAACCCTCCTCGATCAAAATGTGCTGTGCCACGCCATTTTTCTGGCAATCTCGGTCTTTGATCACCTTGTGGTTAAATGTTCCCTCATTAAAACCTCTTTCTCTTGTATCAGTGATTAAAAATACTAAATTCTCCCTTTCAAAGTGTGTGTAGTGCATCAGAACTATGTGTCCCTCAGCGTGGTGAGCTCACCCAATCCCCATTCCCCCTGCTACCTTACAGTGTTGGATTGTCTTATTGTCTTACATTACAAGATCTGCACTGCCTTGGGAAATGATGGTATAGCAATTGCCTTTTTTTCTACAGGGGCTGGTGGCCAATGAAACCTTGGGCTACTTCATGGCGAGGATACATCAGTTCCTAGTACAAGTTGGTGTGGACGAGGGTAGACTGAGGTTCAGACAACACATGGGCAACGAGATGGCTCACTACGCTTGCGACTGCTGGGACGCGGAGTGCTTCACCTCCTATGTGAGTCAATCGCTCTGGACCTGGTTTGGATAAAAAACTGTTAAAGAAATAAATACCCCCGCCGCAGCAAACCTGCAGACTAAGCAAATTTCCATTTACCTGGAGGATTTTCTGCTAAAATATTCCCTTAAAATTATCAGATTTAATCCCTATTTAAATAACATTAGTTTTAATGAGTACTTAGGTTTGCTGCTACAGGGAAAGTATTGAAGTGTGTTTTTTATTTTTTTTTATTTTGATTAATTACAACTGATACAGCACATTACAGTCTCATTTGTATGACCTTTCATGCCATCCAATCCTCTTGTAGCCAATCGAGTTGACCTACCAAGAAATCTTGTGTTATTATTCTGTGGCACAACTGTTAAAAGTAACAGTTTCAAGAAACAACTCCTTTCCCACCCTTGATTGTTCTCAGAATATCTTTAATGCCAAGAATTTAGGCACCTGCTCTTCTCTATACTTTCAGATTGTTGCTGTGTCTAGGCCTACTCCTTATACCTGCATACTTCTCTGCTAGTTGCAGTCCCAGCGTATACCTGTGGCTGAATAGACGAGCATTCAATTCAATTCAATTAATATAACTTTATATTCATTTAAGTACTACATATCAATACAGGATTCAATTGCTTAACCTTATTTTTCACAGTTACAGTAGAGGTGTTTGTTTTTATTTTATCTGGAATTATTTATGCTGTTTGAGATCATACCATAAAACAAGAAAAATGTAGCTGATAAAAAAATATTTATCTGGTGAACTGTACTTGGATGTAGACACCAAACTGCTGTGTTTCAGGGATGGATAGAATGTGTTGGGTGTGCGGACAGGTCTGCTTATGACTTGAACCAACACTTCAAAGCCACCGGAACAAAACTGGTCGCCGAAAAGAAACTTGCTGAACCGAAAAAAATTAATTTTACTGGTAAGTTATCTTATGTGGACTACTCAGAGAAATTTTGAAAATGTCAATTGTGTAGAGACACATAATAACATAAAAAACAAATATAACTCTGAAAATAATTTATAACTAGTAGCTCTTCCAGTGTTTTTAATGAGGCATTATCAAATAATATAAGGATATAATTGCTTTGATTAACACTTTTCTTTTTTTTTGCCTTGGTGCTCATAACATAATACTGTATTATACTTATTGTTAACTCAAAAGGCTTGAAGCGGAATAATAAATCAAGGTATCAAAACAAGAATAAATCTATGCCTTATTCCAGACTGTTATCTAACTCTGTGCCAAATTGTTTTTAATTTGTTCAGCTATTTTAGTCTGATGTATCTTAAACCTAAACATTTAGCTCTAATTATGATAGGACAACATATAGATAGCCTTGAAGTTAAAAGTAAAATATATTATTTCAGAGGCAGTTCCAAACAAACCAGCAATCGGTAAACTTTTCAAGAAGGATGCAAAAATTATAAATGAAGCGATAGCAGCTATGGATGAGAACGCCCTTTCATCCATGAAACAACAGTTGGAAAAGGCTGGGTAAGAATTAGAATTTAACCATAATAATACTTTTAAAATGCCTGTTTCTACTATAGATAGAAACAAAACATTTTAAATAATTGATTCACAGCTTTAGATACATGTATGTTAGTTTTGGAATATTAATTACCGTATTAGTCGTGAATGTCAATTCAATTTAAACAAGTTGGTCACATTAAGTGTTGTTATTTTCTATATCCGTTTGTCCAAACTTAATATCAATTCTTCAAAATTAAAATTTTTTTTCGCTTTATAGTTTTTATACGCATTTCTGTACTAGTTGTGTTTGCTCTGAAACAAAAATTACTAAACCCAATAGAGAAAATATACCTAGTTACTGGTTAGTATAAAAACCTAAATAGCTTGGTAGTAGATTCTCCTCAACCGCAGCATAATTCAGTAGGCATAATAGAGTGCATGAAAAATCAGTCATTACAATTTCCTGAACGACCTATCAAAACGTCATAATATAACAATATTGAAAATTCTTTCATCAAACTCCTGAGCTATTAGGTCACAGTGTTATGTTTTTTTTCAGGGAATACTTGTTAAATGTAGGGGGGAGTGAGTTCAAACTGACTTCTGATCTGGTCGCTGTTAACTCTGGTGAAAAACTTGTACACGTGGAGGAGATCATTCCCAACGTGATAGAGCCGTCCTTTGGCATTGGCAGAATCATGTACTCCGTCTTCGAACACAACTTCCATATCAGACCTGATGATGAACAAAGAAACGTAAGTGCGTACCTTTGATTGCAAGGAAAGTGAATAGGTTGCTGCAGATCTCTGGAGGGAGTTGAGAACACAAAACATTGAAAGATTATTTTTTATTTTAGCTTTTAACGGCTGCCATTTTGAAATGACTTGATGAAACTTGACCATTTTCAACCCAGGCCAAGATAATGTATTCAAGCACTTGTGTGCCAAATTTCATGAAAATCGGTTCAGGCGTTCGGTTGTTATAGCCAATTCATGGGGACCCAGCATCCTCTTACGGCCGCCATTTTGATGACGTCATTACGGACGACCGAGGTCCTTAAAAATTGGGGTCTGGGCGGTTTTAGGTTCAGAAACTTGTATACTATAACCACCTAAAATTGCAGCCTCTCCGCCAGAACTGAAATATTTTCCTGCTACCCAACCTGACTAAATTAACATCTGTCAAACCTCTCATTATTGATACACTACTTTGAGGTGACCTAAACTTAAATATTGTAGAAGTTCTTAAGAAAATCTGGTAACTGGTTGACAATTAAAGATATCTTGTATAGTTAATGCCAATAAAGATTTTGATTCTATTATTCTTTGAGCCCCAATAACAGTAAGTATCATAGCACATATTGGTCTAGCCATAGTGAGAGTGATTTCTTCTGCGGGTTTTTACATTCTGTTGTGTTTCAGTACCTGAGTCTACCCCCAGTTGTTGCTCCTCTGAAGGTCGCAATCTTCCCTCTCAGCTCAAACGAAAAGTTTGACGAGCTTGTCAGGACACTTTGTAAGTAGTTTGTAATGCAAGATAAATATGTAATGTGAGTGATTAATGTAAATCTGTTACTATTTTTTAATCATCAATATTTAAAAGTGTTTATCAGTAAAATGTTATAATTTCAGCGGTGCTCCTGACCAAAGAAGGTATTGCCCACAAGGTGGACGACTCCAGTGGGTCGATTGGGCGACGCTATGCTAGGACAGATGAGATCGGCGTTCCCTTTGGAATCACAGTAGACTTTGACAGTTTGTCAGAACAAGTTCCTTCCGTAACTGTTCGCAACAGAGATACGATGACTCAAATCAGGGCCAACGTAAGTACAAGAGTAAGAAATAGTTATGAATTGGTTTTTGGAAGGTATAATTCAATTCAGTAAAAATATTATACTAATATAAATATACTCGTTTTACAAAATCTTATACATTGTTAAATCTTACAATCATTTAATTGAAAGCACTTTTAATTTACTCTGTCAAAAATGCACCCTCTCTGAAATCCGAATTCCGCTGTCCGAACTCGGTAACCTTTTCACTCTCCAGACTAACTTACTCAAAAACGTTCTATCCCTCGCTAAAGCCGATGTAGAAGGTCAGATGATGAACTAATCTCAAAATAAGATTATGGTATCCTACGAGGGCCTACCCAAAAATAACAGGAATAATGTTGCCATGGGTGGAGCTAACCTACTATAAGTTTCAGCCGCCAGGTGTGTATAGCGCAACACACTGCCAGTTCAGCTAGTTGTGTTCGTATGTAGTGACAGTTTTTATCGGCACTATTTTTCTAGTGTTTTGTTTTTGCGATGGCAAATAAAAAAGTGAACAAACGACTGTGAAGTTTTGTTTTCTACTGAATAAAAATGCTGCTGAAACTGTTTTAATGTCGAGAACAGCTTACAAAGATGACTATGGTTACAACAAAAACAAAGTCAAGGAAATAGGAGACACAATTGTCATCCTGTAATACAAATTTTGTCAGTTCCAATCAAACATCAAAATAATGCTGATTTTTTTATGCCAAAGGTAATGTTCACTCAGAATGTGGTCCCCTAGGTCAGACCATGTACAAGATCTATTTGTCTATTGAAGTATTATGAAGATTGTGCAACGTGTTTTACAAAAGAGTCCCGATCTGTAGCAGACAAGAGACTGGACACCATGAAAATGAACCTGCACACACAGCCCCTAATGATTGCTAGTTTTTGGCTAAAAACGAAATGGTTGTGCCACCCCACGCTTCTTGTTCACCTGACTTCACCTGGTTTCAGGTGTCTTTTATCTATTTACACACATGAAAAGAGGCCTTAAAGAACAACGATTCTATACCAATAAAGATTTAAAGAAGAAAACGAGGGAGAAGATTGCAGCCATCTCAAAATATGAATTCAAACAAAAATTGTTTTGAATAGTGGAAAAACTGTTTGGTACAAGTGCAAAGCTTCCAGTGGAGAGTAGTCTTACTTTGAAGGGGATTTGATTAAAGTGTAAATATATATATATATATATATATATTTTCGGGGTTTTTTTTGTACCCCCTCGTATGGTTGCTCTGCAATTCTCTGTCAGACATGCTGAGCATGATTTTCATATAATCTTGGGGAGCTTTGTCCGAGCGACCGTAAATTTAACTGCTAAAACAGTTAATTTTTTTACCCTCCTCCCACCCAAATTTAAAAACAAACATGATATTTTGCTGTGAATATAACTCAGGTTCCTGAAATTTTGGACGAATAAGGAAGACATATTACAGATTCTTGAAAATAATTCTATAAGACAAAAAGTCAGTAAAGAGAGACCAATTTTCATCTTCTTTTGACCTTACCGTTGTAAGCTTAGTATTGTACCAGCCCATTCCTGTTTCCCATTACAGTATTTAGCTCAAGGTCCTACAATAAGACATTTTCTTGTGGAAGTGTTTAAACTGATCAATGTTGGGATGTTCCAGGTGACAGACATTGCCCCTCTCTTGAGGTCGTTGTCCATGGGAGAAAGTTCCTGGGAAGACGTTGAGAAGAAGTTCCCCAGGTTCGAACAACAACAAACTACCCAATCTGGGTAAACAACTAAAGTATTTATTTAGGTTTAAAACCCCGGTTATTTAATAAAGCTTTTATAATTTATGCCTGAAACAGGTTTGTGTCATGTTTTCTGAAACTGAAAGCTTCCATTCCTTATATTCCCTTTTTCAATTCTTAACCTTTTATCGATTGATTGATATTATTATTTCAAACAACCAGTGGAGATGGCTGTAAAACCAGTTATAACGAAAAAAACTAAAGTAAAATAAGTTAAAGTTTATTATGTTAACAATTTCTGAAAGACAGATCTTGTTTACAAGCTTGGTTGGTGAAGCAATAGCTTGGTTTCTGCAAGCTATTTTTTAAACCTTGGTTCACACTTTACTAAAGATATTATTTTCATAGTTAAATAATAATGTGTACAGTTCTATTATCTTGATAAAATGACACAAAATTAATGAGGTATATACTTATAATATACCTTCATTCATTGACCTTCAACTGTTTGTAGCCTATTTGAATTCAATTTTCTGGTGTTATTGGATTTGAATATCATTGGATTGACCCGATGGAGTTGTGTTCACAATTTGAAAGATCAAGGAAAATACAACAAAATTGTGTCAATAATTGATTTTATTTCTCTCGTTTTTTAAAAGTCAGCCATATTCCGTTTTCTGGGACAGGTACAAAAGAGCGATTGTTCATCTTGAGTGGTAGTTGAGTTTTCGAGCTCAGGTTTATGTCATAGTTAGCAAGGATTCCAGCAATGGCAGTTTTAATTTCCATTACAGCAAACCTCATAGCTGAAACATTAAACAAATTTAAAACTGTTAAGATAGTGTTCAGTTCAATGGTTTGTGAAATGGTGTAGCGATATCTTTTGCAAACTTTTTTTTAATTTTTTGGTTGCTAAATTAATCTGTTCAACATTCTGGTATCTGTAAAAGATTTTAAAACCTTTTGACTCCTGAGTTTCTAAAAACTTATAAATATCTAGTAATGATCTTCAATTAATTTTTTCTTCGTTCTTAATACCTTAATACTTTATCCTGAAATGGTGAACATTTTTTAATTGAAACATTTTCTGTTGTAGGATTCAATTATTTGATATTTAGCTATTTGTCTGTGTAAAAGCCTTGACCGTGCCAGAACCTCATAAATGCTCTATCAGTTCTCCAACCCTTTCACCACAAACAATCCAAGCCTCTTCACCATTTCATAAAACAGCTTGTCAAACTGAAGCCACAATAACAGTATCAACAATCACAGTGCACACCTAACCTACAAGACTGAAGAGGGTGCAAACCCTGAACAGCATCAGTGATCTCTACACACATTGAAATGTCACAATCATGTCTTTACCCCGGTTGGGTAAACTTCAGATCGCAAAAAAACTTACCCGGTTTCTGAATTTAAAAAACATTATGAAACTCCATAGTTATTCTCAGTCATTGCTGGGTAATAATTGTTTACATGCTACATGTAAAACTTCCCCTAGTGACTACATGAATGATCATCTATAGCTCATCAACAACAAAAACAATTGTACCTATACAAATCCGAGGACCGTCGCCAAAAGGTAAGTAAGTCGGGTTAGGTTTAGGGGTGTGCGAATAGTGATTTTCAACCTCGAGCCGAGCCGAGCCGAGCTTTTTAAAATATTTTCGAGCTCGAGCTTTTTCGAGCCGAGCTTTTCCTAGCGTCACCTTATAATAATAATAATAATAAATCTTTATTGTCGTTTGGTAATATAAACATTACAATAGACAAGGTCAACATGTTTTGTTACATATGTTAAATAAAATATTAAATATTCTACAGAAAATGTTAAAATAAAGTTAAAAGAATCTTAAAAGGATAAAGCATCAGTAATAATAAAAACTTTAAAATTAACAGGGAAAAGACCATAACAAGAACAAAGAATCATCAAGACTGCTTGGCCTCACATTTAAGCGTTAAAAAATCTTCATTCTGCAAAAACTCATCAACTGAATAAAAAGCACGACTTGTAAGTTGTAAGCCAATCTGATAATTTTGACCTATACAAATTAATACTTTCCTGATTTCTAAAATGTATTGGAAGTTTATTAAATAGTTTTATTTGCAAATATTTATAACTTTTGATAAATTTTGATAGCCTGGCTTGAGGAATATATAAATCTTTTGATTGTCTGGTGATATACCCATGGATTGAGTTGCAAGGAACAAATTTATTCAGATTATCTTTAACGGAAACTTAATTGTAAAAAATGAAAATATTAGAGAGTGTCATGATTTTATTTTCAGCAAAAAATGTTTTGCAACTAACCCTATCTGGAATTTCAAACATAATTCTGAATTCTGAACATTATCAAAAAAATAAATTATTAAACATTTTTCTTCAAAAAGTGCATAATAATAATAATGTTCAGTCAATTTTTAAATAAACACAATATTATTTTAATATGTCTAAAAACATTGAGAATTGTCAAGACATCAAATAGTAGATAATCACGATAAGAACTGAACTGAACTAAATTAAGATGCAAGAAATAAAAGGATATGATTGAAGGCCTGACAAGATATGCAGTGCAGACTGAGCCAATCAGATTGTCTTTCATAACAGAACAGCGCTATCTTGAATGACAACAAAACAACTAGCAAGTCGATTAAATATGTATATTGTAACTACTATGAATACTTTATTCCATTTTGTATAAATAAATATAAAAAACACGTGATTATTCTTGTTGTTTTCCATGCACAAAATATTTTTGTTTTATGAATCGTATTAATCAAAAAAGAACAATGATTGGTTTGGATCCAAAAAGGTGAAGAGACAAAGTAAAAAGTAAAATTATATATTAAAAAATATATAATTGACATATAGAGGAAATAGGCCAAAACACTAAAATTAATAGAATAACACACAAAGTAAACAAGAAATAAAATAATGAACACGATGATTTAACACTGTCACTAAATTCTGTTATCTAGAAGGGTCGGTGAACTAATCAATAAATAGCCAAAACCAGTTTCCTCCCCCATTTCTCTCTCAGTCTCACCACCACCCCTCCCCCCCTGAGCCGGGAGGCCCAGCACTTTGTCCTTGAAACACCCTAGCCTCTGAAACAATAAACCCTTACACCCGCGTTGCTGTTTTGACAACAGGTTTATGAATGCGATCACTATTTTTCATTTTCCAGAATTAACTATCAATTATTATTATTTGCAAGTTACAAATAGGAAACTACATCACATTATGGTATTCAATGACCCATGTATTATCAAAAATTAATAATCCATTACTTATTTTGATAATTAAAAGCATTCATTACAGCACGCACCAGGCACCACTTATTGATATTTAAATAATCATCAAAGTAACTGTTACTTTATACAAAATAAAATAGGTACAAAATTGTGTGGCCAGTCAAACTTTATAAACAAACATTTTATTCTATAAAATACAGATGGTAAATAGGGGTTGGTTTAAAGGAAATAAAATACAAAACAGATAATTAATTATTTTGATAAACATTAGAAAGGTTATGGGATTGATTGAACTAAAATAACCGCAGGGAAACTTATAAGTAGAAAAGTGTTCAACCACAATCTGTTTAATCAGTACATTGTTAGAGAGAGCAGAGAGAGAAAGAGAGATAGCAGATAGGGGCGTTTGATAAGGAATCTGAAAAAGTAAACAAACAAGGAACAACGACACGACACGACGATTGATACTTGTTTACAGCCTTATTGTGTCGCCCACTACATTTGCACACGTGACCACTTTTTGTTTCTTCCTTATCTTTCATCCGTCCCAAAATAGAATTCCTGAAATTGTTTGTTGGTATAATCTCCCCTCCCACACAAGGCGCAGTGCTCAGTGCGCACTGTAGGTTGCCACGGCAACCGTGTGTCGTCATAGCGACGAGCCAATCACGCACTCGCACTGCGTTGTATATTACGATACGAATAGCTGTGTTAGAAAGACATCGCGATAGGTGGTAGTTTGTCTCTTTACTATCCCCTCAAAATTACGAGTTCGTGCTTATCAAACCTTGAATGCTTGAACAACGTAGAATTGTGATAACATTGTTTCCAATTACGACCCAAATTAAGTGTTTTTTTTAAGTTTTGACTTAGTATTAAAAGCTCGGCTCGAACTTCGAGCTTTTTCAAAATGCCTCGAGCCGAGCCGAATAATGAAAAGCTCGACCAAAAAGCTCGAAGGTTCGAGTACTCGCACACCCCTAGTTAGGTTTGAAGTTGTTCCCCTGGAACCTCTCTGGTTTGAACTGTTGAGGGTCCGGGTAGTATCTCACGTCCATGTGTAGTCCAATCACTGGCACGGCTACCAGCACCCCCTGCTGTATAACTAGAGCTGAACCTGGCACTTGGTAGTCTCTGGTGCATTCTCTCAGCAGAAATGGTAATAGTGGGTACAGTCTGAGAGTCTCTGCAATTAGAGCAATATTGGTAGTTGGTACGGATAACAATATTGATGATTTTTTCATCTCTATTTTTTTATTCAAACAAAAGTGGTTGGCGGCCTCTTTTAACCTTGTATTTGCCCGTCCTCATGGACTACAGATCTGTGTGAGGAACGAATCAAGCAAAAGCATGAGGTGAGCAGGTACAGTACAAGGGTGAAGTGTGTCTTGGGCCTGAAGTCTGGCGCTAACATTGAGCACCAACTCACCACCTACAAAGTCCTGGACTCTTAATTGTCTCAGGTGAAGTAGCTAAACCAGCTCTTTTCAAAGATAATCATAAAAATTATGTAATTGTTTATGACCCTTATTTAGACGCAATGGACTTTGGACTGAGTGCAAAGGTAAAAATGTTATTTTAGGCATAGGTATGAATAAATTAAGTTTGTTCCCTACAAAAAAATTACAATGAAACAATACATTAGGAACTAGAGTAATTTGACTGTTTTGAAGAGAATGCAACAGAAAAAATGATATTCTGGACATAGTGCCACTATTATTTTGTCTTTAGACTCAATGGTACTTAAGACCTAGTGAAACTGACATTCCTTTGTGTGTTGAATTGCTTGTCTTTTAGTTTGCTTAGTGATTGTTTCACTTCATGGTTTAAAAAACCAAAAGCACCTGTTTAACAAAAGACGTGGTAAAAAATTATTTGTATAAATGATATCATTTGACACCTTGAATTACTTGATCCATGTAAACCATCTCTTTCAATGCTTGGTTTGACCACTCCCCATGAAATGCTAGCACACTGTCTACCTGAAATGACACATTTTGGTATTTTAGTCGTAAAACACAGTCAAGGATTGTTGGGCTCTATAATGATTTTAATCCTCTAACGAGGACACCTCACAGCTACATTAGTGTTCAGAGGAATCTTAGAATTCTTTTAGCTAATGACAAAAATGACTGATAAATTGTTTAAGAATGTTTTGAATTGTAGAATAAGGGCAGACTAAGCGAATTACTATTTGCCTGAATTGATTTTAGATTAAATCTATTTAAATAACATTAGGTTTAACAAGTACCTAGTCCGTTTGGCCTCTAGGGACATCAAAATTAAAAAGTATATCGGTCCAGGCTCCAGGTCTTATCGTGTCACCTACGGTAATAGCTACTTCCCTATAGGGAAATTAGCTAAAATCTGTTTTTGCGGTTTAAAAATTGGTGTTTCACTGCAAAACACGTTCATAAAGGTTCAATGAATTAAAAAGTCAACTGACATTGCAGCAGTTACGCTATTTGTTGTGATTTTTAAGATCTTTGTATTACTGAAACTAAATAACAGGATATTATTTAATGAGTGGAGAATATCAATATCGAAGGAACAATAATTTTTTATCCAATTTTATCTATTTTAAGGGATGGCACCTGCATTCTTCTGTAGGCCTACGGTATAGTATATTTATTTATGATAGGTGAACTATAATAATGATAAGAAGTTATTGATATAAGTTGAAACAAATTTTTCATCTCCGAAATGAATATTATTTCAGAAGGTAGGATGGATGGATCCCAAAGTTTTGACCACGAGTCAAGTATTGATGAATTGTCCACTTCATGAGGCAAACAGGAGAGAACAGGAAGCAGTCTTGGATAGGAAAGGTCTAGATATGAGAAAATAAAACATGATTTGAGACAAGGAATCAATTGAGACAATTAGGAAAGTAGCTAGGGAAATAGGAAGGACCAAGTATACATACAGGCTTATAAATTGAAAAAAAGAAACAAACAAAAACAAAGAAAGAAAAGGAATGAAAACTTCCCCATGAAGTGGAGAGGAAAGGTTAGAGCAAATCCCAATGATACCAATCGCTCTGAGTTGTTGGTGGGGGGGGGGAGACATACTGTTAGGGTTTTGGACACATAGTGTATCTGGACGAGGATTGAAAGTGGCCGAAGCCTAATAAAGAAGATTTTCCACAGGGAATCGGCCTGGCAAATAAGGAAATAAGTCCCAGACTTAAGCCAGAGGTTGTGGTGAGAACGAGGGGCTTTGGTTTATAATTTAGGTTATCATCGATTAATTTTAAAAAAATCTTTTCATTTTGTGATTTTCACAACAACAACAAACTGCAAAATCACGTGAACTGCGAACTCAATATTAGGCCTTTTACCACCTCCACCTTAAAAAATAGAACCAAAAAACCAGAAAACGCCAAATAAAAAAGATCAATACAAATCCTTCTCCTATGTCTAGATTGCGCACAATTACGTGTGCCAGGTTTGCTTGTTTGTTCTTAATAAGAATAACATGGGAACTTTAAAAGCCACTAAAAGACAGAGACCAAGGGACTTTAATAAAATATAAGGTCAGTTTGCAAATCTACACACCTAGACGAACATTTTGGTATATAATATGTGGGGTTAAATCTTAAAACAAAAAAGCCTTATCGATCACAAAGTGTCATGTAGCGTATATGTGTGTGTGTGTGTGTATGTTTTGTACTTAGTTGTAAATAGAATAGTGAAGTGTTAAGACAGTAGTAACAGCAGTGTTATAGTCGGAACCACTTAAGTTTGCAGTTGGTGGCAGCCAATCACAAGACAAGGCTAGTGCGACGTTGCCACATCGCCTGTTGACCACACTAATTAAAATATACTAAGCAATATTTTAAATCAGCTGGTATTATTAGATTAGGCAACACTGCACGGTTCTCATTGGTTCATTCAAAACCATATGGTAAATAGGCTCCTCCCTCAACTGCAAACACGTGGTCCCGACTTTAAGTAGTTAGTTGATAACAGATATGACAGCAGCCATTTTGTAAACTTTATCACTTTCTCTATCCTACACTTTACAAAATCCCCCAGGGGATGAAATATTGTTTGTTCACTCTCTTCTGTGTGTTCTATGGTCTACCTACAATTGAGGCAAGCTAGCTGCTATCCTCATTCTACAATTCAAAATCCTGGCCTAGAGCCTTTCCTTGAACAAAACCGTTGATAAGAATAGTTAATAATTTTTCATTTTGTCCAAGAAATACAATTAATAATCAGTTTGGTCAATATTGTTGTTCATAGCTGAGAGTTTATTTATTCTGCTCTCCTGTATACCTCTTTTCTCAGTTTGAGCATAACTTGAGGATTCTGAGTGAGCTGCAGGAGAGCCAGACTGATAGTATTTGAGGTTGACTCTGACCCGGCTACCATGAAGATTATACTGTTGGCTGCAACTGCTTCATCTGTAAACACTGTAACAAATAATAAATTTGTGCGGAAGTTGATTGAAAAGCATAGGTGGTAACACCGAATACCGGCAGTGGTAACAAAAACTTTGGCAGTGGGGGCCATGGCCCTCCTGAGGTTTTACTGAGGTTTTAATAATAGACTTTAGCGACAAACATTTTTTAAAGATTGGCTTTTAGACAACCAATTATCATATTTTAGAGCGGTTTACAATTTTTTGTTGAGGAGGGACTTTTCTTCCAACATGTGGAACATACTGGTTTGCCCCTCCTGAAGAAAATTCCTGCAGTGGTCCTTGTTTAAAAACAGTACCTTTGGAATATTGAGGTAAATTATAACATTTATCTAATTGTATAGTTAAGATAAATGGGTGGGCTTACATAAATGGGAAAGAGTCTATGCTGGTACAAAAACACAAATATTTACACTCTACACAACAATTAGAATATTTCAGTCACTGAAATCATCTTAAATCAAGGAAGGTTTAAGTTGTTTAAAAATGCTGCCAGTGACAGTGAAATATTATATGTTTGTAAGCATTGTGCCAGGATGGCCTGCTTGTTGAATAATTAATAATTTTACCTATCCCGCCATGTTAAACTTCCCTATCCCAAGCGTGATGTATACAACTTCTTTACTTCATGAGTGAAATAAAGTTTCAAAAACTCACTCGGTGAAGTAATGAAACCCATTTAAATAACATTGAGTGCTCAACTTTAAAAAATATACCTCTATGGAGCCAACGATGTTCAACGCTAGAAATCAGCTGTGAGCTTGAATTTTATTGTTATGCATAAAAGTATTTTCCTATCCTAGCTTTTGTTTGTAAAAGAACGTTACTGTTAGAAGATGAGTGAAATGGATAATGAAAAATATTGTACGTAACCCCCTGTATATTGTCGGGTCAGATAAAATCTTGTGCGTTACGCAAGAGCGTGTTTACATCACTTAGGTGAATTATGCGTGATGTAAAAACACTCTTACTACACTTGTAAGATAAATAGCTATTAGTATTGTAAGGGACAAATTGTTGAAGACGGTGTAACCTTTATTCAATTGGCTGACACATTGATACTTTTCATTTTAAAATGTTTATAATCTAGGGTTTTATAATAATAGTTTATATTATGTGTAATTTATATGACTTGACATGATAAAGAGTAAAAGAGCCATCATATAAATCATAATTAGTACAAAACCAGAGAAGTGTGACCCTTGCTTTAGGTACATACCATATGTGGTTGGGCAGGTTAACATTCTGTCTTACTGTTAGGAATATGAAGTTAGACCATATAGTTTATACTCACATTTAGTTGTCATCGCCAGAGACTGGTAGAGATTGTTGGTGTCAGTGTATTTCATCTGGTCCAAGACCACATCCTCTTCACTAACACCACTAGCAGGCAGTGCAATGCTAACCCCTTTCTCTTCCTGCTCTTGCATAGTCAGAAGCAGCTGAAGATAATCGTTCCGTTTTATATTGTTTTCTTTCCGGTATTTCAAAGTTGACTTAACCAAATTAAGGAAATAGTCACCATCGTGTTTGGAAACAAACACCTTAAAGTTGAACCATTTTGCTACTTTTGGTAGTAGAATGAGCAATACGAATTTCAATATAACTGCGTTAGTCGGTATAAACATTTTTCTTGCAATGAATTTGAACATAGCAAACTCTTTACTCTTAGGCTGAAATTGGAGGCCGAAAGCGCAGCTTGAAACTACCTCAGAAGTGTATTCAAAGAGAAACTCTTTACAGTCTAAATCGGTATTTGCTTCTGACAACTCTTCGATCTTCATGAGCATGTTTTCACTGCAGTTCAAGATTTGTTCAAGTAAACCCTTGAGTTTTCCGGATGTGAAAGTCGGTGTCAATCTGTAACGCATGATTCGCCATTCTTGACCTTTCAAGTTAAATAAATTTCTTGATAAAAGTTCCTTTTCATTCTGAGGATGTCCTCTATTCTCAAAATGTCTAAAGTCTTCAACCAAAACTTTCCTGATCAAACTTAAATCGTTTACCATTAGTATCGGTTGCCTAAGCTGGAAGTAGCCGAAATATTTTTCTCGGGAAAACTGTTTGTATATGTTGTTAACTGCGTCAGCTTGGGATTTCTTTCCTATGAAGTTTGTCCAAATCAGGCCAGTTTTTATGTGAGGAACCCCCCTCTTGTACCAGTAGTCATCATTGCTGGTGATGAACCGGTGTAAGAGATAGGACAGGAGTAAAACTACCAACGTAACATCTATTAGTGTAGAGCCGGTAACAAAACTCATGGCTGAAATAAATAGTCAATACTTTTAAAATAGTATCCATTCAATAGCTGTGAAAATATGTATAATTAAGAACAGGTTTTATAATTACAGTATATGATAAGAACAGATCCAGAATGCAGTTTTTATTAATTTGAACACAAGTATCCTAAATTTATATAAAACCAAATTACTAGTGGACCATTTTTTCCACCACTGCAAGGCTACAGTAGACTCCCTACTGGTTACAGTGATGGTTTTTCTGTTTGAACCGGCGTCTCCTAAAACTCATTAAATCAGGAACGTATAGTGAAAACCAATCCAAATATTTTACTGAAACTTGGGAGAGCATTGTATTTAGACACGTGATCACTGGTCTCAAATCTTTCCCGAGAGAAAAGTCGCTTCAATACCACCCACTTCCTGCCAATCCAGTCCAGTTAAACCGATGTGCCGATTAATTAAACCAAAAATTGTCTGGTTAAAAAGGCATCACTTCTGTCGAGTGTTGTCCAGTTAAAAGGTGTCTTGATAAGAGGAAGTCTAATGTAATAAATAGTAACATTTTTGATGAAGACAAGTTGTTGACAAAAATTCTTTCCATGTCACGAATGTCGTGTTTGAACAATAATAATCAAAAGGAAATCATGTAAAATATTTGAAGTTCACCAAACATCATTTGAGTTGAAAATAAAACAGCTCTCAGTTTTGCAGGGAATGATATTCTAAGGGTCAATAACAAAACAATGAAACCCATATTAAAACTTGAAGTAAATGCAATTTTAAATTTGTTTTTTAATTACTTACCTCAACACAGATAATGTGAACAAGTGCCAATGGTAATGATGTTCATAAGCTCATTCAAGTGTTAATAATGCCACAGTCATTACCATTATTGTGCTAACACATGTTGTTGTGAGTAATTTTTATAGTAGTTGAACACATAAGTGTGCATTTATTGTCTAAGTATCGTATACTTTATTTGGTGTAATTTTTATGATTTTTTTAAACATAATAAATTATTACCATGAAGTATTTTTTTTTTTAATTTAAGTTTAAATATAAATCTTTATTATTTTCGTTCTTTTAGTTTATTCTTCTTTTCAGTTCTTTTAATTTGTTGAAAGAACAAATTGGAAAGAAATATAACCAGACCATGACAGGAAAAGGATAAAAATATAGAATACAAACCTTTTGTTAAAAATAGTATATTGTTATACAATACAATTACAAAATATTCATTGCATGCGAAAGACTAATACATATTATAAAAGCACAATGACCATAGAAGTAAACAAGCCACCTTTATGAATTTTAATTTGAAATATAATAATGGGGTCAAGTAACCAAACATGAGTTATGAGTTTTAATTATATGGAATGAAAATACTGGAAATACGACATGCGAGAGGTTTGTTCTGCAGCAACCAAAACAGCAAGATGGCTTACAGCCTTGCCTGGTTGTGGACTAGTTTTTGCCTTGCCCATCACTAGCACTAGGGGCTAGCTATACTCAACTGTGAGCTCTTATGTGTAAATGCCAATGCTAATGTGGTTTCAAGCATCATCACTAAGCGTTTAACATTTAAAACTCCTCAACGTATTTCTCCTACACAATGGGTATTAGTTTTGTAAACATTAATTAGTATTGATTGTAAGTGATATCGAAGCAAAAACCAGTTTAATACCCACAGATAGTGTGTATTGATCGAATTTCAGAACAGATAACTCTTGTTTTGTATAAGTGAATACATTCTTATTAGTAGGTTCTAAAGATAGCCTTACTACATCATGCTGCTAAACATCTAATTTAACAACTTCAATATGCATATTTGAAATATACAATACATAGAGTGTTTTCAAATGTGTTGGCTCATGTCTTTTATTTTACTCTTTTCTCAAAGTTAATCCAAATCCCACCTTCAGGCGTGGGCACAAAAGATCGAGGGCTTAGCTTGAGGGGAAGCTTGGTTTTTGGACTTAAAGTCATGTTGTAGTTAGCCACAACCCTTGAAATTGCCGCTTTCATTTCCATCACTGCGAAACGCATAGCTGAAAAAGACTTTGGTTATATTTTTCAAAAGTAATATCCTTGCTAGATAAGTCACCATCCATTATTAATATTTCACATCATCAAGATAAAGCTATACAGTTGAATAATTTGAGTTTATAAAACACTAGACATGTAAAACATGGGACAACAATTTAACATCTGGCTGCAAATTTAAGAGATATCAATGTATTTGATAATAACTAGTGGCTTGTAGGGACAAAAGACCCTAAAAAGCTCAAATGTAAAACAAATTATTGTAATATTTAAACAAACTCGGAATCAAATTATTATCTATGTGTCAGGATTGATATCCCATTACAACATATCTTTTGTGTAAAAAACAGATTTTTGTTTGTCTTTGTTTGCTTTTGATGATGTTATTTTCAATAAATAATATGAATTACTTCAGAGGTTGCTCTGCTAAAGGCAGCAAGCATGTTTGTGAATAAATATTGGCTTACTAAGGTAGCTTTGGGGAGCGAGCTGGCGTAGTGGTTAGAGTGCAGGACTTCAGTCCGTGAGGTCCTGTGTTCGATCCCCGCCAAGTCACCAATGGATTTTATCTAAGTGATAATGCTGCAACCCCTAGGTCTAGCCTGAAGTAATGTGAAAAACAATCCCAGGCTCGTGCCTAGCGTTAGGAAAAAAAAAAAAAAAAACTAAGGTAGCTTTGGTCTTTTGGTTAATGATGATAAAAAGGCTTCCCTGATTGAAATATTGGAAATTGTCTTCGTCAAATATGAAAAGGCAAATAAAGATGTGTTAAGATAAGATTATTTCTTGGTCAAAACCGCTAAATTAGCACCCCGACCCAGTTATTATTTCTCTGTTTATGCTCCTTTTGTTAAGGTTTAACAACATTAGTGTAAAGTACACTGTCAATACTATCAAAATTATAATGATAAAGTTATTAATACTAATTATGATAATATTTAATCTGAGACATTACTACGCGCGCGGGGTTACACTAGACACCCCAATGAACACTGTACTGGTAACACAAGCACGCGCGCGGGGGTATGTCAGACGCACGGGGGTGATAACAGGTCAATGATTGTCCAAGACTAACAACCCTGCGGCCAGATGATAGCATATGCCGTTTTAGGAAGTTACTACTGTTATGCTCACCAGGGTTGCCACCATATTTGTAAAATTATTACAAAATTAACGTACTTAACGTACGTGGGGGTATGTCATGCCCCTGTCGTGCAGTTAAGGATTAATTATTATAGGTAACATTATCCCTGGTTTTATATAGTATACAGTACGTTGCAGAATTGACTGGCAAATGAGTAATTCAAATGTAGTATTGCTCACTGGCTTAGTGATAAATCTCGATCAGGTGAATTGAAGTAAAAAAATCAGCAGTAAATGGCTTCTAATGCTATACTTACGGAGAAAATTTTACGTTATATCTTTGACTATTAATACTACTTCTGTATCCAATAGTCAATGGTTATATCTAATTTGGTGTTAAAATTTTGGGAATTTCACTATTTTCCCCGCCGTCATGGGATCGAAACTTTTTGAGCCCTCTCCCCGTCGTTCTACAACTTCCCAGTCGCCCACAATTTTGATGCAAAGAATCGGCTTACATAATTAATATATAGATATTATGTTTACCTGGGTTTATTCTCAATTAAAAACAATTGAGTTTGTTCAATTTACTAAGAATAGCCAAAGACTTCATCCCAAGGTTAATAATTTGATTATATAAATTAAATACTTACCAATACATATTCTAGGTCCATCACCGAAAGGTAGGAAATGTGGGTTTGGTTTGAAGTTGTTCCCTTCAAATCTTTCCGGCTTGAAAGAGTCCGGATCAGGATAAACCCGGGGGTCTTGTTGTAGTCCGATCACTGGAATTGATATCAAAACTCCCTTCTCAATCACTAGGTCAGAACCGGGTACTTTGTAGGATTTGGTGCATTCCCTCTGCAATATCGGAATTAGAGGGTAGAATCTTTGTGTTTCTGGAAAAGTGAACAAGTAATTACATTTGGCAGAAATGAAGGAAAAGCCTATCAGAAGAGGGGGTGTAGATGAGAACAAATACCAGGGATATTGATGGCGACTGCTGAAAGATTTGATGATTTTGCTTTTTAGATTAACCCTTTGAGCCTCAACAGCAATACATCACAAAACTAACACAATCAAACTTCCACTTACAACTATTTATTAGTGACTTTGGTTTAACTCAATAAAAACGGCTGAGAGCTATTACCTGACACAAGTTATATACTTTTGCTTAGGCTTGTGTTTGATCAGTATAATTGTACTGATTACTGGTCAGTGGTCAGTAATCAGTATAAGTAGGATTAGTACAAGTAGGATAACTATCATAACTGTACTGATTACTAAGTGGTCTCTCTGGTTAGGAGATTATGGGTTCAAATCTCATCAATCAAGTCAGCCATGGTGTTCAGAGCCTGGTGAGAGAGGCCCATGTTAAATAAACAGTGGGCGGCTCATTTAGAAGATGAACGGGCAGGCAAATTAGTTGTAAATTCACCTAAAATCAGGCATTTTGCTACTTTTGCTTGTGCTCACTGAGTCTGCACCAAAAAAATGTTTTAAATTATTGGAAATGATATGTCATAAGATGAGTGAGCAATACCTATTTTAAAATAGGCAAAATTAATTCGCTGAATTTATTTTACTGATAATCTGGAATCTGGATCACGGGAGATGATGATGAAATTTCCGCGATCGCAAGAGATCTTAACTATTTTGCCACCAACATAGGAGTTGCCATTCATGTTGTAGTTCATTCCCGATCGCGGAAGATGTCCAGGATTTTATCGCTACCGAGGGAGTCGAAGATGATATCCCTGCAAACTCGGAATATCTTCACAATTTTGTCATGAACAAAGGAGATGAGTATGATATCTCCGCACTCGCGCAAGATGTTAACTATTTATCCGCGATCACAGGAGTTCTTCATGATTTTGCAGCTATCGTAGGAGGTGAAGATGATGTTTCCGCACAAGTGCAAGATTTTTCCTATTCCACACTAGTTGTTTTGTTTTTGCCGTGATTGTAGGAAACGAAGATGACGTCTCTGACTAACGCAAAATGTTAACTATTTCTCCGTGGCCATAGGAGACATTCATGATTTCAACATGATCGGAGGAGACGATGATTATGTCTCCGTGATCGCGCATGATGTACACTAATTAGCAATGAATGTAGAAGATTTCATGATCTCTCCGTGACCGCGCAAGATATCCACGATTTTACTGTGACTGCAGAAGACGCTTACAATATGACCGCTATTACAGATGTTGTATGAAATGATTATAGTATATCAATTAATATATTTTACATAAATTATTTCCAAAACCACCAGATTTTGATCGAATGCTTGGTGGTCAACATTTTTTACCCAACCCAAAAGGAATTAAAAGTGTCAGGCCCCGACCTAAGACCTCTAATATTATTATTTAAAAAAATAATAGACTTATTTAGTCTCCTAGTCCTTTTTGCCGATCGGATTGTTGAAATAAAAGGTGAATTTCTCTAATTGAAGCAATACCACGTGTATTTCTAAACCCTTAAGTTTCAACCTTCGAAGAATCAGAATATAGAGGGCTTCTCTGGTGAGAGCCGCCAGGGGCCTCATAGATTCTATATACGGCCCTGTTGCTGAGTAATCCATGGGCAAAAATTCAAAAATAGGATTTAGTTACCATAGTAGAAACAAACCACATTTTTACTTAACGACAAATTTGAAAAAAGTGCTTTACTATTTACAGCCTGTAAATAGCACTGGATTTCAATAAACTACACCGATCTAATTTAAACAGACCTTGTATGACTTGGTCCAGATAAGTCATCTCCTTCAGAGCTTGATAGGACAATTCTCCATGCACAGAGAGAACACTGTCTACCTGGAATTAGGTCAAATAATTACATTCACAGGATTCATAACTGCTGGTTCAAATGTTATCATGTCCGAGTTTTACATTTGGGTTTTGGTTTCACATGTCTAAGGTTTGAATATAACTAGGTGTACGTCTAAGGCCGGGGCCACACTCATCTTATCTCGCTGAATTTTTTCCACGGACGTTTCTATACTGTACAGTGAGCGTGGAGGGGAGGGGGGCGAACACGGACACGGACGATTTTTATTGCCAGTGTGGCATGCTCTATCAGTCTCCACTGGTTTTCCCGAAAAACCTATCTCGTAAGACGAGTGTGGCCACGGTCAAACTGTTTCACGTGCGTCGCACGTGAAAACGGAAAAAACAGTCTCGCTGGTTAAAAATTACAAGTGTGGCCCCGGCCTAATCCAATATCCAAAGTAAATACCTGTACGCAGATTCTATAAATTTAATAATATTTAACTTAGAAATATAGAACATCTGTTTGAAATGATGATCTAAACTAAAAATGGATAGAAAATGTATTGTAAACCTCTTTCTGTAGCTTCTCCTGGACATGAGGGTGTCTAGCTATCATGAACAGTGCCAGGGACGTAGTGTTGGAAGTTGACTCTGAGCCTGCCACTAGGAAAATCACACTGTTGGCTGCCACCGCCTCCTCTGTGAACACTGCAGACGACACAATCAGAGACATGTCAAACTTTTTTTTGGTCTTAAGACTGTAAACTCTTTTTTTAGATTAGATCAAGTGTTTTTTTTTTTGCACACGGAGGGCAGCCTGCAGGGTGAGTTTTGTTATTGTTAAAACGCGATACTGATTCTTCTAAAAGGGGTATACTTTTTAAATAATCTCAAGAAAACATAGTACAAAAAGAACTTCAATTTTAATCAGACATAACTATTCAAGACCATTTCTAACAATCAATCAAAAGGAAAAACATAAACTGCAAAAAGTAAACAAATAAAACATCTGATGAATTAAATTAATACATAGGTAAATAATCATCTAGAGACAGTCATTTTCAACATACTCCCACCTTTTGAGTCTTAATTTTCATTATTTAAATACTCAAAACAATTATCATACTTCCAGTCTTTTTGGTAACTTGATTAGTCTTCCTCTTTTTGTAAATTTGTCTTTCTTTATAACTTTTTCATCTAAACTTTCTTTATCTTGAACTTCTTCTGCCTGGTTATTAATAACTTCTATGGTATAAATGTGTTGAATAGGTCGTAGCAGGGTTCCTTTGGATGTCTTCAGCTCCACCAAACGCACATTACCATCTTTTCCTTTGAAAGTTTTCTGAACCCTCGCCATAGGCCAGTCCATACGTTTTACATTGTCACTTCCCATCAGCACAATTTCTCCTACTTTAACTTGACGATTTTTACTTTTATTTGAATGAAGAATCAACTGGCTTAAATATTCATTTCGAAATCTCTTCCTTAAATCTTCTTTCAATTTTAGTTGATGTTTCATACGATGACATAAATCTGTTCTTTCAACACAATCAATATCTATTACTCCATGTTCTTTTGCTTCAAGAAGGAACATTGCTGGAGTCAACACTTCCATATCACCACTATCTTCGGACACATAAGTAAGTGGTCTTGCATTAATCACAGATTCACAGTCGCATAATACTGTTAACAATTGTTCATAATTTAAACAAGATCTTCCCAGTACTTTCCTAAGAAGTTGTTTTAAAAGTCTTATAAGTCTCTCCCACCATCCTCCCCACCAGGGTGATGCTGGTGGATTGAATTTCCACTCAATCTGTTTTATGGAACTATACTTCAAAATGCTATCCCAATTCAGTTTATTGAGTGAGTTGGCTGCACCTTGGAAGTTTGTTCCATTATCAGTACATATGACAGAAGGTCAACCTCTTCTTGAAACAAATCTCCTGAGACTTTGCAGAAACGTATCAGTTGATAATGATGTTACCAATTCTAAATGAACTGCGCGGTAAACAGCACAATAGTACAATCCACGCCTTTTGACCACCTTTCAAGAACACAGGACCAGCAAAATCAATTCCACATACCTCAAATACAGTTGCATCACGTACTCTAAGTAAAGGTAGTTGTACTGGAACAGAATCAAGCCTCTTGCGGCTATATCTTTTACATGTAACACATTTTTCTACTACTGATTTAACCGTTTTTCTTCCACAAATTATCCAAACATCTTCTCGTAACATAGACAGCAAACCTTGAACTCCAATATGACAGTTTTCTTCATGCTTGTAACGAATCAATCTTTGCACAACTGGATGATCACTTGGCAGAACTACAGGATAGCGAAAATTTTGTGTATCAGGTCTTTCAACAAGTTTGGTCTTGAGCTTTATTAAACCATCTAAGTCCTCAAAAACACAAAATGACTTCAATCTGTCATCCTTTAAGCCTGAAAATGACTCCCTCTGTATGAGCTTAAAAACCGTCTTTTCTGCATTTGCTATTTCATCTTTGACAAGTGGTCCAATAATTCGATCTTCTTGACTTCTTGAGTTATTTGTAAACCTTATAATCCACCCAACCATTCGGAGAAGTTTATCATATCTTGAGAAATAAAGATACCAATCCACAAATCTTTCCGAATTCAACATTGTTATACATGATGATGTAGATTTCTTCAATTCTTTTCCATCAGCTTCTTCATCACATGCATAAGTCTGCTGAGGCCAGTTATCACATGATTTTATAAGCCATGTTGGACCTTCCCACCATTGTGACTCTGTAAGCTGTTTTGGAGAACAACCTCTTGATGGTGGATCAGCTGGATTCATGGGACCCGGAACATATTTCCATGATTCAATCGGTGACAACTCTCTAATTTCTTTTACACGGTTCCAGACAAAGACAGCCCAATTGTTTTCGCGTCTGATCCATGACAATACTGTTGTTGAATCAGTCCAATAAAATACTTCTACATTCTTTAAATCAATACTTTCGATTACAGCTTTGGTCAGTCTAACTCCTATAGTCGCTCCCATTAGCTCCAAGCGTGGGATACTCATTTTCTTTACAGGTGACACTCTACTTTTAGCTTGAACTAATTGTACAGATACATGGCCATTCAACTCACCTCTTAAATATACTGCTGTTGCATATGCATTTTGACTGGCATCACAAAAACAATGAATGGACCAAGAAACATTACCCTGGATCTGAGGTGAAAGATGTCTCGGTATTTTTAGATGTTTCAAACAATCGAGACTTTTTGCCCATTTAATGAAATCATCTTTGATTTCTTCAGATACCTCTTCGTCCCAAGAAATGTTATCTTTCCATGTCTTTTGTAGAAGAATCTTAGGTATAAGTGCTACAGGACAGGTAAAACCGATTGGGTCAAACAGTTTATGTGCAAAAGACAAAATTACACGCTTTGTTACACGGCTAAGGTTATCAAAATTCAAATTGTCTGTGTTTATCTCAAGTGTATCTGTCTTCCTGTCCCAGTTAAGACCTAGCACTGGCGTCACAACATTTTCTCCCTCAGAAATATTTCTGTCAGTATATTCCCAGCCTCTTAAACAAAATTTAGCATCTCTCATAATATTTGTTGACTGATGAATGAAAATCTCAAGGTCTGACACATAATCAAAACTAGCCATACAGTTGTCAACATAAAAACTTTTCATCAGCTGTAGTATAATGTCCATTGAGTAGTCAGACAAACCACTCTCTGCTAGACAAAGAGTTTTCTCTAAGTGTAGTTTGATCACTGCACCTAATAAAAAAGGACTACAGTTGACTCCAAAAACAACTCTCGCATGACGATATACTATTGGTTCTCCATGTTGATTGACCCATAAGAAACGGAGAAAATCTCTTTCACTACTATCCAAACTTATTTGTAGAAATGTCTTTTCAATGTCAGAGACAACGCCAAGTTTCTTTAACCTAAACCGATTCAGAATGGACGGAATACATTCTATTAAATTATCACCTTTCCACAAACAATCATTGAGAGAAGGTTGAGACTTCTCCTTTGCAGAGGCATCAAAAACTGGTCTTAGTTTAGTTGTGGCACTACTTTCTTTTAAAACATGACGATGTGGTAAGTAGTGTCCTACTTCAAGATTGGCCCCAGGAACCTTTTCAATTATGCCTAAATTTTCCCAATCAGTCAAAACATTTTGGTACCTATCATAGTTATCACTTTTATTAAGCTTAACAAGTAGTGAATCGAGCCTTTTTTTAGCCATGTCCAGATTAGTTGGAAGTGGTGGATGATCTTCAACCCATGGCAATTTTACTTCATACCTCCCTTCACTGTTCACTGAAACAGTGTCTAAGAACTGATTCATTACAGCTGACTTTGTATCAGATTCTGACTTAACACATATAGGATCCTTTATCCCCAAAACATCTAGACTCCACATGTCAGATATAGACATGTTAGGTGTTAACAAAGATGTAACAGTCATTGAATTTGTTTTACTGTTGGCTCCTTTTACATTTACTTTCCCCTTTAAAACCCAACCAAGTAAGGTTTCCATTGCAACTAAATCATTTTTCAAAACACAACGTTTCCCTGTACCTAAACAATTTTCCACCAATATCAGATCCAATCAAAACTTCAACCGGCCCATCTACAGTGTCAGAAACATTAATACCAAAAGACTGTAATTCGTTTAACCAAGGACCCGCTTTGATTGTTGAAATGTTATTACATATCACATCTTGATCTAATACCTCAAAGTTGCAAAAGTAAGTATTACCCAAATCACTTAACCTTACTTTATGTCGATTGTGTTCAACAGCATTTGTTGTTGATCCACCAAACAATGCATGATTAAGGCTTTCCTTACCAAATGATACATACCCCATTTCTTCTGCAGTTTTCTTCAAAATGTAGGACCTTTGAGAACCAGAGTCAAAAATGACACGTGCTGCTCGTTCTTTATTACCTCCTCTAATATTCACACGTACAGTTTGTAAAAATACTTCAGTGTGTGCATTATTAGCTAAATTACGTTCACAAGATACTAAAGTGTTATCATTAACATTATTTACATCAGATTTTTCTTGAGACTTGTTACACATTACTGTTGCATTTCGACCATTGCAAAGAGAACAGTTTAATCGAACATGACACTTCTTACTGACATGGCCATACTTTGTGCAAAGATAACAACATTTATTACTTGACAATAGGTTTACTTTTTCTAAATGTGTCAGATTACTATGGCTCTTACAGTTTTCCATCAAATGTTTTGCACCACAAAAAACACATTTCATAGGGGTTTTATCGACCTTTTGGTTGACAAGATCGGTTGCAGTGGGAATTGATTCTGTTTTGTTACTTAAGAATGGTTTGGATGACTTACCCAATTGCCTCTTCGTGTCCCCAAAACCTGAGGTAGCAAGTGAAATTCTTTCCTCATTTGTTACTTCAATTCGCAGAAACTTCAAAAGCGCATCGAGTCTATTCTTCAAATCAGCTTCTGGATCAAAGTCGGAATGACGTTGCCACGCCCTTAAAAGATCCTCTGGCAAACATGACTCAACTAATGGGTAAAGAATAGCCGCACATTTATCAGTAGTTACTCCTAATGTGTCAAGAGCTCTGATTTGACATTCTAATTTGTCAAATAAAGTCGAAATCGCTACCTTTTGGCTCAAGTTATTGAGTAGCAGCTTTAAAAGTTCTCTAACATAGACTTCTATCAAAAGATCATCCCTTCCAAAACTACTTTTTAAACTCTGAATAGCATCTCTATAATTCTCTGATGTAGCAGGATAGCTATCTACAATTTGTCTCGCTTTAGAATTTGGAATAGTGGCCTGAACTAAATAGTGGAACTTAGGCCTATCAACATCATCAATAGAGGGATCTTCATCTATCCTCTTAAAAATTCCCCAAAAAGGAAGCCATTCTTTAAGATTCCCACTAAATTGTACTAGTTCAATCTTGGGAAGTCTAAGCTTAGTCTTTAAATTTGAACTTTCACTCTTAGCTGAATTACTACTGACAAAATCATAATCTCTAGACTCATTCAACTTACTTTGTACCAAAACATTTACTTGATTGTAGGTTTCCAAATAACTATAAGCTTTAGACACTTCTTCTTCAAGAATTGCTTCACTTTCCTCAAATTGAAATAAATGGTCAGATATCTTTGTGTCTAAATTCTTTAACTCTTCATAAATGATACTTACAGTTTGAAACCTACCTTTCAATTCATCTGTTTCCTGTGTTAGTTCATCCTTTAAATGGTTCACTAGTCTTGAAAAGTTTGCCCTAACAACAGTTCTATGTTTCTTGTTCTTATTAAATTCCCTAACATCAGTTTCACTCATCATCTTAGTGTCCTGTCACGGTCGCCAAATGTTAAAACGCGATACTGATTCTTCTAAAAGGGGTATACTTTTTAAATAATCTCAAGAAAACATAGTACAAAAAGAACTTCAATTTTAATCAGACATAACTATTCAAGACCATTTCTAACAATCAATCAAAAGGAAAAACATAAACTGCAAAAAGTAAACAAATAAAACATCTGATGAATTAAATTAATACATAGGTAAATAATCATCTAGAGACAGTCATTTTCAACAGTTATGTTTGAGTAGACACATTTTGTCCTTCTCTCTCCCTAAAAAAGGACTAAGTGTACAAAATTTAAATGTTTCATTGATACAATACAGAGGTATTTCTAGAAGAGGGCATTTATGAAAGAAAGAAATTATAAATTCAGTTTATATTACATTGTACCCTTTTGTAAACTATTTTTCACCTACAATGTTTTAGCCATTTTACAATCGTTGATTGGAGGATGAAAGCTACGTATTGCTGTCCATGCCAGCTGTTAACATAATTTGGGGACCGAGCAGGTTTTTGCAGCCCTAGGCCCGAAAATCAGCTGTTCTCTTATTTACTTAAAACATTAATGTATACACAAGCTGTATCCATATGCATTGCAATAGACTTGTTTTATTGTCACCACCGCTTAACAATAATTTATCATTATTTTATTATTTATTATTAATATTTTTACTGATCTCTCCAGTCTCCACATAAGCTTAAAGTTGCAGTTGTGTTGGCTGCTAGTGTGCATATTGTATATATTTTCTCAATTTTGTATAGTGTGGTGAAAAAAAGCGTTCTTACCACGGGTTGAAAGAAAGGGCTTTGTAGCTCTCGATTGTTTTAAGTTCTCAACTTCTTCGCGAACTTGCCGGCAAAACCTTTTCACATATAAGGCTACACATCATTTGGTAATCATTCGGAGGGCAAATATTATTAGGGAGCCCTCAGGTATGAAATATAATATTTTACAAGGGATGATTGATTGAACAATTTTGAAAATTAAATAATATAAGTACTAGATAAATATAAGCTATTTGTATTAGAAACTTCAATATCAAACAAATAGCATAAAATTGGTAATGTATTAACCATTTCTTCGTCAATCTAATTTAGTGTTTCAGCTTTTTTTTGCATGTAACATGAAATGTTGATCATAAACTGCTCATTTATTAAATATTATAAATTCGTGATAAGTAAGCTCCGGTAAACAGATCTGAAAATGGAGCAATTTTTGCTGATAAAGCTCCAAAATGAATCATCTGTGTTGAACAGGGGATCGAAAACAGTGTATGTATTGCCTCTAGCCATTGTACCAATTCTAAAAGCAGTAAATAAATAATCCAAATCAAACTCACACTTGACATCAGCTGCTGGAAGCTGATCCGAGTGGTCAGTGTACTTCAGCTGTTCTGTGATCACAGCATCATCTTCTGTTGTGTCTGTAGCCAAGAGAGCATGTGATGAGAGTTGGTTGTTATCTTCTTGATCCTTCAAAGCCATCAGCAGCTGGAGGTAATCATTACGCTTGATGTTATGCTCCTTGCGGTAGCTCATAGTAGTCTTAATAATATTTAAAAAGTAGTCCCCAGCTGATTTACTAATAAACACCGAAAGATTCAACATTTCGGCCAACTTGGGGAATAATATGAGGACAAAAAATTTCACAACCATTGAGAAAGACGTACGGAACATTTTTTGAGCAACTGTTTTGAAAAAGTTGAATTCTTTACTACCCGGAGCAAACTGTAGTCCGAAAGCACAAGTGCAGATCACCTCAGTGGTGTACTCAAAGACAACGTCTTTACAATCCAAATCCGTATCTTTTTCAGACTGGGCCGCGATGTTTTTCACCATGTTCTCTCCACACGCTGAGACCTGTTGGAGCATACTCTTTAGTTTTCCTGTGGTAAAAGTCGGGGTAAGTTTGTATCGCATTATTCGCCAACCTTGTCCAGTCAAATTAAACAAATTCTTTGATAAAAGTTCTTTGTCGTTCTTTGGTTGCCCTCTGTCTTGGAAATATGTAAAATCTTTTATTAAAACTTTGTTTATTAACTCTTCATCATTTATAAATAGTAAAGGTCTGTTAATTTGAAACGTTCCATAGTAAGGTTTGTCACAGTGTTTGAAGTACAGCTCCTTCACTGCATCTGCCATTGACTTTCTGCCCAGTAAGGTTTCTTTCAGTAGCCCATATTTGGAATGCGGGACTCCCCGCTTCTCCCAATAGTCATCGTTGCTGCAGATATACCAGTAGAGTCCACAGCATACCGATAGAACACCCAGCAGGATGTCAAACAGTACAGACCCAGTAAGGAATGACATGTTTGTATCCAAGGGTTTTCAGTTCAAAAAGAAAACCTAGAACAAAATTTAACAAATAGTGAAAGATATTAAGTTGCACACAGACAAGAAAAACACATTTGAATTTATAAGTGAATGTTATATGAGATGCAGTAAGGGATATTTCAACGCAAAAATGAACAAAATTCCAAAATTGTTGTTGGATGGGTGAAACACCTTGTAAAAAAATTACTGAGAATGAGCAAATCTTTCTTCACCCAGGACCACTGGTTCAATTAAGGCTAGTTATTGAAATTATTATTTAAATAAAATAATTTTGCTGTGTGTATACATACTATAGGACGTCTGGGAAGGGTTAAGTTAAGACATTTAAAATATTTATTCTAAAATTGGTACATTGCAATACAGTATGCATTTATTGCACAGACATCAAAATTACAGTAGAGTAAACAATACAAATTCTCTATGAAGCTACCGAGTTACCAGGGACAAAACTTGAAGACAACAGTTTTTATTACTGGATCAGTGATTAGCTGAACTGAACTATCGAGGACATTTTTTATGAGAAAAAGCGCAAAATCATTATACAAGTTGGGATCTTTCCAATAAAAATTTTACATTTCATATTTTTCTAATAGAGTAAAAATATATACTATTGTTTCTTAGAAATAGTTTTATCTTGTCGTTTTTTTTTGTTTAAAAAAATAACCTCAAATCTTCATTCATCATCATCTATTAGTGTAATCTATATTGTAAAATTTAACTTTGCAATCTATTTTCAATAGGTACTAAGATGGTTCCCTTCCCAAGAGGCATAAAGATATACAAATCAGGCTGTGTTATCTTAAACACTTAACCTGAAAGGTGTTTTGTTTACTAAATTTTGATCATATCTAGGACTAAGGATGTATCGTAACAAATTTTACGTTATTTGTAATAGAGCCTACACTGTGTAAAAGAATAACAAATCATTTAGTAAGAAAATTTTCTTCAAGCTAAATAAAAGTACATAAATACAGGATGGTAATTATGCTGGAAACATTTTTTGAAGCCATAATTGAAAAAAATACAGGAAGGTAACTTGACACAGATGCTCCTATACATGTGTATCTGATGCTCCTATACAAGGTTTCATCGGCAGGCATTGAGTCCTATTTTCAGGAGGTCCTTGCAGGGGTTCCACAGGGGTCAGTTCTGGGTCCACTTTTATTTCTTATCTATATAAACGATCTGCCTAGCAATATTCCTTGTAAAACCATTCTATATGCGGATGACACTTCTTTTGTAGTTACCGATAAAGTGTTAAAAAATGTAAAAGCACACAGTGACAGAGTAATGGAATTAGCCAGTTCTTGGTTTAATGCTAACCACCTTACAGTCAATGCCAACAAGACTGAAACAATCTGTTTTACTTTGAAAAAATAGACTCAGAGGAAGATTGTAAGCCTGTTAGATTACTAGGGGTCACTTTAGATCAGAAGCTTACATGGGAATCTCACACCAACTCAGTAGTTTCAAAACTTTCAAGGGCTTGTTTTTTGCTACGTAAGCTACAACAATGTGTTGGTAGAAATATGTTATTAAATACTTATTTTAGTGATTTTCATTCCCATTTGCTGTATGCCACAATGCTCTGGGGAAATAGTAAAGGTGCTATCCATGTTTTTGCTTGGCAAAGAAAAGCAGTAAGGGTTTTAGCCAATTTACCTTATCAAGATGACTGTAAGCAATGTTTTATTGATTACAATATAATGACTGTCCCTTGCATTTTCATATTTCAAAATCTTATATATATAAAGGAAAACCAGAGTGATTATGTATGTTTTGAGAAAGTTCATAATTATAACACTAGAAGAGCACAAGATATTGTCCCACCCTCTTTTAGATTGCGGAAAACAATAATCAGCCACAAATACCTACAAATCAAGTGCTTCAATAAATTGCCACCAGAGATCAGAAACCTTGATATCCAACCATTCAAATCAAAACTGTCAAGCTGGTTTATAAATAAAGCGTTTTATTCTCTTGATGAGTTTTTAGCATATAGATTTTAACTTAATATTATTGAGTTTTGATCCAGTGATGCTTTGGTGAATAGTTGTAATTTATTGGTTGTTAATTTTCATAGTTTATATTGATTTGTTGCTAATTGTTAATTGTGATGTTTTATCTGTTATCCTGACAAGTACATTGTACTCATCTCCTTTTATACTGCACTTTAATGTATTTCTTTGACGTTGTCTATAGCAATGTAAATTGACAAATGACAATAAATGGATTCTTATTCTTATTCTTATGTGTCTATACATTTCTATAGTATAAGAGACATTCTGAAAAGTCAGGAAAATGTCATGAAATAAAGCCTATGTCGAGTTGTATATACACTGAAATATCTCAGTTTACCAAATAGTTTCTTAGGGGTAAAAATTTATAATCTGTTCAACAAAAATTATATACAAAAACAACTTACCTTGTATAAACACAACGTATACTTAGGTTCCACACACATATCACTTAAAAACCAAACAAACAATCTAAAAGTTTTTAACAATGTATACACAAGTCAGCTGTGAAATGCACTGTATGTTGTGATGTGATGAGCATGAGCTGTGTGGTTGGGTTGTTAACACTCTGAGCTCAAGGTCGAGTCACACCCACTCAATCACAAATGTCACATCACAACAGCTCACCACACAGATATCAAGTATCAAATTTGTTGCTCTCATCAAAGGTATTAAAGATGCAGAAATTTCATCGATGTAAGTTAGTTCTTTTACTCTACAGACTCGAAGCTTTGAAAATCTCTCAACTAGCGTTTACAAAATGAAGAGATCATTTAAATTTTGCAAATGAAAATAATTTTACTAAAAGGAACTTTACTGTTGGTCTGGATATAGTTAAACATCTGGGATTTTTTTCAGACGTTAGTTCGTAATATTTCAAACTGTTCTGCAACTATATCACAAATTAGCTAAGAATAGTTTCTTTAATATGTTTGCTTGTATTGCTTTTAAAATCAAATCATAGCTATGATTTTATAAGATGAAAAGTGTACTGCAAGTGTATCTTAAGTCAATGGTGTATCAGAAAAAATTATGAATAGTTAGATAAAAATTGCTAATGCTGTAGGAAAATACAAATTTAATGAATATGTTAGCAACTAGATTCATAACAATCTTGACAAAAAATGTATACTTTTTTAAAACGTTTTTGAGTGAAAATTTAAAAACGTACGTTTTCAGGAAAAGCACTTTGCAAAATTTTTTTCCCTTTTTTCAAAACTTTTATTATTATTTTTATTTCATTAACATTTGAAGTTTCAAAAAATGTCCATGGTAACGCAATATCGTTGGTAGTTTTTTTTTTAATAGAGCATCTTTAGTGGAAAAACACAAAATCCTGTCACGACCATAACAGACGCTTAAATGAATATTAAAAATAGTTAATATTATTTTTATAACTATGTTTTGCTATAAACTAATTTACTTTTATGACCATTATACCATAAAAAGGTCACTGAGCTTTTGGTATATTTGGTCTTTCTAGAAAAAAATAAAAAAACTCAAAAAATTGAAAAAAAGCCAATAAAATCTTTTTAAGTTTGTATAACTCCGAAAAAACTTACCTGAGACCCGAAAAATCGTTATGTTTGTACAGAGGTGTGTTTCTTTTGTGTATAAAACATTGAAATATGACGATGTTTTAATTTTTGAAATTTTTATGATAGAAATCATAAACGTGATGGTCAGGGACAAGCGGCACGGTCGTGAATTTTCTGAAATAATCTAAATCTTTCTAAACAATCCTTCAATTATACTGTTAGTTATAATAAAAATATGTGTTTCAATTGAACTAAACTGTTCAAATTACAATTATATTAAAGTTATTGTCAATACGACTTCGAGATTCCTTACCAAGTTGCAATAGGGGGAAGAGACAACTGGCAACAGTGCAACTTCAGCAATGACAGAGCATGCTTGGTCTATTACACCGATGGAAGTCGGAAGGATGAGAGATCAGGGCTGGGAGTGTATGGTAACAAAACCAAAATATCTCTGGCCTTGGGCAGAACAACAACAGTTTTTCAATCAGAGGTCCTGGCGATTGAGTGCTGTGCTAATAATATTATTAGCAAGAATCTAAGAAAGGGTAAAATCCTTATTCTCTCTGACAGCCAGGCAGCACTGAAGGCGCTGGGGTCATGTGTGACACAGTCACGAACAGTAAAAGGGTGTAAAAACACCCTCAAAAAGTTAGCAGAGCGAAACCAAGTCAAATTGTCTTGGGTTCCTGGACATTCGGGGCATGAGGGGAACGAAAAAGCCGATGCATTGGCCAGGAAGGGTGCGGAAGACCAACTGTCAGGACCAGAACCCTACTGTGGTACCCCCATAAGCTCAGGAGTAGCCAAAGTCCAAGACTGGGTCAAGGTTCAAAAGGCTCTGGCCTGGATGAACCACCCAGGTATGAGGACGTCCAAATTACTAATCGACCCCACTGATAAAGGCTGGAAAGACTTGCTGAGCCTTAAGAAAGGGGACATTAGTCTGCTAGTAGGAGTGTTAACAGGGCACGGTCCTATCAGGAAACATCTCAGGACCATAGGGAGGTCACAAACAGACCTCTGCAGGTTCTGTGAGAACGAGGTAGAAACCTCAGAACATTTATGGCTGGACTGTCCAGCGTTGGCCCATAGAAGGCTTATATCTCTGGGGAGGTTATTCCTGGAACCAACAGAGATAAGGAAGCTGGGTGTCTCTCAGCTCCTGGGCTACTTGAGGAGCCTAGGGCTGTCAGAATGAATTAAAGGGTGCTACAAAAGGTCTCCAGGCCGAAGTAGCCAGGGGTATGCCATTACCCCAGCCCCCAAAAAAAAAAAAAAAAAAAAAAAAAAAAAAAGTTATTGTCACGACCAAACACACTATAATCCATAAGGCTGGATTGGTCGTGAAAAACCCCGCGATGGTCGTGAAAAACCCCGCGATGGTCGTGAAACTTTGGTCGTGAAATTACGTGTTATTTGGCTCTGTTCTGGCGGTAGCCCTGCACCTCATGTTCGAGGATACAAAGTGGACTTCTAGGTTAATCTAGCAATTGAAATATCTTATAAACAAAAATTAACACCATGTATACTTCATCGAATGACTACGTACGGTCATGGACACACCAAAATTACAAAAAACACAATCTTTCCTTTATTAATCTTGTAATTCCTCCTTTCAACTCGAAACGACCGGCACTACAATCCTGACGTACACCCCGAACTAGTCTCTAAAACCAACTGACTCCATCGACGCCAGGCTTGCCACTGTTGTGCTCCAAAGTTGAAAATTTTTCCCAAATGGTCGTGACGTCAAATCGAGGGACAGACTTATTTTGTCATGGTAGTCAGTTTGCAATGACAATAAAATTATAATATGCTCCTTTTTTGTAAGTTTAATAACCATTGATGACATAAAAATATGGCTTTATATATTTCGGCATGAATAATTAGTCTAAAAACAGCGTGAAAGTTGGAAAATGTACCCTAGGGACACGTCATGGTCGTGAATTTCGAGACTTTAAAAATACGAAAAAAATACCTAGAACCTATTTAAAACCAAATAAATGTGTGTAACATGTTGCCCCCGTCCCAAAAAATATTAAATTACATAATAATAAACTACAAATCCAGTATCTACGAAGTAAAAGGCCAGGGACATGAAAACGTACGTTTTCAAATTTTCACTCTTTTATTAGCTTGCTTTCTTGTCCGGTACAAACTTTTCAATCAATTTTATACTAATTTCCCGATGAGCTAGAGACTTGAAACTTGAAACATAGCTCACAAATGGAAGACAATGCGATATTTTCTCATTTAATTTTCATATTTCCCTTGGGCTTCGCCCCATGGGATTGTTTTTAATAGCTCGCTTTCCTACAAATTTTGATATCAATTTTAAACGAAGTTACCGACGAGCTAGAGACTTGAAATTTGAAACATAGCTCACAAATGGTTGACAATGCAATATTATATCATTTAATTTTCATATTTCCCTTGGGCTACGCCCCATGGACTTCCAAATTTTCCTTGTTTACATTTCAAAAGAATGTAAATATATCAATTAATTTAAGTCAGCTGTAAATACTTAAATTTGACAGTTCGAAGAGCAGAGGTTAAGAGGTACAGGTTATGCTCCCAAGATATTCTTTATACAAACATCAAAATATATAAAAGGCAAAGCCCTCACTGACTGACTCACTCACTCACTCATCACTAATTCTCCCACTTCCCATTTACCTAGGAGGCTGAAATTCGGTACACCGATTCTTTGGGCATTAAATAGGAAAACTAAGTAGTTTTTATTCTGATCAGGCTTTCGGGCTCCGCCCCAGTGGCTCTGGAGTTTCCCATGTTAACCTTATGATTTTTCATATTTAAAAGGATTTTCTTCACAGCTGTTTCAATTAAACAAGTTGGTTCTGTTCTATGATGTTCAATAGAATTAAAGTTACAAGGATTACCAACAGGGTGCAGCACTATTATTTTTTTTAATTTATGACTACAGCCAATTTGCAACCAAAAGGTGAGTAAGCGTAGCGAACAAACTTCAACCTGGAAGCGAGTTAGCGTAGCTAACGAGCTAACCTGAAGGCAAGTGAGCGGAGCGAACGAGCTCCAATCTAAAGGTGAGTGAGCGTACGAACCAGGACGTGTTTGAGCCATACGAACGAGCTCACTTGTGAAGTTAAACGGGGCAAAGCCCGCGGGTACAGTTAGTTTCAAAATAAAGATAAACAATCTGATTGCATATATAAAGGTGTTTGTTAATAATGTCAATTGTTATTTATTTAGTATTCTATAAAGTAAACAATAAATTAAATAGATTGATATATTTATAGCATAGATAAAACGTTTATAGTTAGTAGGTAGGCCATACATTCAATCTAATACATAATTATATGAAAAGAAACTCAAATAAACCTTAGATTTCCCACATGCCTCTGTCTTAATCTGATATAGATGCTTGAAATAGATTTAACATCCACACACATTAAATACTAAAAAGAAGAAATTCATTTATAAATAAAAAACCTTTTTACTAAAAAGTAGAAAATAATTTATAAATATGTGGAGAGTATAAATACTTGTAAGATTTAAAACGAAAACTGTGGGGTGCATGCAATTGGTAGGCTAATAATACATTAGTTTAATAGGTGAAGGTAATTATACATTATCTATTGCATGCACCCCACGTTTTTCGTTTTAAATCTTACAAGTATTTATACTCTCCACATATTTATACATTATTTTCTACTTTTTAGTGTGTTTAAAAACGTTTTGTTTTAAAAAGGTTTTTTATTTATAAATTATTATGTTTGTTCTGGTGATTTTCAGAATACTTCGCTATCGAAACAGTTGTTTGCTTATTACTTCAGCTCTACTTATTACTACTGGGACGGGTGGAGTCGTCCTGTAATCCAGCTAGGAGGTCACGAATTGTGGACATTTATAGGTATGCACTGTGGATGCGATACTCCCCGGTGTGGATTAATGTCCGCACGGGTGAGTACTACGACTATCCGCAGTACTATCCTTATAATTAGACCAATTCGTATATACCAAAGGCAAAAATGTGGTTCGGATTCCACTATAAACTGTAGGTTCCTTAGTTACCATTAGCTGTATGGGCTATTAATTAACAGCTGTGTCTAAGGCATATGCTGGCCTTAGTCACTAACAAGACTACAAGATCGCGCCACTCATCTCCATTCATACTTGGCTTAAAATACCTACTTTGTATGGTCGCCATTTCATTGAAAAGTATTAAAAAAAGTACTCATTATCTTGACAAAAAATGTAGACTTTTCTATGTTTGTTCCGGTTATTTTCAGAATACTTCGCTATCCAAGCAGTTGTTTGCTTATTACTTCAGCTCTTTAATGAATGGTGACTTGCGGATTCAACAGCCACTCAGTTCACATCTTCATATCTTCTTTCATGTCTGATAATATTGCTGTTACAAAAAATATATAGAACCACTGTTCTGTTGTATTGTAAATGCATCAAACAACATGGGACATTGTGCCATCAAGGTAATACAAATCTGTAACAAAAAATTGTCCAAGCATTTGTCTGTATGTTTATCTCATGAAGATCCCAGGATTTGAGTGACGATCACCAATGGAGCTTATCTATTGTTAGACCTAGAAAATTTATCGTATACTTTCCTGATTGATGTTTTGTGAGTTATATACTAGTGTAGGATCTGCGATTTTCGGTTTTGTGGTGTTTTAAATGTTATAAAGTTAAAGTTTTTCCAGAATTTAAAATAAGGTTATGGTCTGATCATTAGGGTAAACGATTCATGCTTAGATTGTTAATCTCAATCAAACTTTCCTTTCCAGTTGTTCACAACATTTCCGAAATAAAACCAGCGCTTGACCAGTTTTGAGGTCATTGAATCTACATCTTACATCTAAAGGTATTAAAGGAAGTACAGTAAGAAAAAACAGGAATAGAAAAAAATTCCAAATTATATTTACATTTCTTTTTTTACAAGGAATACTGTTTCTTTTACAAGTACCAACGTAGAAAGATATTCAACACAGGTTAAATATTCTCATAAAGAAAACATATATTCTGTTATGATAATATTTAAATACACTTATGGTAACTACGGATGATACAGACTAAAGCTCTGTATTTAAGTACACAATTCTGATAAAACTAGATAAGCGTTGTTACATCACTACCATGGCAAAATAGCAGTTAAAGTTAACTTTAAAATTATTAATAATAGTAATTGAATATTAGGAGGGGACTTTTCTTTATAGTCATCATCATTAGAAATAAAACCGGTACAAATTTACAGCAAAAAAAATTACGGTCAACATATAGCTATGGAATAAAATACTGTACATTTTGATGTTTACAATACTGTATAACAGTTTTCATCCAACATCAAACAGACGTTACTAGGAGTTTATTATGTGTAGTATAATTAATGCAAATTAAAAACCCTAGAATCTCGCATAAACTTTGGTTTTCACTTTCTCAAATTAGGTTTGAGTGGGGAGTAATTAAATAAAAATAATACACATTGTTTGAATTTGTGATTGTAATAATACCTAATATAGCATTTTTATTTTTGAGAAGCCCAAGTAAACGATTAAGTAATCAGTTTCTAAAATATGAAAATTTAGCCAAATATTATAAGTTAAGGATATGTATGTGTACGGTACACAGTAAAAGTACCTATATTGACTCTACTATTTCAGAAGAGATTATATCTAGACATAATCAAGTGTTCATAAGATATAACAATGAGAGGAGGATTTTATTTTAAAGTTCCTGGTATTGAATTTGCAATTATTTTTTTAATTGTGCTATATTTAAGTTTTTGTTTGCAAAATGTTTTATTTTATATTTAAAAAATTAATGTTAAGTGTGCGAAAATTTTTCCTACAAAACATTATCATGATTTCATTAAAGTTTTTGAATAATTTTTTTGTTAAATATTTGAACAGCTGAAGGAACTGCGGAAGTGTCTGGACTAAACCAGTCTTTTGAGTGGTATGAACAAATATGGAGTTTAGAAAAAGGTACAAAGTGAAATTCCCCTATTGCCTTGTAATATAAGTATGTGTACAATTTATTACATGTGTATGTATTTTTACAGACAATTCTGTTTGTGTATAATTTATGTTTAAGGTTGTAAAATGTGATGAATTGGAAAATGTATTCATTGAATGTAATTTAAATGCATCTGAACAGAATGGATTTGGAGGAAGACTGGTAAAGTTTTGTGACATTCTCTAGACTCACAGGTTTAAACTGAATACCTATAAAGGTTTTCGGGTGATTTCCTTTCATCAACATTTCTGAAATACACCTTTAAATGAATATCACAAGTTATATACAGTAGTCAATAACTATTACGAACTAAACCGAATCATACACCAAGTAACTATAGGGTACCTAATTGTAAACTGGACTATTTCCGATTTATAATTTTAAAAACTTCATGACTACAGTTTTGTAAAAAAATATTTTGGATTGCTGATATGTTAATTACTCTGATAGGGTCTTAATTGAAATGCTATATGATATACGATTACAATTTTTAAATGTGTAATAATCTACAATAGTTACTCAGTTGTTAATGTAAAATGTTAGTAAATCGTCTAATATCTTACCTTTCTTAGTTCTGAATAAAAATTATAAAATACATGACATGTTACATGTTATAATTGTTAAAAATTATCCCTCTATAGATGTGTTGATGATATTAATGTGATGGATAATACAAGAAACAAAAGATTAATAAATAAGTCAATATTCATTAAAAATCTAAATAAATAAGAAACTTTGAAGTGACTTGACTAAATTTAAAAAAATATTTATAATACTTTATTTGAACATACAACAGGCGAAAGCACCATACACTGAACAGTACCGAATAATACACCAAGTTCACCATAACAAATAAATAGTTATGCTAAACATCACAGGGGAAAACTCCACAAATTAATCAAATAAAATTTGGAAATTGAACAAGATTAAAAAAATATGAGCAATATCCTTATAGTTATTGTCTGCTGGCAAGCTTGAATACACTTACCATAAACAAATCAATAAAATAATATTAATTGACATAGAACAGTTTTTTTAAATAGCAGTAATGTAAGTTTAAATATCATAATGGTGTGATTGTTAAAACAAAATGTCAACAAATTTTTAAATATTACAAAAGTAATTAGCAGTAGGCTTCTGACTCAAGGGTGCCCAGTATCTTGATCTATAGGGTTGAGAAACATGCTTTCCCACACATTTTGATAATAACAATTCAAACCATTTCTGTAGGGTGTCTCGATGTTGGTAATTTCATTTTAAAATGTTCACAATTTACTCTATTTCTTTAACTTGACAATCTCTATTAAGATTTTTAACTTTATACAGCTTAGTTAATTTTAAATTCATTTTCTCCTCCCCCACCTCTGGGTGCCATAAAGTTGCCCAAGCATTACTATTGTTTAAAATTTATTTTGATGATAATCTTAAAAAATAGGGATGTGTGGATTCTCGATACCACAGATTCTTGGACATTGGTATCGGTATAGGAATCGACTTGAATTGATTTTTTTTATTATTGAACGTTTGTTACCTTATAGCCTTTGTTCTTGTAGAAAGATGTTAAATTAATTGACATAAACATTTTTACACAATTAATTAACATCTTTCTACAAGAACAAAGGCTATAAGGTAACAAACGTTCAATAATCAAATATTCTAGTTCTTGTCACTGGGAAATACATCGAATTGATTTTTGATACCGATACCAATACCGACACGTCTGTAAAGATTGTGTGATTGGAAAATTACCGCTATTGTGCAAGACAATGATGGCATCTTCGTGACCCCGAAAGTCAATGATGATGTCTACGTGGCCACGATATATGATCAGAATTTCGCCACAATTGCAGATGATAAAGATAATGTCTACACAACCACGAAGACAATAATGATGTCCACACGACCCCGAAGACAATAATGAAGTCCACACAACCGCACAAGACAATGACGTTTCGGTGACCACAGGAGTCTATGATGATGTCTACACGGCCGCGAAGCTGATAATGAACAGGGTGTCCACAGAAAATTTGTCATTAATTTCCATGACTTTCCATGACTATCCATGACTATTTACCATTGATTTCCATGACTCACAAGCTCCTCACGAACTTAGATAACTCGAAACATTATAATAATATTTGTACTGTATTGCAATTTGAGTTGTAATAATAAAGTTGTAACATTTTAATATACACTACTATTGCAACAATATCCTACAATAAGTTAATAATATTAAATTAAATTATAAGATAAGTAGGGACAGATTGTATTCAAGTAATACAACTGTAATAAATTAAATTGTCGTACAATTGTAAAAAATCCTGAAAAATGCTACAAAAGTCAGGGTTACGGCCAACTAGAAAATTGTAAGTCCTGTATAAGTCCCGTCAAATCCATCCATCATTGGGAATTTCCATGACTTTCCATGACTATTTGCCTATTTCCATGACTTTCAATGACTAGAATTTTTTTCCATGACTTTCCCTGACTATCCCTGACTTTCCAGAATGTGGACACCCTGATGAAGTCCACACGGCCACAGGAGATTATAAGACTTTTGCTGTGATCCTGAAAGTCTATGATGATGATAATGTCTACATGACCAGGAGAGATGTTCATGATTTTGCCGTGATCGCGGGAAACATTGATAACGTTTCCGTGACTCGATGATGGTTCTCCCGTTACCGCAGAGCGATTTTCAGGATTTTGCCTTGACCGCAAAAGACAGTAATGTTGTTTTGTGAAAGAGGAATAAATTCAAGATTTTGCAGTGATTCCAGAAATGATGTCTCCACAACAGCAGGAGATGATCATTGATCATGATATTACCTCTAGATCGGCTTGACAGAAAATATCAGGCTGAGACACCTCTAGTTATAAAATTTTCGTTTAGATTATTTTTGTCTGATCTACATTTACCCCAAAAATACTTTATGGAAGGACATAAAGACAGAGGTTTGGTATAGTATAAATAATCCATTCCGAAGATATGGTATAACTATAAGAAATGCTATTGGTATTAACAATTTATTTTTTGGGTATTGGTTCCCGTAATTGAGAATTGATATATTTTGGTATCATCACGTCACTACTAAAAACCATAAACCTTTTCTTTGTTATTCTCAAAAATATTTTTACAAAATCCAGGAAACTTAAAGATACTTTCAAATGTTATGTCACTTTTAAAATATACATTTTTACTATGATTTAAAATGCTAATTAGATGTTATATTCTTTGACTAAGTAGGTAAAATATAATTTGTTGATATGCTTATTCATGTACTCTCAGAACTGTTTCAATGCCAATGCTGAATTGTATCTAATTTAATGTTCAATTAACTATTTGATATTATGATTATTAAAAAATCTATAGGTTTGCACAATCCAGGCTTAACATTTTAATTTATTAGTTAATAAGTATAGGTAAAAAATAGTAAAATCTACAATATTTTAAATGTGCTGTTGCTTTTCTTAATTTTCTATCCTCAATCATTACTATAGTATAGGAACATTTTCATTAAAATATCCAAATAAGAAGCACAAAATTGTAAATTCAACTCATTATTCCTAAGAAAATCCACAAAGAATCTACCTCACAACTGATCAAATCACGCAACCTATTAATCCCTTCTACAAAATCTACAGTTTTTCAAATAAAATGTAAATAATAGATTTTTGTCAATTTTGCATTTTTAATATTTTGAGATGAATATAAGACATTATAACATTTTAAGTAATTCTTAAACAGATTGTATATACATGTATAAAATTTAATGTTTTCCTACAGTAGTTTTATAGTGCATCTGCTTTTTCCTATATACATCAACTAGCTCCACAGATTTGACTGGTACAAGTTTGATATAGGTCACATTTACATATACAATCTACATGCCAAGATGTATGATAGGGTTGGGAAGGCACTAGACGGAAACTTTGTCTAGAAATCTACTCATTTGTCACTATTTACCAGACACTAAAAAATCATTTCATTCAAATAATTGTTAATAGTGTTTTTGCTTAATTTTTAGGTTTTACCAGTAATCATTTTCGTGTCAACCTTTTATTATGAATACACTAAAAGATTGTAAACTTTTTAATGTAGATTTAAATTTCACTTTACTGTCTTTAAATGAATTCCTTAACTTAACAGAATTAACAGAAGTAAAATCATATCACCACGATGGTTGTTAAAATTTGGTATGGCAAATTAATAGCCATATTAATTATGATTTTAAAGAAATTAATTCTTTAAATTAATTTGTTTATTCTCTGATGGATATAAAAATAAAGAATTTCAAAATAGTATAAAAATAATTTAGTACCTATACAAAACAAAGGAAATACTGTATTCTAAAAAATAAAAACCTAAAAAGTCACATTGAAAAACCTGTAAAAATCACTAAGACATTTAGTGAGGAAAAACATAACATATGCATGCAAAACCCAAGTCAATCGTAAACGACCATAGGAAAAGACAGGCAGTAAATACCTCGGCTAAAGCTACAGTTTGTAAGTACAGTCACCATTTCAATTCTCAAGCTTTACACTTAGAAAAACAAGTTTACGAAACATAAAATAAAATACATCTATATCACACATAACGAAAATATCATCTTCTGAATATAGAGTTTGAGATCCTCAGAACTTATCGAGACTCGTCAGACCGGAGTTCCGAGGAGGGAGTCAAACTGGCGTCTCGTGGTCGGCCTCCTCGATCCTGCCGAGCCTCCAGGCATTGGGATCATTGGCTACAACAAGGGTACACGGTTAGTAATTTAAAGACTTACAGGATTGACCGAGAAGGGTCATAGTTATATTATAAAGCAAAAATATTCCAGAGTATTTTTTTCCAGCGACGCTCATTGGGGTCATCAAAGAGGAAATTAGCTTTCCAGCAGGATCTATCGATGTTTTCAGCGTCAACTAAATCGTTAGATGTATTCACTGCCAGATGTAATGCCCTTTCTGTGAGCTGGTGTCCTCAGTGGTTTGACAGTGAATCAAATCGGATGACACAGTTGACACTGAAAATATCAAAGGATTCTGACTCCAGCCGCAAAATCCAATGTATGAAGATTATTTTTGGCAGTTAATATCCCTTAGTAGGGAGTATCCACCAATAGCTTTTGCTTTTAGACATTCTTAACTGGTGAATTTTTAAGATTGAGTACCCGTAAATTTATATTGTCGCAGTTCCAATCACATGTATTAACAATAACCAAACATTAAGTTATGCATAATGCTTGATAAGTACTTGGATGATTAATTAATTAATGGTTGATTAATTCAAGAACACAGAAGAAAGGAAACAAAGAAAACAAAAAGTAAATACCTGGTAACTGTACATCCCACACCACAAAACCTAAAAAAATGACACTACCAGTGGAAAATACAAACAAATAACTGTTATTCCAAGATTGGCCAATCCAAGGAAATCCAAGGAGTGGCACTAATTGCTGCATAATAAGTATTTGGAAATAAATTCTAGAAAAAAAGCTTAAGTCTACTGGCATGAATTTCAAGTTATGAAAGTTCCCTAGCCTTTTACCTTATTTGTATAACAGGGAATAGCATTCAATATTATAATAGATGGTAAAACATTATAAATACTTATCCAACAGTAGAAAAATAACCATTCATAATAGGAGTCACAGTTCCTATCATCCCAAGACTAAAAGACTTGGTTTAAACCATAAAACTTTGAGTTGTCCTTCAAAAACTAATCTTAATCAAGCACACTTGCCAAGTTGACCACTTCAGGTTGCTCTGAGATTTCCATGCAAAGATCACAAACAGGGGTAAAACACATATGAAAGACATAATTCCACAGATAAACATCCAGTTTTTTTTTTATAACAGCCGTCAAATTATAGTGAAACAGAAAAAAAACAGGGCAGTGGTAAAAGCAGCAGGAAAGTAATGATTTAGGTTGTGCACAGTCCTAATCCTAATATTAAACAGTAAAAGTCCGTAATCCTAACATCTCTAGAAAGATTTCTTACTACAAACATAAAATTATGTACAACTTCTGTAATTTATTAAAAATACTCTCATTAGGTATTGAAATGAGAATAAGTAAAACTTTACCTACCAGCCAATAAAAATATCACAAAAATTTCCTTTGAAAGTTGCTACCTATGTTAAAAAAACATATAAACATGAATTTATATTAAGTGAAATATGAAAAAATGGATTGTACACCAGCATATGAAATAAATTTAAAAAGGAGGAAAACATGTCACATAGGTTGTACTATCCAATAACTGAAACAACAATCAGCCAATTAATTTGATAAGATATAACTGATCAGCTACTTCTTAAGTTGCAATACAAATATTTATCTGCTATTGTGAGCTTGTGTCTGAAAAAATATCCATCCAAAAGTTCTTATTGTAATACTTTTAACCCTAATAAAAATTACATTCTATTATTGAAATCATCAAGGGAAAAGCCCTGAGGAATTTCACACAAAACCATTTCTTAACAAGCACTTACCTAATGAATCCATGGTGGAATATTATATACCTTAAAATATAAATGCTTGCCACAGTAAAATTACCACATTAGTAGGGAATAGCAGTTAAAAGTACAGATTTGTTTTTAAAATAAGGTGGCCAACATTTTTATTAATAAAAGCTATTGTGTAATTAAAAATAGGCTGTTTATGTAATAGCTGAATTTTCTTGACTTTTGTCTATTGCATTTGTTGTAAATGTTGAAGGACAATAAAACGTTTCTGATTTCTGATTTCTGTGGCATACATAAATATCCATATCCATGTAATACATGTATTCCTTCAGAATTTGTTGCATGACACGTGTTTTATAGGAACATAATTGTTATGTTACACTTTTTTAGTTAAAATCTGAACAACGTAACCTTTTCTTTAACAAACTGTGCTCACAATACTTGGTAATGTCATAATTATGACTGTTAAGTTCTTGTGGCATATTGCCTTAAATTAACTGCTTTTTAATGAACACTAAAATAGAATAAAACACTAATAAAAAACCAATAATTGTAAAACTTCAAACAAAGAAACAATACAAATCCCTTTGAATTTGTTTACATAGTTTCTTTCCATCCACACAGTCTACACAGGCCACTGACCAAGTAAATGTTTTCTTTTGTGTTTTGTTGTTGATTCTTTTCTCCCACTCAATCAATATATTGCTGTGTTCTATTTGTTAGAAGGCATTTACCAGTATGGTTTATTTCAGTTTAAATATTGAAAAGTAGCATGTAATTCATTTATAAATATTTAAGGCTAAAACTGATTTCCATTTCATTTTATTTCACCGTTTGCAATGTATTAATGTTTGAAGGATAAATAACTGTTCTATGATAACTACCAAAATACCTGGTTAGTACTCTTTAACATGTTTTAGATTTAGTAATTTTTTTGATGCAACATAAGGTAACCTAAATTATGACTCTGCCTATTTCTGGAAAGAATAAATCAATATCAATAAAAGACTTACTTAAAAAAAAACCTTTAATAGTCACAATATAAAACAAGTAAAGCTTTAAGATGCAAATTTTAAAGAAAACACACAGACCAAATAAACTTTTTGAAAACACCAAAAAGGGGATTCATAAGCCATAGAAAATCCGCAAACCTTTGCGCTATTCTAAAAAAAGGGGGAACACTAAACATTTCCTGAACTAATTCAAAGTGGATTCACAGTGAAATCGAGATAAAGTCGAGAAAGCGGAAAACAAGACAAACATGGAGAGAGTTTTTGAAACTGATTTGACGACATGCTATACTCACCACAGTAATAGTACCTAATCCTAGGTATACCTACGAACAACAATAATTCTAAATACAAAGTTTTGAACACAAAATTCTGAAGAGTTCCTATTTGTGTGTATATTTTCTGCTGTGTAAGCCACTGTTTAATTTTTAACAGATTCTAAATATGCTATTCAATGTTATGAATTTTAGATGTCATTGCAGGCGGTTATAGCTGAAAAACCCATCTCCAGGTTAAATCACATTAGTAATTTAATTTATTTGTGAAATTTGAAATTAGTTAGCAATACAAAGTTTGGACTTGAACATATAGCTAAACATATATTACGTTGTCATAGCTTCAAACTCTTTTTAATGTTTTTGTTGCTATTCTTTTGCTAGGATATTGTAGTTATAAAGTTACACAAAATAAATACCACAAAGTTTTGTCAGAATTTGATAGGATTTTAGATAAGTTCTTAATACAGTTTCAGACAGCAAATCTGTAGTGATTGTAAAGTTAAAAACTAATACAGGTAGGCTGAAACAATATTATTGGGAAAACTAAAGTATACGGCCATTAACATTTTACAACAAACCAATTACAACTACAACAATGGAAAATAAAAAAATTTAAGAAGGTCAGAGCAGAAAACATTTCATCAACTCCTGGTTTAGAAATATCTAACTAAGCTTAAGCTTTCTCCGACTTGTATCCTTATATATAATACGTGAAGGCGATTTCTACGAAACACTACTCCTCCTTTAATAATGGACGGATTTTTACAAACGACGTGTCAAAATAAAGTATTTTTTTGTATTAGACGCCCCCTTTCACCAATTCCCGTAATAAAAATCCTCGGGCTTTGCCCCACAGGCCATCAAAGTTGGAGTTTCACCCTTAAGATTAACATGGGGGAATCTAAATATTTAATTGGAAACTTTGTCCCCACTTATTTGAGAGAACGGCTGGGAGTAGAAACTTGGTAGAGGTGTCCAAAGAAAGGTCTTGGTCTGTAGATGAGTTATCAAAAGAAAAACTAAGCAAAATCCCTTAGGACTCTGCCCCAGAAGCCTCCACAGAGTTGTTTACATTTTGGCCATGTGAATAATACTTTTTAATGAAACAGCTGTTCATTTTTAATTGTATTTCAAACAACACACATTTATTGGGAGTAACTGAATTCTACCAATTGCTATTGGATACAGACGTTGTTGTATTAATAGTCAAAGATTCTACCAAATAAGTATTTGCAATGTTATTTTCTGATTTTAAAATTGATTTTCTTCTTTATCATGTCATGTTTTGCAATATAACGTTCCATTACGAAATCAGTGGAAAATCCTTATATCACAGCAATTCTTAAATTATTTCTTATTGAACTATCTTATATCTATTGTACAGGTTGGTGTCTGTTTTTTTCACCACTTTTGCCTACATTTTATCATATTATTCTACACATATCAAATATTTATGTAGAAATATCTGCTCTTATCGTGTCTAATAATATCCAAACATAGGAACCTTGCCTAAAATTGTACCCATCTTGACAAATTATTTGCACCTGCCTATATTACCGACTTTGGCACACTGGTTTGGTAACATTATTGAAAACAACAAGACATTTTGGCTGTAAAATATGGTACAAAGAGAAAATACTATTTAAGCAGCTACTGTCATGACAGAAAGGTCATATTCCTTTTAAACTAGATCACAAAATCCTTTATAAGATACGTTGATTAACAATATGTAAACGTCAATATATACGTAACAGCCAATTTACAGTATTTTTGGTTTTAGAAATGTCCCATTGCTATGTCATTTGCATTATTTGTCGCCAATGAAGCCGCAAGACTATATGAACTAGGAGGCCCCTAACAGTTAAAGAATAAAAGCCAACTTCACTTAAAGTATATTTCACTACACCTAACATTCCGTAGAGAGATTATATTGACTACTTTATGTAATTGATAAGGCTGAGACAACTAACTGACATTCCCCATGTCAAGGAATTCTAGCTTTAACAGTAACTCCACAATCAAATTCTCAAAACTGTGCTAGAGGGTTCATTCATTGGCACAGAAGTACAATATGAACTGACGCGATGTGACGAAGGAAAAATCAAACTAACACTGTAACGGATATACCTCCATTTGAAGTTAGAATATGTCTTTCCAAAAAAATATGTTCTTTTCAAATAAAATCATATTACACTGATGAAATCCCGGAAGTGTTTAACTACAAAAGATACACCAATACGATTTTAATACTATTTAAAGGTTCTTCCAAAGGAAGAGATACCATATAACATACTAATAATAGCTCCGATGGCGTACGGTATAGAAATATTTTATTCATTAATGATCAACCATATTTGGCAACTAACACAGTTAATACCCTATCATTGTTGTTTTTACACTTATTACTCTTAAAACAATGCTAAATGCTCAAAATATGTATATTTCACCCAATTCATCGCAGTTAGATGAATTAACGTAAGCCTTGAAAGTAACCGTCGATTTCGACGGGTTTCACCTAGTTTTATATAGTCTCTGATGGAGGAGAGGATGACGACTTTTTCTATGAGCTAGGTTTTAAGCAGATTATATGAGAAATTCCTAATACTTTGAAATTATTAAGGCATTAGATAAAGGGATAACTAAATAATACAGCATAAATCCATGTGGGATATTAAAGACTGTGGCACAAGTCCTGGTTATTGTGAAGTTTGAAACACTATTTATAAGAAAATACATGATCAAAGATGGTACCTTGGTGGATAAGGTGGTATCTTAGGAAATAATGTGGCGCCTGGAGAGGTAAGGTGGCACCTTGGCTTAGAGATAAGGTAGTACCTTGGCAGGTAAGGTGGTCTTTGAGAGATAAGGTGGCACCTTTGAGAGATAAGGTGGCACCTTGGCTTAGAGATAAGGTAGTTGTAAAGAAAAATAACTCTGACTTATATATTTAAATATATATTTAAAATATATATAAATTATATATTTTATAATATATATATTATAATTATAATTATATATATATATATTTTATAATTATTTATATACATAATATATATATATATATTTAAATATATATAAATATATATTTATATATCACTCTCCTTGCAATACTCTCAATGATTAATTCTTTACAAATCTTGGTAGCCCCTGGGTTGGAAGAACAAGAGAACAATAATAAACAACAGAGCCTTGGCAGTGGAAGTTTGATGTTAATAAATATTGAGTGGGCCCTACAGAATAAAATTATTCCTAGAGATCCTTAGGGGACTGTGACCAAGACTACTAGTGAACTCTGGCTAGGCACATCCCCACTCCTAGTGCGTGATGCATTGTGGGTATTGTCGTCGATTGTTTAAATCAGCTGACTGGTTCTCGCGTTTGCTAATATTTGATGTGTCATTACAACAAATTCGGTACATAGTACCTGGGCAGGCAAGGAGATACCTTGAGAGATAAGGTGGTATCTTGGTGGATAAAGTGGTGTCATGAGAGATAAGGTGGTATCTTGGTGGATAAAGTGGTGTCTTGAGAGATAAGGTGGTATCTTGGCTTGTGATACATTGGTGATATAGATTTCACATATGCTTTAACTGGTGGGTATTCATCAACACAAACCAAGTGGGGATACATTTGAGATATAGTAGATACAGGACTCAGTAGTTCAGTAATCACTTCTCGGTCTGAGAGATCAGACAGTCATTCTTGTGTTGAAACCAGCTGCTTGCACTACCTTATCATTATCACTGCAATTAACACGGACTTGTTTTTGTGACTTCTGCACTGCATGGGTACCTCTCAGTATTTAGGTAACCACACAACACTAGTCTAATTTTAAATGAGGTTGAGGTTTAAAATAAATAAATAATAAGTTTTCAACAACATTGTTCAAGTTAGGGCTTATGACTATGAGGTAACAAATAACAGATATATAAACCAACAAATAATAAAAAAAAACTATGTTAGTGCCACACAGTTAGCATCACATGTTAGTATACTTCCCATCATATGTTAGTACACTTCCTATCCATCATATGTCAGTGCACTTGATTTGATTCACTTTCCATCATATGTTAGTACACTTCCCATCATATGTAAGTACACTTCCCATCCATAATATGTTTGTACAATTCCCATCATATCTATACTTATTTAATACGCAAGCAGGTTTTTTGTGACAATTACTCCTCCGAAACTACTGAACCAATTGACATGTTTTTGGTGTCATTGGAAAGAGCGTAACGTGAAGTTGTGCAGGAAACTTTCTTTTTAGGGAAATAATTAGAGAGTGAGGCCTGGGGGCCCTTTAAAGTTTCGTATTTCTCCATAAGATTAACATGGGAAACAAACATTGTTATTAAACTACAGCTGTTGTCAGAAATGCTGTTCTGCTATTTAATTTAATTTGTTTACAAGGAGAATTGTTTTTTGGTGCCATGTGGTCAATGAATTATACTTTTGCATATATTTGAATTTTTAAATGCTATACACTATATAAAATGATAGTACCTGTACTGTAATACATTAAGAGATCTTAATTTAAATAATCAATAAGCAGGATTGAGCTTTTGCCTACATGTTTCCTGGTAAGTGTGTTGTAACTGTTTCTCATAGTATTATAGTATCTTGCAGTAAAACCGAATCTTTGTTTTCTGCATTCTCACCCCGTAGCGAAGCACGGGCAGAGCAAATAGTGTAAGTAAAATTCCCATCATATGTTAGTACACTTCCCATCATTATGTTAGTACACTTCCCATCCATCATATGTTGGTACAATTCCCATTATATGCAAGTACACTTCCCATCATATGTTAGTAAACTTCCCATTATATGCTAACTGTAATGAATGAATAACTTAACGTACATCTGAAGGCTTCAAATTTTGATACAGATTGAGAAGTCTTCCTGCATAGTGTAATTTCAACACCAAAACAAAACCTTACCCTCTTTGCCTATGACTCCATTGTGGAAAACCCAACTTAAACGATAAAAACTTAGGTGTAAAATAACTACATACCTGTCAGGGAACCGGATTATGAAGAGCGAGGTTAACCATTTCTAGGCTACGATCATGGCAGACTCTACGTATCAATGGGGCATGCTCATCATCTACAACACAGCAAGCGATACGTACAACATACATACAGAAACATCAAAAGTATGGTAGGACTTACAACATACATCCAGAAAAAACATACCTGTGGTAGTACATACAACATACATCCAGAAACAACAAACCTGAGGTAGTATGTACAACATACATCCAGAAACAACATACGTGCAGTTGTGTGTCCAACCAGAAATAGCATACTTGTGGCTGAACGTATAATATAGCCTACATCCAGAAAAACATACCTTTGGTAGTATGTTGTAACACACACCCAGAAAAACAAACTTGTGGTTGTAGGGTACGTCCATACACATCCACAAACATCATACCTGTGGTAGTATGTACAACATACTTCCAGAAACAACATACGTGCAGTTGTGTGTCCAACCAGAAATAGCATACTTGTGGCTGAACGTATAATATAGCCTACATCCAGAAAAACATACCTTTGGTAGTATGTTGTAACACACACCCAGAAAAACAAACTTGTGGTTGTAGGGTACGTCCATACACATCCACAAACATCATACCTGTGGTAGTATGTACAACATACTTCCAGAAACAACACACCTGTGGTAGTAGGAACAACATTCATCCAAGCAAACATACCTGCAGTTGAATGTACAACACACATTCAAGAAAAAGATTTCAGTGATAGTACATACCACACTTTCAGAAACAACATACCAGTGTTAGTAAGTACACACATCGAGAAAAAAAACAAAAAAAACACATGAGGTAGGACGTAACACATACATTCAGAAACAACATACCAAACTACGTACAACATTAATAAGGTTAAGATATGTACATACACAACAAACCTTCAGTTATACCTGCTTCATACATCCATTCATGGCATTTTTCAGTTGTACATACATGACACATACGACACCCTTGTAAAATAATACTGACTGCAGCTTCAATTTAAGTTGCGTTGATTGATGTAACCAAAGACAAAAGTTTCAAATCATCATGGATGTTTCTAATCTTAAGAAACGTTTTTAAAGTATTAAATGGAAAAAAAATTGTGTATATATGTGTAAAAAAATATTATTTATCCGTAGCTGCAGTCAGCAAAAAAGAACAATGTGCAAGAAAAATTTACATTAGTCTACATTCATTACCATTTCTAGACATGCACATGAAAGCTAAATAAACACAAATAGGTTTATACAGGCTTACAAATGGTTGAAAAAAATGTATTAATTTTGTGTCAATTGACTTTGATGAATAAATTCTCTATGAGTTTCATGAAAGTTAGCATTAAAAAATCTATTTAATTGTATACAGGGTGGCTGAAAAGTAACTTGCACCCCCTTTAACTTTTCAACCATTTGAGATATTTGAAGTCGGTTTGCGGCAACCTTCTTAGATATGAGGGACTACAATAATTATGCTCAATTTTGAAAATTTTGCCCTTGGGGGTAATGGGGGTAGGGGGAGGCTCAACATTTTCAAATAACAAGTATATTCAAGTTTGGTATCATTTTACAGGTCTTGACGAAACATAAACATTGACATAAAGAAAACCAAAATCAGCTCACTAATAACAAAATGGCGCCCTAAAACGTTTCAAATCCAAATAACTATGAGGGTGGCAGAAAAATTAGCTTGCACCCTCTATAGCTTCTTAACTATTTGAGATATTTGAAATCGGTTTGCGGCAACTTGTTTGGAAATGAAGGGCTACAATAATTATGGTCAGTTTTGAAAATTTTGCCCTAAGGGGTAGCGGGGGTAGGGGGTAGCTCAAAATGTTCAAATAGCAAGTATAGTCGAGTTTGGTATCATTTTACAGGTCTTGATGAAACATAACAAATAACATAAAGAAAATAGAAATCGAACCATTAATAATAAAATAGCAGCTAAAAATGATTGAGTCAATGGTTATTTAAAGTAATTTTGAACTGCCATTTTGTAAATAATGCTCCGATTTCTATTTTCTTTATGTCAAATGTTATGCTTCGTCAAGACCTACAAAATTATACCAAACTCGACTATACTTGCTATTTGAATGTTTTGAGCTACCCCTGCTACCCCTAAGGGCAAAATTTTCAAAACTGACCATAATTATTGTAGCCCTTCATATTTAAACAAGTTGCTGCAAACCAATTTCAAATATCTCAAATAGTTAAAAAGTTAAAGAGGGTGCAAGTTAATTTTTTTGTCACCCTCGTGGTTATTTGGATTTGAAACGTTTTAGGGCGCCATTTTGTTATTAGTGAGCCGATTTTGGTTTTCTTTATGTCAATGTTAATGTTTCGTCAAGACCTGTAAAATAATACCAAACTCGACTATACTTGTCATTTGAAAATTTTTAGCTACCCCCTACCCCCGCTACCCCTAAGGGCAAAATTTTCAAAATTGGCCATAATTATTGTAGCCCCTTATATCTAAGAAGGTTGCCGCAAACCGATTTTAAATATCTCAAATGGTTGACAAGTTAAGGGGGGTGCAAGTTACTTTTCAGCCACCCTGTATAAAAAAGGTTTTAACCGAGTGGTCTTCTAATCTAACATAAAACTATTCTAACAGCAGAAAAGTCATGCACAGAATAACTTTTCAGAAATAATACATAACAGTAACTTCTACAGCATTAGTCAGAGAGCATAGATAACAATAAGCCTTAAGGTACTTAAACATGAAACAACACATAATCGTTTATAAGGCGGGAAACTAATAATTAAATTGCTTTTAAACAGTCAAATACACAAATATAAAACTGAGTTCCAAGGAAAGTTTTGAAAATATTCAAAGCTTAAGAAATTCATATACTTACATGTCTTTGGTGACCTCCTATTGTCTGTTTTAAGAACAGCACAACTGATTAGAGGTGGTTATTATAAAAAAAAAAACTATTATTTGAATCTACTTGTTTGGAGTTAGGTTTAGTGAATAAAAAGTTTAATCAACTGCAAAGTTACGGTATATGTTTTCATTTTAAAGTAATTTCCAGTAAAACCCATGAAACAAGAACAATAAGGAGCTAGTCAATGTGAGGTTAAAATTAAGGTTGACTAATATTGGTTAGTTAAGATTGAAATGCTGAAATAAACTGCAATCTGACTTGACTGCGGTCACTTGGACATAAAAACAACTGTTTGAACATGTAACAGTAAATGTTCTGATTTTAAAGATGCCAAAGACAATACGTGATTTGAAATGCATTACCACACAAACATAAACTGCACAAAAAAATGGACTTGAAACTGGCTTTGATGTGTTGAAACTTAATGTTTTACATAGAAACAAGCCAAAAGCAGCACATAAGCCTCTTACCTTGACGTGGATGTGTTTGAAGATGTACAAAGCCCCTTAACATTTATAATTACAACTCTGATGAAACTTAAACCTGACCACCGATGCATGAAGTTTGTACAAATGAAAATGTTTGAGTTTGGTGTTGAAAATAATTGTCTAACTTTTCACCATATAATTAATAATTTCAATTTGTATTACTTTTTCTATTCACCAACTCTCTCCTAACTATAAGTTTAATTTAATTTACAATGAATTATGTAAAATATGTAAAAAAGCAAAAGGAGCCAAAACCAACATTTACTAAGCAATGACAAAAATTCTTAATGTAATAAGCTCCAACAAATGATTTGGTTGTATTTACATATTTTATAAATAAAATACCAAAGTTAATACTAAGTTTTGTTTGGTATGAGTTGAGCGATTAAGTTCTAAAACTAATTAGCCTATTTTCTCCTCTCACTTAACATTATTTTTTTTTATTTTTAAAACCTTTGTGCAGTATTTACGTGAAATCAAAAGTATGATCAAAAGTATTATACGTAATAATGGAACTTGAAAATGTTGTCTCAACACTATAATAACTGATGATTTCAAAAGTATCCAATGAATAATGCAGTTAGCCCTCTAAATAAAATCTTGTTACGGTGTACTGCGATTTATTATATTTTTTACATAAAATTTACAAAAATGTGTATTTTCTGCTCCCAATATATCTGAATACACTCACATGACTACAATTTATCTTCTCTTCCGACACAAACTAAACATTCTATCAGCAATAAAACGTTAACCAAGGCACAGTTTGCTTTAACTACACAAGGCTGGGTGAGATATATACAAGTGGAAACATTGTCGGAACTATCGCATTACCTTGCAGCTGCCTGTTAATCAGTGCTGTAATGCCAGGACCGTCGCCCGTCTTCTTCACAATCAGCATCGGCTTGTCGTCAGTTTCGTCCATGTTGGCGAGATGTCCGTTGTGCGAGTTGGTTGCCGACATAGTCTCGCTCACCTAGGATCAAAACAAAAATTCAGTTATTATTCCAGGTTATTAAACCTGTGATAACTATGAACCATTCAGTTGACGGTACAATTTTTTAAAATGTCAAAAACATATTTTTGTGTTGAACATTGTTTAGTTGAAAGGGCTATAAATAAAAATTTTGTTTTCCCCCCAAAATCAATATTATAACTAAGGACTAAGGAGCAAGTTGGTCGCACTCATATTAGTACTTATACGGAGACAAAATAAATCAGTGTTAACTTTAAACATTGGATAAACGGTTAAGCTGTCATCTGGCACCTAAGGTCTAACCAAAAAAAGTATATTTTCATCTTCAGGATTTATTTTTACAGTATTTTGACTGTTACAGAAAGATTTATACTGCATCCAAAAAATGCCTAACGAATATAGTTTGAAGTGGACTTTAAAAGGAAATCAGCATTTAAAAGCTCTTATGATAATATTATATAGGTTTAACGTTTTTGACACACAATTAGAAATATGAGGTTAATTTTTCCTCTCTGGTACTGTTCAAATGAAGTATTTAATAAAAGAGGTAATTATTAAGCAATAATATACAAAACTACACACAAAAATGATGTTTAACTAAATTTTGCGGGATATAAAAATCTTTCTAACGAAAATTTGTTTAATTATAAACAAAAACTATGATTTTTTCTCAAAATTCTGTTTAACCTATTCAAAAGAAGGCGTAAAACTGAATTGACTTAGTATTAAATTTATGTAACAGTAAATATGAGTATTAAAGATAGTTGTTAGAAAGCTGTGAAAGCAGTGGTTAGTCAATTGTTGCTCTGGAAAGCACAAGTGTAAAAGCTGTGAAAATATGAAACTGCATCACTAATGTTAAAATTTAGCAATAAATGGTACATACTTAATCTTAATTTGTTAGTTGTATGTAATTATTGAATTCAGCTTTCAGATGCAATAGTGTCATTAAATAGTTTTCGTTTTCAATAAAAAATATTGCAACTAAACAACTTAAAAAAACCACTGTCTTTTTTATTACAGTAGAGTAAAAAAAAACCACATCTAGGGAAATTTATGGCTATAGCTAGTACTATAGCCTTCTCTAATACAAGGCCGCAGTAAGACAAAAGTGGCAACGCCGCAGCCCCGGCCTACTGAAACAGCTGCTGCATTAATTCATAATGGAGTGTCTGCTCAATGTTTGTGTCAACATGTTTGTTTTTATTACTGTTATTACTATAGCAATATAGGCCGGTAGGTGCAATGGTGCAATGTTGCCACACACCAGCGCAAGGGTCTTGTATTGGAAGAGGCCATGCTAAAAGGTGGAGATTTTATTTTTATAAAATTGTAGAGTTTATGTAAATTTGTTTTAAATATATTTCTTAGGGTCACTATCTACAAAATAATATTGTGCTCTTGAAAATCTAGTAATGTTTTTTGGACATATGCACTGGATTATACTACAAAGACAATTTATCTAGGAGGTTGGATTACTCGGCCAACATTGATTGACAAATCTCGCTCTTTGTGTGGATCGTGTTGTTGAACTGGCAAAAATATTGGATAACAGGTGCCTAGCAGGAACCTGTCTTTGGAGACATTGTAGATTGCTTGTTGCGGATTGAATTTTAGTTTTCCCCTGGAAATGGATTGCTGCAACACATCTGAATCGACCGATATTTCTGCAAGTTTAACGACACATTTGTCTCTTGAAAACCAAGATTTAAAAGACAATAATTTAAAACCTCCAGTTCTATCGTTTTTACTGGTGAGATTTCTAATGTATATACTGAAATAGAGCATAAAAATTACCACAATTAAAAAATCCTAATACGAAAACAAAAACACCAAGATTTGTAAACTGGCCACGTTAATTATTTGTAGAAACATGTTGCAATAGGGTAATAAAACAAAAAACAGTATATCCAAAACGTCGAGTTGCAATCACAATCTCAGATACGAGCACATAAAAATATTAAAAATTAAATTTAAAAAAAAGTTAAGAATCAATATGCACAAGAATGTTTTGAAGGTGTAAAAGATTAAAAAATTAACCTTGTTCTTTGAAACGGGGTCAACAAGCCACAAGATGTCACAGAAAGTAAAGGGATTAGTTGAAACTAACTTATTGCTAGGAAACCGTTTAAAACGGGGGTTTTAGTGCAAAAGGGTTAAAGTAAAGGTACAAGAAACAGTGCCAAAATGCATCTGGTTAAGGAAGAGAAACAGCAAAAAACTTTACGCAGACCTCGCTAAAACTTGGAGAAGCTAGGACGGGCATCTGCAAGCAAACCAAAACACGTCATGCAAATTTGATTTTCGGACAATTTTGTACATGGTAAAAGATTTTAATACCTTAATATGCTATCATATTATGTCTATCATAGAAAGACTGTTCTAGGAATAACTCAGTACTAACCCAATCTGGACCAAACTATGAGACTGGTTGAATACAAATAGCCTGAATTCTGACCAGTAAAATCAGCACAGTGAAATATTTAAATCAGCTTTTCAGTCAGTCGGTTCTCTTCACTTATTTTTAATTTTGAGATTAGTATTCAAATACCCCCGTCGCAGCAAACCTGCATACTAAGCGAATTTCCATTTACCCGGCTTGATTTCTACTAAAATATTCCCTATAAATTTTCAGATTTATTTCCATTTTTAAATAACATTAATTTTAGTGAGTAGTTAGGTTTGTGTTACGGGAAGATGTTGAGGTGTGTTTTTTCAATTGAAATATTGATAGCTTAGTATGAAATAAACCAAATTTGATTAAAATATATCCATAAACAAGCAAACTAGAACAGTTTATTTATTCTCCATAAGAATAACATGGGAATTTTAAATTTACAATTTTTTAAATTTTCTCCGTAGTCAATGAACATTAAAAAACACTTCAATATACTAAATTATTTGTTTTTTTAAGCTCTTCAAAATGGTCTAGAGAGAAATTTAGAAATTTAAAGTTTTTAGGGTCAAAAATGAGAAAAACCCATTTTTACCCCATAAAACCTCCCATAAACCCCTGATCCCATGGTCCGATTATGCTGGTTCGCGAACTCGTTCGAATAAATGTAGGTTTACACGTTTGTACCAAATTTCATCAAAATCGGATCAATTTTGCTCGAGTTATCGCGCTAACGGACACATATATAAATATATATATATATATATAAATATATATATATATATATATATATGAATTTGAACGGATGGTGTTTTTGGCCTCTGGGGACCTCAAAACGAAAAAGTAAATCGGTCCCGGGTCTAGGTCTTACCATGAGACCTACGGTAATAGCTTATTCCCTATATGGGAAATTCGCTAAAAACAAATATGTGTTTGAATAGATGAGGAACATACTGATGAGGAACTTATTTGTGTGTAAAGAATAAATAGCCTAAGAAATAAAAATGCATCATCTAGCTGGAAACAAAGGAAAAACCATTTCAGTATAACTGCATCCAACGCCAGTAGTATGATAGAATAAGGATTTAGCGACCAATCTATGTTGGCACAAATATTTAGTAACAGAGCAATTAATAGTTGATGATAATGAATCATTAAAAAGGTTTATACAAAGAATTAAACGTTTAAAACTAAGAGCAGAAACAGGAAGTACAGGCCTAAGCATTTGCTGGAACAATAATTAGCTGCAATCTGATATTTTTACAAGCTTTATTTCAAATGATGGTGGTAATAGAACATAGCATGCTGTCTTGAGCTATTAAATCATAACTACTGGCTCAAAAATACTGTATGAACTTTTCAATAACATTTTAACTCAAGATTTTCTCAACAACAGTCCATGCTTTTAAAAATAAGATTACCACCGCTACATAAGATATCATTGGCTGCTAATGTATGCTCTAACAAGATCTCGTATCAATAAAGTAAGCTATTCCAAATATGACACCAACCAACACTATATTCTTTAGATTTCCCTCAACAATTCAAATGGTCACCAATCTCCATGAGAGAATTAGTCTCGCCTTAGTAGCTATCTGATAATGAATAGGGGATATATTGGTTATGAGGGGAGACAATTTTTCACCAGGTACAAATTGAGTTCTGTGATTAGGATGTTGAGGAAAAGAGGTCAACTTCAATTGAAATCCATTGCCAATTGATGGATGTATATGAGGAAAGTGAACAGACATAAAGACTTTGCGTACATGGCTTAAGGGTTTGCAAAAGGCTGTACATTTGCACGATAAGGGTAGTAGTGAGCGTCCATCAATATCCATCGAGACAGTGATTAAGGTTGAGGAATCTTCTCTTGCGGTTGGTGTGTTTAAGACTTGTTGTCCTTGGTAGTCTCAGAGAAGTCCCCATTAGTACACTGCTTTCAGTAAAAATTAACCAAACTTAAGTTACTTCCTCAAATAATACCATAGTTGTACATCAAACCAAAGTTGGCCTACACCATGAAACCTTTGTATATGCCTCAATGCCTCCCAATGCTTACGACCATTTTACAACTTTTTTCATCCCTTTTCTTAAGTAGGCTATTTTCCTTTGTCCAAACACCATCTTCCGCTCATGTCCGTCAACTGGCAACATTAATGTGAGTCGTCTGCTCAGACATCAGTAATCCAATCACAGAATGTGATTCATACTTGATACTCCTCATAGCCAAGAACTATAGGCTACTGCGTTCAAACTGATTTTGTCGCATAAAGGCGGTGACTGGCTAGAATAAAGTAGTGGGGAAGGAAAAAAATCACCTGTGTCAGATTTGAACTAGCTCACTTCCTTGCAACAAGAGCTTATTGAAAACCTTAATTTATAGAAAGTTCTAATAGTAAATAAAAAGCTGCAAATGTCTTAAAAATGTTAATAGTTGTTAGTATTTGGAAAAAATCAAACAAACTGTATGCCCAAGGGAGGAACAAAATGTTTTTACCAAAGTAAACACTTTGCCTTGCTTAAAAGTATAAATGTATCATTACCTGCATGAGCTTCTTGACAACGTCTCGACCAAGAATATGGTCAAAGACTGCTTGGAGGAACTGGTCTGTGATGATGGACAACTTGAGCTTGTCTCTGTGCCACAGCAAAACACGAGAGTCTTCCATAGCAGTCACAGACACCTGTCACACCAACATATTTTGGTTAAACATAATTTTCTTCTTTACCATGCTATTTCTGTGGTCCTGATAAAAATCTCTGATTTAGAATGTTTTTATATAAGAATCAGTGACAAGAAGACACCTGCTAAAGACTACCTACATTTGAGAAACATAGTTTAGTATTTTATGGTGAAGATGAGTCAAGGATGAGTAATAAATGAATGAGACAGCTTTGTTACTTTAAAAAATCATCTTGTTCTTTAACCAGTAGGCCTATAATTAAATAAGCCACAACGATCAAGAAGAGCTGGGTCCAGTTTTGAACCATCAAAAAAGATTCAGACTTCTCTCAGGATTAAACTAGCAACCTTCTGGTTACCAGGAGGGCACTATATCATTGTCATTATCAATTGCAATGGGGACGCCAGCGAGGTGCGTATTTTAACCCAGATATGAGTAAATAATGAGTGTAGAATGAATGCTGTGAGATGATCTTTGTAGCTTTGTTACTGACTACTCAGATACCCAGCTGTGTAGGAGGAACGGAAGGGAACAAATGGGGAAACAAACCTGGAAGTACTCGTCGGTGGAGACTCCAAACCACTCGGGGGAGTCGAGGAACTGGTGAGGGAACACGATGTGTAACGCTCGACCATTCTGTGACACCACCAATCTGTGAACAGAACGTCAGAATTATTGCACTTAAGTTTATTAATCAAAGATATTGATGATATATAACAGTTTTGAAATATATAAAAAATAAAGTCAAACAATACGCAGTGAAAAAGTTTAACCATTATTTTGCTGGTGGTATTAGTAGTAAAGAAGTAAGTAGCAAAAATAGCAACAAAAATACTATTTTTATACTCCTTTCCATGTTACTTTGCAGTAAAGAACGACCCTAAGCCATGCATTTTAAATGACAATCGCAGTGACTCTAGCCGATCAAAAAACATTTACTTATTTTGATGATTATAAGAGCAAATAATAATCTAACACATGTATCAATTAGTTGTTGTATCACTCATTGTTGACAATGATTTTGGTGGACACAACCTTGGTCAGTCATTGGTTGAAGGTCTTCTTTACCAGCAGAGCGGAAAATAAAATTTCCTAACACAGTGACTGTAATTATCTGTACTCTATCTAATGTAATACTAAATTTAAAGGTTCCAAAAGGACAATATATAATAATAAAAAAAGTTATTATATATTGGCCTTTTTGAACCTTACAATTTAGCTGAAGATGGTGTTTTAACACCGAAACATGTCCATACAATGAAATATGAAGTAAACAAAATTTCAAAATTTCATTAATATATGTCCATACACAAGCAAGCTACAACACTGTATTTATTCTCCATAAGAATAGCATAGTAATTTTAAATTTACATTACTTGGCGATTTTTCCGTAACCGTTAGGCATGCAACAATGCTTCAATATACTAAATTAATTTTTTTTGAGCTCTAAAAAATGGTTCAGAAAGAAATTGCAAAACTTTATGTTTTCAGGGTGAAAAATTAGAAAAACCCATTTTTACCCCATAAAACCCCCCATAAACCCCTGTTCCCATAGTCCGACCATGCTGGTTCGCGAACTCGTTCGAATAAATTTAGGTTTACACGTTTATACTAAATTTCATCAAAATCGGATCATTTTTGCTCGAGTTATCGCGCTAACGGACACATATATAAATATAAATATATATATATATAATGAATATTTAAGTAAATAAGTACAAATACATTTAATGTATTTTGAAGTTTGATAATAGACTTATGTCCGAAACATGTCACTTCTTTTTATAAAATATAATATTCAGGGTGCTCAGTTGTACTTATTTACTTAAATATTCAATATATCAGTAGCCCTATCACGTTAACACCTAAATTAAAATATATATATAAATATATGAATTTGAACGGATGGTGTTTTTTGCCTCTGGGGACCTCAAAACGAAAAACTAAATCGGTCCCGGGTCCAGGTCTTACCAAGAGAACTACGGTAATAGCTTATTCCCTATATGGGAAATTCGCTAAAAAAACAATATAGACTGCAATTGTCAACTTAAAAACTAAATTAAGCTAAAGTCTTTCAAAATGGTATCCAATCGGTGGATGTTGAAATTGTGACTCCATTAAAGCTGACTTTCCCAGATTAAGGAATCAATTTGGAAAGCAATCATTGAGGGACTCATCAATAACCTGAAGATAATCTCATAATTGAAGAGAGGATTTGTTCGTTAGACAAACAAGTCTAGCCATGGCACAAATTCCATGGTAATAAATGTCATTGAATGGAAATCAAATAATAGCATACTTAAGCCGACAGTTAGCTAGTTTGGAAAATTTTAGCTTTTAAGTTCTTGCCTTAATCTTTATTATCGTTACATAAATTCTTATTGTCATCTCTGTATATAATCAAAATGGAAATAAAGTAATACTTAAGCCAATAGCTGGCTACTTTGGAATATTCTAGCTTTCCAGTTTCATGTAATGAAGAAGCCTTCATCTTTATTATTGTTTCATGAATTCTTATTGTCATCTCTTTATCTATATAGTACCAGGGGACCGAGCCTCGCTCGGTTGTGGTGGGTTTAACAGTTAAAATTATATCACGATCAGAAACATTTTATTATTTACAAAAATAGTTTTATTACAAACCAAAAACATATAACCGCTTACAGCCGCGTTCAAACAGCTGTGGCACCTGAGGGATTAGGAGACTCCAAGGGTTTCCAAGGATGTTTCAAACGACCCCATTTTCTACCTGCCAGATTTCTGGATCAGTTTGGATGTTAATGAACTACCCTCTGACCGCAGATCAGTTCAGACACACGTCGTGTGCATACATGACGCGCCAGACGGTCCCAATCGTGAATATCCAAAATCCGCTGACACGGCGATTTTAGAGGTTTGAGGAATAATTGCAGTGCGCAGACGTTCTTCCAAACGTCGAGCAGCTATTTGTGGACACTCAAGTTAATTGACCTGTTGTTTATTTTGCACGGCCATAAGATCTTAAACAATTTCTCTTCTTTTATTCTTCGATGCGTGACTTGACCGACGTTTTGAGGCATTTGGTGAGATGTATGAGCTGGTTAGAACTGGCTCGGTTGTAGACGAGGAGATAAACTTTGTTTCCTGAGGATCGATTGTAGCTTCTCTCCCTTTCGGATTATTTATTTTCGCTTCAGAGGTCTTCTGTGTTTCATTATTAATTTTGTAACTAAACCTTGAAAACATTTAACAGTAATATGTATGTAAACCAATGAATATAAAAAATAACTATTCTTAAAACGTTTAGTCCAAACTAACCAAAAAAGTTATTTTTATTTACACGCAAAAAGTACTGTAACCAATTTAAAACTTTGTTTCTCATCAGGAGGGGTTTTTTTTTTTAAATACAATAGTTTTTTTAGCATTTTGATAGTCACGTTTCATATTGGCAGTAAATCTCACAAAAAAATACACTTATAACAAATGTGAAGAAATTTGATCACTAGATAATTTTTGAACCCATTACCTTATTGCTAGCTTATTAATAAGGATTCTTGATAGCAAAAGATACAGTTTTATCTCTATTTCCTAACTATTTTTTTAACTATTGAATGAAACCTCTATTTCTAGATTTGGATGATAAACCCACATTTCAAATCTTAGTTTCCAATCCTAAAGTTCACAGTAATATCCAAGTAAGTGAAGGAAAACAGAGAATCGATTTAAGACTGATTGGAATGACCTGAATACGAGAAACTTGGCAGTAAACACCTACAAACTCATTAAACAACCAACACCGATCAACAGGATTCAACTGATTACTTTACTTGATGAGTTCTCCACAAGATTTTATTACAAACTGGCTTCCTTTGCTGCCAATGGCTACATGAAAGCTGCTTCGTCTTTAATATTCACCTCTTCTTAAAAAATGATAGCCAATAAGTTTTTCAATAAGTTGTAGATATGACAACGTAAAAAAATAATTACTAGACTATGGAATAATTAATTTATAATTTAAAACCAAGAAGCTTTTGGTGATTTTTTCGGGGGTCGATCATAGTTGTTATCCGTTCTCGGCTTCGCCTCGCCTGTAAACTAATATTAGATCTCTCAAATTAATTAAAATTTCATTCACATACAGCTGATAAAAATAGTTAAAAGACTTTTTCAAACAAGTTATAGGTTTGTTAAGTTATTAGTGTTCCCATTGGTGACAGACAAGCTATATGATGTTACATTAGGTACGTTACAGTAGTAATAAGATTGTGTTAAACACATGCCTCAAAGCAATACAATATCTTCTTTCATTCTGGACACCTTTGTTAATCACGAGTTGAAATTGTGTTATTAACTAAAATATTAGCCTATCTAGTAAGACACAAGGAAAACTTATTTTTATTTTTGTTAACCATGAATTAATTTTTTACCACTCTTGTAATATATCTAAACTTATTAAAGGAGTAAGAAGTCACAATTGTGGTTTGAAAACTTTATGACCACAATACCAACCAATTTCAGAATCTGGGCTAGAGCCATAACAGTTGCATTTAATCTGAAACTCTGCAGATACTAATCCCATAGTTACAATGCAAGCAAGTTTACTGGCCTTAACTGCTGGGAACCACAAGTAATACAGCTTTACCTTCCAATCTACATGAATATCACATCACTTTTCATAAACACTAAACCAGGACAGAATGGTTAGGAGAAACAAATGGGAAGGTGGTAAATTAAACTTTATCTTGATTACCAGTATTCTTTTTTTATTCAACACAAGTAGTAAAATTTTTCTATTGATGAAATAACTATTTAAGACTACGGTAACATCCTAAAAATGAGTTATGGTTCAAAGTTTTCTGTAATGTGAAAAGTTTGCGGAAAAAGTTATTTAAAAACGTAGCATATCAGGTTTTTTCAAATGAGTTTTTTTTTAGATTGAGGACCATAATTTTCTATATTTCTGCCATTCAAATACAGTATTGCCACTTACTAAGGTCTTTCCCTACCCCCAAATAACAGGAACCAGCAAAACCCCTCAATTTCCTAGGGTATATATCGCTCTGCCCTTGCACACATTGCGAAAGATAAACGTTAAATGTAAATAGTCGACTGATATTTTTGTGTTTCGTTTGTGAAATTTTTACACACCTTTTCAGGAAAGATTTTGTTAATTTATTAATACTGTAAATTTATTTCAAATATTTTCTTACGCTCCCAACTTTTTGTCCAAGACTGTGTGTAAATAAATACACATAAAGGATCCTGGTAAAGAAATACTTTAGATTCATGCTAAAAGTAGGAAACTATTTCTACAACCATAATTATTTTTGGTACTTTAAATCACCAAATCTGGATCAATAATTTAATAAATAAGGTAATCTGCAACAAATTAAGCTTAATATAAAGAAAAATTGAGAATGTTCCTATTCCTAGCAAACTATTTCATCTTGGTAATATCTTGAAAATAATCACTAGTAAAAAAAACTGTTATGGTTATAACAGTTTATATTAGAAATACAAGAATAAGAGTTGTTGATAGCTTATATTTAAATTTCCCGTGCCCACACAGATTTTTGTCTGAAAAGTATGTTTTGAAAGATGAGATTACAACGGTATTATTTTTTATCAAAACTAACTAATCAAATGGTGTATTGTTGTGAGAGATTCCCAAAA